CTGTGGCTGCGGCTGTTGCACATGCTGGTGCGTATACGTCTGTTGTCTATAGATAGGTCGCGACGGCTGCGTGACTTCTCTCTTTCGTCTTTCGTCTAACTGAAACTCTTCTCTTCGTGCCTCCCATGCGTAGGCTTGCGTTTTCCACTCAGCAAACGTTTTTGGTAGGTCTCTCTGGATGATGACGAAATCGCAGATTCGAGAGTGAAGATTCTTTTTGAGAATACGATTGATCACGTCGAAGTGAGTGGTAGCGTCATATCCGGCCTTGTCCATGAGCGTTGTGAAATGGCTAAAGAATTCGTCGCAATGCTTATTCTCCTGCTTGTATGTCTCGATCTCGTTTACTGCCTGCGATCTTTCGTTTGGATTCCCGAATACTTGGGCTAGGTCGGTTAGGACGGTCGAGAGAGTCGGCCATACGGGGGTAGTTGCGTCGAGAGCTTTGGTAAGCACATTTTCTTTCCAAGCTTTTACTGTCGACGTTCCTTGGTCGCTGATTTTGGATAGGAGGTAAATGAGCTTCGTCTTCTCGTCTGGAAAGTAGGAGGCGTAGGTGGTTAAGTACAACTGTAGTGCTTGGCGCCATGCTATGAATCGTTCCTTCTCTCCTTTGAATTCGAAGGGTTCTGCTGCGAGAGTTACTTTGCCGTGTAACTGTGTGGGGTTAGACATGGATGAGGGTTTTGGAGGAATTGGAGGTGGAGGTGGGCGTGTAGGTGGTAGCGGTAGGGTTTGTCTGGGCGGAGTCTCCGGTTCTATGGACGGTCTCGGGTTTCGATATTCGGAAAACACTTTGAAGGATTTTGAAACGAGGTTTATTTAGTTTGAATCGTAATCAAACTCGTCACTCCAATCGTTAGAAGTAAATCCAAAAATATTTTCTTCTTCTTCCAAATCTCTTTCTACCTGTGAGCTAGTGGTAGAATTACTGTCCAAATTCGAGGTTGCTTCGTCTGGTGAGGGGGTTCTTTCTATAAGAACGTTTCCTTGGATCAACGAGGAGACGGGAGGAATATAAGAGAAGTTTCCGTGGGTCAGATGGTACCCTGGTTTGTACTGCGAGTAGACTCTGTTGTTTCCTCGAATAAGCACTCCCCAGAACTCGGTGTTGATCTCGGTAACGATGAAGCGATCTGTGGGGTGGCGGATGACTAAATCAAAAACTTCTTTCCCGTAGTTTTGGTATTCTCTGAACAATCGACAGACGTTCCTGATCTGTCTTTGTTCTCTTTCCCAATTCCTTCCTTCGAGGATCTCGTGTCCAATCTTAAACACTAGTCTGCGAAATTGCGATATGCAGGCTACTATCCTTCGTATTGCGTCGCGGCAGAAAGGGGTGACAACTAATACGTGGACTCCTGTCTTAAGATAATCTCGTGGGTTGAAGGCGTCGTTCTGTTCGGGAGTGAGGGGGACGTCGAAGAAGAATGGTATTTCCCGATAGAACTTGATGAGATCGGTTTCGTAAATTCCAATTCTTGTAAAAAGAAGTTCAAGAGGGGTAGGATTAAATGACGCTGTAACGTATACGTCAATTTTGGATGGTTCGAGATAGGGCGTAAGGAATTCTAGGTAGGGTGCGGAGTAGGGTCGTCGGTGGATGATGATTCCACAGGGAAGTAGGTAGTGGATCTCTCTCCCGTCCTGTTCTGGTGAGAACGCAAGTTGGGGAGTTTCAACGTAGTTCGGAAGGTGATAGATGCGTGGGGAGATTCCGTCGGATAGTATGAGAAGAGCTGTTTTATGTTCTGCCGCTTGTCGTCTGAGGGCTCGTCTTTCTTCACTGTCGTTCCGACGAGGGGGTTCTAAAATTCTCTGTTCGTAGACTTCGATCGATAGGTGCTCTAGGTGTATCGAATTGAACCTGAACAATTCTCTGGACGCTTGATCGGATTCCCAAAAGCAGGTTTGAGCAGCTGCTGATGCGTACTCGAGTAAGCGCGACGTATTGACGGAGTTGGGAGATTTCGAATGCTAAATCGTCGACGGCTAGAACTAGTCCTTCTAGTTCAGAGATGGGGGAAGAGGCGGCTGATGAGTCTTCGTAGTACTCAGTTTCTGTGTCGCTGTGGGCAGACTGGGGGTTCGTGGCAGCGTCGACAGGTACTGCAACGTGGAGGTCTCGGTTGTTGAGGGCGTGGTGGAATTCCTCGAGTGAACGTCGTTCTTCGTCCGTTACTAGGCTCTCTCTGATGTTCGACAGTTTGACGATTGTAGAAGTGATCAAAGACGACAGCTAGAGTGAGGACTTGAGCAAGAACAAGTAAGAGTATTACTTTGAGGTGGGTAGGAATGTTGGAGAGGACAACTAGCTAGCTTAGCTAGAAGGCAAGTAGATGTTTTGGATGGGTAGGAGGACGGTGAATGACAACACGTCCGAGGGATGAAGGAAGAGGTGGGTTAGGGCTATAATGGGTTCAAGCGAGATGGTGCGCTGTGAACGGATCGTAGAGTGAGCTTTCTATTTTGTGAGGCAACGATAAACTATAACAAAAACTAAACCTATCTCCTTCTGCACTTGCAGGGAGTAAGGGTCCAATGAGCTTTGAGGTCGACAGACGCTAGAAATATAGCGAGTAGAGGACTTTGAGAGGTAAGCTTCAAAGGTTCTTGTTGAGGAGTAAAGCGGGTAAATTCAGTAATAGAAAGCTAAGGAGCTATACATGAATAGGCACGTCTTTATATAGAGAACTGTCCGTTCCTCAGACCGAAAGGAGAATATACGAAAAGTGGTCTGAGGAATTAATCAACCAATAGGAAAAAGGGAGAGTAACTATCGTACGACTTCTGACTTGATTAATCAGCAGGTGAGAGACTTGTACTAATAATAGAAGATTGTTACGCGTGGTCAGGAACCGTATCCTCATGATGAGGTACGATTCTAGATAAGGCGTTTATTAGTATTACCAGGCTTTACTGGGGCTTGGAGCTGGTTGGCGAGATGCCTACTACCAGTCCCTACCCAGTGTGCTGGCTAGCTGGGAGCGATGCCCAGTCTCTGATCTGTGATATAAAGTGGTAGCGATGGTTAAGAAAGCCTGTGAGGGCTATGAGAAGTAAGATGGCAAAGGATACCTCTAGCCCTAGAGCCAGAGGTGTAACGGGAAAAGCGTTCGAGAACCAAGACATAACAAAGATAAGAAAATAGTAAAACGGTCCTTACAAAACCTCTGCTGCATCACGGACCACATTATGGAGCTGCAGACATTCTGGAAGCAATCAAACACCTAAAAACAAGAGTCCATTATATGTTCCAAATTGCACACTTTCCAAATACTCAAACAGCCCATGAGCTGCGACGCAATATTCAGGAACTAATAGAAGAAATACCCGATAATGTGATATCCAACTCACATTATTATCAGCATACAGCTCACAAAAAATATAGATCGAGCTCGATGATCCAAACCACGTAGTGCACAGGGACGAGGATGAGCCTGAACAAACTCAGGATACAAGATTCACAACCGCATTCAGAAAATCGTAAATACCGACATACCCAAAAATCCTCTGAATATTGAAGAAGTTTTCAATATGATGTTCAAAACCGATCAACGATAATGTGTCAGTAATTGTACTCAAGTAAACAACAAAACTGACCTCATCTACTAGACAAAAATATTCAAATATTATTGAGGTGGTTCTACAGCCTTCAAAGACATGTGCAACAATTCTAAAAGGATAGTGTTACGATCTCTATTGGACATTAAAGGACTACTCATTTCTTTTTACTCATTGGTTATACCATCGGACCGATGACTCATTTCCTTCACGTATACTTCCGTTCCTCTCGCATTCGCAGTACCTATTATAGTACTTAGTCCTCAACGGACGGACCTGCCCTAGATAGGACCTAACTCCTATCACCAATTCCTTTCCATTATAAATACCATGTAACAGCAGTAGTATTCTCCAATACAATTCTACGCAGTTTACGCTTACAAAGCTAGACTCCTAAGATCAGACTTCTACTCAGAAGAAGACCAACTCCCATTGGAAAACCTCCACTCAGAACCACATTCTCGATTCGGATAAGTCTCTTTACAAACCTCAACGAACCCTCAGACTTTGTTAAGCACTTCGTGCGTAACAGATAGATGATATCATTGATATTGATGACCAAATTACACAGAGATTTCAGGTTAGTGATTCATATTCTGATATGTAGCGAGTTACTTACAGTGTACCAGAGGATTGAACTTGATGAGAAACGTGCTGGAGGAAACTCATTAACCACTCATATACTTGCTCAGGTCGAATCATTAAAATTCATATATGATTGGAACAACAAGGGATCAAGACCAGGGGAAAAAAATGGAAGACTCAGACGTATATCGCAATGTTTCAACTCCTTGGACCTTATAGCGAAGCTTTCCAACGCCTTGATGAACACGAGAAAGCTGAAAAAATGGGCAATCTTCAAGTGAAATTCAAAAAGTGGAAACCTTCACGCAAGGAACAGATAACTTTGAGAAATAATTTCTACAAGCTATATAACGAGGTATGATTTATTCAGATAATGCAAACATAAAATGAATTAAATGACTAACCATAGTTTGGTCCCATTGTCTTGTTGGACCCTACATGGGATGTATCACAACGTCGCACATCCAGTTGTAACAAAGTAACAAGTATGCTTAGGGACAAAGTATCAAAATTTCAAGATACCCTACATTTATCAGATGAAAGACAAAAAACAAGCCTTGAGGCGATGATGGAAATTATATGGGAATTAAGTGGGACATCAGTATTCTATACTGTGGAACAATTCATTAACCAATACCCCACAAAAGTGGCGTAGACAAATATTAGAAATACAGAGATGCAATATGAAAATTCTATAGTGCGTAATTTTATAGTACATAATTGAAATGAAGCGTCCCTACAATTGCACGATGAATGATCCCAGGCAGTGATAATTGCGATGAAACATTCCAGACTTCCTAGAATTGCAGAAGCCCTAAAGCAAAGCAAGAAATAATGCGGAAGCGACTTCATTATTCTCCATAACATCCCTGGTAGCAGGATTGAATTTCAGTGATTTCTTCCACTGCGTAGAACTCTGTAAGATCACAGGTTACCCATACAGTATGATGTGGCCACCAAGAGGCAGCTTGCTGAGATGTACCTAGAAAAATAAAATGTGTCAGTACAACTCATTCAATGAACAACAAGAAAAATAAAACGTACTTTTCTCAATATAATACATCCCATAAATAAGATCTAACTCCACTTCACTGAGTTTGTCATCACAATATCATATCAACTGATTGTTGTGAACAAGTAATCCATGGTGTGGAGCCTCATCAGATATGCCAGTTAACACGTGAGCGAGGTTGTCCCATCCAAAGCTCTCCACTGCCAATCTCCAAACAATCCCCCCTTTGAGCAGCGCAGCTCTGGCACGCGGTTGCGACATGAGAGTGTCCCTCTTTTGCTGGTACACTACATAGTCCGTATAATCAGCTTGGTAGCCAGTGGGTCTCCATCCAAGGCTGTACTGATCAAGTTGATCGACTGACTTGAGAGGCGGTTGATCGGATCAATAAAATGTATGAAAGGGGATTCCCCTGCTGAGAAGCTCAAATGCTATGGCCATGATATCCGGGCCCCAAGATCAACGAAGACACATTACAGTTGTTGCTGCTTCCTCAATGGTGAGTGTACAAGGCAACCCATCATCATACACACCATCAAATACATGGTAGGTTTTGTCTGAAAATTGTTGGGGAACAATGTGAAATTCATGACTCATCCGCAACCGCAAGTCTCCACCGACCGCCAGATCCCATATATGATGCAAAATCCGATGATGCTGAACAGGGGGAAGGATAGCAAGACTTGCAATGAGGTCCATGATGATGTCACGATGAGCAGGCGATACTTGATCAGAATGTGTATTTGTCTGAACAACGACTTTGGACACATTTTTCCAATTGTTCTTGGACTTCCAATGAGCAAATTGTGATGATGGCTCATAAGAGCCATAGCTGCCATTCAAGTGTAGTCCAAAGTGACACTGCATGACAACGAGAGTGGAATCAAATTGTGCAATGGTTGTATTCACAATCACATCCTCTGAATGTCCTTTTAGGCATTCAACAAAGTTGACAGGTTCAGTGGGATTATGTTGAGACATTCCATTAGCTATTATGTATCTCGACATATCCACATCTTCTTCCATGTCCTCTCCAAAATTGTCCTCCATATCATCTCCATCAGGTTGTGCTTGAGGATTAAATTTCTTACAGAGATGCCACTTGTTGTGAAAGCCATCAAAGCGGCGCGTCTTGTTGGAATAATCACTCCAGACAAATTCCGCCTCTCCTTTTGACGAACAAATTTTCTTGATCTGGATGTCCAACTGCTCCTGCCATTCATATATCACCATTGTACTCTTCTTCCCAGGTGGATGATGGGAAGCTGCATTTTGTTCGAGATCCAAGCATTTTTGTCTCTGAGCTGGACTCTTGTTTGCTACTCTAACCTCATTCTCTCGTTTACGACGCTCGAAGAACAATTTCCATGTTTCATCTGATTTGATGGCAAAGTGTGATAGGACTAGGGACTCTAATTTTCCACGCTTCAAGCGTGCATCCACTACTCATTCGACTTCAAACTCTTCTTCACCTTCCTGGGTGACTACAACCGGTCCGGGCCGGTCTACGCGCTGTCCCGGCAGCAGCCCCTTGTAGGGTTTCACACGGCTAATATTGACCGTGGGTACTACCCTCATTTGTTTTGGGAGTTCCAGCTCCACTGTGTTGGGTTTGACTTCCTTAATCCGGTAAGTCCCAATCCACTTTTTGGTCAGTTTTCTAGACTGCTGATCTTTCAATTTTAAGTGGTCGGTATCTAACCAGACCAGGTCGCCGACCTTGTAGTCAGGGGCCTTAGAGCGTCTATGCTCTGCCCTGTCTTTCATCTGCTCTGCAGTTTTAAATAGCGCCTTGCACGTTTCATCTAAGACAGACTTCATGTCTTTTACCATGTTCTCAGCAGCCTCATTCTTGCTTTTGCCAGGTTCTACACCCATTCTGGGGAGGTACAATCTCGTAACCTCAAATGGTGCCTTTCCTGTAGCTAACGACTGTTTAATATTATAAGAGAACTGGGCTATCTTTAGCCACTTGGCCCAATCTGTCTGTCTATCATTGATAAATATACGGAGGTATTGCTTCAATTCCTGACTGAGCCTCTCCGTTTGTCCATCGGTCTGCAGATGGAACACCGTTGTTGATAATTTAGGTTTGATGCCCAGCATCCGGCATAACTCTTTCATAAATTCACTAGCAAATTGTGGTCCCCTATCGGAGATAACCGTTTCCGGCAATCCATGGATAGACCATACAAAATCTTTAAATAAGTCTGCCATACCAGCGGCGGTAATAGTTTTGTTGGTGAGAATGAACACTACTTCTTTGGAGAAGCGATCCACTACTACCATTACTGAATTATACCCATTTGATTTGGGTAGATCTGTTGTAAAGTCAACCAATATATCCTGCCAAGGACCAGCTGGTATTGGATTTGGCATAAGTTTACCGGCCAGCGGTTGATGCAAATTCTTTGCCATGGCACATCTCAGACAGGATTTCACATTTTCCTGTACATCTTTGACCATGCCAGGCCACATGTAATTTCTGGAGATCAACTCCATTGTTCGTTGCCATCCAGGGTGCCCAGCCACTGGAGTGTCGTGATGTCTATCTATTGCCTTGATCCTTGCAGATTCAGGCACATAGATTTTGTCTTTAAAGTGGAAGAGCCCGTCTTCCCATACATAGTTTTAATCTCTTCCTCAGGCTTTACCTCGTCATCATTATCATCAATCTTTTCTAAAGATCTGAGCTCATAAATGTGACCAGTGTTTATCTTTTCAAGACGCTCAGTTTGACGGACGCAACTCGGTTTACCCAAGTTTTCACACTCCTGAGGACAATGTGACAATGTGGCAACCCCTGTCTGCCAGTTGATCTCAGGATTGTGTTTAAATAGCCAGGTCCAGCCTAAGATTAAATTAATCTTCCCTAGTTGGGTAGTTTCGGCGGTGACTCGTTCTCTGTGTCCTTGGTACCCGACAACAAAGAAACATTTGTGTGTGATACAGCCACCTGCATTGAGCGTACCATCAACGTTATAGACAGGAATAGATACATCTAATTTTACAAGGGGGAGTCCAATTTGCTTCGCCCAGACCTGATCTATGAAGATTCTGTTAGTGCCTGAATCAAGCAGTGCACTGGTTGGGTGTGCTATGCCCCGCGCAAGGTTTTCCACACCAACATCTAAACAGATCTCCTCTTGAAATAAATATGTGCGCATCAACACACACCTTGGGATTTCTGTAGGAAGTGGCTCCAAAGAAGAAGAAACATGTTTTTCTACTTTAAGATTTTCTATGTTTTTATTTTTATTTTTACCAGAACCAAGCAGCTATATCATCAGGAGGATCCAAGACAAATCCACAGTCACAGCTTCATATACAAGTACATACTTCAGATAACAAATTTAGAAATTTATTTACAAATTGGGAAGCCACCCCCATCTTTCTTTTATTGCTCATGCAACACCCCAGAGCAGGGGCCACCTTGTTGTGATTTACTTCATTGTTTATGGGAGTGAAGGCACCCAAGTGACCTAAGCTCCGAACTCTTTTCCCTGAGTCTTCATTTCAGCGACCTGCTGGTCATAAAAGAAGGCCCGGATTTCGTCGTATGAACGTCCGGCCAGAGTATTGAGCCGATTGTCCGGCATTTCAGCTTCTAATTGGCGCGCCTGGCGCCCTTGGTTATTTTTTTGTTGAGCGGCCCGTGCTCCGTTTGTACAATTTTGGGCCATGTGCCCCTCCTCGCCACAGTTGTAGCAGGTGAATCTGCGCGTCTGTCTGCCTTGGACCACACCAATATCCATTGGGGCTCCCTGCCCTGGTTGCAACCCAAATGGTTGGAACCCATGAGAGTGATTGTATTTTTGGTTTGATGACCCAGGGCTCCTCTGGGAATAGTTGTTTTTGGTGGTGGTCCCACCACCTTGATGCATTTTGTAGAGCTTATTAAGAACAAAGCTTGAAGGAAGTGTCTAGCCACTTGCTGAGAGCAATCAGGGACTGGAACTAGAGTCCAATGTGAGTAACTTTATTATTAGAGAGTATGACAGGTATATAGTACCTAGAGTCCAATGTGAGTAACTAGAGAATAGGAAGCATTGGACTCTGCAGTACTGTCCGAAGTTTTGTAAACAAAGTTAAACAAAGCAGCCACAAAGGCAAAATAATAGAGAACACAATCAATAGTGAATGATAGAAGAATAGATAGAGAAAGGAATGAAAATATATAGGTAGCACAAAGGTGCAGAATCACCAAAACTAACATTCTGCACATAACACACAATAATTAATGTCAATGTTAATGTGAATGTTCATTCCATGGACGTCTACAGAATGATTGGTCCAGTTGTTGTCCTCGCAAGTGGTTGCACCGCAGTTTTCCTAACAACAATGAGGCAAAACCCCAGTAGCCGTAGCCCGTGGAGTATAAAGAGGGGAAATATGATTATTCACATGCTGTAGGAAGCTCTGATGAGTTGGCCAGGCTTGATCCAAATGCTTGCATGTGGCCCAATGACATTTCTGGTCCGTATTGCGAAATTCATCCTCTGCCTCCTTTTGAGCCTCCGCCTTTTTCTCGATGCCGATGCAATGATGAATATGATCGCCAAAATGGTTGTGAGACGGAAGGTCTATTGAACATATGGGCACTGAAATTGCTCAGTAGCAGATCCGTAGGGATAGCACATTGGTTACAATTTTTCTGGCAATGACAGTAATGTTGAAACATTGCTAACCAAGTTTTGATTAACATCAAGCGTGTGACCTTGGTTGTAGAGCACTTTGACCATTGCTTCAATTGTATCAACCTTCTTCAACCGAGCTATTGTTGTCATGCACTCAGAAAGCGGTGCTTGAGCCTCTCCTCTGAGCTGCCTCCCAGAGGCATTTTCAAAGTATTCTTGCCTCAGTTGTTGAAGGCGAGTGCAAGATGCTCTTTCTGTGATATTCTTATATTCAGCGTGTAGTTCTTTTGCTTTACCTTGTAGCTCGCTGTCGATGATGAGAACTGTTGTTAGAAAACCACACACAAAACAAACTAACACATAATCCTCCCAGATTCCACGGAACTTGTTTATGGGCTTTGCCTCCTAGAACAGTGGAGTGGTCTGGTTGTTCGTGGGGTGGTACGTATAAAGATCCTTCAAAGTAAAACCCAGAGGTGTATGAGTGTGGGTTTTGAGGAGGAGGGATAGTTGAATTTATAGGAAGATAGGTGCTTTGTGGCGAGTATAGACGAGCACTACCTTGCTAATGGTAGCACAAGGTAGGTTTGAGAACGACGAGGATGACGAGGTGACGAGGTTCCCAGTGATAGCAGGCTCCTGACGCACAAACTGTAGTGCTCAGAAGGACTCTAATCGAAAGGGATGACAATGACTTCAAAAGTGGGAAGTGACAATGACAGCAGTTGACAGTGGTAGAAGTGGGAAGTGTTGTGACCACACTGGATCACAAGTAGCAGAGTAGTGAACTTGAGAGTAGAGAAGAAGTCTGGATTGGATTTCTTGTTCTTTTTTTTACAAGGTAAAATACAGGGGTTTATATAGTAAAAGAGAAGTAGGCTATGCACAGTATAGCTGTGCAAAAAGAATGAGAAAGAATATGAAGGAAGGAATGTACGCTGACGAATCCTGCGTAGGTAGTACAGGATAAGATTGTCAAAAAAAGAAAAGAAAGGGATAGAACAATAAATGCTGTGAGTAATATCACAGGTTTGTACAGCCATAAAGTAAAGTCCAATAGCAAAAGGAGAGCAGGAAAATCATGATGTCATGGGAAGATGCAGTAAAAAAAGGGCAAGGCAAAACACTATCAGTATCAACACAGTTCCTTTATTGTCAGTCAGGCATTCTAAAAAAATATGTGTCCATAAAAATGATTCAAAAATCAAAAATAATCGCACTGTAAATGAATGTTCTGCTGAAAAAAAAGAAACTGGAGCCACCGGTCCACCACCTAGTCCAAATCCGACAGTTCTATGGCCTTACCAATGGACTGGTTGTGTTGGACCACCTGATCAAACGAGGGAGGGAGAGGAGTAGTTCCAATTTGGAACAAGTGAGTCCCAGGCAGCGTGTGGTAGGTGTAGCTGTAGCGAAGACGATGGACAAATGATAAGTGTACCCAAGTGAATGGGACAGCGATGAACATGGGCGACGCAAGGGGATGAACCTTCTCCAGCTCAAAAATTACCCACCCACGCTCCAACCAGGCAAGACGAGCGACCGATGTTTTGATAGTATATGATGGCAGATCGACGTCATGAAGATGGACCTGTTGCCCTATTTGGACCGGCCGCCAGGGCTTTGCTGATATCAGCAGTGGCACGTGGTAGTCAACGGATCGGCGACGGAAGCGGATAGGAAGTGGTGACATCAGAAATGGTGGGGGAGCAAAGAAGATGAGGAGGAGGAGGGTGGAGGTGACGAGGAGGTGAACTAAAATGGGGACCCAGAAACGACCGTCGGGTGAGAATAAAAAGGAGAGGAAGGGGCCCATGGTGGGGCTAGGCAAAGGAAGGGGAGTAAGGGAAACGACAAAAGCGAGGGCGCAATGCAATGTGTAGCCAGTGGCGACGCGAAAATTTGCCAAAATGCCGAAACGCGGAAAGTACCGGATGGAAAAGCAAAGGTGAGCGTGACTGGATTGCCTAATAGAGGTGGTGCTGATCAGCCACAAGTTCAAAAAGGGCAATATTAATTACTATTCCACGTGGCACTGTGCCTGTGTGGCGCAAAGGCGAGTCTTTTTGAATATTTGCTTCGTTATTGACACCTGTCCATGCTACCAATCAACTTTGGTGCATGACATCGCCCCGCGCTACAACATTTTCTTTGCTATCTTTCAATTTTGCTAACTGATTTATAGCCTGTTTGCGCTCTTCTTCGACCTCCAGAAGAACAGGATCTTGCCTAAGGCGCTCCCTTTCTGCTAATGGGAGAGTGATTGGAGCATTGACATTGTGGCCGAATGAGATATCATTGCTGATGGCATGACCCGTTCTTTGCTGCCGTCCCTGGAATATGGCCTGAGTGTCAACATCTGCTCTGGTATGCAGACTGTAGTAAACATGCAATGAGTTTATAACGCAATATTCATCATCATTGATTCATACCTGAAATTGATGGCCATCTGGTGTGTGATTCAGGAGCAGCTGTAGGTCTAATTCAGACACTTCTTTGCTCAAGCAGTTGGAAGCGCCCTGTCGAAAATCATAAGGCCTGATGTGATCTAAACATGATTATCAGTCAAGCGTATCCAAGCAATGACAATGGATGATATGCATACTTTGAAATCCAGCCTTGTGGCGTAGGTTTTCATTGTGTTTAGGGATGCAAACTCTCCTATCTTCGGTTTGATACACAAGGCAATAAATCTTATGAATGATTTCGCCTGCCCGGAGGATGGAAGGGTTGATCCCAGTTGTACTTTGGGTGGTAAATTGAGCTCGTAATATTCTACAAACTCCGACCAGTAACGCTGGATACGCTCATGGGCTTTGATGGTGGGTGCGGCAAGGTGTCGGAAGTGTACCGTGTTTTCAAAGGTTGGTTTGAAATGCCTGCTGAATTGCGGGATTCTGCAAGCGTTGAGCGAGAATTTTGTCTCTCGTTAATCTGACTTTTCTTGTTATACCGGACATTGTATATTGACAGAGGCGGGATTGGATGAGGAGGAGGGGAAGGAGGTGACAGGGTTGAAGGTGGATGGATGGGACTGGGTTAAAAGTGGGTGGACATAATGACAAATGATGTATTTCGACTGAGAGAGTATGTTGAGCCGTGACGTCGAACCGTTGAAGGTACTGTCGACTCGGTACACTGAACTACTCCAAATATGGTAACCAGCATAGAGGTGTCCTCAATCACTTAGGAACCAAGTATGAGAGGCCTTTGTCGACACAACACGTAGATATATCACTCAAATGAGTGCGAGTGATTGGCCGAAGACTTGGGTACTTGTACAAAGCAACTTTGTGTTTAAGGCAGGATATATGAATTTGTGATCAACCAGATTCCAGCCAGCAGTACTATCGTTGGACACCGGATGCAACCGGTAAGAGATATGCACTTGGGCCTCCAGAGGCTCAACGATCACTGTACAGGTAGCTAGAAAATTGTTAGATGTAGAATATAGTATAGAGAATATAATTGTGAAAGAATTTAGTGAATAGCTTATCTGTAGCAACAACGACAGACCTGACACTATGCTCTTGAACTCCAGAAGTGTGAATTTTGAGGGAAAGATTGCCAGATTTGACCAGATCTCGTGCTGGGAATATTGCAATATCTTTCTAGAAAACGTCAATAGGTAGGCCCCTACAATGCCAGATACTTACTGAGCTGATTGGGGCCTCAAAGCGTCTGGAGAAACGAAAACAATGATGGAGTCGTGACTAGGCGACCGAAACAGGCAATCACACACCAAGATAATCAATCAAGGACCGCCAGCTCCGCTGTGGTACGTACCGCACATACCACCAGCGTCAGGACTTGGTGTGACCTGGCAGAATTTGACTTGTAAGCTCCGCCTGATTTGGTCTGTGAGTGCCGCTGTGACCCAGTGTGACCAGAAATTGCATAACCATTCCAAAACATGTGTCGTCTTTTCGGTTTTGTTCTGCTGCTCCAATGCTTCAAGTTCTTGCTTATTTTTCTACATAGGCAGCTAGAAAACTAAAAATGATATCTACTGGTCAAGTTCTGACAGTCTAAAGCTCAACGACTGGTGAGTTATTCTCCCCAGACCAATTGCACCTATTGTCCAACGATAGTATGTACTGCTGACCAGACAGTTCCAGCCAGCAGTATGTACCGCTGGCCAGATGACTCATAGAGTGAAGGAAAGGAAAGGAAAACAAAAAGATGGTCACGCGGAGGTATCCCAATATGGACCTGACTTCCCACAATTTAAACCCCGCGTAAAAAAAGTCGACGTGACGTTTTTCTCACGTCACGCTCTCAGGCGTGAGAAGTCGCTACTCAATCGGTGAGGTATGCGTGCGAACCTGTTACTTCATATGTCATTTTCTTGGTGTTGTGATTATTGCGTTTCGAGCTTTCCGCAGAGGCGGCAATGTTAGCCGTTACACCATATCCGACATGTTTCGATCGTCGTCGTTGCGCATGATTGTTTATAACTGGTGGTGTAGGAGTGATAGTGGCGTTGGTGAAATGACATTTTTACTATGAACCGGACGACTGGACTGTGCTCGAGTTCTTCGTGAGGATGGTGAAATGCATGCACTTATATGGTTAATTCTTGAAGCAAGTGCTGAACAGAGACGTCAAGCTAAACGAGAGAATGAATAGCCCTTGACAGGGAAAGAAAAAGGTGAAGTAGTACCGTACGGATAGTATCCCTTCCTGTAGGTCCATATGGCGTTGAATGTGTGTGTGCTTGGTCTGGTTTTCATCGTTGGATTCCGGAAAGAACAGTAGAAATGTACCTCTCTCCCAAGTATAATGACATATTCCAAAACTAGACATCCGGTTTGTTGGTCGAGTACATGATAAATCTAACAGGTGCAACAGCAACTCCAGCACTTACCAAAATAGACAAGGATGACCTTGTCTGCCAGTAAATATTCTAAGAGGGGAGTCTAAACGTTAACAAAATAAGAGTGTAATTCACGCTAGTAAAAACCCACCTGTCTTATTGATAAGGCGCTGGTTTTGGCGTAAATGTATATTCAGGGTAGGAGGACATATCTCTGTCGTATACGGGGAAGTTTAGTTTATCCCGCGAGTGGGGACCTCATAAAGTGGTTCAGGTAAATCCCCCACACGGTTTCCAGTATTTGTTGGCCTAGTCCAGTATTCAGTATTCGGGAAGCGTTTCAGAATAGGTTGTTGATGTTGAGACAGACACCCCACGGCAGAAAAAAGTACCACTGACTGAATATGACTTGAGCTTCATCAGCGTGCCTGATACACCCGCGGATGTCATTCAATGCGAATATATCAGTCAGTACATGAGATATGTTAGCTTTTGAGACAGACGTACATTGATAACCAATATGTCGTTTGAAGCTGATGATGCCAACCACAACCGCAACATCTTTGATTGTTTCACGCGTTCGAGCCGGAATATTCGTTGACAAAACATGATGTGAGAGATCGGAGAGGACTTCATGTTTCAAGCTTGGTAGAACTCACCGATACTATAAATATACAATGGTATTACCTGGGTTAGAGCGGGTGTGGTCAGCTGCAAATACTAATCGGAGAAAGTTTCTAGATGCCGGAAAACATGGCCCCTAGGAGGGGCCCTACTCCCGAACGCCCAACATTCGCCATCATGATTTTGTTCTCAAGCCAAAGCTGTACTTGATATTAAAGAAAGTTACCAAGAAGGTTCGACCTTCGAGAAAATGTATGTACAATTGCCATAGAAATATTACGTGGTTTTGAGTATAAGTAACATTATGATTCCAAGTTGAGAAATCGATCATGATGAACGCACGAAAGACAAGGGTGAGGATCGAGAGCAAGGCGGTATTCAATTAGGGCTTCCCAGCTGCTGAATATATGATGCAAGGTAAATCAAAAAAATCCACGACCTTCGAGATATGTTTGGTGTTCCTTTCGATGAGCAAGTATCTGCTTGTCGACAGATCGTCGCCATAATGGAACGCCGATCTGCAAGTAATTAGGATAAATTAGCGAGCTCGGGGACACTGCTTTGAATCATAGTATGAAAAACTTACGAGAGCAATGAAATCTAGAGCAACGTCTAGGAGTGAGTTACTACGAGGAGCAGAACCACGTGTGGATGCCCTGAATAGGCGCGTTATCAAATCACCAGCGATATGTACGTCGCCATTCTCCACACCTGCAAGACGTCAGCATAAATGTAGTAAAAAGACAATGAATGAACCTTGCCGGAAAGAAGTGCAGAAGCTGCCTGCTCAGCTGTCAGTCCTTCGTCAGTGGATTCGATGTGACGAGTGATGGCAGGCTTTGTTTTGTTTTCTTCCTCGAACCCAGGAGTGTACATGGTAGGCGGGAAGAAGCAGTGGACATCGATGCCATACAGGAGGAGTTCTGACCTCAGCGAATCTGCAAGGCCTATACGTGCAGTCTGAGTATTCGCATCAATCAATGGTCATCGAGAGGCTCACCTCGTAATGCGTGCTTTGCGGGGGAGTATGATGTATAACCAACAAGGGACATGTATCCCAAAGTTGAAGAGACAAATATTATTTTACCCTTCTTTCCTTCTCGTGCCATCTGTTTTGCAGCGGCCTGCTCAAGAAGATGAGTCACCTTTCAATGCAGATAATGGAATGCGTTGCCTTACAAATGCAGTCCAAGCCTGAACCCAGTAGCCATTGACCATTCCTCGGGTTAAATCTTGCTCCTCCATCTCAAGGAAGAACATCGGCTTTGAGCCACCTGCACACGTAAATACAGCGTCTGGGGCATTTCCGCCATGAGCTTCACTAGCCGCGTGAAGTGCTGCGGAGGAGTCCTCTGCGTTGTCAAGTGAAAACGAGTATGCCTTGAATAGTTGACTGGGTGATTGACGAACGGCCTATATGGAACAGATTGAGCTGGGAAATTTTATGATGAGTCTGTATGGTTGGTCTACCTCTAGTTGTATCAACGCCTTGTCGAGATTAATCTGGTTACGAGCGACGATTGAGACGTGAGCGCCTTTCTTGGCTACAAGGATTGCCAGAGCAAGACCGAGCCCTTGACTTCCACCAGTTATGTAGATGTGCTAGAAGTGATGGGAAAGTAAGCAGGGAGCTGTTTATGACCAACAAACATACTTACCAGGTTTCTACAATCCCACTTCTTTGAAAAAAACATTATGAATGCTGATGCTATTACTACACAACTTGAACATAGCACGGCTAAATACATCTTCCCAACTCCCATAAATGAGAAGGGCTTTTCTGCAGTCGTCTTCGACAAGGTGTTCTCACGCCTCACGTAACTAACATATCTATCAGTATACTTATAATCAACCCATTTGGTCGAAAAACCCTCGAATAGCTAGCTATATTCACCCAAAGACCAGTTGCATTTCTGGTCGATTTTCATCCAGTCGAGGAGGTGCAGTGCTACTCATTACCTTTGAATTTGGGTGCACCATCAGGTGACTATCACCTACATTTAGTCTCAGTAGCTAGAACTCGAAGCCGAAGGTATGCTGGACAATATATATATTGTCATAAACAGGCAAGCGTGAATTAACAACAAAACTATACAAAATATGGCATGGCCCCCTGTTTCAAAGGCATACGTTAGTACTGTTAACCTGTACATATATATTTCGTACCATTTTCCTAGTCTGCATCCCTTTATCCCGCTCATTTTCTTCTGCTGCTCCGTACACAGTAAAATCTCTGCTTCCGTGGTCGCCAATAGTCAATATCGATGCCATGTTTCCGCATCGATAGCAATAATTGGGAGCAGACCAAACCGTCACCAATTGTTCGTCAAACATATACTTATATCCCTCTTGTACAAGCTGGTGAGCTCGTGCAATCAGCTGCAGGGAGTTCACATGGTTGAACTACGAAATATAATATATATTCTCATTGATCAGTTGCAAGTAGATGACGCAACGACGTACTTCGCGAGTGACACTTCCGCCAAATAGCCAACCTGCGCCTCGGGGACTGACGGCCCAGTTATCTATATCATCTGGATCTGACCACATGAGATCTGCAGAAAGGTGTCAACCAGGGCATTACGGAGAAATGCACCAAATAAACAAACCACAGAAAGCGCCTTCATGGGGTATTTCTTGCGCTCGCGACAGAACTCGTATTTGATCCAAAGTTCTTATGTCTGGCGATAACCCACCATGCACACATAAAGTCTCTCCATCTATTATCTTCAGCCATGATACTAAGATAGTGGCTATTAAAAAAAGAAAATCCAAGACTTACTGCAGCAAGATTCAAATAATCAAAAACGTTACAACATGCTTTCCACACGGCTGCACTCCCATATTTTTGTTGACATTCGTCTGGAGCTATTCAACAATATGAAATAGATCATCGGGCATTGGACTCACCGTAAAAGCCGTAAACTTGAGTTATTTGTCTGCTTTCATGGTTTCCGCGCAATAATGTGACTTTATCAGGGTATCTACAAAATTCCGCTTTGGTTTACTGGGCATATATGCGAGTAGATGCACGCACCTTGCCTTCAATACAAGGAGTAAAGATACAGTTTCTAGACTGTAGTGGCCTCGATCGACAAAGTCACCCTATCCGAGGGTTAAGCATCCTAGGCCGTTCAGCTGCAAGCACACATACGTGCCATAAATATGTAACTCGTTTCTGGCACCTTCCCACCTTTTCTCAGAAGCTCCAGCAAGTCCCAGAATTGACCGTGGATATCACCGCAGATAGTGACCGGGCTTGATACAGGTTGGATATTGGATTCCTCCATCAGAATACAGCGCACGCGATCACACAGAACTTTCATATCAGCCTCTGGGAGGTGCTGGCAGCTCATCAGCTGCTCTATCCATTTGTCGGGATTGTATGTAGGCATTGAAGCGTGAGTCCAATGATAGGAAGCTTCGGATTAGTGAGGTGCCAGAGTATTGATCAGCTTGACGACCCTTGGGATATTGAGCCTAATCGCAGTGCAGGTAGAACGATGCTTTCAGACGACACGAATATAACAGAACGTAATGATAAGATGAGGATAGACCCTTGGAACCGGAAAGAAAAAAGCAGTAGCGGTTTCGCAACCTGAATGATTGTAGGATAGAACAAGCGTGGGAACCTTGTCGATACCGCGGGCGACGGCGATAGCCTCTTCGAATTCGTGGCCACAGTATAGGCGAACGTCCTTTTCATTCCACCGTCCCACCTCTACGGCGTTTCCATTGCCAGCCTGAAGCACCGCGTCGAATTACACGCCAAGTTTCCTGCAAATGCGCCTTTTGCGCCAATTTCTTGTTACCTCGTTATGTGCTACTCTGTCCTGGGCATTGCATGAATCCGATGTTGGCGTCGTAGACTGGCATAAGAAGCTAATCGGTGTACCATTGTACCACTCTCTTCAAACGGCACCGGTATTCTACCAAGATATCGTTTATACCGCTACAGGCAACAACGTCTTAGCCGCGCTCAATGCTACAGACGGTTCTATTGGTATGGGTTTGATTGTCGAGAGCTAAACTCGGTGTTGACTTTGATTTCCTGGTAGTTTGGAGAAGTATATTCGAACCGGAGGATCCTATCAGCGCTTTCGGTGTTCATTCTAATAGTGTGTTATATTCTCGGTCATGTTTTAGTTTTAATCCAAACGTCTAGTATAGCCATAGTCTCACTCTCTGGTCCCGGAGGAGCTACTCTACGTGAATTCGATTTGTTTAAAGGCCATCTCTTGCTTGAGAAGCGGCTACATGACCCATTGCTTGGCCACCTTTGGGAGCCTAGTAACCTGGGCACATCAATAATATCTACCGGTGCTAGCTCGTCTTCGGATTCAAGCTCGTCGACAATTCTCGCACTAACGAACGGTGACACCTTGACTTCCATAAATAGCAGCACGGGGGAGACACATTGGGAATGGACTTCTCCTGACAAAGGGTTAGTTGCGTCCTATGGTTATATGCGCAAGCTAATATTTCAGTAGAACTTTAATTATATACTCCAAAGCGATTACCACCCCGACTACAGCCTATGTTATTGGTTTCGCAAAATCAGCCTCGTCGTTTACTCTTCATGTCACGAGCTTGTCGATGCTCGACGGCGAAGTCATCGCATCCGTCAACATTCCTGCCAATTTCAAAAACGGCTTAACTGACTACATAGCTATCACCTCTGGCTCGGACACAATTTCTTCCATCGCTTGGCTGGACCAAGGATCTATCAAAGCAGCTTCCTTAAAACCTAACCTTAAGGGTCAGGTATTTGCAATCAAAGGAATGCAGTACAAGAGGATTATGGACGTTGGACTCTCCCATGATGGGCAGTTTATTGCCATAAAAGAGGATGGTGCTGCTCAAGTACTACTTCTTGATCCACAGACGTCTTCCTTGAAAGTTATATGGGAATTTACTGATTCAGTATGTTCAAACATTTACTTTCATTCGTAGCGGACGAGTTTATATATCTTTCATTTAGGCCCCATCCAAGCTTTACTCCGACTCTCATTACGTTGGCGGCCTCAATAAAGACGGTGAACCTCGTATAGCACGAGTGTATTGGTCTAATGTCCACAATGTATATTTTCGTTTTTTTTTTCTTTCTCTCAGTAAATCTTACTAATATCAATTCAGAGAGTTGTATATCAAGTGTTTTCTGCTCAGCTTGCTGAAGGGAAGGGATCTGTCTCTGGGTTTACTTTCCCATTCGAGACAAGTGTCCATGGCATTGTCGCTCATGTAAGAGTGCATAAAGTTATGAAGTGGCAACTACTGATGCATTCCCTTAGGTGGCTTTTGACGTTGCCGGCTCAGACGAGTCGACAGGGACCCGGTTCCTTCTGACCAGCTCAACAGGTTCTGTCCAACTTTGGCAGCAGGACTTATTATCATGGGCTCGTGAGGAATCGCTAGCGACTATCAAAGTTGCAGAAATCGTGGAAATGCCCCAAGAAAAAATGACTGAAGAACATGTCAGGTTGGAAGAGGAAGGTTTCTTTGAACGTGTTACGAGACAGTTCTCGGATGCTAAAGTACCGCGACAGCTTATTACATCAGAGATTTGCATACTGATACAATCATTCCTCAGAATCTTCCGCAATACGCAGTGAACTTTGCCAGAAGATTTGCTACCGGATCTCACGCACCCATTTCTATCTCGCAAGATGAAGAGTCCGTTTCTCGGGATGCATTCGGTTTTCGTCAAGTCATCGTCGCAGCCACCTCACATGGCAAGATCTTTGGTATCGATTCTAGTAATGGAGAAATATTGTGGAGTCGCGTACTTGGACTTGGTTGGGCTGCAGAAGTCGGCGGCACGGTGATCCCTGTCAAGTTATATGTGACGCGTACTGTCAGCGATGGCGATGCACCGCAAGTTACTCTGGTTACGCAACGTCGAGCAGACAATGTTAGTCCTGCCCACTTTTAACTCTTCAGATTCATTTACCTTTTACTTCACTAGACACTTGTCGACACTGTCATATTCCATCTTGATGTGTTAACAGGAGACGATGTCAGAGCAGAGTCAAAATCACCTTCTGGTGCGATTCTTGAAGGCTTTGATATAATTTCTGGTCCTTTGATAGAAGCATTCATGTTACCTACGCAGAACAAGACGATCATGCTACTGGACGAGTTCTTGCAGGTGGGTTTGACTTACACTTAACAATCATGGGCCATTCTGATGGTGCTACCATAGGTTCGCATTTACCCTGACACCCCGGAAGCCGAAGCAGAGTTTCAAGCTCTTGCCCCCTCCTTGCATTTCAGCCTCCGCACGGGAGGACCAGGACAGCGAAAAATTATGGGACATCAAACAATTTATAGCCCTGATCTATCTATGTACTATATGGCATACCCGACCTGGACTATTCCATTTCCCCCTGAAGAGGATGTCAAAGCGATTATACCCTCATCCCCTGGTCTCCTTGCTTCGTTTGGTCACGTTCTGGGCAACCGCACCACCTTGTACAAATACCTGAACCCACATCTGACGGCCGTCTTGACTTCCTCACTATCGAATTCCCCCCCTACTTGTTCCATCTACTTGCTAGACGGTGTTAGCGGCAGTATCGTGTATCACTCTTCCATCCCTGCTGCATCAGGAGTTTGTGATGTGAAGGCAACCCTGGCCGAGAATTGGCTCGTTTATCATTATTTCGACGATGAGCTTGCAGGATCTGGACAAAGTAAGGGGCATCGCATTGTCTCAGTCGAGTTGTATGAAGGCAATGACATCGATGAAAAAATCAAGAGGTATGGATACATCTGATATATAGGAGATGAGTGTACTGATATTTCTTATCGCCAGCTCCGACATTACTTCTTATTCGAACAAATCTGCCGAAGTAACTGCTTATGAGCGGTCGTTTGTCTTGCCCTATGGCCTCGCAGCTCTTACTACCACGACAACAAAATTCGGAATTACCACCAAAGATCTTATTGGTACGGTGTTTTATGTCTGCCAATCTTACCCATTCCTGACATTATGTCTTTCAGTGGCTAGTCGCAAAAACAACATCCAGTCTATACCTCGCCGCCTCTTGAATCCCCGAAGGCCAAGAAATAAACCCACAAACGAGGAAATGGAAGAGATGCTTGTTCAATACGACCCTCTTCTTCCAGATGATGCAAGGCTCATCGTATCTCACAACTATGAGGTCAGTTTTATAAACCATGTCATGAATGCATAAGACTTAGGCTGATGAACTGACTTCCAGGTTGCTAATGTCAACCGTATTGTGACTGCACCTTCCCTCTTGGAGTCCACGTCGCTGGTGTTCGTACACGGGCTGGACCTTTTCTTCACGAGGACTGCCCCATCAAATACGTTTGACGTATTGAGTGAAAATTTCAACAAAGTTCAGCTCGTTCTCACTATTGTGGGCTTGGCCACTGCAATTATTGTTACAAGGCCAATGATGCGTCGGAAGCGTCTAAGGGAACGATGGTATAGATAGCTTGTACTGTACCTTGAAGTATAGAAGAGAACCTGAAGGGTTGTAGACATTTGAAAATCCTTGCATACTACAAATCATTTCTACTTTGCGTGTGTTGTAAGTCTGTTGCATACTATTTTTTGTGACGGCGTGACTTCGGCATTTTCCTTCTGAACTTTTCATTTGACAAGGAGAACGAACGCGAAAATCATATCCAGTTGCGCCATGTCCTTTGTATCCATTCCAAAAATCGGTGCGAAAATATCATTTACCAGTCTGACACCCTGCATATTTTCGCGGAGTGTCTCCTCCTCTCCATACGGTCGCACACATGTTTACACCCGTCGTCCGAACAAGCTGCCCAACCCATTAGTTCCTCACTTCCCTCAGCGTGTCTACCGTGCTGATGGCTCGTCATTCACACACTGGACGACATCCCCGCGCTCACGCATTCGCCTTACACGTGATACGACGAACAATCCACTCTACCATGCGACGGCACGTCTAGCAGCGCAGGGTTTAGGCGGAATCGAGGAAGAGGAGGAAGAGGGTACCGGACGTATGGGACGGTTCAGAAGGCGTTTCGGGAGGGAGGTTAATGTGGGTGATTGGGCAGAGCTGCACGACGAAGCATCGACTGGGCAAACTTTGGAAACAATGAGCGCATCAGACAACGCCAAACGGAAACCAGCGAAAAAGTAAGGGGTGCGATGGGACTATTATTTGGTACGGAATCATTTACATCTGAATTGTCACGACATTGAGTAATACTACATCGTTTCAGGCTTTATATCAGTTTCCTCGTAGCTCAATTCTTGCTTTGCGTAATCATCGTTTCTCTCGTTCTCTCGCTCCCTTGGCATTTCCTGCGCACCCATTATTGACATCGGACCATTAGGGAAGACGTCTATGGTACATGCGCAATCTGAGCATTTCCGACGCGAACGGTAGGATGTTAAGGAGCTTTTGAGCTCTTGCCAGCACAAATCCCTAGTGGCATTGGAAGCTGTAGTGCCCCTTTCTTCGAAGACGCACGCTGAGTGGCCAAGTCTTACATGGTCACAATATTTATAAAGCCAGATATCAGTGAGACCCAATCAGGAAATCTTAGAGAGTCGTATCGACATTGCATTTATCGGGTATTGTGTGTCGGTTATAGGTATACGCCGACCGCTGATACCTGAACACTGCCTAACTGTCTAAGTTAGGATAGTACTATCCGGTGCTTCGAACATGCTATCAGTTGGTGCACGTAATGATAGGGTGAGTCGCAAGTCATATAGGTTTGAATCTCCAAAATTTCATTTGCCCACATTATGCCAGCGGTGTGAGTGTAGTCGGTAATCACTGATGTGACAAGGATGGAGAGATGTTTTCTTGATGCTCACTGTAGATGTGGACACTTGACTTATTTATGGTCGACATTGCAACTTGTGGTGCCGTAAGGCCCCTGTGCCGTCCTTCTCCATCATTTCTCATCCGCTAAGATTGACAAATACTTGGCGACATCTACTCTTGTCGCCAGCGACACTGCATGTATACACGATGGCCTACAACAGCGGAATACCACTGGCGTAAACGTAAACAGAACGGCAAGTGGGTAAGCAGTGTCGTGAGTGGCGTGCAGAGCGCTACTAGTCTTGGAAACCTTCAAATACATGCCATTAGACACCTCGTGTTTTTCCTCTCACTTCTACTTCAACTGTGCTCATTCTCCAGGTCCAGTGGTGATGTTGGACTCTGTTTCAGTCTCACAATTGCAGATGGTCAATGTGAGTGAATTTGATACTGCACTCTTAGATCATTCTGGGTTATTCATTATAATTTCTTGACAGTATGTGGAAGGTACGCCAGATGCATTCATTGCTTAATCATTTTGTCTAATCCTTCTCAAGTCTCCGCAACAGCCCTATTTGTATTCCATTTTTGCTTTCTTGCGCTTTTATTCAGTTTATTGACCCATTATGTTTTCTTATTGTAAAACAGATTTTCGAATACTTTCTCACCTTGGATGATGAGGTGATTCCTGCAGCCTCTTTTAATGCACCACAATTGACTTTTCCGGATAGATCAAATTTATCTGGGGAGCGCAGTGGGGAATTGCGAAGTCACTGTTCGTGCTGGCACGCTACATTCCTTTCCTGTCACTTCCACTCGCGATGTACTGTATGTGAAGGGCCCTTTAGTTACAAGTGGAAGATGCATAACTGACGACTTGTTCTGTCTTCATAGATTTCCTTGGTACGCATGTCGATCCCGATGTCAGTCAATTGCAGCCTATTCCTCTTGTAAATTCTTGACCATTCTGACGTGATATACATGTTAGGCTTGCAACCCGATTGTGGAGACAGTTACAAGTGAGATTGCTCCGTTTACACGGATATTAGACGAAATACTGAATTGAATCTACTTAGCTCTCTATGTTCTTGGCATTGTGTTCTCTGAATGTGAGAAGCGTTCGTCTGTCCTTCCTCCTCTCCCTCAAATCGTTGAATGTTACTCCGTAATGCATTTATCAGGTATATTTTCGTTACGTGTGTATGCCATCTGGAATCGAAGTAAATACATTGGCATACTCTTGATTGCCATCATTACTGTGAGGATCTATCTATTATCATGTTATGCCGCATCTGTTGATCGTGCCAATGCTGATAGGGGGGCATTGTATCTCTTGCTGTTATCCTTAGTCTATTTTTTCCCACTGCACATTGTACGTTTTTCTCCACTTGTCATTTTTACTAAGCTCACTGGAATGATGAAGTCGTTACACCCCCTCTACCAACAATCAGTGGCTGCTACAAAGTAACCGGTAGCAAGGTTATATTAGGTGCATTCGTAGTCATCATGGTGTCTGAAGCAGGTAAATCCTATCATTCTATAGAAGGTTGGCCGTGCTTATATTCTGCATTAGTGATATTGTTCCTCACGGCATATCGCGCACATCGACACATTGGGCCCATACAAAGTCCCCTGTTCATAAATCTCGTGCGCAGTGGCGTTTTCTACTGTTTAGTAATGTTCTGTACGTTCAGGTTTCCTATCCCATTCCCTTGAACTGAAAACGATGTCCTTTGAACTCGAACAGTGTTTTCGTTGTCGAATGTTCTTGTAATATTCATTCTTCCTGTAAGTCCCTTGGATTCTCAAACCTGTCAAGTGTCTGATTCAGTATGATTTACGCTTGTTCACAGTTGCAATATTCTCAGCTACTTGAAACGTAGGTGCTAAACGAACTCCTCGTCACGTCTCGCTGAATACTTGGCCAAAGGTTTCAAGCTGTCCTTCACGCGGTACTTGCCACACGCATGCAACTTCACCTAAGAAAGGTCGATAATATGTACCTCATGAGAACTTCCGTAACGGTGCCCCTATCATCGATATGCTATGTCACACGAGATTTGCCTGCAACGCCAATGTAATTCACTATCCGAATCTGTTGATGATCCGGTCCACGTTGGGATTGGTATTCCATAATAGCGATATCCTGTCGACTGCTTTGGAGTAATGTGTATGATCGTTGATATTATATGTACGTCCCAAGTTTTACCGTCAGGTTAATGGCGTTCTGATTAGGCGTTAAGCTCAGGCTTTTTTTGCACTCGTATTTTGGCTACTGCTGGTGCTCTGGCAGCTATACCATGGGGTTGGGTTGTACATATGGTACTTTTGAGGATAGAGTTGAGCTTAGTATATTTAATAGCTGTAGTGTGGTCATACAGGACTAATGATGTATTCGTTGTTTAATGAATTTCTGAGTCTTTGACGTATGACATACTAAGTTTGGATAGTTTGACGCCAACGCTTCCTCCCCGAGTCGCCGTCTTCCGAGCTATTCGGAGCATTTTCAAGTTATTCCAAGATTCTTCCACTTTCACACCCATGCGCATATACACAGACTAGAGCAGCCTGTTATGTACCATACACATGCGCCCTTATCTCCAGGTTCATATCGTCATCGAGGCCAAATTATTGTGTTATAAGTTGTGTTCAACGCAAGGTGTTTGATAGATCGTCATGGTGTCATCATCCTCGAATGGCTCGATTGAAACAGCCAGGGAGAAAATTTGGTTAATCACAGGTAAATCTTCCTCATAATTTAGATTTCCTCCAGCGAGAGATGTACTTTTTTTGAGCCAATTCTCATTTATGATGGGCAGGAACGTCCTCGGGTTTTGGTCGACGGCTGGTCGATATTGCCCTCGCTCGTGGTGACCGTGTAATTGCAACTGCACGCTCTCTCGACGCAATAAAGGACTTTCCTCAGTCTGATAAAGTCCGCTTACTGCGTCTTGATGTCACCGATGACTGTGACCACATTAAAACTGTGGTAGATGAAGCCGTAGCGACATGGGGACATATAGACGTTATAGTGAACAATGCGGGCATGGGCATCAATGGACTAATCGAGGAAGCAGGGTACCACAACAATTATGATTTTTGGGTGACAACACTGATCTCTAGCCCGTCTTTGTTTTTCTGATTTGTGCAGGTCAAAAGTGTTCAGAAGGGTGTTTGACACAAATTTCTTCGGCTTAATAGACGTTACGAATGCTGTGTTACCACACATGCGCGCTCGTAAATCAGGGGTTGTCGTCTTAATCGGTAGTCGATCTAGTTGGATGCCAGAGAATATGGTGGGTGGCAACGGCACTACTCGAAGTCTTTAAAATGCCCGCGATCTGACTTACACACTTCAAAGGGTTCAGGCAAGAAAACGACCAACATAGTCTTTGATACTGGTCGCTGATATTACTCGCAGCGTTGTATTGTGCCTCCAAGGCTGCTGTTCGCGGTAAGTAAGGTTACAATACACCTTCATCCGTGTCTGACCATAGTCTTAGCGTTCGGTGAGACGCTGTCAGCTGAAGTGGAGCAATTTGGTATCCGAGTACTCATAGTTGAACCGGGCGCTTTTCGCACTGAAGGGATACTCTCATATCCTTTCTACGAAGAACATTCTATCTCGAGCTATGATGATAGTCGCAACAGGAGCAAAGGTCGCCTTGGAGCAATACAGGGCAAGCAAAAGGGCGACCCAGTCAAGGCTATGGAGGTCCTTGTTGACGTTGTTAAGGGCGAAGGAATAGCTGCTGGAAAAGTTTGGCCGTTGTATTTACCCCTTGGCAGCGACGCGGATGAAGCCATACGGACGAAGTGCGATAAGATGGTAGGTGTATTGGATGAGTGGACAGATCTGGTTGGAGATTTGAACTTCGATGACTCAAATGTTAAGGCACTTGGGTAATAACATTATTTGTTTGCTATTCATCCGAATACTCTTTTAGCCCTTATCAACATCAACGAGAATGTGGTTGAAACACCTTCGGTATCATTTTCTTTATCATCCTATGGTGATGTTACTACTAAGGCAAGTTTTAATACGACCCTGGTAATTCTCTCAGCAAAGTGGTGGGTGTATAGACTTGGCTATTACTATCTTTCTGATTGCATCATTATGTAGCTCCCTTTTGTCCAAAAGCGGATATCAGAGAACCAGTGTTCCAATGAGTTTCATGTCATCTGGTACATTCATCAGCAAGTTCTTTGCCTGATGCCTCTGACGCACACCTCATCAAGCTTCACTGCACCATCAGTGAAATCCTCAGTGTCTAGTCCTTCTATGTTCTCTTCAAAACAAATATCCAAGGTAAGGTATTTTCATGTTATATATAGTTTTTCGACTACTAACGACGGCTATCGGGATGTCACAGCTCTATCTGGACCACTATCTAGTGCGTAGAGGACTCGAGAAGATAGCTGAGCAGGCGATTCATTTCTATGATGTATCTGATCGATGGTTCTTACGTTGAAAGGTCACCTGTAGTCGCATGAGACTCTTTGAGCGGTCCGCGGGACAACCTACTTGTCTCTTCCTCATAAATGAGGTAAGGACATACCTCTTACTGATATCGCTCTCCGTGAAGGAGACTACCAGAGGCTGAATTCCACCACCTACGACATAAATGGGGTTTAACCTGATGGATATTTGGAAATCGACCAATGCGCTGAACCCAATTTGAAATTGTTACTGTCAAACTCAGGCCTCAGGGCCGGCGATTAAGCTCGGACATTTGTCTGAAACTGTATGTCTGTGTGCCACGGACTAATCAAATGTCTTGTGTGTGGGGCGACTCGCAACGTTACTGCGAAGTGGTGCAGTATATAAGTAGTCAGATTGTCAACAAATTACTGTGGTTAGGACGGCAATATCCCCATCTCTCAGTAAGTCTGTTACTCTGCTCTTGGTAGGCTTCATACACTAACAAGTTTCTGTTACTAAGCGTCCTCATACACTGATATATCGATGGAAACTTATACTGCGTCGGCAACGCATCTATTAATTGACAATGTGAGCATGGGCCTCTCGTCATATGTTAAGCTAAGAAGGAAGTGAACCTTTTATTTATCAGTACTTTAGAGGTGTGCACACCTCGCTGTCATTTGTTTTATGTTTTCATATAGTTCTGGCAAGTTTCCGTAACCGCGATTTTCGTACGTCCAGATACCATATACTTTCCTAAACATGAAGCCTGATCATCTACGTTGGAGGCCTTCGAGTATTTATCCAATTTTGATGACGAAGTACATTCATGCAATTTTATTTGGAAACACTAGACTTATGTAATTGTATCCACAGATTGAACTCGGATGGAGGTCAAGGTGGGGCGCAGGAAAGGTGTTACTGTTGCTGGCACGTTATATCCCTTTCGTAATGCTCCCTACAAGCCTTTATGGTACGTGTATTTCGGTAAGAGAGTTGTTTTGAATATCTAACTGATGAATTAATTATTGAGGATAGCTTGTTCTTATTCTGACATCAATCCAAGTGTATGTTTCTTCTTCTGGTTTTAGATAGGAACTATGGATGAAACAATCATCATAGACCTGCCTATCGCTCTTTTATTTCGTCATAAGTAAGCTTGACACTACTTTTCTGAGTATAACACAAGTAAAATTCACTCAACCTCAACAGTATTGAATACTGCTATCATCCTGACTTCGGAATGTGTGGTCTAGGCTCATGCAGCTTTTTTTTCATATAATTAACTGTAATTGACTTTCGACTTCAGATACTTTCGGCCTCTGTATATATGCTATTTGGGTAGGGAATAAGGTGGTAACGTCATTGTCCATTTTCATTTATTCTGTGAGTGGGTCTACGTGGATCACTCTGAATAACAAAATATCTAACCTGTCGCCCGAGGCCTCTACCGTCTGTATTGTTATCATGGTAGGGCTTTACTTGCCCACAGTTACTTGTATGTCGTTGAACTGCCCATTAAACGCAATATTCACCTCTACCAGTTGCTCGGCCTCCTACACCCCTTATCTCAGGCTGTTACCAGACGGGCGGGGAGACATTTCTTGCTGGAAGCTTTGTGGCAATCATGATATCTGAAGCAGGCAAGCCTTTTCAACCACACGAGAGTATTATTTCTGAGCCCAACAACCATGCAGTCGTTCTGTCTCTCACATTGTACCGCGCATATCAACATTTGCAACCCAGTCAGAATCCTCTGTTTCTAAGTTTAGTTTACAATAGTGTTTTCTACAGTGTTATGGTATTTCGTGAGTCGGTCTTAATCTTATCCTTTGGATATTTATTGATGAAGTGGATCCAAAGTTTTTTCGACGATCAATGTCATCACTACTTTTCGTCTTACAATCACGGTACGTCTCTTTCCTCATGGAATGTGCATTCCTGTCCTTCACTATCCTATGCGCAGAATTCTGGAGTGTTGTACACGTGAGTTCTACCTTATTTTGTTTCAATCGTGACGTTCATTTTATTAACATATATTACATTGGCATTTAGCTATCAAACAATCATGCATGTCATATTTTCCGCGCGCATGCAGTTTCAGTTGAGGAAAATTAATCGCCGAAAGACAATGCCATTAGAGATGTCTTCTTCCACAGGAAATCCCGTTCAATAGCCACAGGTCTGTTCCTCTTGTTCCTGAAAGCATACACGAGCGGATCACAAAGTACTAGTTGCGCAACTCGCTTTCTTATTGCTTTGTGTGGGCGGTGTTAGTTCAGATAATATTTGATTTCGTTTCTTGATGCAGTGCCTGTGATGATCATGCTTTTATCCGGATATCGATGGCGCAGTGCTTGCTTGGCTCGTCATTCCCAATACCACACCATACTTGAAAGCTGGAGTGCGCTGTATCCGTGTCCCTCCCCCCACGGCCGATGATCATAAATAGCTTGAAGTACTGACAGGTTTTTGTCAGACTACAGTAGCTGTGATGCGTGGCTATTGACTTTATACCTGTCAAACTCAGTGTAGTACCCATCTGATGATGATGATGATGATGATGATATCTTCATGCGTGCGAGAATATCCTTTTGGTTTATAGAGTGTACAGTTTACCATATTCTGCAGATACTGAGTCCTTATAATCAGATAAATTGACTGACTCAGTGCCCTCGTCGCTAACCTACTCCCCTATGAAAGTATGTCGTCTCATTCTGTTGTTGTTGTCGCTGGTCGTCTCCAAACAGTTAGGGTGAGTATTTCAAGTTTGCTTATCTGTTGCACTTAATAGACGACCATTCTATGTTAATGCTTGAACCTAATGGGCTCCTTTCCTCCACGATAGTATGTCAACGGTACGTGACAGCAAGCATTCTGCTCTAGCATTACTGACGCTGAGGCCTTGGATCATATGTAGTGGTGTGCCTCACCATCTTGGTTAGTTTTAACACTCGTACATTTATTTCATGCTCTGAAACCATTCATATTCTAGGCCACAGATTACCTTCTAATGTTTGGTTCTGAGGTGGTGTCCCTTCCTAGACTTCGTCGTACTTTCAAAGTTAAACTGGTTTTTATTACTAGTACAATCACATCTGGGAATCAAAATGGAGTGCTATCAAAACCCTGTATCTTTTAGCCCGATATAGTGCATTCGTGGAGATGCCCTTGGTCATGATCCGTATGCATGTCTCGTCGTATCACATTTCCCCTTTCATAACTGATGTTCACCAGTCTATCACACCCCAAATATGCCCATCACTGTACGTGGAGACGAACTTTACCAAACTAGGGAATTATCATGATTTTTGTTCTTATCTGTATCTTGCAGAGATGTGCGTCCGTAAATCAGGCGGCTACATGTGCGTTGAACAAAACTATCAAACTCAACAAAACATTTATTACTTGTAGGGCTGACTGTTTTTGGCATTGCTATGGCGGAAGGTCTGTCTGATAGTCCACTATAATAGTGGAGGCTGATAGGTAGCAATGTGCCCGCAGTCATTCTCATCCTACGAACTTATGCCGTCTGGGGGCAAAACAAGAAGGTTTTGCTATTTATGGGCTTATTTTTCTGTGTACGTTGACATTCGTCTTTTGTTGTTGTGTTCCATGATAACAATGCTATAGGCAATTTTCTTCACAAATATCTCCGTATTGGTTGTGTTTCTAAAATACCTTCAATGTAAGTCCTTGTATCATAATACTTCATCGAGATTTCAACAGACGACCATTCATTTGAGTCGGCCCTCTCCCTTCACCCACAATCCCAGGATGCAACACTGTTAAGAGTAGCGACATCCTCGGCATTGTTTGGATACTTTTGATATTGCACGAAACAGGTACATTCTTAAATACTTCTAATTTATCTAGAGGCTGACATACTTGCAGTGATCTTATTCCTGACGCTATATCAGGGCTTAAAACACCTTCGTTACTGCAGGGGTCGTTTGTGGGTGACACTATTCACTGATGGGATTATCTATTACCTCTTATTTCTCGGTAAGTGCCTGGTGTAACTGGCCCTCTAACACGGCTGATTGTGCTGCGGTTACAGTGAATATGATAGCCAATGTCATTATATTATTTGGCCTTCCTGTAAGTTCTTGCCCCTAATTCTGGTGGTATCATGATCGTAACGCAATCCTTCTGCCAGGTCCAGTATAGCGATTTCTTGAATCCGTCAGTCAGAGCATCCTTACATCCATTGATACGAATGCGGACTAAAATCTACTTAAGTTTTCAAGGCGTTATACACAGCGTACTTTCCTGCCGAGTAATCCTCAACTTGCGGGCAGCAGGTTCTAGGCAGGATAGTTTGCTGGGAGAGACATCGCAATCATTGCAATTTGCTATGCAGCAACGTGCCGGAACCACCTCTTCCAGCAGTACATCTACGGTTGTACAAATTGCAAATTCTCGCAACATTGACGAAGAACATGGCGTTGATGACCAGACATGACATGATGGCAATATGATTCAACGATGGTATGACGGCATAACAAAGAAGATAAATATTTACTCTGCAATTATGCTGTATACTTATTTGGAATAAACTGTCAGCTCGACAGAACAACTTCTGTCATCGGATTCAGCTCAATGATTCCTTAGATCCTCCATGACAATCTATGGTATTGAATATGTCGTAAGGAACATGCCCTCCCCATGATCCCGAATTTCATTAGGCTAATCGAACAAAAGTAGTCATGTAGGTGATTCTATGCAGTTCCGGACGCGCTGCACCTCTTCAATGCCTAAATATCATCCCACTCGCCACCTGTCCGGTAATCTCATAATAGACTATTAATGTCATTTGTCCCCGGAGTCTCCTAGTAGCTGGAAATAGTGTCCCTAGTAGTCTCTACGTGCGAATCGTATTGACCGCGATGGTAGTGCCAAGGAGTCACACCGATTGCGAGCGACCTTCAGAAGATGAAGCTGCATACGGGTTACTAGTACAGTGTGCATCATAGCCTGGGGCCTACACATATTTGCTTCGTGTCAGCCAGTACAAAACTATAGGACTTTTGAGAAAAAGAAGCATACTGGCCCAGGATGTCATTATACGCTGCCTATTATTGTCAGGATGGATTAGTACAGTATCATGCCAGAAACGAAAGCCATGGGCATACGGGCACAACATTCAAGATCACCACGTTCAACAGAGAGAAAACTACGCACAATAAGCAAACTGAGTGGAAAATATTTTTTGAAAGATCGTTTTCTTACTAAGGATGCAAACACCATAGGCGAGACCGTCCGCGAACAATGCAGTTACCAAAGGACTAGATGTGCCTATGGAGTCATAGTAGTCAACTGCTTGATACGTGGCGAGACCTAGGATAACTTCATAGATAGGGACATAAGGACATGTTAGCCTACAAAACTTGACATTGATTTTAAAACTCTTACTTGTTTCGGATACTATGACAACAATGTAACAACCAAACAAGATGTTTTCACTGTGCCTTATATAACATCCAGTAATAGCAAGTGATGGAGGATGACCGACTAAATGCAAGTTATACGGTTCACAAAATCAGATGCAAACGTAGCTGTATACACACATGAGGTAGAACGCAAGTAAAAGGATACTATGATTAGAATTATGCAAACAGCAACCTAGACGAACATGTTCGTTAGCATTACATCCTGCTCAACAGGCGACCCACTCACTGCAGTAAAGGACGATAGCAGGAGGCGGATGCGCTTGTTATTCATGAAAACAGCATAGATACGCAACGACAGAAAAACTAGAAGAGTAAAGTTAGCATAACCAGGTACAAGGAGAAAATATGGTTTTTACTTTCCGCTGCAATCATCGAAAAAGAGTTCAAGACTGATGGGATAGGTAAGCGCACCGTGAGTAGCTTAATCAATACCAGCTGCTGAGTTAGCTGACCTATAAAGGATATATAGACTCCATGACATAGCTGGAAGGGAGTCGTATGTACAATGGTACGACTAAATTAATGATAGCTTACTTCGAGATTAATAACTGGGAATAAAGAGGCTAGAATGATAACTGTTACATTACAACTGAGCGAAATTCGCTAGAATAGCACATACCATACGATACCAGAGGAAGGGAGACAAACTGGATATAGCGCGAAAACAGGAACAGTGCTTTAACCGGCCTCATGGCAGATTTCCATATCAATTCAACCTTGTGAGGATATAAAACTTGGCGAGCGGCTGGAAATTAAAATACAGGGCGGCATACCTCGTATTGAAAGGTCAAAAAGTAGTCTAGGATCTTAACGAACAAAAGATATAAATGATCAATCCCATATGTTAGCTGATGATATTATGACTGACGAATATTGTTGTAGAAGCAACTAATTTCCAAAGTGAATATGGGCTGTCTTCCTTGCATAAGCACTGATGTACCCGCACCTTGAAAATACTGAGATGCTTAATCAGTACCTCCTATTGTGAGGGATGATGAAAACTTACTCTAACTAGTTGGTATGCTACCACTGTCTGCGTGTTCATGGCCATCAGTTAAAACAACACAGTGGTACGTTATTGTCTACCCGCTTATAAATAACAAGAATCACAACTAACTGGTGATGGTGCAGTGCTTTCTGGCCTTACATAGTGGCGTACGTTGAACGTGGTAAGTTAGTACAGTGATTGATTTCTCTGATACGTGGATTTGATAGTTACCGTAGATACTTGTCAGAGCAGTACCAGTAACTTCGGGACCCCCTGCACTATCTATCGTTGGTGCATGTAGTGTACTAGGTGACAGAAGCTATCGCGGTCTGCCAGTGTTACAATGGTGGCTATCTCCTGAATGCGGTGAATCCCTATGTCCGGGAAATGTCACTTATCGATGGTTGTAAAGCTATGAGTCTAGGGTGAACGAACCGGCGTAATGAATCTCCGGGTTGAAACACTTCGCGAGCTATAGAGTTGACGCTGTGATGGCCACCGATGCCGCGCGCTCGATAATACAGTAGAAAAATGGCCTTGAAATACGCCTATAAGTCTGGGTGTGACACTGCCCAATGCCAGGTCGGATTGGAAAGTGGATAGTTCCATTGACTTCGTCGTCGTCGGCATTGAGGTTACATGGTGCGAAGGACATATGCTGCTTTCGAGGTCTTGTATCTTATCCACGACATCCTTTATCCAGAAAGAAAGGTGATAAGCAAAGTAATGTAAAGATACAAGGACAAGTGCGAAAGTAAAGTTAAAGGCATAATTGAAGTTTCGAAGGGCGCGTTGGTGGTGTCCCGAGCCGACAGAGCACGTGCCGCCCGCCAGACCGCCAAGTGCCGAGCTGGTACTGACTTAAAAGACCTGGCAATTGTATAGGTCGGATCAAACGACACCGACCCCGTTACAGTGCTCCCTAAAAGCCGTAACTCATCACCGCCTTGACCTAAAGAAACATGCAGCGCTGGAGTCACTCTTTCATATAGTAAACAGGTCTTTTCTATCTCGCTTCCTCCTTTATCGTCCTCCGCACAATGGTAGGTCGTCAAGGATCCTCTGTTGCGGTACCCCGGTTGGGCGGTAAAGCTGCAGTAGCATTATTTGCTGTCGTTCTTTTCGCCTTTGTCATAGAGACACAGCTAACCCAGGTGTGTAGTTTTCCAAACCTTGCCATCATCTCAGTGGTTGAGTATCCGAATACAGTATGTGCAATCTACCTTGGGGTTTAGACAACCTTATTTCATCTTGTAAGAGAAGCCCGCTCGTTAAATCCTACCATCCATCTGATCAAAATTGCACAGCTACATCGTCCATTCAGCATTCTTGCTGTCCTTTCCTATCCATTATCTATATCTACTATCCGCCACCAAATATACCCACCGCGCACTCGTATCCGGTCTCTCCACCGCAATTAGTCGTCAGCTATCTAACAAGTTGGATGTCCCACATACGCATCAACCGTCGATATTTCCGACCTTAAGATTTGTAGTGCTCGCCATAATCTTGACAGCAGGATATAGCGTTCCAGGACTTCTCTGGTTCGCCGCTATCTCGCTCGCTCCGTAAGTTTATTTTCTTCATATCTCGTTATTCTCCTTATTGAAAGTCTGTGAAGTGTGACTGATGTTACTGCAATCTGGAATGCAAATGCCTTTTTTGCATATCTCCTTTCCGTCAAACTCCTTAATCTTAAGTGGGATGTGCGTCGTTTAGGCGCCGTCTTCCTTGCTACTTTAGGTGTTTTGGCTGTCGTATACGGCGGAAGCACATCTTCGACGCATGATTCTGTCGCTGAGGAAGCATCTGTCCAATCACCTTCTCAGCAACCGTCGTCTCCATTCATCGGAGATATGCTGACACTCGTGGCATCATTTGCTTACGGACTCTACCAAGTATTGTACAAGAAATTCGCCGCTCTTCCTTCCGATCCAGAACTAGCATCGGACACGTCGTTCTACGAGTACCTCTCAGATTCCGAATCGAGTCTTGTAGAAGAAGGTGATGAGCCCGTTATATCAGCCGATGACGAGATCGCGTATCCCCCTCCTTTTGGGCTTCATCCAAACCTGCTCACAGGGACGATCGGTCTATTCACGCTTCTCACTCTATGGATACCGATTCCACTCCTTCATTATTATGATATCGAAAAGTTCGCCCTCCCTGCCAATCTTCGTACCACCGGGGTCATCGCGGGGATCGCCTCCAGTGGTGTTGTATTCAACTCAGGATTTATGGTAAGAAACCTTGGCCTATTAACCTTTATAATACCCTTATAAATTCTAAATTCTACTATAACAGATCTTGTTAGGCGTTTGGGGACCGATAGTGACCTCTGTCGGAAACCTATTAACTATAGTGCTCATCCTTCTATCAGATGTAATCTTCGGCTTTGCTGCTATAACGCCGTGGAGTTTGGCTGGCGCTGGTACGATAGTTGCGGCTTTTGCAGTGTTGGTATATACGATGTATGAGAGATAATAGCTATGTCACACAGTTGCAATGTCCCTTTTGATCCTATATCATCACTGAAGATACATACAAATGCAAGAATCTACTGTACAAATGATATTGATCTGCTCTCTTCAACTGTGTTCTACTCTTCCCTATGTACACAGAACTGGACAATGTACAGAGGGCTGTTACTAGAACATCGTGACGCGTGTGGCACTCTCCGATTGCAGGCTAATAAGCTGGTGTGATACGCAGCGTCAGCAATCATCATGGACAAAGCGGATAGATGTGAGTTTTGTTGCGTCAGTCGCAGAGTCAGGATTGCGAGCGTCCCTGTCAATTTCGAGAAGATGGAGTTGCATGCGCGTCGCTAGGATTGTGTGTGTGATGGCCTGGAACCTATTCAGAGAGTTTTATAATACGCTATCAATGAGACTTCACATGATAAGGACAGAAAACCGAGGAATTTACGTGGCGAGAAGGTTACTGTATTCTGCCTAACCGCTATTCAGCGTACTACGCACAAGATCAGCACCAGCTAAAATAGGCTCACCGGAACAGTGTACAACAGCAATACGTTTGTCAAAGAAAAGACTGTATGGAAATTTAATTATCGACGAATACACACTAGTTGACGGGCCAAGAAGGGGGACCGATGGCTTACAAAACATGCAGGCACAGTAGAAGAGACCATCCGCGAAAAGCACCTTTACGAGTGGATTGGATATATATGCAGAGTTAAAGTAACTCCTTGCTCTGTAACCCATAAGGGATAGATGGACTATTGTACGTGAGACAACAGGTCATCATGGATGGAGATGAAGGAACCTCACTTGTTTCCGTGGCCATGACAACCACATAACTCCCTGATATAATTTTTCCATCGCCCGTTAGCTGACATCCAATACTCAGCGAGGAAGGCTTTATGACTGTTAACGCCGCGTATAGATCAATAATCGACATCAGTGACTGCAATTTCACTTGTATGATATACAAGATACGCATACATGATATTGAACGCATGTAGAAAGCCACGATGAGCGTTACAGATGTGATTGCAATCTGTCAATATGAAGACACTTTTTAGGGTAGATAGTTGTGTAAGAGGACGTCACATACCGTTGCGCACGATGCTAGTAGTATACAAACACCTCTCTTACCCATCCAGATGGCATAGATGCGCAACCCAAGGAATACTAGATATATCAAAAATGAGCTATGCTATAACCCAAAGTAGTGGTTCCATCCACATTCTGCGATTGTAATCGACAAAGCATCCAATACTGTGAAGATGTTGGACCACGAACATATCAGTCACAGACATTATATGAAACCAAGCGGCGACGAACCAATAGATGAGTAGAAAACCGCAGGGCATAGCTGAAACGTGTGATTAGCTGCAGAATTGAAGCCGGGATGATGACATACTCCTGGATTGATGTTAGGTGCCAACGACGCTATACAAAAAGCTGAACTACCCCATTTACATAATTGTGAACATGTTCTTACCATACAAACTCAGAGGAATGGATACAAAAGGTATGTAACGAGCGACAAAGAACATCACTTTCGTTAAACCAAGACTAGATTTCCAAATCAAGTTGACCTTCAACGTTGTGATGAAGAATGAGTAAAATGCACTTCAATTATGAGTGCATTGATATTTACTTCGTCCACGAAGGTTATGAAATAGTCCAGCGCCTTAAATGCAAGAAATGTTCGTGGACATAAAATTTTGGGAAGCAAAGAGCACTTACAAAAATGGTCGCAATAGAAACTAGCGGAGATGCGTAGTATAAGCCTTTCATTTGACTACTTTCGTGCTATGACAGCTTACCTTGAAAAAACTACAGTGGGCCGATCAGTATGAAAGCATTGTTGAAGCCAATTTTAGGGACGAATAAAGACTCACATTGACCAATTGGCCTTCAGCTAAGTATACATCTTCAGGTTGTGTAGCGAAATCGATTGGCAGGAACATGTGAGGCTTCAGTGGTATCACGAGTATACTGCTCAACCACCTGGACCTACACTTAAGCTACGGGAGGCAATGACAATGGCGATTGGCTCATTACCAACTGGCCAATCACATTGTTACCATCACACAGCAACTAGAGCGTATGTAATTCGAGTCCGAGGGAGAGGCAGATGCGCAGGGTGGCATATATCAAACGCAAGTGTCTGATGGGCCACCGATCCTGCTGCTTTGAGGATCAAGGTCACTGGGAGATTCGGCAGTCCCTCCGTTAAAAGCGTCGGATGGATATGAGCAGTCACATCCTTGGTCTGTGTATCTGGAAGTTCTGGTCCCACAGCAACACCTATCGAACACGTATATGCTGACAGTTACTGTTCTCATGTGGAGGGAGCGCCTGTAGCCAATAAATGATCGGAATGGAAGATCGATGCGGCTGTAACAAAAACCAGACATCAGTATTGATTTAAGCCTTTGGCTGTGGTGCTGCGGTGGTAATGGTATGACAGGATAAAAGGCATAGTCGGATCATTTAAAAGGACTCATCCACGGCGAGTTGTTGAATATTGAGGCTTTCAGTGATTTCATCGTTTATTTTATCGTCCAGTTATCACTTGAGCCGTGTAAATTAAGAGAGAACGGTTCTGTTGGTGTCATGATATGATATGGGTCCGAGAGGCAGTGCCGCTGTGTAAATACCTGATACTAGGTCACGTGTTTTACTCGTCACCATACCCTCAACTACAACTTTCAAAGTTGGTAAAACATGGCTCGTGCTCACCGTGTTGCGCTCGCGTCTACATTCCTTATTACTCTCTATATTCTCGCATTGTATACTATTCTTCCAGTCCCACTAGTCGATGCAGAAGTCGCCAAAGATGTTCTACCGCTGGTCAGTACACCACCTTGCTGATGCATCGCTCCGTTTCAATCCAGTTCGTCGTACTACTTTTGCTGATCTACATGAAACCATAGATTCCATGGTGGCTGTTGGTTTCCTTTGGTTCATACTCGCTATGGAGCCTTGGCTGGGGCTTGTTCACATTCAGAGATTGTCCAGAGGCATATGAGGAGCTGCTTAAGGTGAGTTGGTTGCCGGCATTTACTCGGTCTTTACACACGATTATCTTTCCTTGGGGTCGGTCATATCCTTATTAGTGGTTATGAATGTATGTTTGCACTGCAAAGGCAATGCTAAGGAACATAACTTGCTCTTCTTATTTGCCACTCGTCCGTCAATCATTGGGCTCATTCCTCTCACTCTTTCTAGGAAATAAATGAGGCCAAAAACGACTTGCGTACGAAGGGAGTTACTGTCGATTGATGTCTTGCAGTCATAATGTTATCATATCATCACTCCAAAACACTAGCCTGGCAGAAGTGGTGCATGTGTGTCAAGTGAAGCTCGGAGAAAAGTCATACAAGGTGTTTCATCGGACACTGGAAGTCTAGGCTAGGAGATGCATCACTTGCGCATTGCATTAATCTAGTATACATCGACATCAAAGCCTCATCGACTGGTTTGAGCCATATAGAAAACATATACAAAATGCAAGACGGGGATTACACTGACTACTTGACTAAGATGAGCTATACACTACAACAGAATAATACACAATTACGTGCTTCTACAATTTTACCAATTCATCGAACGTCTGATTGTCCAATGAATCTATGATATTTCGAGGGATGCAAGCTTCGCTGCTGTCTCCTTCGTCTCCTGCTCCCACATCTTCCGCATCTTTGGATGCTTCGCGAAATATTCACGACAGTCATGGCATCGGATGAAATAGGCTGAAGACGTTTCACCATAGCCAAGCAACAGACTAGACACGAATGATGATGAGGAACGAATGTCAATTTAGGAATCCTGGGGTACTTACAACTCAGGAAGAACGTCCCCAACAACATCAAGTTCCCCGTTGGGGAGACAGTCTTCACAGAAGGCTTGTGGGCAAGTTTGACATCTGAAGCAGAGCGTTGAACACTGGAACGACTTCCCCCCATTTTTAAACTTACCTAAACAACATCCCACCAGCCTGCTGCGTATTCCGATCGCAAGTCGCACAAGAGTGCTGACTGCATGGCAGAGATAGCGAGCGCTGCACTTGTTGACGGCTCACGCCATGGCATTTAGCATGGAATACTGCACAAAAAGGTTCGAGTTCAATACACATCTCGGACCCAGCAAACAGTGGATCTTACCCCGAGGGCAAGATGTACATAGGACGAGCTCGCCACCGTCTCGACAGTAAATGCACCAGTCTTCCCAATCATATTTCTTCCTCTGGCGTTTGGGCGCTACGGTGGTGACCTCCGACGGATCACTCTGCAACATCTGTTAGCGAAGAAACTATGTATCATCAATACAGCACTCACGTCTTGGCCAAGATGTTCTGCGATGACTGGTATACCATCAATAATGACCGTGCGATCAATATGTGCACGTTTCTGTAGCTCTCGCCATTCTTGCGCAATCTGAAAATTATCCTGGGTCCGGTGAATCACCTTCCCTTCAAATAATCTACTCTGGACCTGAGCAATGCCACTCAGCAACCGCCGCTCCTCTTCTTCAGCATCGTGGAGGAGCATTTCATCTACTTCCTGCTTCACGGATCCTATTTCTTGCTTTATCTTAGCGTCTCGTGCTCCCTCACGAGTTCGCGAAGCGTTCAGAATATCGCCAATAGGTGAACTCAAGAATCGCCCAAGATCCATAGCTTCATCCGACCTTGATAGAGCGCTACTACCTTTTCGGAGTATATCCATAAGCTCAGATGTGCCAAGTTGCGTATTGTCCTCGTTGCTAGAAGTTTCGGAAGAGCTCATAATTTTGATCGATAGGAAGAGTTTTCGACGAATACGATCAAGCATCTGATCTTCAACACTTCCCTGGCAAATCAGTCTATAAACCTGATGAGTCGCAATGGTCAACCATTATGAAACTCGAGGACATTCTACCAAAGACGTACTTGGACAACTTTGGTTTGTCCTATGCGGTGGGCCCTGGCGATAGCTTGGAGATCATTCTATAAATCAATCAGCATATATAGTTCTCCAGGCACTATACTTACTTGGGGATTCCAATCAGAGTCGCACATGATCACAGTCGATGCTTTCGTTAAATTGATGCCTAAGGGAATAAATTTTAATAAGGTACAGAAGTGCAAGTTCAAGGGAGGTATACCCAAGCCCCCAGCTTTAGTCGAAATAAGGAAAACCTGATAAGCTGTGGATATTATTATAATTTCATTAGCTCGGTGGGGTGGGAGTCAAGGCCAACTTACGAGACTTTTCTTGTTGAAACTGCAAGAAATTTGATTAGTGCCTAAAACTTTCCCACAGCAACGACCAACTCACCAGTTTGATGTTCAGCGCACGACGAGGACGATTGGTTTCACCATCAAGCCGCGCATATGGTATAGCTCGCAAAGCTAGAAAGTCTTCCAGAGTATCGAGCATGCTAAAAAGAAAAAGAAAAACAGTAAACATAAATTATTTCAAACCTAGTCTCTTAGCTTGCCTTGTCCATTGCTATTGATAGAATGCTTCAAATCAATTTTCTCAGAATTGACACTAGAAAAATCACGTACCGTGAAAATCAAGACACGCTCGCCTTTCGGCAGAACATCGGCGAGTATCTTGTCGATTACGATTAATTTTGAGGATGAAGCTACAATATGTTCGCCAATCTGGTAGGGAGAGGGAGAGGCGTCTTTTAAGAGATATGGGCTTTGAAAAATTGTCAGCGATGAGGGAAGACCACTTGGTCAAGTTAAACGTACTGATCGCAGACTTTTCGCAGTTGCATCAGCAGGTTCATTAACTTCCGCCATTCTACCAATGATATAAGCCATGTGCCACAAAATAATATGAAGGTCATCTTACGGTTAGCCTCGCCACTACTGCTTCGGTTGATTTGGGATGCTATATGAGACAGAACTTCGCGTCGTCCATCATCCAAAGGACCATCTTCAAGCTTTGAGATGAATATTTGTTTTAAATCTAGGGTATCCATCCGTGTGAGTAATCTATATGTCCAGAATCGTTGCGCCTCGGTCATTGGGATGAACACAGTAAGCTCTTCGCGTGGAGGTACGTTAATGTCTACGTTGGCTTTCGTCCTTCTAATCATAATTACTGCTAGAAGTTCCTGAGCGGCTTTCAGAAAAGGGATGGAATATGATCCACGGGAGAGATCAAAGGACTCTTTAAACCGGCGTTCAGAGGGCGCTGTGAATACCGTAGGGTACAACCAATGAAGAAGACCCCACAACTCAACGAGGTTGTTCTGCACAGGCGTGCCGGTTAAGACTGACAGAATATAACAACGTTAAAATTTAATGAGATGGTCGATGTCAGAAAAAACTACTCACTCAGTCGATGAAGCGCTCCAATACCCTGCACCTTGCTTGCGAGATTCGTATCTGAATTCTTGATCCTGTGTCCTTCGTCTAATACGCAATACATCCACCTCCGGCTCTTGAACCACGAGTCCTCAGCCACAAATGCCTCGTAGGTCGTGATGCATAGATCAAATGGTATCTCGACTCCTCGCATGCTATTCTTCAAACGATCGCGCTCCGACTGAGTTCCGTGAAACCGCAGAGTCCGTAGGGATGGGAGCCACCGTGCCACTTCCTGGGTATCAATTCCAGTCAATCTCTTGAACTAGATAGGGTAGCGTATACTCACATTTTGCCATGATGAAAGCACGGATAGAGGACAAATGATCAAATGTGGATCTTGTTTTCCTATAAATTGATTAAGGAAATCGAATATGCTAAATCGCGAAACAATAATACCCTTCGTGTTTTCCCTCACATGTGCAAAAAGAGAAAGAGTCTGGCATTACTTATTAGCTCTAATGCTTTTCATATAAGATTTTTGATAATCACCTGCAGCGTTTTTCCTAGACCCATTTCTAGATAAAACGTGAATAGAGAGTACGTATATTATGAGCAAATCACTGACCATCTCCAAGGATGCAATTCATGCCTGTACTGCATCAATAGACTAATTAATGAAGCAAAAAAAACACTCGCACCATTGTTATGCATATATACCAGAAAAGCAAGACCTTGAAGCTTGCGGAGAGTTCATCGGTATCAATGCATCAATGCATGGTACGAAAGGACTCACCTGATATTCCTTCATCGTACCTCCTTGTATCAACTTCGGTTGCTCATCGAGAGCATGGAATGGAATATATGATGCCTTTTCCCCAGATTCCTCGATCTCATTTTTCAGATTATCGAAGAATGTTGAAGCAGGCAAAAGAGGCAAGAACAGATCCCTATGCCGGTGAAGCCAACGCCGCCTAGCAGCATCTAGTTGGATTCTTTTTGCGATTATGACGATGGTGTTCTGAAGAGACCAAGAAACGTGAAATACTGTAGACGATGAGAGTGAGGTTTTGCACAAACCGCCTTCTTATTATCCATCTTCTGTTTTTTCCTTCCTCCGTCGTTTTCGATGACCGATATTGAGATTGCTCTCGCGCGCTTGTTATGATTTGTCTGGGTATACGATACGAGGCCCATAGAGCGACGCGCTCGAATAGTTGCCTTGCCATCATCGTTTGATTTCAGTAAGTCAGGCGACGGGTCTGCTACCCTAGTGGGTGTACTGGCTGTTGTGGCGGAGATGAGGTCGAGTTCGTCGTCTTGTGTGAGGTCAATTGTACTCTTTGCCTGAATATCTAACGCTCTATCCTGCGATATGTTGGTTTTAATGTGGATCATAGGTGCCATGTTATTGGGAATATAGGATGTGCGAATGAGCCCTAACTGTTATTCGTTGTAGAGGGGTTTCAGACAGTAAATTTACGCGCTGAATTAGGGCCGGCTGATTCGCGATTTTCCTAAAAGGGTATTTGCTGGTAATGTCCATTTGTCCAGTTTCGATCATGTCCTATTGCAATGATGTAGAAGTTCTAACGTCTGTTCATTTTCTATCTAGCTCTCACTTAAACAACCTATAAAAGTCATTTCTCGTTATGATATCTACTTCCATCCAAGAAGAAAGCTATTCATAATTGTTTACCCTCGTCATGCTATCCAGACATCTGCAGTACCTGCCCCAAGCGCTAATAAGGATTCCCTGAGGCTATCAGGTCAAATGGCCGCGACAGAGGACCACTCTTGAACAAATTGGGTTTGGGGGCTCATCCACGTTGCAGCTATGCCCTAGCCAAATGCCGGCGGTATTCGAGCAACCTCAATAACACTGGTGAAGTCGAAGCTTTGGGATAATGTCGGGAGTGTCAACTTCCTCTTCGTCCGATACATTGGGTAAAGTCGGAAAGTCGTGAAGACCTGCCAGAAATGCGCCATCAAACCAGGACCATCTTGGCGAGCTGATGAAGTTGCACTATGCACAACAAGTCTGTCTCTATTTCAGTCGATATCAATCATTCAAGGGAAAGCGCGCACTTACTTCTTTGCCAGGATCATCAAGCCATACTAGCCAATTCCAACTCGACAAGAGATCTAGTAGATGCTATTCCCGTCTCGCTGAAATGGACAGTCTGCGACTGTCGAACCGGGGCAAATTGCAGAGACTCCATAGGCATGACCGTCGGGTTATCTCGGACTTTATTAGCAGCGCGCAAGTGAAGAATAACGCGACATGACAATACGCTATGCAAGATACTTTGAAGCCTTTTTATTCGTGATCAAAAATAACCGTTTTAGCATTGATTACAATATCATATAAACATGGGACATACGGGTTGAGGCAAGTAGCGAGGTCCACCTGACAGGGAAGTACCTGCGTTCAGAACATGAAATTTCAACTACAAAGAGCTTGGCAGCTTACAGGAAGCCGGAATAGTAAAATCACGGCCACAATCGTACTGACTACATCGCCGGGGAGTCAAGATCAACATACCCACACGACACAAAGAGATAATCTCTTACTGGAAATAAGGAAGTAATATATTATGCCCTCCCTGAACAGCGTAATCCACAACGGTGACCTCACATGACGGAAGTGTTTCAAACCTCGATAAGTGGTCAACCCTGCTATAACTTGGAAAACGTCAGCTGGGGACTTCTGGTGACGATGCAGTAAATACCTGTTTCGTGGAGATATACAAGTATGAAATCGATTCCCATGATATCATTGTTCTCTTGTACCGGGAGGCACGCTATGATACCAGGCACAGGAGGTTTTCCATCTTCATATCGATTTGTGAATATGATCATAGCGGAGAGAAACAGTAGTACTGACATCGAATAGTCTTTATGTAATCACCCATGCTGGATACAATAGCTACTATGATGATCTGATAAGGAATAATTAGCGATTTGAACGAAGCCAGAACACCTGATGATTTGCAAACCAAAGAGAAGGTGGATAAACCGAATAGGAACCTTCTGCTTGGACCCCAGACGGCATAAGTGCGAAGGATGATAATAACTGGATCGTCAAACTTTAGGACTCTTCAACACACATTATCTGATTGATGTTTACATTGAGCCATACTGATAGCACAAGCACCTAAAGCTGTGGAATATTAAGCAGAAATTAATCAAAAAAACTCTTATCGAGAACTCACCGGTCACTGCCCAACAAAATGATATACAAGACTACCAGGATGAGAAAAATAAGTAGTTAAATAGTTGAACGCAAAGGAAACATGGAATACCAACGTCGTATTGCATCTCGGCGTCATTATATACTGTGGAGAGAGTAAGAGGGAATATATGTAAGTTTAAATTGCGAACAGCGCACAGCACATTGTTAAAAGCATCTCCGCAAAGGCAATATAGCGAGAGAAGAGGAAGAGCACCTTGGCGGCGCCCCATTTTGACTTCCAGATGAGTTCGTACTGCACAACCATAGCCAATACAGGGGATCCATAAGGGTAAAATCACAAGTCCACATAAAGACCGCGACATACCTCCTCAGAAAATGTGTCGATATAATTGATGATCTGATAGCACGATATTAGTCCGATATATCATCTAGAATGGAAGTCACATCGGAAGAAAACACTGACAAGGATGACTAGGGAAGCAGCTGCGGTGTATAGGTTGACTAACTGGACACGAACAATGATTTTCTAATATATATACTCACCAATAACATACTACGAAACCGAAGGAGATAACAAGTAAATCGAAATAAGCTTGCCCACAACGTAAGTCTAGATGCATACCTTGCTTGTTTGAAGACGAGAAACAAAGGCGGGAATATCATCGAATGACATTTCCGACGCACAATTTGCCCCAATGGCCTACTATGGGAGGCTTCTTGTCGAGGCGTGGATGCGAACATGAATAACTCGAGTGTGAACGCACTTATATACATAATCTACCCGCTGCCGGACTGGGGAAACTTGCATAGCATCGCAACAAGGTGTAAAGGAAGTTGGAAGGAAGGAGATGACTGATGTGATCAGTCTTACAGTCGAAAACCACGATGCGCTGCGCTTGCATTGCAGTACCTTACATTGAATGGAGATTCTATTGAACAAAGCAACCACGTTTTAGGAACACGGCAGATTGCGCGCGGGAGAAAGCACGAACCCACACGACTCACGAGGGGCTTAAGCGGACAGTTCATCAAACCTTCCAAAGAAAGCAAACTATTGAATGGAAGCGTTGTCTGTGCACTCATAAATAACTTCATCGCCATCATGGGACTGCGATTATGATAGGCGTAGTATCATTTCCATCACCAAAAATTGGTGCTGTACCTCTTTCAATCAGAGGGAAGTACTCAGCGACGGCAAAGACAAGTAGCTGCATCGTAGTAAGTTTAAAGATCAGCGGCCATCATCGGATTCAATCAAAACTTGTACACAACGGGCTAAGCTTGAGTAGTAGTGTAGAGCATTAACTCGACTGAAACGCGTATTTGGAGAAGGACGTCGTGCGAGCGAATCGCAGAGAGCTGTCTGAGCAGTGTCGACAATGATGGTGTTGGCTTTGAAGCTTCCTCTCGGCTGGACTTTGGGTGCCGGCTTGTTCCTACTCCACCAGGCTTCGCCGCCGAACCGAGTCCATTATTGTCCTTTTCTGAAATACTGCTACGACTCGGACTGCTTCTTTGATACTCTAGTGCCACGGCTTCCTTTCTCACGTCGGGGAATCAGGGCGAAGGCTACGTTGGCGAGTTGATATAATCACATTCATCTGGCAAGTCTTTGCCTCTCAGGCTCTCATCAAGAATCATGTGATACGAGATTGCGCTGTGTATGTACAGCTTGAAGTCTTAGAGTCTGTCGGCTGTATACTGAGTATTTTCAGCTCAACATTGCCGTAGGGTCGAATTTCCATCTAACAAGAGGGTGGCTACATTCAGGATATGCCTACCAGAGCGGATCACCAATGCAACTCACATCAAAATGGAATAATAATGTAGGGGCTCAATCAAACGTGGAATAAACCAGCATAAGTATTGCGGGCTCCAAGCCCTATACATTTGATACACAGGACACAAGGTCCCACGTTGATAACGACGACTTCAGAAAAGCGAACTCGTGCCTGGATGGCACAGTTAATCATCCATTCGAATAAAAAGAGGCTTGCACACTGATGCTGATGTGGCAATGTACCTGTATCATCAATCGGCGCTGTCGTGAAGAAGAGCTATGTACTTACATATGCAGGGATCCATTGGGGCACGTTCATTCCTCCACCATCGCAGGATCTGCGTACATTCCCATCGCACTGAAACAAGTGCTTTGTGCGTGAACAGTGGCAAAACGCAGTGTTTCCAGCTGCATAATTGTGGAATTCACTTCCCCTAGCGTCTGAAGCACGCAAGTGAAGAAGTAGGCGGCACAGGAGCACACTGTGAATAACACTCGGAAGCCTTGATATGGTCAACTTCAGTAATTTCAGCTTTCGACACAATGACAACAACGTACGAAATGAGGGAAATACCGCCATCCTCCTACGAACAAAATCATTGCTTTCAATACACAGTCGACCAGAGAAGATTTGCACCTACAGGACATTGAAACAGTAAAAAAATGGTTGTGATCGTGCCGACTATGATAGGACAATTAGATTATCACACCCACATGACCAGAAAGAGAGAATAAATTTACCAACGACGAAGTAGTAGTATATGACAGCCTCCATAAATACAGTAACCCAGTGTCGAACTGAGATGACGGAAGTGCTTCAAGCCTCGATAGGCAATCAACCCTGCAATCACTGTAGAGCATATCAGCCGTAAGATTCCACAGACATGCTACGTATTTACTTGTTTCGTGAAGCAGTATCAGTATGAAATAAATACCTACGATTTCGCTGCTCCTTTTCATCGGTAAACATGCTATGATGCTAGGCACGGGAGGACTGTCATTCAGGTAGTGAGAACTTATGATGATGCTTATGATAATGTTTAGAAGGAACGTTTAAACTGACATCAAATAGTCTTTGTATACTCAACTATGCTGGCGATAAGACCTAAGGAGATGACTTGACAAGAATTTTCTTAGTGACAAAGGGCAGAATGATAGGGATTCAGCGAACCGTAGAGAAAGAGCATAAACCCAACAATATATATTTCCTGGGGCCCCAAACAGTGTAAGTGTGCAGTATGAGAATAATTAATTGCCAAAATCAGCTTTGTCCAACAGCCATATGGGATAATAAATGTTACATTGAGCAGCGATGATGCCACAGGCTCCCGAAGCTATGAAAAGCCGACAGTCAGACGAATCTAAGAGTAGCAAAATTCCTGAGCTTACCAGCCACTGCCCAACAGAGGGACACGCATAACTACAGAGCGAAGCTAAGAAAGGTGATTATGTGCACTAGGTAACACAAGTTCGAAGATGGAATGTTGAAGAATACCGTGGGGGGTTTGTTGTTACGATTACAACTAGAGCCACAGCATATAGTAGTCATGTAACAGGAGTGTGCACCTTTCATAAGTCCTCGCTTGAATGATGACACGATTTCAGCCCATTGAATGATAGTAATGATAGCTGTGTCTGTCGCTCACATGCTGGTGTATATTGTCCGTCCTGGTAATTTGATACAGTATAGCCATTAGAGGCAAAGTTACCCTATCAATAGTTGATCGTATAAGTAGTAGTGCCACATACTACTGTCTATAAGGGTCCATTAAGACATCGCCCATTCCTCTATGGCGGCAGATCTCGGATCTGCCATCTCACTGAATTGAGCACTGTGAACATGGGAAGGTACGGCGACATGCAGAGAATCCAATGATAGACCTGTCGGCTCTTTCACCCTCGCGTCTACAGCCCGCAAATGAAGGACCACACGGCATGACAGTATACTGTGTAAAATAGCTTGAAGTCTGTCGGTAATCAATTTTAGCCACCCTAGCCCCTGAAAGGATGAAAATGTTTAACACACGGGACAATGCTAGCGCTGACTTCAACCTGACAGGGAAGTGCCCGTTATCAGACACAACGAGTGAGATCACAGTCAATTCGACTTACAGGATGCAGGAATAGGAGAATGACGCAGCAAATTGTGCTAGCTATAGTTATGTCGGATTAACATATTATAATATTAGGCCAGGCCAATTACAACTCACCCATTACAAGGAAATAGTACAAAACACCTTCCACAAATAGTGTAAACCACAACGGGGATGTAGCATTACGGAAGTGCCTTAACCCTTTATACGTAGTTAATCCTGCAATGACTGCGAACACGTCAGCTACAGACATTGATTGACATGATACTCAGAGCTTGCCTGTTTCTAAAAGAAGTATGAGTAGGAAATCGATGCCTTCGATATCACTGTTCTCCTCCAAAGTGAGGCAAGCTATAATGCCAGGCACAGGAAGGGAGATACCTAGATAGATACTTAATATGATTAGATTTAAAGAGATATGAAAACTGACATTGAATACTCCGCAAATATCGAACCGTAGTGTAGACAGCAGCTGCTGTGATGACCTTATGATACCTCAAGTTAATATGTTGAACACACACAGATATACTTCTCTTGCGAACCGTAACGAATGTGGAGAAACCCAGCAAAAATGTTCTACTTGGACCCCAGACAGCGTAAGTTCGTAGTATAAGAATCACTATAATGCGCCATGAATCAGTTCCATTAAATAGTCATATAGTTGAACAAACACTACACTCAGCGGCAGAAACTCCAAAAACTCCAAAAGCTACAGAAAGCAAGTGATCAGATCGGGATCCGAAGTACAAGAATCTTAAAACTTACCAGTAACTGCCCAGCCCAGATACACGCACAACTACAGAACGAAGCAAATCATTTGATCGAGCACAAAAGGGTCATAAAGTACATACATGATAGTCCTGAGTTGCATTATATCCTGAAGGCACGGTTAGCAAATTACTTCAATATAGGATCTTCAGACGCACGGATCATAGTTAGAAGCATCTGTATAAAGGGAGTATATCGAGAAATGAGAAAAACAACCTTGATCATGTTCCACCTTGATTTCCAAACGAGATCATACTATGATATTAGCCAGCCAGAAGTAAACAACTGTTGAGCTGTAAATCTATATGCTTCAGATTTCATAGAAGTACCTCCTCAGCAATTGTGTAAATATAATTAATGATCTACCAATATAGCATTTATCAGCAGACAACGGCAAAAGGCAAAATGAGACACCGGGAGAACACTGACGATGACAGCAACAAACGCGACTGTGATTTGTATAGTAAGTAAATCACAAGTGAAGGTGAAGCAATATCCACCACCGGGACTCACTATTAGTATACTGAGAAAAGATTATAGATATAGGTCAGTTGACATGCCACCTATTTCATTTTACATACCTTGTCTCCTTGTACACGAGAAGCAAACTCAAAAACATTTACAGATGACATCACTTTCTTCGAATTTGCGGTAGGTTAGTTTGTGAGGCCTGTGGAAGTTGCGAACTTACCACTGGCGCGCTTATATATATATAATCTTATTGAACTAGATGATTCGGAACGTAACCGGAGAAGTCGCATCTTAGTGCGCGTTATGCGCCCAGTTGAGCCGCGGTGAGCAGAATCACGAAACTGCGACCATCGACGATAAATCACATCCTCCAGCCTACAAAACATAAGTGCATATACAATGAGCAACGTAGTTCGCATGGGATACCTGATTTCATTGTCCGACTTGTTTCACAGTCTGATGTTACTATACTGTAACGCCACAGTACCTCTTACAGAATCCAAGGATACAGCATGACATGTGTGGATATGTGGAACTGAATAGCAAGTGCCCACGAAGAGATGAATTCATCCAGTGGCGGACGTCATGATTTGATCATTGATGAGGTTACATACACAAGACCGTATCATTCTGAAACATTGGGAGCGTCTAGGATATTTTCCACAGAGTGATGACAACGAGCTTTGGCATGGTCTCGATCGCAACATGCATCCCTATTACCATTTAACGCTCGCTCTTCGATACCGATTATGATGGTGGATTGTTGTGCTTACCTCGACTTTTCAAGTAACTGTAACTTCGCTGCAGAGTTGATCACCGCTCTGTAAAAAGTAGGGAACAGCAGTCCACACGTCGCAACGCGTTTCGACGCTAACCACGGTCAAGGTCCAAGTTGTCACTTAATTTGCACTCTTAATATTCCCACGCTGGCTATTATTCCCACACGCACTTTCTCTTGGAGGCTTTCCACTTTCAAGCTCATTTGTGACTGGATCGACTGGCACACGCTTATACCACTCTAAGCTAGGACTTTGGCCGAGAAACACATCATGTTCCGCACGAGTGCTGTGCGGTCATTGCGGACGGTATGTTTACCCCTTTTATCTACCAGTAGCCATGTCTAACCAGCCCTGTATAAACCTTCACTGGACCTGTCTATATCGTGGTATTGGGTGCTATTCTTCAACCTTGTAAACTCGTGTAATTTTTCATCAAATGAACACGAAAACCGTTTGGAACGACTTACAGCCACGAAGGACAGCCTTCGCTGTTGCCGCTGTCAGTGCAGTTGGTGCTGTTCTGCACGAAAACGGGGTCGAGCAGGAAAGGGTGCGCAATCCGCTTTCCATCGCCACTTTTATAATATCCACGCGTACATTTTTTGCGTTGATTTAGCTGCCAATATACGCTGCTCCCACACCAGAACTTGTCCTCCTTGACACGCCATCTATACTCGAGACCCGGATCGGGGAAGTCCGGAGAGAAGTCAAGAAAGCCTACCAGGGCGCACATACACAGGTCCAAGGGGTTGTGTCGAGATGGATTGGCGTAGAGGAGGCTGTTGAGTGTGAGTATAGTCTAATCCAGCCCAGCCTAATCGAAAAGCTATCTCATATTTACATTTTCACTGTTGCATTTCTACCTGCACAGCTCGCATAAAGTCCTTCCGCGATCCCACCGAACCTGTAACCCCCGGTCTTCTCTACATGGGAATATCTACGCTTACAGGGTCTATCCTCGCTCGCTCTCGTTCCCTGCCTACACGCATCATACTTCCACCCACACTATTCATCGCTGCATTCGTTCATTTCCTCCCCAAGACCGCCTCGAATGTCGGTGACTACGCGGAAGAACTCGAAGACAGATATATACCGAAATTCGGAGAGAAGCGACGTATTGGGGTAGCCCACAGTCGGATGGGTTGGGAGCGGGCGAAGGAAGGTGTGGCTACTGGACAGGAGTCATTTGGGAAAGGTGTTCAGGGTGTTGTGGATAAGGTGCAGGAGGTTACTGGGCTAAAACTGGGCGATGCACTTGGGCGAAGTCGGGAAATCAAAGAGGAAGCTAAGGAAGTTGTGCGAGTGGCCAAAGAAGATCTGAAGGAAGTAATAGACAGTAAGGATGATGAGAGCAAATGATTCTATAGGTTTATTATAGTCGGACGCATTGCCTTTTCCTTGCGTTATAGAGATATTATTTACTATACCCTGACTGAAAATCGAGGCCCATATTTTCATTACCACTACTCATGCATACTCATGTAGTACTTCTTTGCTTCGTACTGGCAGCAGGTCTCGCATTGGACCGGCAGAGCAGTGCCGTGGAGAACGGACTTGCAATCGGAAAGCGAAAGCGAAAAGAAAAACACACAAATTTTTCTTGGTCTTAGCTCAGTCATCGTACAGAGTCTAGTGGACTTTACCATCGGATACCATCTCCAACATCTTCAACGAGTTTCAAGGTAATGATCGTATTTCAGTGTTTCTTTTCGAGATGAATTCTTTAGATGACGAGTCTGATCTTATCGCTGCAAGGTTTCCTTGTAGTGATATCTCATGACTGAAATCTTTTATATTTTTACCATTCATGCTTTTCTGATTCTCACCATTCTCTTCGCGATTTTTGAGTATTCTCTAACATTTTGCTCGCAATCTTTAGGTCCTGTTGATCCATGGCCCCCGTAGAGGACGATTGGTCTGATTCAGAGGATGAGCTAGGTTCAGAGGTAGAGACGGCAGTGCTGCTGGGAATCCCAGACGGGCCTATCGATACCCAGTCTGACCTCGCAGATGCAGCAGTCTCACGCATAGGAGGCACTCCTGTACGATACGTCCCCGCAATGTACTTCTACTACACATTACTTACTAGTGAATTCTATCTATTATTTTCTTTCGTACTTGTCGTTTGTATGTTCCACCTACCAGGCTTTCCTTCCAGCGCGTGAACCCTCTCTTTCCTCTTCTCAATGTGCGAATTGTGCAGAGACGATGGAGCTGCTTGTCCAGCTCTGGTGTCCGTTCGAAGATAGCCCTATGGACAGGGCGCTGTATGTCTGGGGCTGCGCACGTAGTTCGTGTCAGAAGAAGGACGGGAGGTATGTCTCCCGCGGAAAACTACTGTCAGTGCTGATCTCATCATGATAATCTCATACTACGTAGCATACGCGCTTGGCGCGGAATCAGGCGTAACGAAGCCTATGCGAAGAAATTAGAAAAGAAATTGGCAAAGAAGAAGCAAAAGGAACCAATATCGCAATCTGCAACATCACAGCAGAAAACTGCCAAAGTAAACCCATTTTCCGTGAGTAGACATCGTTCGTTCAAATGCACACGCTCATAAAGACAGGTCGGCTACAGCTGCAAAACTCTGCCGCGGCGAGCCCCTTTGGTTTAGGCACCCAGATCTTCGGGCAATCTCCTCCTCCTCCTCGCGATCCCTCACCCCCACCACCGGAAGAGAGTGTCGAGGAAAGTGACGCCGAAAGCGACTCTTCTGAAGAATCTCTCATAACGGCGCTCGCATCAACAGGTCTCTCCTCCTCACCTTGGATCTCTGCTCCCTCCTACCCTCCCTTGTATCTCTCGACCACTTCAGAATACGTCCCTCCACCCCCAAAGGCCAAGCTCCCACCTGGTGTGCAAATTCAAGATCCCTTGGACGATGACGAGATGAAGAAAAGCAGTAAAGATGGAGGTTGGAGTTTAGAAGGATACGAAAATTCTTTGGAGATAGATAGCGTGTTTGATCGCTTCACCAAGAGAGTGGGATACGAAGGGGAGCAGTGTATTCGGTAAGGCCATGTTTCCTCCATTTCCCGAATAGTCCGATGGGAATGGACAGCTAATATCGTATCACGAACAGATACGAGCTCAAAGGTGTCCCACTCCCCTTCTCGTCCGACAAATTATTCGACAAGCTATTTCCCGCACCGCCTGCACCTCCCCTTCCCGTCACCAAGCCCGACTTCAAAGTCGTCCCTGTCCAGAAACGGACGTATACGCCCGCATCTGTTCCACGCTGTCCTATCTGCAACTCACCTAGGGTCTTTGAGTGTCAACTGATGCCCAACCTCATCAACGTCCTACGATCGGCTAGTAAAGACGCAGGGAAAGAAACTGGTGGCAGACGGAAAAAAGCTGGGTTGGAGTCAGACGAGGAGCGCAGGAAAGCTGTCGAGGCTGCACTTCGTGCGAGCGGGTCGCCCGAGAAGAGAGCGATGGAATGGGGTACTTGTATGGTTTTCTCTTGCGAGAATGATTGTTGCATTGGAGATGCTGAGTCGGGTGGGGGGAAATGTACCGAGAGCTGGAGAGAAGAGGTTGTATTGGTCCAGTGGGATGATTGACGATGATGAGCGGCAGTGAGTAGCCTCTAGTTGATTGTTACAATGTAGGCTCAGAAGTTAGATCTTGTAGCGTTTATAGATAGGAGGTAGTAACAGAAATCGAAATAAGTTGTGTAAGTTTGTGTACAACATCCCTCTGCCAATCGGTGTGCGTGATCACAAAATTAGACTCAATTTCGATAATGCGATGGTTTCATTGATTATTGCGCAACCATAACTGTTCCGTTGTAGATCCCTGTCTCTCTGAAGTCAATATCTACTCGACCCAAGGTTAGGGGGACTGATCTATGTGACTTGGAGCCTGAGCTTTTCGATTCGCAAGCTCGTGAGCTTGAAGTTTGAAGAATAAAATCTGTCAGGTGATACCCAAAGAGCCCATTTGTATTGGAATATGATACTGATACAATTCCACCCCGTGCAACGTAGATGATGGACACATAGTTTACAACATAAAATGTCAATGCGAATCAAGGTCCCAGTATCGCACATCAGACCCATTTTTCCGGACAAGCTTAACTATCATATCATTGCCCTGCCAATGTCTTCATTCTCAAGGCCCTCTCCGCCCTCTCCCACATCCCCTCTTCACCTCTCTGTACCCTCTCCCACTCGTCCAAATCAGACCTATGGTGCATCACGACGACGCGAATGCTCTCCTTATTCCTGCTCCCCCCTCCCTGCATTCGATCTTCGGCCAACGCATCACACTCCTCCACGCTCTCCCACCCACTACCTACCCATCGCACGCCTTCCTTCCTAAGTCTCTCCTTCGCAAGTCCCCACACAACATTCTCAACCCGTAGCACGATCACTCGCAGCGCTTTACACCGTTCCAGCACCGCACCGACGCTCCCGCGCGCCCAGTACCGGAATGCAACATGCGTGAGACAGGGGAGGGAAAGGAGAGGGTGTGGGCCTTGCTCGTGCTCGGCATAAGAGGCGGTGCTGATGGGGAGTGTCCACATCGCCCAGTGATTCACGATGTCGAGGTGGGTGAGGTGAGAAAGGAACGGCAGCGAAGTGGAAGACAAGCCGGAGGGCGAGTTGGGGGGTGAGCCCAGGAAGGTGGTGAGGTTGATAGAAGCGTGGGTGAGCGTTTTCATCTTTGAGCCCGTTATCCGGACCGTCTTGTCAGCCTCCCTCTCGCGGTCTCTTAATACGTGCTCCAGCTTCATTGCGGAACCGTCCGTCGGTGACACCCAGCAAGCAAGCGTCTGGAGATTTGTGCAGAGCGGGACAAGCTGCTCTGCGACAGCTAGAGGCGTAGAACGTGGAAGAACTAGGGTGTTGATGCGGGAAGCAATGGTCCGTGCACGGGAATGACTCGCTTGCCCTTTCTTTTCGTCATCATGTGAGGGAGAAAGTGTGCGCAAGAGGAGAGTGGACATTGATCCTGAGTCGATAATGATGGTGGAGTATATGATAGGTTCAAGCCTGGAAACACGGTATATCAATATACTTGCAACAAAGAGTAGTAGCGCGTAAATGCACACGGACCAGATTTGTGCCCTCTTAGCGACACACACGAGACATAGCGCAGACGGACGGTTCGTGTAGGCTGCGAGCTCGAATATATCGCGCTCAAGCTCGGGCGGGAGGACGGGGAATGTCGCTGTCGATGGATCCATGTTGGTGGATGTTGGTTGAGTGGAACATGATGATGATGGCAACCGCAAGTCATATGGGTCTTATCTCCTCCCTATATATCTTATCTTATCTTATCGCGTCTAGCCGCGGCATGAAATCGGCTAGTTGCGAGTCTTGCGAATAACTTGGAAGTGGCTCATCGTCCGCGCAGATTGACCTCAACAACACGAGCTCTGTGATAAGTACCTGTCGTCCTCGAAAATTGTCCTGCGCACGCTGGCTGTGTCGTCATATTTGAAAACAATCACTCGATTCACCTCATGACCAGTTATCTTACAAACTGTTATCCCATACATGCGTTTTGACCCTACAATGAGGTTTCTCAGTCTAAGTGTATGGATAACCCTGTGTCAGGACTTGCTTGACGATATTAAAAGTTTCAGGTAATCTAGAGGTATGTTCCCTACTCAGTCATCAAGCTAACGCTCTGCGCTACAAACGTTGACGAGAAACCAGATGTCAATATACCACGTATATTCGATCTGCTATACACCACAATGTGTCTCGTGTCCACCTACCCAGCTCTGGGTTCTTTGTCACCCAATCGCGACAGTCATACCTGTTATGTCTAGGTGGATCTGCGAATGAAAGTAGTCAGTCTCTGTGGCTCAGTTTACGAATATGATGGCCCACCTCCGTTGTCAAGTTCTCAACTGCATCTGCGAAAACCCTAGTAAACTCCGTCATATGTTCCAAAACTCTATACCCACAACGCGAGCATCTCGACCTTGCCTTCTTGACCGCTTCATCCAAACCGTTTAGAACTGTTGTGCCAGATGGTCTATCCCGCAGAGCAATCCAAGTAGCGTCCATATACTCTGCCCACCAGTCTGGAGGCGTGGAGTTATCTTTGAAGCGATACTTGTTGGTGCGTGGGCAATCGCAGTGTTCGCCATAGTGATAAACGTCTGTCAGCCATCTATCCCCCGTAGCCCTATAGTGATATTCCATCCACGATAATGAAGTTAACGTCTGCACTGCGTCTGCACATTTCGCATGGTAGTGCAGGAGTTGACGAAGGTCTACGGCTGTAATCAGCTCAAGCTCCTTCACCTTCGGGGGCATGAGTGGATGACGCAACGTGTACCGCGCGGCCGTCCTTGTTTCGTCTTCCATCCTCGAGCCACAAGCAACGGCAAAAGCACGAAATGGCTCCTTCTCCAGAATAGCTTGATTACCCAGAGCGTTCCCCACTTTCTTCTCAATCAACTCCAAGGAATATTTTCTCGCGGCTTCCGAGACCTGTACCACGTCTGTCAAATCTTCCAAGTTCGGATCCTCAGCCAAAGTTGATGGGTAGCAGAATCTGAGGAGATGATCCAACGTCCTGCTATCCTCGGTTACTGGAATAACTACCAGCCCATCCTTGATCTCGTCCCCACTGTCATGCACTGACGGCTGCGGAAGCTCAAACATCGCTTCGAAGAAAGGTGATGCAAGCGAAAGGAATAGTCTGAAGACGCGAAAATAGACGTAGTCTGAAGAACGTAATATGATATCTGCTTTGGGATGATCAAACGGCGAAGGTGCATCTGTAAACATGTTGGCCAAAGCTGAGGCGTAAACTTGAAGGTGACTGTGATCATGTTAAATCTTTCAGGGTGCATTATATAGCTGACGACTTGAGGTAGCAGTGAGGTATTTACGGAGGTAAGCATATCACATATTTGCGTAAAATACGGGCCTGTCGAAACATGGAGTACTTCGCCTTTGCACTGCTTGACCCAGATCTAGATTACCTAGGTCAAAAATGGTTTAGTATTTGCTGTGTGATCCCGACCTTGTCGAATCTAAGCTCGAGCGTCTAATAATGCGGTTGTGCCGGAACTGGCGATCTCATGCCATATGTGGGTATCCTTCGTAGAGTTCATTATTGTGAGTCAGCACATCGTTGATATTCCAGTAATCATACATACATACAGCGAGGGAATCTTTGACCATTGGACCAACACTTGGGGTCATTCATTTTTGGTTCTTGTGTTGCGACGAACTGACCGGACCCGGGTTATGTTATACGATAAGATATAGCCGCCAACTTCAGCGACGAGAGTGATGGGAAACTGTCACGGTAGGGTTACTTCCTCGTAGGCTAGTTGAAGTTGTAGTAGTATTGGTGAGGGAAATAATAAGGCGCCTCCGCCGGATGAAGCTCAACAGTTTCCTCGACAGATTATCCCTGAAATCGTAATATTACGACACCCATTTTCTACTGTCTCCCATTGTCTCCAAAATCATATTCGTCACGGTATCTATCCTCCAGAGCTCACGCGGGTTACTTACTGCCCTGTCCCTGTCCCACACCTTTTGGAATCGAGTTTGTTGTACTGTGCACGTGCGTAATAGTATTTGCTGGTCTTCACATGAAGGGATGTGTGCGATGGTTAGAGTCGTCGAAGTTTTGTGAACTTGTTATCAAAACGTCTGGATTAGATCTCGGATGAGACTGACCGGGGTGTCCTAGAGAGTACTCCTGATTCTTTCTGAAGTATGAAGCAACGAGAGAAGTTCATGCACAAAGTCCTGAGATGACAATCGTGTAAACCATTGTGTACGTTTTTCTGGTATTCTGATCATGTTTTTTGTTTAAAAGTATGGTATTTCTTAGTGTGCTCAAGTTCGTCTGCTGTAGACTGAAATAGACTGAAACGCGGCTTTGCAGAAGCTCCATGTGCTCTGGAGCTTTGTGTGGCAGACTTCCACCACACTGTAACCGACGGCGACGAGCAGTTCTTTCGACCTCGGGCTTCGTTTCTTGCTTGAGAACATCAAACATCACTTCGTACTTCGTGTACATGGTGTATACAAGGCGCTATTGACCTGGGTAAGTTCTACCCTCAGGATCACTATCAATGCTTCAAATAGTCATATCAACTACTGGTACGAATCGTCTGTTGCAATGCTAGATAGTGTGTTCAAGTGAATATACTCTTGGAATCGAGAAGGAGTACAAGTATTACTATCTTAGCACGCAAGCTCGTTCAAGATATTTTTGCAAGAAGAACCAAGGTGGGCTATCTTTCATATATTTGTGAATAGTTCCAAATTCCTCGTACGCACCCACAACTTAATGATAATCAATATCACTGTTCACCATTTGTCCGGGTCTTGTACCTCTTCCTTGCAAAATCCATCGGATTTCCGAGCAACTGTGCGGCGAGCATAGACTTGCACCGCAGTTGGAACTTGAGAGGCAAGAATTTGACAGAACAACAATCAGAGCAATCAGAACACATGCAACCTGGCACGTTGAATACATCACAGAGCAGACATACATCACGGAGAAAACATACATCACAAAGAACAAAAGAAAACACGCCTTGTCCAACTCCCTTCCTTCCAGCCCATCCATACTTCCGCTCATCCCATTATCTTCCTATCCGTTTCCGCCCATCCAAATACTCTCTCTCACATCTTCTTCGGCTCTAACCTCGACCCACGCAGCGTAAACACCATGAAAGGACACAGCCTCCGAAACGAACCAGAAAAAATGCTCATAATTTGAAGTCGCAGTCTGGCAGCATACGCAGACAGTATTACCCATACCTTGTCTCATTCATAGCGGTAATGCACCTTGACAAATCATCCTGTACACTGAAAACCCCTTGAATGTTACGGCACCGCTGTGGAAGAGGAATGCATCATTTAGTTTGGCATGGACATCGCGCATTTCACACTGAAAACACACCAAAGAAGGCTTCTCTCAAAACGGATGCCGGTTCAGGCTCGCCTCTGTTTCTTCGATCCTCCTGTAGGAAGACGTTAGAAACTTATAAATAAACAGAATGGATTCACATACCAGCTGAGAACAGAAAATATATTTACTTTAGGTTAACGTCCCCTAGGTCAAATAGCACGAACAACGCACCCACTAAAAGTGAATAAAGCGATCAGTTAATCGAAAATCGGTTTCAGCAATGACTCTAAACACATACTTTCTACATTACATGTCCAAGGCATTAGCTCCATTAGCGCTTATATACAAATATCTAAAGGAAGCATCTTACATCCTAAAGATCACCGGTCACAGTGTGCAAAACAACATAGCTGTAAATTTTGTAGAAAGGTTGGCAACGGCGAAACATACGATCTGTAATGATATGTAGTTAGCGACGTTACCTGCTAAATACATCAAATGGTGGCATACAAGCTGAGGATATCACCCAGGCCATGACAGTCAGCCAAATGTTTGGCTCGCAAATGGACAAGAGGAGCGTACTTGCTGAGAACGTCACCGGGGCCACGGCAGTCAGCCAGATGTCTGGCTCGCGAAGGGACAAGAGAAACGTACAAACTGAGAACGTCACCAAGGCCATGACAGTCAGCCAAATGTCTGGCTCGCAAAGAGACAACAGGAACGTACATACTGAGAACGTCACCAAGGCCATGACAGTCAGCCAAATGTCTGGCTCGCAAAGGGACAAGAGGAACGTACTTGCTGAGAACGTCACCGGGGCCATGACAGTCAGCCAAATGTTTGGCTCGCGAAGGGACAAGAACTTACGCTGCTGATAAATTCGTTCTATAAAAAAGTGGAAACAAATCATATAGGTCGACGCGCCAATAAGTAGCACAGAACAACAAAAAAAACGCACCAACTGATTCCATGACCATGAGTCATATTTATCAACCATCTTCCAGAAGTATATCAAACACGGTATATTACTTACGTCCTGTATGTGGTCAATCTCTTCAAGTACACTGTACATAATTGCAACACTTACTTTCTAAGCGTTTGTGTAAATAGTTCAGGTCAACTGTAGTCTATGGTACTTTGAGCGAACTTACTATCTGTCGATCAAAACGCCCCAACGCGAATTTCAGACCACATAGTGTCGTGTTGCATCTATGACCACGCACCAGCTGTTAAGGTTAAGATGTAAATCTATTAATGATTTATGCATGATCCGAGTACTAGACGCACAAGCTGATTTCGATTGTGGTAGGCCAAAGGTTGAAGATGCTTCATCATTATGTACCATGTAAAATGACAGACGGTTCGCACAATTGTTTGGCCTAGCATATTATTTAGGCTAGTTAAAGTCGACTGTAAACTTTGAGGGTATCGCGAGAGTTCCTGTATAGAGTTTGATGAGATATACTTCGCGTCAATGTTGCCACTTACTAGTGGGGAACAACTTGATTCTGTCTTTGCTAATTTGGTAAATATAATCATAGAATGCAGCCAAGGACCAAGGGAACTGTTAGTGAAATTCGTCAGAGAATATTTAAGTGAGACAGATAAAGACAAATCCGAAGGACAATGCCCTTCTTCTGCAGGTAATGCTTTCCGAAGATGATCCAACCACTCTGTGCAAGCGTATCGCAATGGTTCATCCGTAAACCAAAACTCTGTTTTATTTTTTGTCATGATATCTAGGCACCCAATGGCAATGGAGATATGACGAATAGGAGGATCAATGAAATAGGCTCCCGAACGTGCTGGGGTCATCAAGAAGTCGCGCAAAGATGTGTGGACCAGTTGCACTGGATCGTCGTCAGATTCGGGCATGAGGAGGATGGACTGAATGCTAAGGAACGATTCTACAAGGGGTCGTGGGGGAATATTCATTATGGTAGCTTGATGTTTGATGGGTAGTGGACGTTGGATTAGGAGGAGGATGCCCATGATCCGTAAGAGATCAGCCATGGGAACCGGGGTACCATCTGGATATAAAGCATTTGAGAGGACCTGGGAATACAAGCTGTCTAGGCCATGTGCTTTCAGTGCATGCAGAAGTTTCTGGTGCGGCATACCCCCGGCTCTACCAACAAAATCAACGAATGTGGACGAGTATATATATGATCCCGCAGCTTCTTTGACGAGGATGTCAAGGATTTCGGGAGAAGGCCAAGGCTCTAGCACCCCATCCGCAACCATAATTAGGCGGTTCACATCATATATTCTTTTGAATTCGGACTGGAAATAGATGTGTATATCCTCTGCAGCATTAAAGTTTTGTAGTTTCAACTAGAGCGTAATGCCTTTGGCGGCTGGAGTTTCGAGCTTTTTACGGAGATGTTCTTCGACCCTGCTAGTGATGAACAGACGAAAAGGGACCTGACGTTTCCTGGCCCCACAGGCATCAACAACAACGTCAATGAATTCCTCCATCGATGCTCCATCTTGGCGTATACATTCGTCCAAAGCATCGATAACTATTACCATGCGTTTCCGGTTGAGGATATCCCATTTATGCTTTGAGCATGCAATCATGGGTTCCATGATCAGTTTTCCAAACTGATAGCTGAGCGACTCATTCAGTATAGAAGGTTCCTTACCGAGGGCGCCTTTTATCAATGGTCCCATGCCTTCGACTTCAGTCGAGAGCTGAAAAGCGAGCGTAGGAATTAGGCGGGAGATTTTGTCTCGATTTCCTGTTCCTCTGAAAAAGAAGAAACTGGCACCAAGTCTCTTCTGGTCAACACACCATTCTGCTATGGTCTGCGCTATGGTCGATTTCCCACATCCGGCCGAGCCATTTAGCCAGAAAATTGGATACTTAGTATCATTCGCCCATTTTTTGATCGTTTTTAAGACATTTTTCCGTGTACCTTGCAAACATCGGGCTTTTCTTCCACTGCGATTCTGGTACGAAGCGCTGACAGGTTGTAGCAGCTGGTGTAAACTCGGCGTGGCTGACCATCAATAATTCAGCTCAGAACTAAAGGGTGACACGCGCCACACAACGTTGTACTTGCCATGAGGACCGTTCGTGATGTTGTTTACAACGTGGTTCTGACTTCCAGATATTTCGTTAAAAGCGCTCGGTTCAATGTGGGTGTTTGCGGAGTGATTGAACATGCCAGCACTGGGCACTGATAGAGAGGTATTCTGTTCGATGTGGTGGAGATTACTGGCTTCACCGGAAGCGTTGCGTTGGAACTGTGGAATATGGGGATTAAGTCGGTTGGGGTCAGACATTGTGGATGAAAGAACGACAACGATGAGATGGAGCGACGATGAGGGGTGGGGGGTGGGATGGGGCATGGGAACGAACATAGGTATAAGTAGCATATCGATAAGCGCCCATTTGAATATCACGGCCTGATGTCTTGTATGATGCATGTTTGGCTTTCCTTATCAGGTCGAATGGATATCAGGTCGAATGGAGCGTGCAAGCAGGAAGTAAGATTATTTCTTCTCTATACTTATTACGAGAAGAAGAAATCAATAGGCGCTCGCGGACTGGTCTGGGCAAGGCAGCATAACACTGGTGTGGCTAAGATCTGAAAAGCACCTTCCAGTCTTCCGTATCAACAAACTGCCCCTTTGTGGTGGCTTTCTGAAGCCAGAAGCCACATTGCAAGGCGTAATGATAACGTTGCAGCGAGGGCATAGGGTAAGACGCCGATAAAATGATATCGTCAGGAGGAGATAGGTTGTTGTTCATAGTACCGTCGATATTGTAGCATGGGGGGCGCTGTCTGAGGCTGCTGTTAGTTTGTAATAGTAGAAAACAAGAACTCACAAAAGCATGTCAATACAATCATGAATTACGCGCGATAGCATAATGAGGTACAACAAATGATATGGTTTGACTGATAAGAAGCACAGAATACAGCATACACAAGCCGTCGATAAGATTCCAGAGTATAGTGTTGGCACGGATGGTGGTTCAAAGGGAATCATTATATCGGCAATGATGAACCGTCCCTTGCTGGCACGAAATCGAAATTCAGCGAGATGAGTGCGAAAGTCGTTTTACTTGTTGCACCTTCTTTTTCTTTGCGCAATATTGACATGAGAGGATCGAGTGCGTAGCCCCTCGTCCACTGAGAATGCTGGAAGAAACGTTGCGATCAAACGAAGGTCCGATTTTGAATCCTCAAACATGAATGCATAACACGACACGCATTTATGGTGAATAATATTACTTTCATGTTTCTGTGAGCCTCATGTTTACCATTCCCAAAACCTGTTATCCTCCGAATATATCCCAGGAATGAGCAAGGGAACGGATGCCAAAGCTTCATCCAAACCGCTGTATGGAATAGATATCTATAGTGTTAAGAAGACTGCTTGTGCGTGGTATGGCAATGTTTGGGATATCTTCGCAAAAGCTTTTGATATTACATCGCTGTACATTTCTTCATGTCATCCCTGAATTTCAATACTGGAATAAGAGTAAGGATTTCAGTGATGCTAAACGTGATTATTTCAAGTTGCAGAGAACACCAGTTACTTGCGACATGCTCACCTCCTGTGTTAGTAGAACCCTGGAAATATCATGGGTTCCTTTGAACATTGTACTCTTGAAACCTCCAAACGGACAGCTAGACTCTGAAAAATGGTTGGGCGTTCAAGTTGCAAGGTTGGGTGAATTAAACAGTACGCTCACTGGCACTGAGGCCTGAGGCTCAGAATGGCAACTTCTTCTCACAGCTGCATGAATTCGCTTTATCTTCTTTAACAGGCAACTGAACACTAAATCTCACTTGCAGTGTCGACACCGTTGACTGGTACCAGCCATTTTCGAGTCTCCATCGCCATTGTAACTTCGGAGAAATGAGAGAAATAATCCACATTCAGGCTGGCACATTCGCCAACTACGTTGGAACTCACTTTTGGAACACCCAGGAAAGTTACTTCACATATTATGAAGATGAAGATCCTATAGTGAGGCATGATATCTCTTTTAGAGAAGGGCTCATCCATGTATGGTCTACTTGCGTCTATAATGCCTTACACCGCTGACAGTGTCTTCACATTTGCATTCAATATTGAAGAACGAGCCGACTTTGTGTCCCAGACTACTTCTCTTCGATCGCAAAGGTAACGACTAATTTCAACAAGACAGCCATCGACCGTGCATTGATACTGTCGCTCAGTCAACTTTGGATCTCTCGCAAAAACTAACAGGCTCGCTGACGAGAATGGTGAGGATGAAGAAGGATCTATCCTATGGTATTAGATGATGTCACTATGGTACATGTAACTTCGCTCATCCCATGTCCTTTTGTGGCCAGGGATGGAAACACAGTTGAATATAAGCAAGAACCTGTGTCAAAAAGCGAATATCACACCCATCTGGAAGAAATGTCTGAGGACACGACAGAGGATGCTGTAGGAGAGACCACAGATGCGTCCATCAGATACTGGTCTGATTTCAACCGGGTGTTCTTCAGTCCAAGGACTGTACAGATGTTACCCGATGTCGCAGATTGGGAAACCACCACAGGTGACTGGAGTGTTGGACAAGAAACCTTCCGTCGCTTTGATGAAGTCTGTTGTCTAATCCCTCATACCTACTTGCCTTCTGACAATCTCTATTTTTGAAGGAAAATGGACTCATGGAAGAGTCACTGAGACTCTTCATCGAGGAATGCGACAATTTTCAGGTAGTTTTCGCTTTCCTCACGTGAGAAGTTGTCTTTCTAACTCCCTTAGGGATTGCAAGTAATACAAGATACATCGACATTCGGCTCCTTCATCGGCTCCATGCTTTCCTCATTCCGAGACGAATATCCCAAAAACCAGGCTTTGACCTTCGCCTTGCTTTCTAGTACACATACGGGTCATATCGACGTCAACAGCAATGTATGTGGGCAAATCTGCTGTGCTGCTACTATTTCTCAAAATCGAAAATCTAGCCTAGCGTAATTAACGAAGCTGTCAATGATGCACTTTGTTTACGTGCCTTGAACGAACTTTCAGACGCTACCATTCCCATTTATCATCCAAGTCATTGGCCTCAAGGCGCATGGGCGGATAACCTCAAATTCGATGTGTGTTTGACTATTTTTTAAATTTTTTCTTTAGCTTATCAGTGCAGCGCGAGAAACCATACCACACTTCTGCCATACTTTCAGCTCACATAGAGTCTGCTACTCTGCCCTTGAGGTAAGTCGTCCACTTAAAATCTTTGCCAGGCCATACATGACACACACGCTTTAGATTGAAAGGAAGTTCGCATGATATATCAGCTTTGAGCAACCGTATAAATGGGTCTAGTGTTCGCTTTGGGCAGTTAAGCGGCACACTTCCCGTATCATCTGCCCAAACCTTTAAGAACAGACTCAATTTCTCGACACTATCATCGGTCAGTGTATATCTAAGTATCTCCACGCCCCTGCCAACGTCTCATTTCAAATAGCATAAACAAACTGAGTTTTCAAGAGAGGACGTGATCCGAGGATTTTCTACTGAAAACACAAAAGTCTATGACGACTGGTGCAACCTATCGCCACTGCGTGCGCCGTTTTATGCTTGGTATGTATATCACTATTCGATGCAGAGTATGAACATACGTACTGATCCCTATTTAGTACCACTACACCTTCGTATCCCCTTCCGACATCCTTCCCCCCTATTTTCGAATCACAGTACCCACGACCTCTCTCAAAACCTGTATTCTCATCCCTAGGCGCCGGTACCGCGAGCTCGGGCATGCTGTCAGACTATGCTAAACTCATCGGACGTTTATCAACGAAGAAGAAAGGAATCGTGATCGGATTAGAGGATGATGAATTGAGGGAATTGGCCAATGAGCTTTGGGTCCTCTGTGATGGCTATCTCGGAGATGGACCCGATGAAAAGGAGGAAGACGCGCCCGGAGAAGACGAGACGTAAACGGGTAAATAGGTAATGATACAGAACCTTGTTTCTTGACTGCCACATTGAATACAAATGGTCGAAGCTGAAAACCACCGGAAGAATCTCACTCAATTTACTAATAGTCCAGTGACAGATTTGAATGGGCCATCGGTTAAAGTAAAGTTATGTCTATAGAATCTGAAGCCACGAAGTGAACTTTCATTTGGGAATGAGGCTATATTAGCGGCCTTTGATAATACTCCTCGAAGAGACCTCGAGCATGCAGTAGCATGATACCTGAAGATCTAGAACAACGTTCCCATACAGAAACGTGGCAGCACGATCTGAACCTAGGCTATACCAATGGTTTCCGGCACAGTCGGTATAAGCGGGAGTGGGAGCCGTCATAAGGTTTTGGTTACATGAACCCGAGGGCAGATTCTGAGTAATATACATCAGCTTCGCGTATCTGACGACATGAGGTATTGCACACACGTAAAATGGCACATAGGACTCCGACTCGGAGCTCAATGTGATCCATATTCGCAGCCTCGGGTGATGATAAACTCATAATCATCTAGATATCGGAAGCACAGGTTGGGATATTTATCAATTAAGCGCTGTTTGAGAGCTGCATATGTGCTTTCTTCATTCGAGCGTGGACCTCGTGCTCGTGATTTTACACGTAGTTTCTGCAGGGCTGGCGGCATCTTCATATCGATCAAAGCCATCATTAAAGTCTACATTATGTGTGATCGGGGTCAGTGATAGCCAAAAAGTCAACGGTAATTAAATCACCTCCAAGTTGTACGAGCCAGACGTTGAGTTGCTGTGAAGAGCATGGTTGGTATACACAAAAAGGGACTTGATATTTGGGAATAGCGAGCAGACGACGTCCATAACGATTTCGTTGATGTATGTAACATCAACTTCCAATGTCTCCACATGTTTGACAATGTCGCGGGATCGGTGAAGTACAGCACGCAACTCCGCTGGCTCTATAAATGATACCTCCGTAGTTGGTCGTGCGTTCCACAAAGATAAATGACGCAACCTGTTGCCCCGAACGAGTAATGGGATCACTTGATATGGGCCATGAAATGTCGAAAGAGATTTTGCAAACTTTGGTGATGGTGCAGGTAAACTTGAATTAGTGATATCAAAATTCGACTTCTCTCCAGACCGAATTAACCTCAGTTCTTGCAGCATTGGACAGTGTGGCAACACTGAAAGAAGGGCGTGCAGTAGCTCCAGAGATAGCGGGATGGAGAGACTTTGTAATGATAGTCTAGAATTTCTAGAAACTACATCGCGTAAAAAATGCTCTGCAGCGTGAAATTCGTTGAAGGAGAGAGATTCGAGGTGGTGAGGATGAAGAATCGAAACGCCCCATTGATATCGCACGAATGCTCTGGAGTTATCAGACATTACTTCGACCTTCGCAACTTTCAAGGGTGAATGTGGCGGTTCTACTGCAGTGGTATGACAGTCTCCGAGAAATAGACTATGAAGTCTCTGTAGCCGACACAGCAGTTTGAGTTGGGTGTGGTTCAAATCCAAGAAAAGGAAGGACAGCGCCTTGAGATTGACAAATCGAGGGAGAACACACAGGAGAGAGTCGAGGATGAAATTGTAGTCATCTGTGCTGTCGACACTGATGCCTACAGTAGGGCGAGAGAAAACTTTACAAGTGTGAATCGCATGTGAGATACGATCAGACGAGCAAAATTGTAATTTAGCCATTGTCCTCTCAAGAATTTCTCTCTTTGGCAGAACACGGTTGTTTTGACCGTCCACAAGGAAGGGACAGAATGACAAGGACCGGAAAAGCAAGGGCTGGGCCAAATGACGAAAGGAGTGACAGGTCAAAGTCACATCACGAATGTTTTGACGGGGAAGTTGGTTAAAGACGCCCAACCAAATTTCGGGTAAAAGATGGCCCCGGGGTGAAAACGTTGGGGGTGCCATTGGTGCCAAGGTCATGTCCATTGTCCTACACATGGAACAGTGAGCAGGCAGGTCTCACTTTGACGTTCCGGCAGTACTTACAGTAACTTGAAGATCAGGGAAGGCAACGGGGATGGGATGGTCGTTTAATTTCGTTAGTCGATGTTATATATGATTTACCTAGCGGAGTTGATGATAAGTTCCCCACAGATTCAAGGATAAATAAATGATTGAATGACTCGCCTCAAAAGATCCTTAAGACCGGGTACTTAGTACTTACACATATATAGACTCGGAGGACTAGTCTTAAGTAGATGTTCACCGCGAACCATTAGCCTCGAGATCCCACGCCACAGCCTGACTTCATAAAGGCTAGCCTCGGGTGCGGTAAGTAGTACAAGTACAGGTGATCTTTGCAATGCAAGGGATCGGGGGCATGCCAATTTTGTCGTGAATGGCTATGGAGCGTCTGGACAGGTACGTACGTGGTAAAAGATAAGCTGCACCGGACATTGACAGGCTTTTTCTGAAATGTAGGTCCATCTGACCCTAAATAACACACCTTTTTAGTCTGTTTTTTGCGTTTTGGCAGGTCACCGGTTTACGCGGAGCGGCGATGCTGTAGTAGCAGGGAGTTTAATGTCACAAACACGTTACTTTTTAGTCCTTTTCAATTACTTCTTCTACAAATCACTATGACGCTAGGTTTTAAGCCTCACCTGCTGGAAGCCTCATGCCCATAGTCGTCTGATATTGATATTGTACCAGTTTTCCTTTCAGCGCGTATCTCAAGTATCACCTTCCCTGCAGTGACCGCTTCTCCGCGAGAATTACCACAGGAACTCGCGGCTGTTGGAATCGTGGAGCAGACTTGTCAAACTCCGAGTCTTACATGTCAATAATCTGCTTTTTTACAGTTTACACAGCAACCTACTTGGGGACAACCGTCTACCTGTATTGCTTACTCCCCGCCAATACGAAATAAACCTCCCTGGTATAGCATCATGTGGCAGTTTTAACGATGGTACGTACACTCCGCCGCGCCTGCCCTGTTACAAGTTACTTTTGAGTTTTTACAAGGAAGAGTAACTCGTTTACACTGGTATGTTAACCCCATTTGTGCTGTTTACTAACCTTGACATCGTTTGTGTGTTTTAATCAAGTGCCTTATATGTGAGTACTACGCTGTTTCACGTGGAATGGAAGGATGATCTACATGTCTACGCGAAGGGTCTACGCACAACTTCATAGACATCATTCAGGAAAATTCAGGACGAAATATTTGCAAGAAACGGATAATATATCTTGGCGCGCTGTTCACGGATGAACAGCGTTTGATGCCCCGGAACATGGTCGACGTTTTTGGTGTTTATTAAACCTCCTATTATGCCTCGGACCCAACAATTGCCGTACTCCATCGAGCGAATTGGTGTCTGATCTTCCCAGTCACGCCGACAAGAAAATATCGATACGATTATTCAGAAATTTCAGGGTCCTGTAATATCGCTGTCAACCGATAACTTTAAAAAAAACCCATTGGATCATTCTGTACCGCTTATTCACAGATAATGAGGGTTTCCTCTACACGCCCTTCCATCTTCCATATCTGAATTTCAAGCTTGGACTTGTCAGTTGCCAACGTGAGTTTAAGCATTCATAGTCAGCGTATACCTTCACTGAGCTAGGCAGTCTGGATTCGCATGTTTATGTGTCACGCAGGGTATTAAAGTCACCAAGCCGTCATCCTGTGCTCTAGGCAGGGCTCCAGGTCGCCTTCACAAAGGGGTTTTAACCTGCACACGTTGGTCATGCATGCCTTGTTTTTGGAGTGTGACTTGGTCCCTTCCTTATGGCTGTGAGGCGCAACAAATTACCAGGCGCTATACTTACGAATGTGGTCCATTTTCTAACCCATTTTCTAAAGCCATTATAATCGATGGTGGTGTCCTTGGTAGCGCTTAGCCTCATCAAATTCCATTCTATTGTGCCAGTATCATACGGATGTCATGCCTGACTTGTTGAACCGCTAAATATATCTGATCACAATTGGCATTGACAGTATCCCCTCCGAGGTGCCCGGAATGATTGCCTAGATTAGTCCTTTCCACCTGATGCTATACGCCGTACAAGGAGGGTTTCTCCAGGAACTTCAATTTAGGCTCGATTGGTTCCATGACCTTGCGATCCATCGCATCGCGGGGCGGCCCTCGAAGGCCTTGGTCATCAGGTATGTTTTCGAGCACTTCATAATTTCTCAGGTTAACTAATCTGTTCGCCTTCGAGAGTGAGCCGCCTTGAGGCGGCTATATCACCCTTACTCATTACGTGTAAGCTCTATCGTTTTATATATATGTGTGTTTGACACCTGTCCAGGTTCGTCCTTTCAGGCGTTTTCCTCGGACATAAACCAGCTCAAACAGCCCTTCAAAGCATGTGTTCACGAAGGTGAAGCTCATCTACGACTCTACGTGACCATTGTCCGCGTTCTCATGGTTTTCAAACGCCCACTTTATCGTCTTGTTAACCTCAAGGCATGTCCTTCTTAGAAAGCATCTTCATCACACATTGATTTATCGCGCTGCCTTTCGAAGTGAGCGTTAAAATACATGCGACCATGTTGTGGCCTTTCATTTGTCCCCTTTCACAGTCTGTACGCAAGAAGGGGGACTAATCTATAACCCTCCACGGTCATCTTACGAGCTTTCCCACATACATTTTCATCATGAACCATGAGCACCTCTTCTCTTTCCAAGCTTCTGAACGACATTTATAGGTGCGTCGATGATTGGCATATAGTCAGGATTGGGGATGTACAATCTTGCATCATTGACAGGTATGAGATGGCTTTAATTTAGATCAGATTGCTCGGACCGCCCTACGGATGATAAAAGCGACACTACTTCTCTTCGTATTCTCTTCGCGCTCACTTTGCAACCCGCCTCCTTGCCGTCCTGCGGGATTAGTCCCATTTGCCGCGTCCATGAAAATCTGATATCTCGGACCGCCTACCTCCGCCATCTTTCTATTGATAAAGCGAGATAAAGCACTGGAATAACTTGGATTAGCGTCATCCACATTTTTGGCTCGGCGATACCCCTTCAATCCCAACTCCAATGTCAGTGCAAGTCCGCCCTCACCTCCATCGGATCACACACGTTCACCCCCCAACGCCAGTGACGTTGAGGATTTTGAACAGGTGTTGCCAGCGGAGTAACTCGGCAGGTCGTATCCTGTTAATCGTGTACAAATCGTCGCCTTAAAATCGCGGATGCACCGCTTGACGCCGTTCCGCTTGTACCCGTCGATAGATGCGGATTCCTGTAACCTTTTTCAGTCGAGGACCGTATGGGACTTGTATGTAATAGGACGAGCCAACGCAAGGTGAGATGCCCTGCGAACGTGCCTCTATGTGCCTCTTTACCAGTTAGCGGAAGAATTACGGTTTACGGAGGTGGATTTATCAAGCACGTCCTGCCAGGAATCAGACGTCCATTTCTGTTTCCAGTTATCCTATCCATCTACAACGATTTGAACGTAGATACATAATGTAGCTATTGGTGCATAAATACAGGCCACACACCACATCATTATTTTGATGCGGCTTGGTATGATATAATGATCCCCTAACAGCGTCACCGCCAATCCAAATCTCCACACTCGCCTCCTCTCTTTTCCTTGTCTCTCAACCTGGGATTATATCCCAAAAACATATAATTCCTTGTATATAACCAGAAAATCTTGTAACATGAGCTCGTTCCGCAACCATCGTGTCATCATCGCCTCCCTCTTCCTCCCCACCACTGCGGTGCTCGGCGAGTCCAACCCACCAACACCGGATATCCACGCCCACGATGTTCCTTCGCTGGCGAAATCAGGACTATCGACGTCTGCATTCCAAATTGGCGACAAGCCAGCTGCTTTTCGCCAGCGTTCAGGAAGTGGACTTGGAAATGTTCCGTTAAAGAGCATTGTTGAGGATCTGAAAGACAAGGTGCGGAACTTTTTTTTTGTACTGGGATAGCCCATATCTCATACTAAAACATGGCTGAAGTCGAGGGCTATAACGCCTATCGCCTCGCCTGGGTCAGAAAGCGGGAATCCATTCTCGAGGTTTGCTAGCATTGCCAGCCCCGGGAATTTGACACCCCTCAACGGTGCATCCACTCCTGCCAACGGACACAATGGACACAATGGAATCACTAGCCCTCGTAAATACCAGACGACACATCCAGAAATTCAATTCGCAGCGCGTATCCAGCGCAAACAATCACGCTCATCGTCTCGACGTCCGGAACGTGATTCACCCATCATAAACGGGGGCTCTCATGTTTAACGAACTAAACCCTCATGGCTAACGTACTAAGCTCTCATGGCTAACGTACTAAGCTCTCATGTTTCACGTACTAAGCTCTCATGTTTGAACAATAAAATTAATATAAATCAGCAACTTAAATAGCCTCTAAGGTTTTAAGTTTTATAAGAAGGAGCAGCACTGTAGTCTCCCAGTTTGGATCCCAGATGACGAATTTGAAAGCTGTTACGACGAATTCTGCCATCAGGTGCGTTATTTAATGACAAGTCTTTTGGACAAACTGATGACCTCGTGAAGGTTCTCTGGCCCTGTTTACATTATGCAGTCCCTGATGCTCCCAAAACCAAACTTTTCTACGAATCAGCATCCTTCAAGCAGTATGTCTCGGTCAACCAACGCTTTGCTGATGCCATCATTGCCAACTACCAAGAGGGTGATATCAGTAGGCTCATTCTTGCTTTACGTTCCTTCATCAACTTATTAACTATTCGTAGTCTGGGTCAATGACTACCACCTAATGCTTCTTCCGTCTCTCCTTCGAGCAAGCCCTCTCCTATCTAACGCACCAATCGGCTTCTTCCTTCACGTTGCCTTCCCTTCATCCGAAATTTTCCGCTGCCTGTCTGTTCGAGAATCCCTTCTTCGTGGACTCCTTGCTGCCGATCTAGTAGGTTTCCAAACTGTCAATTATGCCCGCCATTTCAGGCAGACTGTGTCCCGCATCTTGGCACTCGAGGCGTTACCGAAAGGAATACAGGTCGAGACTGGCGGAACTGGCCGATTTGTAGACGTTGGTGTTATCCCAATGGGGATTGACGTGAATGCGTTAAGGGAGAAAAAGTTCGTAGCTTCTTGCGATTGATCATCTAGGTTATAGTTTACTGATGAACAATATAGGAGAGAACCTGATGTTTCTTATTGGGTCCAGCTACTTAGGCAACGTTATGCAGGAATGAAGATCGTTGTAGGCAGAGATAAATTAGATGAAGTCCAAGTGAGTATCATTAATTCCTTTACCAGACTATATACTTAGCCGACTGTAGGGTGTAAGACATAAGATTCAAGCGTTTGAGCAGTTTTTGGACAAACATCCCGAGTTCCAGCAAAAGGTAGGTCGTTTTTGGATTAGCTTCACAGCAGTGTTCACAACATGGCTTTGCTTCCAGGTCGTTCTCATTCAGGTTGCCCTTCAAACGACTGAATCCAATGAGCTTGCTGGTGGCGTTGCGGATATCGTCTCGCGTATCAATTCTCGTTTCTCCACTCTAACTTATCAGCCAGTTGTATTCCTTCATACCCAAGAAGTCACATTCAGTCAGTATCTGGCGCTCCTGAGCGTGGCGGACGCGTTTTTGGTTACCAGTCTGCGTGAAGGAATGGCTTTACGGTGGGTTTGACCACGCGCATGTGTTTTATTCGGCATGCTCATGGTCTCCTGTCTTTGGCACAGCACGCACGAATTCGTGGAGTGCCAAGAAGGTAGACATCGGCCACTGATTCTCAGCGAAGTGAGTTACATACGAAGACTACTGAACTCAAAGTGATTGATGGTTGTTGGTAGTTCACAGGATCGTACAGTTACAGTGGTTTCAGGTCTTGTATCGCCATCAATCCATACGACTCTAGGGGAACTGCGAAAGCTATCTACCAAGTAAGTGGTCTTTACATCGTTTTTCTCTTACATGATCACTAAGTATCACCGTGTAGGCCCTTACTATGAGTGACGAGGAAGCACTATCGCGCTGGAAGGTCAGTTCTCATGACCAGCGTCATTCCCATTCAATACTCATGCTGACTCAATGTTTAGGATTTGCATAACCACGTCGTCACTCAAACCGCTCAAACCTTCGTGACTTCCTTCCTCACGCGTTGCCTACGTGCAAACACGGAGCATATCATCCAATCTGACCTCAGCGTCGTCCCACAACTCGATACCGCGAGCCTCCTCCCTCGATACAAGCACTCCGCAAAGCGTCTGTTGCTCTTAGATTTTGAAGGTGCAATTTGGCAGCGTGATATGACGCGTGCAGGGCTGCTTGCGCCGTTTGAGGCCCCAAAGGAGGCCTTGGCGTTATTGAACAAATTTGCAGAAGATCCAATGAATGAGGTGTGGTTACTGAGTGGGCTTCCTGTGAAAGGTGTTATGGACAAGGTCGCAGCCGAAGCGCCTAACGTAGGGATCGTGTGAGTACAAACAAACTTTGGGATGATCGGTGGAACGGGTATTAACACCGTGGATCTAGAGCTGAGAACGGCTGCTTCATCAGAACACGCCCAAATCGTAAAGAAAAAGCCTCTTGGATTAACGTCGTTTCCAACTTCAACTTCACATGGAAAGCGTCATGTGTCGAGATTTTGAATTACGTGAGTAGTAAAACAATTTTTTTTCTTCTTTAGCTCTGATCGAGACATGAATTCGTGAACTTCTCTGTCTCCAGTTCACCGAGCGTACACCGGGGGCTTTTGTTGAAGAACGGGAGGCATCTGTTGTTTGGCGCTTCTGGACTGGTCCCGTCACAGACTGTGCTGATCGCCAATGGGCCCGCCGACAAGCTGCAGAAGCGCAGAACCATATTTTTGACAGGTTCGTACGATCATTTATTTGATCGAGAACATTAGCTGATGTCACACTAGCCTCGGCGAACGATACGGCTTGCGCATTATACCAGGAGCCAACAGCTTCCTCGTCCTCCCCAACAACATCTCTCGTTCCACCGCCGTTGGAGCGATATTACATCCCGGTGGACCTGCGCATTCCCCCCTGAGCGGCCGTTCAGTGTGGATGTCTCATGACCCTACTGAGGGTGACGGTGTGCATGACGAGCTCGATTTTGTCTTTGCAGTCGGGGGCGACGAGAAACTGCTGCGTAGGCTGAACGATCTGGACAACGCGGAAACGTGCTCAACGAGCAGAAAGGGGACTGGCGCCAAATGGAAACTAGAGCCCAAAGATGCTATCGAAGTGTTGTCGCGGTTCGCGAATGTTCGTTGAAGCGGTTATACTTCCTGATTGTACTCTCGAATGTGGTAGGGGCGGGGGGAAAGGAGGGAAATGTTGTTGTGTGTAAAACGGGATTAATGTCGAGGGTAATATTATGTTGGTTCTGCTGCTGATTCTGGTTCCAAGTTATCACTTGTTTAGATTCCCATCCTTTTGTTTATTCATATTCATACGGTCACAAATCATGTAGTCTTACATCAAAACACGAAGCAAATCGATATGCTGTTTTTGTTTTCATCTGCTGTTGCTGACAAGCAGATATATCTTACTGAGTGGGATGTGGATGGATGAGAGGTCTGCCGGAGTAAACTTAACCAAAGCTAGTTGTGTCCGTGTTTATAGCGCATCAAAGTACTCCTGGCGGTCCAAGAAAGCGCGACTTCTTGTGATTTCCACTCCAGACGAGTGTGCAAACGTGAGGGCACTTGGTTTTTGGGCTCGAACTGTGACCGTTTTAATGGCATCACTTGCACGGCATGCTGCGATAACAATCTCCATGACGAATTTCTCAAGAGTGAGATACGAAGATGCCTCGATATCCTGCAAATTGTATCACATTTCAGCTTCTGCAACAGTAAATCGTAGACTGTGAAACTCACTTGAGATATCTTTGAGATGATCGAAGGATAGTCGACTGGGGGATGCAAGCCTGCATTCTCGACGAAAACGATATTCATGATAACACGCTGCTTGGCCTTACGCTCAGGAGGGTTGACGCCAATGATAACTGCGAGCACGATATCCTTCACCGACACTTTGAAGGGAGATTCATCGCAGGACGATGTCGCATTCGTGGTAACATCAATGCTGAATCCATCCGCGAGTAACACAAGTTTGGGAATATCGACCACGACTCTCACTGCCCCTGCCGCATCTCCCGCCAGTGCAAACGCCGCCTTTGTGACAGCATCGACGAGCCCGCGAACGCCCTCGAATGGCTCTGCGCCCTTTTTCTCGACGAGTTGGGTGATGGATTTGGTGAGATGGCCGTAGTGCACGGAGTCTTTGACGTCGTCTGACTTGCTTGCGGCGGTAAGGAAGGCGGGGACGAGGTGGAGGTGAACGCTGATGAGCACGATTTGGGGGCGAGTGCGGCCCCAGCAGTCTGGTCCAAGCGTAGCAGACAGCTGGAGGGTGTCGATAAAGACAGTGTCGGCGTTTGCAGTATCAGTGTTAGAGGAATCCATGGTCTCAGTGGCTGTCTCTTACTACGTTTCGAAAGCGCGTTAAGCGTGCTCCTATCTATATCAACATTACAGTTTTACGCTCATCGTTCAAGGTCTCTGTGAAGGCTCTCAAACGCTCGAGTTGTGTAAGAGACTATATTGCTTGATATCTACGGTACATGTAGGTAATCAGCTTGGTGTAAGAAAGGGTGTCGCAAGCGTGTAAGTGATGTCGAATAAATATTATAATAAAAGCGATGTTGGCGGATATCCCCCTCGTCTGCTTCGTACTCCCCCAACCGCTAGAACACGAAAGTCTCTGATGATGTTGGATACATGTCCACAAGTCCTTAAATAAAAGAACCGAATGAAATCAAATGAACGAAATGAGAAAGGCTAGGACAATAGCCATCGAAGGAGTGTGATGGTGTTGATACAATGGATACGATGATGTCAGAATTTAAACGAGAGACGTCGGTTGAGTCGAAATGATATGAGAATAGGGAAGATAGTCTATCTGCAAATTTGACGATCAGTAAATGCTTGAAGACGTCAAGGGGAAAACAAAACTGACCAGACAGACAGGTGATGATGGCTCATCATGCAATGACACAGTAACAGTTGCCTCCATTTGAGACATACTCCTGGTCAACTGGTATTTGAGATTGTGTCTCTTCAGAGACGCTCGATGCTACTGGAGCAGAGACGATGGTGATAAATGAGTCCATTGATGTGGGTAGAGGTTCGAAGCTGTCTCGCAAAGTGTGCTATATGTAAGAGCGTGCGGGAGACAATTTAGCTCGGTTGTTGGATGGTCCTTCTCGTAATTCTCTCGAGCATTTATATAAATTTGACGTATTATCTGTGGTCAAAGCAAAAAACAATAGAACCTGAACGGAACCTGAACGAATGGCCCATTTCCAAGGTGAGACATGGTGTTCCTAGCCGTCAGCGAGATCGCTTTGGACAGGCCGCCCACCGTTATTATTAACATCCCGAAGCAGTGCGACAGTTTTGTCCGGTATAATCACCGGAAGGTACATTGCCCTGTCAACGCGTCCGTGCTGAGTGGCTGCTCGCATTCGTGGTATTCATAGAGGCAACATCGGTGCGAAAGCCATCAGGCGAGAACAAAAAGAGAGTACGGCAGAAAATCAAAGATAGCTCAGACTTCGCATGGAGATTGATACCATCGCCTTGATAAGCTGATGCATAGGCCATTAGCACGGATTCATGGATGCACATACTTGACAATTAGAAATGGACCCGAATTGGAACCTGGCACCCGACAAGTCCAGCAGGAACAGATCCGGCGAAAGTACGGGCCCACGTAAAGCAATTGCAGACTGTGAAATGGCTAGTGATCCCCAGGGAAATGCGAATTGTCTCAAGCTTTTGTTGTTGGTCCGTCGTGGCAGGAACCATCGTACATCGAGGCGTGGTTGCAACAATAACAGCCTTGCCAGCCACAAGCCAAATATACACAAAGCACGAATACTACCTTCCTGCTCGGGACACGACGCCCTCGCCCTGACTGAAGAAGGATATACTCAGGTCTACATGGCTATTGTCCACAGCGAGAGTTTGTCAAAAAGATTTCTCATTTGTGCCTTGTGTGCAAGTTTGAATTATTATAAATGCCTTTTTTTTAACCGCATTCTTACTCATCCCTCCATTCCTGTGGTTGCTTGTATCAGTGTGGCCGCCATCAGTTTTGCAGCCAAAACTGTTCTGGTCGAAGTCAATGCTAGTCCAAGCACAGGCTGTATGCCCTTCGGGGACCACGAGGTGCACCACAAGCAGCATCCCACAGCGCATCATAGCCACACCGGCAGTGCTCACACGCGCTCTGCCATGCGACAAAAATATCAAGGTGTCATAGGACAGTGGTATGCCTGGAGGATCACCTCCGCAGGACACTCCTCCCCTTTCACCGATCAGGGGTGTATTCAAGTGAGCGAAGATTTTGCAGGACAATAGGAGCTAACAGAAGGTCCGGGTGTTGATGGGATGACTCATGCGAATCGAATGGACAGGTATGGTCGAGATCTCTCCCCGACGATACAGAGCTTACCAAGTTTCCCACCTTGCGCTTCGACGCCGTCTTGTAAGCACGGATGTTCCCATTGTTCATGCCTTGAAATAGGTACGATGATAAGTGATAAGATACAAAGCGATGCGTTGCTTGTCGTCTACTTCACAATTCAAAACATACAGATATGTTTTGTTCGCAGTGGGATGCTAGATCCAATTAGGCGTACGCCACGATTTTTTCAATAGCTAAGCAACATAGTAGTTCCCATTTAAGATTACACGTACAACAATTAGTAAAGTTACATGAGCTTAAAACGAGGACATAAGCTCTCACTTATGAAATGCAGGCCAGCTGATCACGGAAGTATATAGACAAGCCGGTGATGAGTAAAGGGCTTTACTGAAACAAGACCAGATAAACAAAACAATAGCAGTCGCCGCGCGGGTCAGCGACATGAATTAACTGCAATGTCAGGGAACCCTGACTTTTCTTTTGTGCATAATACACGTGTTGAGCGGGCGGTCATTCATAGGCCTAGTGCGACAGGTCCCCAGCCGCTTTGATACCGTGGTGGGTGATGCAATGCAGAGCTGCGAGCCTGGAATGGATATGATTCGGCTGCCTGGTGGCCACGAACAGCAAACCGATAGAGGTAACGGGAGCGATCCAGGTGCATACCAATAGTCCTTCGTGACTAGCTCCCATTTGAGGGAAGCGCCTTGTTATTGTGACTGGGACGTGGAAGCCGCAAGTGGTTATAACATGGCAATGAGGTTGTAGGGCCATGATTGGGTGCTCACCACGCAATCCATTCATCGTCCATCGTCTTTTTGGTTCGAGAGTTTCATATCAAAAACACATTTCCGTGTATTCTCGGTTCTGTGACTCAGTGCGAAGATCTTGTTGCATGTACTGTAATGCGGAAATGGTTGTGAGGAAGAACATGAATGCCGGCAACCGAATCTTTTGAACTTTTGGTGCTTATGTAAGCGGGCAGATTCCCGTTCTTCCTCAAGTTCCCCGAAACCTTTTCCTCCGTCACGGTTTAGGTTGCACACATGCAGCCATCGCTCATCGTAAGGTCTGGACGGTCTGCCTGGAAAGGTAAGTTCTGGTAGCATTGCTATATAGTATCTAACATATCTGCTAGGACCATACTTCGTGGCTTTTCCAAACTTACGGGAAGCCCTCACAAATAATGTGTCCATAAAAACACAGGCGCGATCGTGTACCATTCTGCCAAATTTTGTGGGGTATGTTATCACTGTCAGCGACTATATTGAATGCTCACGCTTTCTTGATCAGTTTGCGGTTCATGGTGCACAACGGCAAAGACTATTTGCCAGTGACGGTCACACAGGATATGGTTGGCCACAAGTTGGGAGAATTTGCTCATACGAAGAAGAGGTTCACATACAAGTGCGTGACTGCCTTCTTTATTCCCTTGCATGCTCTCATACACCAATGGTCTGGCTGTGTAGGATGACCAAAAACAAGTAATTTACCACCCGCTTCTTATGTATCTATAAAATCCCACTACTGTGAAATAATATGCAATTTGGTTTTACAGACTGTGACCATGTGAGTGTGTGTCTTCCTCGATGATTCTGCAGGTGCACTCGTTCCGCACACCGATGGACCTCGCGGGGGGTCGCCGGGAAGACTAATCAGCACCGCTGTTTCAAATCCCATGCCCACGATGAGTTATTCGCAGACTGAGGGTGCTCCTCGTCGGTGGTTCTTGGGTTCTGTTGTAGGTAGGCGACGGCGAATTTGATGACTGCAGAGGAAGTGGGCCCTGTGAATGGCCCCAGTGCTGTATGCCGTGACATACAGTACAGCATATGATGCTGTGGCTTTGATGTTGTTGTCGCTCGTTTGTTCCTGCAACGTGTTACCGTGGTGATGTCTTGTACCGGCGGATAGATCCGGACCACAGGTGGCGCAAACAAACGAGGCCAACTCAAGAGACAACTTCATCGTCGTCGGCAACGACCACCTCACGTCCTCACCCTTACGATTTCTTACCAGCTCATCGTGTTCGACGACCCCAAAGCCTTTTCTAAACAGCATATCTCATAGCTTCTCAACGCCCAAGTTGTCGCAGGGAACACTGCCGTTTTCATTATCCTAGGTCCATCTGTCATGGCCTTCAATCAGGTTACTGCTGCATCTCTGACACCTACACGTCCAGCACCGCAAGTCCCACACCGACGGGGCACGGACAGCCCTTCAATGTACAACCAGAGTACCCTTCAATCATCTGGCTACAACGCCTCATTCTCTCTTACCTCTGGCTCGTCTTATGCTCCAGATTACAGAGGGATAGGCGACTCGCCAAATCGCAACTCAGATGCCATGTCCAGTTATCACGTCATCAGAAATGGCATGGTCAGCATCAAGGAAGACGGTTTTGCAAGCTGGCTTTGGACGCGCAAATGGCTGGTGTTGAAAGAACAGACGTTGTCGATACACAAATCAGAGGTGAGCATCCGTTTCTTCATCCGTTTACATCCATTACTCGACTACCATTGGTGCCGAGATACGGTTCTACAGCCTCCACAACGTTGGCAGGTCTGGTCGACATCTTGGACTTCGTTCCTTGCCTATCTAACAGTGTATTCGCATCGCCCGTGTCGCACAGCATACTGATGATCAGCTCTTAGTCTGCCCCGCAACAAAGCGTTATCGCTCTCAAAGACATCTCAAACATCGAACGCACCGATCTCAAACCCTACTGCCTCCTCCTAGAAACTAAAGACAAGCGCTATCATCTAGCATTAAAGAACGACGAAGAATTATACGGGTGGCAAGATGACATCTACTCGCGAAGTCCGTTAATGGGTGTGAGTAACCCAACAAACTTTGTGCACAAAGTGCATGTCGGCTTTGATCCTGTGTCGGGTGCTTTTACTGTAAGCATTTATCGATCCTCACTTGAATTCTCTTCTTGCTTAACATAGAGACACTCCACAAGGGCATGCCCGAGCAATGGAGCAAACTACTCACGAAATCGGCGATAACTCGGGAGGACTACGCCAAAGACCCCCAAGCCGTATTGGACGTACTGGAGTTCTACACTGACCACCAGAAACGGGAACTGGAAGAGATGGGAATGGGAATGATGCCGGTATCGCGGTCCATTTCGGCGAGCTCAACTCCTTCGACACTCACTGCGTCTACATTGGTTGGATCAACAATATCCTCGCAGACACTGTCCCCATACCCAGGAGACGCATCCGGCGCTACACCACGATTTAATGCAGGGACTGGGCTTGCAGGCTCGGGGATCACCAAGGTTGGATCATCGCTCGACAGTCGACCACAGGCCAAGCGGCAGGACACTGCGCCACCGGTCCTGACAGTTGATGGTGGCTCGGTAGGTGGTCAAAATGGACTTTCGACCACAGCACTCGCTGCCGCACGGGCTGCAGAATTGGTGAATGGTTCGCATGCGCAGTATTCTAGTACGATATCTTCTGGACAATCGAACCCCGCGATGCGTGGTGCGATTCCCCAGCTTTCGACCGGTTTGCAGCCTAGTCGCCCTGCTCCTCCCCGTCCATTGCTGACAGGTAACCGACCTGCGCCGAAACCCCCGTTAGCTGATCATACGCCCTCGTCTGCTGACCTTCGTGCCCGTGCGAAAGCACACGGCCCGTCGGAGCAGGCACCGAAAGTTTCGCTCGAGAAGATGCCTATGCGCAAAGAGTCACTTACGACTATGACACAGAAAGAGCAGAAGGACAGGGACGACCGGGAGAGAGATAGGGAGAGGGAGAAGGAGAGGCAAAGAGAGAGGGAGAGGGAGCGTGAAAGAGAGCGGGAGCGGGAGAGGGAGAGGGAACGAGAGCAGGAGAAGGTAAGGGAGCAACAGTTAGCGTCTGTCGAAGCTTCTCAGCGACCGCCTATGACTCCTGCGAAGTCTGCACCTGCAACGACTCACGCTGCAACTCAACCGGCACTTGGAGCTGCTGGCGCGACCGCTGGACCTCCCCCTGTGAAGCCTCTACAGCCCGTGAAGAAGAAGGAAGCCCAAGCACCAGCCATTGCTGTGACAGGCCCTGCAGACGACGACACCAAGGGAGGTGGAATTGCTGCAGCTGCCGCGGCGCTGGAGAAACCCAAAGAGAAGGAGAAACGAATCAGCACGATGACGGAGGTACAGATCATGGAGAAGCTGAGGACTGTTGTTAGCAAGGATGATCCAAAGGCATTATATAGCAAGATTAGAAAGGTTGGGCAAGGGTACGTGGTTTCCGTAGCACACCTTATTACTGAGCGCTGAACTCTTTGTCAGTGCCTCTGGTCACGTCTACGTTGCCAAGTTAATTGGTTCTGACAAGAAAGTTGCTATCAAAGAAATGGATCTTTCGCATCAACCTCGGAAGGAGCTAATTGTCAATGAGATTTTGGTCATGAAGGAATCGCAGCATCCCAACATTGTCAACTTTCTTGAGTCGTATCTTGTCAAAAATAACGAGTTATGGGTTGTCATGGAATTCATGGAGGGTGGTGCTTTGACGGATATCATAGAAAATAATACATTGGAGGAAGATCAGATATCCAGTATATCTCTAGAAGTAAGTATTGATCATCAATATGTCGATGTCATGTATGACTTAATTGTTTCTAGACATGCAGGGGATTGTGTCACTTACATAGCCAATCGATCATCCACAGAGATATCAAATCCGATAACGTGTTATTGGATGCTGAAGGCCACGTTAAGATTAGTATGTTTCCTTTGTTTCGTTTTGCAAATCGATTTTGACGCTGGTCTTGTAGCTGATTTTGGTTTCTGTGCTAAATTAACGGATCAAAAGTCCAAGCGCGCTACGATGGTTGGTACGCCTTATTGGATGGCTCCCGAAGTCGTAAAGCAAAAGGAATACGGTGCGAAAGTGGACATCTGGTCACTGGGTATCATGGCCATAGAAATGATCGAAAACGAGCCGCCTTATCTCGATGAAGAGCCGTTGAAAGCTCTGTATCTGATAGCGACGAATGGCACACCGACGCTGAAGAAGCCCGAAGCACTTAGTAAGGAGCTTAAAGACTTCTTGAGCGTGTGTTTGTGTGTGGATGTGAGAAGCCGAGCTAATGCCAGTGAGCTCTTGAAGGTGAGTACTAGTTCCCAGACTATATATATCCGTTAGTCATGACAACACTGACGGTGTTGATTCTATAGCACGAATTTTTGGAGAAAGCATGCCCATCGTCTGGCCTAGCACCTTTGCTGCGGTCCAAGGCGAAGTCATCATGATGATTTATCACCACCCCGTTGTATCAATTTCGCACATGGCCAAGTTGTAGCTCAGTCGTGGACTTTGCGTAGTCTTTTCTCTTTTTTTCTTCTTTTTTTGCTTGTTCTCCTAACTGTGCCATTCTCTATCATTTCCTTTCCTTTTCTGAACACGATCTATGTATGACTTGACGTTGGGCATGCAGGCCTTGACCTTCTCTTCTATATTCTGTCCATAGTTTTCCTTGGAAATGCGATAGTGTACTTCCTAATGCGGTACCTCTTTAGATCTTATGTCGATGTCCTGCTATGCGCCATATGTAAGACTCCTACCGCAAGCAGCATCAAAGACAAAGCGACGCTTGACCTCGGTAAGACACGATTAGTTATGACATGGGTGAAATTTTGCATAGTAGGTCGTACACACAACTGCGACTCTAGTCTATGTCTTACATTGAAAATAATGGCGGTCAAGGCAAAAGGCATGTACGAGAAGAAGTGTAACATGGATACAAGGCGAGCATATAAGATGCGTTGGGCATAGTTCAAGATCATCATAGCGACCCTTAAGAGCATAGGCATTGTTGAAAATCAAAATTTACCAATAGCGAGTATGCGATACAGCGCATTGGCCTCTTCGAAGCGGGCGTTGCGAAGTGTGAAGTGAGCCATTTCAGTTGAATCGGCGTCCGAGGAGGCATCTACCATCCCACCCTTGAGGAGCGAGTTGTAGAACCGACAAAGCTAAAGAAAGAAGGAGGCTATTAAGGGATAGATCAACAAACTGTAAGGTGTGATACTGACGTGCTGGACGCCCTTGGCGAAGCGGTCATCGCTGATAAATCCTTCCTTCTCTTCTCTTTCCGCGTTATCGAGCCAGTTTATACTCTCGTGTATAAAGCGACCGAGGACTTCGATCCGTATCAGATCAGCGATCGTCGTTTGTCCACCTGTTGATGTGTCAGTGATACTGGTGGAGTCGCGGAGAAGGCGTCCGAGGAGGTCAAATGAAGGCAGGGTTGGCGGCAGGTATTTGAGGACATCAAGATAGAGCGACAGGCCTTGCGAGGTTAATTCGGATGGAGACAAAGACAGCAAAGCGATATAGAGGGGATAAGCTATATTAGGATTATTAGAGACAATGGACGGCAGGTCCATGGAAGTAATCATTGGCGGCGATGTTAGTTGAGGTATAAGAGGAGTCAGAATCTGAGCAGGAAACAATGTGCGTATGTCAAAAAATGGGAATATATTGAAGTGATGATAGTTATTCTTACGCGTTGTTCCGAAAGTGTCAGTACGCGGTCACGCGCAGCCAGTAATAATTTCATGCTTCGAGCAATCCGCTCGTTCTTATCATCTTCTTCGGGTGTGATCTTGTGTTCCAAAGATACATGCGACGTTGACGGATGAGTTATGTTTTGCTCATATGCTTCTTTACCATTAGAGTATCGATGATCACCTTCTTGCTCCTTGTGTTCGATAGCCAAAATGTCTCTGTAGATCTAAAAATAGGTAAAACGCCGTGGATAGGAGTAAAATCCGCCACATACGTGGTTGGCTCCATTATAAACACTTCTTCGTCCAAGGTCAGATTGGAAGCTCTGAGCTCGGGGGGTAAAGGCGAACGTGCGAGAGTAAGTGGAGAGTAGGGACCGATCTGCGATGACATCAGCTTTCTTCGGACAGAATGCAAGATGGTATAACATACATCATTACCGTCACCTTTCAAGATCTTCCACAAGACCCATACCAATTGCTCGTTTTCGCTGGATCCGCCTCCGCTTGATGTTTGCACTGCTTGCTCTCTCTCTTTGAGATAAGTAGCAAACAAAGCAGACTTGAAAGGGTTGATGGATATTGGATGGGGCGCATATAGCGAGTACAATATAAACGAGACGAGAATTCGCTGAGCGAGCTGGGTAATAAGAGCGACTAGTTGAGTGGCAAGTGTGATATCAGATAAATTGGACAAACTTCATTAGGGTAATTCAACAAAGGTAACAACGCGTCAAGGGCCAGCTGGAAACGCGAGGTTGGCTGTACTAATTGGGCGAACGATTGCGCCGCTGTTGAGCAAGGCAAGTTATGAGCTCGTGAGAGCATGGGGCCAACTGACGCCCGAAGGGGATCGCCCGTTGACGTTGGCGGATGCGCTGGTGATGGAGACGACAGAAGAGGCGTTGTCGTTGTCTGTATCTTTGGGAAGAAACGTGAGCCCGCCATTTCGAGCATTGAGCCGGCTCTGGACGTCGAGGGCAACGGAGACGGAGACGTCGTCCAAGTCATCGGACCCGTTCATGAGCTCGCTCTTCGGAACCCTTGCCTTATCCGACCCGCATCCAATCCTTTGCGCTTGTTTTGCTCGTGGCAACATGCACGCACTAAATTAGGCAACTGAGTAGGAACGTTGGCTCCCACTGCCATCCGGAATCCATCTGCTTGATCGTTAAAGCGATAAGTCACCGTGAAACGTCCTCGGTCTTCCGAGAGAATTTGCACAGCATATCACACCACGGCATAAGAAGGGGCTTGAGCCAACCTTGGTCTTCAGTCTTCCAAGTTCATGCGCAGGCAATAGCCTTGTGTTGGAAATGCGGAAGATAAGCTTGAAAGTTTGCAGATACCGGGATAACATAACCGCTCAATAATAGACGAATATGGCCGTCCAATGTGAATTTGATTTTGTGCTGCTTTGAAAGTTGTGCGCTCATATTATCACTGTGGGACCTGGTCACAGCAATCTACTTGAGGCAACCTAAAAAGTCACTAGCCTGAGGACTCGATGAAGTTTAGTCGGACAAGGCAGCCCGAATCAGTTATCACCTCAAGGTATCGGTACTCAGAGCCGGTATCTCCACTTCCCTATAAGCACATCCTCACTTGGATACTGCATTCCCAAGTGGTGAATAGTTGCAGACACGGCGTACCTTTGATTCTCCCAGAATCTGTCAAGAGGGGCCATGCCTAAATGGGAAGCTTACGTAATCTGACCCGTTGGTGTCTGTGGCGCTGACTACTGGCCTATCGTTTGCTTTGGATGTCTCATGATCCATAATGACTTAGTCTTCCGACTTGCCTGGTAAAGCAATACTGCGGACGATTGTGCGAAGACCCGTTTTCCCTCGCGCTTGCAACAGTCTGCTTTAGTCTTCCACAGTCCTCTTTAGCCTTCCACAGGTCTCTTTATAAATCACCACGACGACCCGTTGGCTCGCCAAGCATTCCCTTCCGATACCACCAACTCACAGGGCGTTTCCAATTCACAATCAAGCTCTAACCACTACCAGTAACACCACTTCAATCCGAATAACCTCCAATGGACAATACGTCCGATACAACGAGCCAGCCCGACAAGGTTTCGATCATTGATTAATATATCCATTCAAATGCGCTGATATATAAAGCTAGTCCATATTTCAACATGTATTTTTCATCATAGCCATCGCTATCATCGCGCTGGTCGTTGCGTGGAGGTGAGTAGCTACGGTCAATCAACAGAAACAATGCTCACATATGGTGACCCGTCCTTTGATTGATATAGAGCGTACTTGCTCAAGAGAAGCGGTCGCCCACCGGGCGACTTCTTCAATTTCTCGTCGTCATTTGCCAACCGGCGTCTACCCCGCACTCAGTCTGACGTATACAACCAGCCTCCCGACCAGTTCTCTCCCCCATTCGCATACCCATCTTTGTCTCCCCTTCCTGTGCCCCATCGAACTCGTAGAGTTCGTGCAGCAGACATTGATGCAGGTGGACGCAGATTGAGCCCAGAGGATGGTGAATGGGATCATAAAGATGAGCTGCCCGCATATGATAGTATAGGAGGTCCACCAAAGTATGTTGAAGCTGAACTACAAGCCTCACAGGCGCGGGCGCGGGCCGAGCGTAACCCATTCTTAAGTCGACCACAGTCTACTTCTGACCAGCCAGCTTTGAGCCTGAACGATGTGCCAACTGGTGCTATCCCCGTGGAACAGCACCAAATGGAACCAACGGAAGATCAGCGAAATCCTTGGAGCAGTAGTGTTGTCAGAGGCTCGTCGCCAACCCATCAGGGTGACCGTCCTCTCGTTGATGCCTGAGTCTGCATCATCGAGATCATTCATGTGTATTGTATTACTTTGTAGCTTTACTGTTTACTGCTTTGCCTATACTGGCTACATCTGCTGAATTGATGATCATGCTCTCGATAGTACGTGACGTAAACACGATACTTTGTCTCATGTCCTAGTTAGCTTACCATACAGTATTTGGATGAATACATTATATTGTATCGTGGTTATCATGCCGAGGTCAATGAATGGTCAAACTTGGAGCTTTGTGTTGTGTGAGGCCCAATGAGGACTGCTCTAGGCTGGTAGCACACTGGATACTGTTTCCACGGTTCCACATGCGGCGATGATCATCATTTCTGCGTTCAGTAATCGGGAAAACCCGACTACACGCTGCCACTACCATTAACTACCACTACTCGGTAAATCATTATCAGAGCACGTTTGGATGTCAATAGCGAACCATGGATCTCGAGCCACTCGGAATGGACAAAAAGGCTGTGATGATATTCTGAAACTTGATAAACCTCGATATCTGGTGCTTTTAGGTGAATTTTGGGTTTATAGCTAGGGGTGCGTGTTTTTGTGCAAGTTTTTGCAGTCTTGGAGGTGAACAGCTTTTTGATCTCTAGAAGACCTGTAATTACCCGCTTACTTCCAGAATTCGCCTGCACGTTGCCATCAACTACCACGTTGCCAATCCACCCAGCCAGAACTATCTGAGCGTCCCTGGTATCGAGTCACGCACCCTCAGGTTGTTATGACTGGGTGGATCAGTGTCACAGTGATCATGTGGATATCAACACTATCTGGTGTTCCGTCTCAGCAAGTTACTTCGGTGAATATTGTTCATCAGTTGGGGTGTATGCGTTGCATTGCATTGTCTATTGCAGTCTTTGAAGGTGAAACAGGTTTTGAGATTTGGAAAAACTGGAGCCACTTGATTACCTCTTAGTAACTACTGCACGCTGATATCATGCCCAAGTCAGGTGCTTGAGACGGAAGCTGGTGCTTATGGGCTGGGGAATCTGCGTGACTGTTTGTAGTCTTTACGAAGGCGAAAGATGTCCTGAACAGTGAAATATACCTGACTGTACGCATTTCCCTTGCGTTGATGCCTACATTCAGAACTAATTAAGCATGCATGCATCATAGTTCCAAGTCAATGAGATGAATGGTGATCGTTCGGAGACCGAATGGTATCGACATTGTGCCCCCGTATAATACTTCACTTAGGCCTTCGACATTTGCTGGAGTATATGCGTGATTTCTGTTGCTTTCGTAGTCCTGGAAGATGAGTATGTTAGAGTTGTATAATGTGAGCCACTCTGTATTTACTTTTTATCGACATTGAGAATATTACACTAGCTGGTCGCTTATTGCTACCTCTACCATATTCACACCCCATTCCTTGACGTCCAAGCACCCAGTAAGGTCTCGATAGAGTGTAAAAGCGTATATGAGAACTGGCCATGTGTTCGCGCAAATTCCCGTGTGCCTCCCAGAAGAAGCTCCCGAATCTGTGAGCTTTGCGGATAGACAATGCAGGACATGAAATGCGGTGCATGGCCACCCAGGTACGAGTGTATTTCGACGCGAATGTCTCAGTGTGCATCCAATTTGGCATTCGTCCACCCGGAGTGGCCACTCCGGGCCAAAGCTCACTTCTGACTTTTAGATTATATATAGCGTGTATCTTGGACCCTTCACTCTTCTTCCTAACGCTTTTACTAGATCCAATCCTTGACTTGCCCCCTCATCTCTACCTCCACCTCACCCCATAAACCGGGTCTTTGGGTAAGCTACAATACACGGGTCCAAGGTAGTTGCTTGTAAACTAAACGCGTCTATCCAGGGATTGCGAGTGAACCATTCGACGTCCCCTCAGAGCCCACGTCTGCTCTCCGAGTTACTCCTCGAAGGATTTCGCAACACCTCATTGCTACACCCTCTATCATCCACATCCATAACCTCAGCGCATCATCCTCTACCTCCAGTTGTCGAACGAAGTGATGTTTGAGGAAGAATATGATTTTGAGCTCGAAGGGGATTCTCATTACGAGCCTCGTACGATATGGGATTTACTCGCAGATGCGTGCGAAGAAGGACAACAGTATTGGGCTAATCATCCAGACGAGGTAAGTATTTTCTCTTTCTCTTCGAATGGTATACTGACATCTTCTTTACAGGGTCCAAATGAATCCCAACAGGTAAGTTTCAATGTGGCTTTTTATTGTGAAAGACTGATGCTGACGTTATTTTATTTTTTATCATAGAAAGTCCAAGAATATATATGGGACATTGGTCTCATGAAGCGTCCCAAGGCTCCAAAGCTAGAGGTATGTTCATTTTTCTTTATTATCATCGTATCATCACATTTCTAACTACTCTTTTCTTTAGCTTAAACCCGAAGGCGAACCTACTCCCGTGCCGGTGCAAGTCATCTCACGATGGCGCTCACTGCGTACCACAGCTGCTCTAAAGCTCAAGCGCACTGGTGGTGAACTCAAGACCCGCTGTTCTCGCTTACCATCCTCCTTACGCTCGCCAACGGTCCCAGCCAAACGATGGCTCAGCAAAGTCTCTAGCACGGTCTCTATGTCGCTGCCTATGCAAATAACCCGCGGCGTCGTCCGGTCCTCCTCTAGCCTCTCTTCTAGTACGACGCTATGCGATACGATGAGGATCTCGACGCTGAGTGCAAGCACCGCCGTGTCTACTGAAACCGTGGAGTCGGGTAACAAAAAGGTAATGTATTATCAACGTTTCTCGTTCTATCAATATAGCAGCAGATTACTGACTTTGTTTCTTTGTTTACAGAAAGTGCGCTTTGCAGAAACTCCGACATATTTCGAGTTTCGGGTCAAAAAGAAGAGGAGTCGTGTGGTCCTTCGTTCCAGAGGATCTTGGATGACAAAACGAAACGTAAGTAATTTTCATCTCTCGTTTCATTTAACATTGCTAACTCACTGTTTTTGTTCTTTATCTAGTTCCCTGAACCTATTGTGTCACACGTTAAGCCCAAGTCTCTTGAAGACATCGAATCCCAAATATTTGAACCCAGCGAGAACGAGTTGTTCGGTATGGACATGCTCGCAAAGCTTCTCGATGCTAGGGCAGCTAAGGCAGCACAGCCTGCCAAGCTGACGTTCGAAGACCCCGCACTCCTTCCATGGCCTTCAACTACCTGTGGCCTTCCCAAAAAACCGTCCCAGACGCTCCTCACTGCGCCTTTAAACACAAAGAAGTCTCTATTCGAAGATGAGGATGAGGAGGATGAGAAAAAGGTTGTACCGTGGTACTCTTGGGCATCGATTCGATGCAGGATTGAATGCGAGTTGTTGACACTTGGTATTTGGTTGATCATTTGGTTCTGTATTTTTGGTTTATTATTCATTCATATCATTCGTGTTATCCTGCGCATCCGCTGATTGAGTTGTGGGTCAGATCTCTCTTTTTTCATGTTTTGTTCTTTGATGCTTTCATTTCGACCGAGCCCCAAGAGGCCGCGATCTCGCTTTCTTTTCTTTCTTGTTTTGCAGCATTTTCATCTATTGTTCAATTTCCTCTCATTATGCTACTTTGCTCTCTCGTTATGCTTATATCTCATTCATCGTTATTATCATCAAATTGCCATTACTAACTTGTATCGATAGCTGTTTACTCTATGCCCTTATATGATACGGAATCTACGTCTCAAATTTAAATATATGACTATATAGTTTTGGATCTCTTTGAATTTTGAGTGAAAGTGATTGTTGAGAATGACTAACTTCCTTCTAGTCTGTCGCACGGCCTGATGGGAGACTAAGAGTGAAAGGGCGCATCAATTTTCATATTTATTAAGCAGTAAGTGATCACATGAGTACCGAGTAGTCTCCAGAGAAATAACGCTGGACAATATCAATGTCCTTATGAGTGTCTATCGAAGTATTGTCCCTTACACTTCACTGGCTTTGACTCGGAACAAGCGACAATCTCTGCAGCCGATCCGACAAGTTTGTTTGGTCTCGCGGCCCCGTCGTGCATTTACTGAGGGTCCCTGGGGTCCACAAATAAAAGCTTACCCGCAGGGGTGGTGGGACCAACTTGAAGGACCAAGATAAAGCTTTCAAGCCAGTGCGAATCAACAATTCTTTCATCTAAGCCACAATTAAATCCCTTAGAAAACATATGGCTGAACAAGCTCCATCTAACTCATCGGATGCTACTTCTCCAGCGCGAGGTCGAGGCCGAGGCAAATCTCGCGGAGGACTAGGCAAATATCTTCGTGCGCGAGGACGTGGAAGAGGTTTCGGACGTCCAGCACAGTTCACTCAACGTTTGGTACTGGAAGACGAGGAGACGATAGAGCTAGATCCTGACTCTGAGGAGGCGAAAGAGCTGCAACGCAAGTACGCGCGGAGGCAGCTGGGATCAAACGCTGATCGGTACGCCGAGGTTGAACCTGAACTTGGATCCGATGGTACGTGATTTCTGGGTCGTTGATATTGAGGACGACTTTTGAGAGTGTATTTCTCATTTGAATTCTAACGTCGTTTGCCTTGACCTTAGGCGAAGAAATACGCGAGCCTGAAGTTGACCTGTCAGCTTTTTTGGAGAGGCAGAAGCTGTCAGACGATTCTGGACCGTCGACCGTATCACCACCTGTGGATGACGACGACGATATAGATCACAGCTTAGACCATATATCCTCACATCGACAGCCCGTCTCTCAGTCAAAAAAAGGACGAGTGCAGACGCTTGAGTGGGACGAAGCCCTCGAAGAGATGAGCCGCGAGAAAGCAGCTGCTGAGGCGACCCGAGGTACGTTGATGCAGTACAATTTCTATAAAACGTGATCAACAGACAATACCTAGATCTGAAAACGAGGTTTCGGGCAAAATCAGAGAAACTAAGGCTGAAGCCCGCAATTCTGGGGAGTAATCGAGAACGCAAGCTAGGTCGGTGTAACATAGCCCTACTTATACTGTCACAATGACATAACTGCTGACACGATACTACGAAGACAATGGGTATGTCGAGGCACCGCCATTACCTGTCGAATCACCACGCCAGGCAGACCCAAAGACTGAGATGCAAGACTTTTTGGACGACCTACTGGGTTAAACATGATTCGATACACTCTGTTAACTACTTTCGTTCGATCAGGCAAGTTTGTTGATGTCTCGTTTCGAGCTGAATTTTTACATTGGCCTGTATTGTCAGGTTTATCTCTCGCGAACGGGTCCCGAGATGCGTACTACTTGCTGATAACGCCATCTATTCTGTGGGATCACGGCGCATGTTGTCTATTTGCGCACGCTCAGCTAGGTCAGTGTCACCACTGGTGGTCGATCCTATAGCCGCGTGTGTATAGGACAATGCCTTGCTTTAAGGTGGAGACAGGCAGGTAACTAGAGAGAAAATGGTATCAAGAAATAAGTTTGATTCGAGTGGCTGCGAATGGAGAATGCTCAAGATATTTACGAAACATACATTGTGCAAGACTGAAGTTCGGTACCACTTTTTTTTTTTGTAAAAAACCACAGTGTCTCACAGGGGGAAAAAACAAAGTACTCAAATGAGAGTACAGTTCCAAATATTGATGAGCAGCTTTATAATGAAGGCGTCACACGGTAGGCCCTAGTAAAAGGCGAGGGCCTAGGTATTTTGTGGCACCCTCTGCTGCTTATCATTCAACGGATATCCAACAGCGTCATAGAGGAAATATGGATTTTTGCTTGGTCGGCGGGTAGCAATGCCGGCATTACGACAAATCTCAGCCACGGTCTGTTGCTTCAAGCTTTGGCCGACCGTACGATGGTAGGTGGTGCGGGTAAGTCAAGGCCATAACCTATACGATTTTTCAGATGGGAAGATTGGTTGATTGTCGCCAAAACCCAGCTATATCAGTGCTTGCACTATGCACTGCGCTCGCAGCTTGCATTTATCTATACATTTTCTTCTCGTTTCCAAGCAATGTTTGAATCCATACTACGGGCTGACGTATAATAGCCATAATTACCCTTGTTCGATGCTTTGAATCCCTTTCAAGCTGGCAGCTTAGAGTAAACACAAAGATCTGTTCTCTAAGTAGGTCACGATGTTATGTCTAGGACTCTCCTATGTTGGTATTGCGAAACTGCTGCGCAGTCCTCCAGCAAGCCGTCCATAACTGGGAAAATTATGATGTGGTGTCGAATGTTCTCCATGACCTGGATTGGCAAACAGTCGGCTCCGTTAGGCATGTCAGCAAACATCGTAAACATAGCAGCCAATGACTGTCTTGCATTATTTTCTAGCTGCTCCATGGATTAACCAGATCGCGAAACTATGTCAAAGAGTCCTTCCTTGGCTTGAATTTGTGAGAATCGCCGGCATAAGTTCCTGCAGCTTCCATTATATCTATCAAAGCATAATTATACATGGAGATAACTGTAATGATGATATCGGTAAGGGCAATTCAACTTGACATAGAACATATGTGAATACACATCGTCAATACGATAATACGATATGATATATCGCCGACATGAAGTGACCATACTCTCGGACCTCAATGGAAAATGCCGCCATTACGCCTGACTTCTCTCAGGGCGTAATGGGAAAATAATTGTCCCAGATGAAAGCACGTTTCGTTTATCATTTGGCGAGGCGCCGAAGCCATGGTTTACTAGCGCAGCCATGAACAGAAATTTGATGTACCTGGAAGATACCGAGATAATTAATAGCTTCCTCTACACCAACTCTCACCAACTCGAGAATCTTAGATTTGCATTATGTTCGGCAGCCTTTAGGCTGAGGTGTCTCGCTCGTTTGATTTTAAGTTGTTTAGCATTCTTGGAGGTGCCTAAGCCAGTTTACCGGACTTTGAAAATCAATTGGTACGGAACGACCCGGCTCCGTGGCTGAGCGCTGAGCGGCCAATATTTAGTTCTCTCGAGGCTCATGTTGTCTGGTATCTATTCTTCACATGAGAACGCTGCCCCAATCTGCACAAATTCTTCATATGACCGCTTATCAGCATGACCGCTTATCAACTTGAAAGAAAAAAGAACTCCCGGAACATCCAGCATTAAAGGACATCCGAGTTGCTGGGCGTGATCGCCCACAAATTATCAGCCCGAAACTTTATCATTGTAATAATGAATTCATCCTTTCGAATTGCGATAGATGCTCTGGTATTCAGCGCTTTTCAGCTAAGTGTGGGCCTGAGCGCTGATCATCGGAAGGGGCGAAACCCCGGACACACATAAAAGGTATGTGTATTATCGGTCTCATTTGCAGTCAGCATAAGTTGTTACACAGCTCAAAATTACATCTCAGAAGAAGCATAATAATTCATTTTACGCATGGATAATCACTACTTTAGTTTATTATTTGAGATTGTATAGCTATAGTCAGTGCTGAAATCGTAACTTCTATAGGTACTTCAAGCTACGATGATATGGATGTGGTTACAGAGGTTACAGAGACAAGAATGGTAATCTGTATGTTTGTGTTGTTGTTGCAGCATGGCTGGAAACGTACTACAACATTGACTAGAGGCTCTAACCACGACTGCAGTGTATGAAGATAAGTCAGCCTACTCACCCTTCGGAGTTGTCAAACATTTTGCAGTGTGATTCAAGTTATTCATGGTTCGAGGCCATTCCCTGCAAATGTTTCCCAACACCTGCGGGAAATGGTGCCATTATTGCGTGGTCAAATATAAGACGGGGGCCTTCTATGTTTATTCAGTGCCTTTTCTGTCGATCTATTGGCTGTTCTGGCGCTGAATAACTTGTATTCATCAAGGTTGTGTCTCTTGCATTCACGAGCACCTATTTGCACGGTATGCTTACTAGCTTTCATGTAGCTGCCGTTACCGATACCTCGGTCCTCCTTATCAGTGCCTCTGGCGTCTATGCACGGCGCTATTCCAAAATTAGACCATTGCATTGGTATTCCGCAGTGAGTCTTGTTCACTTTCGTGACCGTCTACCTTGGTATTCGTGCTATTTCTCTATCACGTATCCTTCAACCGGGGGCTCCTTTTTGTCCCAAAAAGAAAAAGCAGTGCTTTCGGCCACACGCTACCCTGAGGGAAAATGAACAATACTGGGATGACGCGCGTTTAGACGAGCGCCAATCGGAATGATTGCCCATCATCTGAAAGAGGAAACTTCACAATGTCAATGACTTCAAGGTACATTCATATATGATAGTTTGGCATGGTGCTTGGAGGCTGAGAGCAATGACTGAGCGCAGATATTCGGAAAAGATGGTTTGCCGACTCCATATGAATGCGTGAGATATGTGTGCCTCTGGTCAGTATCTCTGTAATATGTTTGGGTACGAACTTACGCAGTACCTAAAGGATTTTCCATACAGGTACTTTCGAGTCACCGTGATGCAACCACAGATATGGCATGGATAAGCTGTATCGTAATTGATTCGGACCAAAATGTCCACTCATTACATACGTACGATCCGTGATAACAAATATCAGGAAATGTGCCGCGCGTGGGTCACGAGGCACATGAGGGTACAAGCCGCGATCATTACAGTGTACGAGGAAGACAATCCATCTGCAACTCCGCCGAAAAAAATAAACTATCCAATAACGTGGCTGATTCTTCCGTCTTTCTTTTTACAAGCCTACAAACGACAACCAACGTCCTAATATCATGAGCGGTTGGATTTCTGAAGGTAATCTGTATGTTATTTGTTGATATATCGTATCAATTCTTTAGTTCCTGGTAATACGACGGTGCTTTGATATCTCCTAGATTTTCAACATTTGATGGGCTATCTTCGTCAGCTGAACATGTTCTTTTCACTCACGACCATAGCCATGCACTGTTGGAGATGGTGCGCTTCCAGTTTCCATGCATTTGTTGTCCCTGACATACCAATTATTCCGTGCGATCCAGGGCCGCTTCAATACCTATCGCCTTCTTGCGCTGAGGATGTGCGTGCCCAAGGATTCCTGATTAAATTTTCTTTGACATGTCTCCGTGATATGTCTAATTGTCCGTTGCTTTGATTGCCCCTATGCCTCAGTCACAAGTTCAATGGAAGTTACAGGTACCATGTCCAGATACATTCCCAACGATTCAAGAATACAAGGAAAGATCTGATCGACGAATCGCTCTGCTTCATGATGTTGTCTCGATAGGCTCAACAATTTTCATTGTCAGTCACGAGTTCAAACCATAACCATAGAAGGACACTCAACAATCTCACAGATACTTCACAGGACCAGCTAGGTATGTCTGGTTTCCACTTGTCTTATCCTAATGACATGCGGAATGGAAGCTACAGTCATTCTCACGAATTTGGGCCACTGAAGATCCCCTCGCCCAACGTCAGCCTAATAAGTTATCAATTATCTAGCTCCTTCAACAAAGTTGGCAATATGGAACCTCAAAGTGGAATGTAAACCACTTAAAAACTGTTCAAACTGTACTGTGTTAATCATATGCTTTACGGAAATTCCGATTTTTCCGCTTTGCCCCAGGTGCAATTATTGACAATGCGCAGCCATCCTCCCAAGGGAGTAATTTCACCGGTATTTTTCAGTTGCGAGGTGTAAAAGGTTCAACTGACAATGATTTTATGACATGACGGGACTGAAATGTGAATGGCTAGAGCTGTATTCGATCTGACGTGCGATATACAAGCTGTCAAAGGAAAATGACGGGTACTAATGACAAATGACAAGATCAGAAGACTCGTAGCTATTACCCGTGTATGTATAAGTACAGTCTACATCGTCGACTTGAACAATACAATCCTCAAGCCCCAGTCTTACAAGTCACCTCAGCGTACTTATCTTCCACAATGGCTGAGTGAGTCCTCGCCTTACAGGATTACTCCACTCCATACTCATGTTGAATTTGTCTGCCGCCTAGATACACCCCCCTCACCAACAACGTTACCATCCAGGGTATCGACGGGAAATATTTGAAAGTCGTTGGCGATGGCCTTGAGTTCACCGACCAGACATATGACCCCAACGCCAAATTCTCCGTTGAAGCAGCCACCGGTGGAAACATCTTAATAGGTGGGTAATTCCAGGACATCCAACGCGGTAACATTGACAGCTTCCATCCTAGGTGCCAATGGAAAATATGTCAGGATGTACGACACCCCGAACTTCGACATCAAGTGCAACGCGTTGAACAGTTCCGATGGTGTCATTCTCGGAACTGTCTTCGTCGGCGATGGTTTGGTGAACTTCACCATTACCGAGCAAGGCTCCTTGAGTCAGCAAACTGTGTTCTTGTCCAGCCTGGCTGGTACTAAGAGCTACAGTCAGTCCCTCAGGGCTAACGTTTTCGAGGATGTCACTTGCCGTTTCACGATTACGAACGTGTAGATGAGAGAATATCGATGGGCTTGACATGAAATGGCCAATGTTATAGTGTAGGATACTGTAGAGATAGTTGGTTGATGATCGGTTTGTTTGATGAAGATTTGTAGCGAGTCGGAATGGTCAATTAGTGTGTATGTTTCCGCGTTGATTCTGTGAAAAATGACTTCAATTGGTCTTGGCTCTCAACTTGAAGGTAGTCGGTGATATGTTATCACTAAGCAGTACAACGACATAATTTCCAGACTGCTTAAACTTTATTTGTTTTAAAAAAAGTAGAGTTTCAACAAACAACGGGAGTATTGAGTGTAAGTTATCATGAAACTACGAACGGAATAGCGTTTCACAGGCAGAGGATGTTGACTAAGACTTTATGGATTGTGATGATTGCCCTGCACGAGATACTGATACTTTGATACTGTGTAAAGCAAGAAAACCAGATAGAACATTCCATGTCGCTGATTTACTCGATGGCAGTTCACCGGACTTTGAAATTAAGTAGTATCGGAGCGACCCGGCTCATCAGACTTGTTTGCGGGCAAACCGGCGCTTACTGGCAGTGCACTATCATAGCAATGGTTGCATTGTGAGTCTGGATCGCTACTTTCCTGCAGCCCACCTTATTCTGGTTCATATATCTCAAGTTCGCCTCGAGCGCAGCAGAAAGTATCTATCCGCGGGGGGGATTTCGTGGTGAAAGGGGATCGGTATAATTCAAAATGGGTACAAGCGTCAATAACTTGATCAATGAAATTTTGTATTGCCACGATCGATGGATTTAAGGTACATCCGAGCTATTATGGTTCGGCATGATGCTTGGAGGCTGAGCGCTAAGTACTGAGCGTACTAATTCTAAGCATGAGCGTCAATATTCGGAAACCATGTATCGCCGGTACGTATTTGTGTTTTTTGTCAGTAGGACTTTGCCCTCGCAATCTGGTTGACAAGGTACGCTCTTATTCAGCACTGGAAAGAAATACTTCGGGGTCAGTCTTCATATTCTTCATTTCATATTCTTCATTCAGTATTTTCGTTCTTGAACAGTAAGCAGGATTCATGACCATGAGATGCATAGGCACAAACCCACGATTTTCTGCAATGTATGGGGCGACCGTAATCCAACTGCAAGTCTACCGCTTTATCAAGCAGAAAAGCATGCTATCCTGTATTCATTGCATGGTTGGTCAAAGCTGGTTATTGATCTAATAACGTATAGATATATCAGTTCTTGGCTTCCCAATGATGTGTCAACATTTCCTAAGTGTTTAACACTGGATAATCTATATTCGTCGATTTGACGCTCCCCTGCGCCCATGCGCCAATGCATACAATTAGCAAAGGTGCGCAGTCAGTTTCCACGCAGATAATGTTCCCGATGTCGATACTTCCAGGAAATACAAGGACCCTTCGTCGTCCAGCACTTTCTCGCACCGAGGACATGCTGCGTCTGATTTACAGTTTGTTTGTCATATGTCTGACATATCTGATTAACTATTGCTGATGGGGCTGTGATCCGTCCCTATGTTAAGCAGGTTTAATGGAAGTTGCAGTTACAATCACGAACTCAAACAAGGACATATCTTATTAACGTATCGCTCCGCCCCGCATTGTTGTACTGATAGGCTCAACTATTTTCAAGGATTGCCTCAAGTTCACACCAGAGAAGTGTATACGTCTTACCCCTGTTAGTAGATGCAGCTTCGCATGAGATCGATAAGGTACGTCTGCTATTGCCACTTTGTCGTATTCTGATGACATACTAAATGGAGTCGCAGCCATTTCTCATGAACTCGTGTATCACAGGGGAGTTCCTGAACACGAGACCGCTGAAGGACCTGGCTGGTCCCCAACTTCACCAATCCCGGCAGCTCGGAACCATGGAATTGAATTGAACTCGATGACAAGTGGTCCAACATATTTGTTTTTAAAAACAGGTTCTACGGAGTTGGTTATATTCCGCGGTTCGCACCATGAATTCTGAAAAGTGTGGGCTAACGGATAGTTTTGGGCGTGACATCTGTCTTGCTTGGAAAATGTGGCTTCACCGGGGTTTTCGAGTTGCGAGATCTGATAGGTATTCACGTCCATTGGGGATGATTTTATGGCTATGTCATGTCAGAACTTCAATGTGGATGAGCGGACCGCTGTATTGTCGGCCTCACACTGGCAAACAACGTGCAACGGACACAAAGTCGCATTATTGGCAGGAGCCTGATCTTCACCGTTCATTTTGCGTATAAATACAAGCCATACCACCGACTTGAACAGCACAATCCTCAAACCCCCCAGTCTTACAAGTCACCTCAGCGTACTTATTTTCCACAATGACTAAGTAAGCCCTCGCATTACAGGGTTACTCTACTCTACTCCATACTCACTTTAAATTTGTCTGCCGCCTAGATACGTCCCTCTCTCCAACAACGTTACCATCCAGGGTATCGACGGGAAATACCTGAGAGTCGTTGGCGATGGCCTTGAGTTCACCGACCAGGCCTATGATCCCAACGCCAAATTCTCCGTTGAAGCAGTCACCGGTGGAAACATCTTAATAGGTGGGTAATTCCAGGACATCCAACGCGGTAACATTGATAGCTTCCATCCTAGGTGCCAATGGAAAATATGTCAGGATGTACGACACCCCGAACTTTGACATCAAGTGTGACGCTATGAACAGCACCGATGCTGTCATTCTCGGAACTCTCTTCATCGGTGATGGTTTGGCTAACCTTACTATCACCAAGCAACGCTCCTTGAGCGATGAGACTGTGTTCTTGTCCAGCCTGGCTGGTACTACGAGCTACAGCAAGTCCCTCAGGTCTAGTGTGTTCGAAGATATCACTTGCCGCTTCATAATTGCGAACGTCTAGATAGAGAGAGAGAGAATATCGATGGACTTGAAAGGAAATGGCCAAGGTTGTAGTGTACGGTTACATGATGTTTTGTAGTGATGTCGAATGGTCATGTTTCAGTGTGTGTGTGCTTTCTTGTCGGACGTGTCAATAAGTGTTGGCCCAATCCTGACGTGCGAAAGACTTGAAATTATACCTTGCGATGCGACACGCAATGCTAATCCACTCAGGATTTTGCTAGGACGCAATACTGCAGTACTATTATATTTAGCGGATTAGCGGACTGAAGCGAAACAAGTATGAACGCTAGCTTGCGACGCTTGTTTTAGCCTTACCTTTCATTGCCAAGGAAGAACACCGTCATGGTTCGATACTAGCATTCCCCAGCCCAAGACCGAGGGTGACCAGCCCGCGCCCAGTCATTCCCAAGTAAAGTGGTCCCGTAGCCTATTTTTGCATATTCATATCGTTCTTTGTGATAATTCTAAGTAAATAAGAAGACATATTCCTGGACCAGAGGTTCCAGGTTTCCATTTCGACATTGAAGTTTTTTTTCTTCCCGGAACTTTTATACCTCTTATGTACCAATCTGCATGACTCGCCCTCCCATTTGTAAGCAATTCATATGACTTGATACTGTCTGTCGCCTCTTCACTTCCTTTGCTTTCCATTTAATATAGTGGTTTGTGTGGTAGCAGACAGAGCCAGATCCTGACATACAATTTTTGGAGCACCTACAACTTGTCAATTATCAGAGATACCTGCAAAATTGTACTTTAAATGAGTCAGTGCTGAGAAACTTTACCTCGCCGTTTTGTGCATTATAGAGATGAATGCTAATGCTTAGGTAACTCACCACAATAAGGGGACCGAAACGCAGAACAGACGGGTCCAGGTCTGCCCCGGAGGGCCATGTTATGTAGTTGATGCTGATTTCATGAAACTTACCGCATTGCAGACACTCACTGGCAGAACCTGAGGCGACTCCGAGCGACTATATTTCTATTTCCTTTTTTGGATTCTGTTTAGATAAGATAAGATAAATCTGAGTCTCAATCCCACTTTTTCGCCAACTTTCAACCATTCATTCCGAATCATGAGATAACGGTCTCTTCCTTCTACTTGGGCTTTAACAACACGCCGCCGAGCTCAGAATGTCGATGCTCACTGTGAAGACATATTTCACCAAGAGACTACATTAGTAGTGCCTGAACTCGCCGGGATGACTCGATTAAGACAAGAGAACTTCAGCCAAATTACCTGCGAAGGCTCCCGCAAAAAAAATATCGATGGCCGTGGATATGTTGAGGCTGATTCTGACTCTGAGTTTGGGTTTAAGAGGTGGAAGTAGATCCATATAACCATACACGAAACTCAAATACTCAAACACTCACTCACAGGACAAACTTACACGTTCAACTTTTTATTCTGAAAGATCACTCAGGTTGTCTCAAAACTTGTTTAGGCTTCAGGCGTTGTCTTAGGTTTTCACACAGAGCAATGTAGGTAAGCATAGCATACTCATTTCGGGCAGGGAGAGAGAGGTAGAAATTGTGTATCGTACACTGTACAGTAGGTAATCATAGGAGGAAATACGAATTTGTTTTTGGTGCACAAGTGCTTTTTAGCTTTGAGAGAGGAAATCTATGTATTGTACAATAGGAAATCAAAGAAGGAAATGTGAATTTTTTTGGCGTACGTACAGGTGTTTTGTACTTTTGAGAGAGCAAAGATGTGTATCGTACACTGTACAATAAATGATGAGGGCGAATAAAAACGAAATGTTTTTGGTGCACAAGTGCTTGAAGTTGTACTTTGAAGAGGAGGAAAGGAAATGATTTTTTTTTGTCGGTATGCAGTGATTTATTGTGTATCGTACACTGTACAGTGATTGATCAGAAGGAAGGAAACGAAATATTTTTGATGCGCACGCGCTTTGTTGTGTATTGTACACTGTACAGTAAATGACCAAGGCGAAGAAAAATGAAACTTTTCGGTGCAGATAAAATAGAGATAGATATATAGGAAAACTAGCATAAACTCCAGAGCGTTTGGGTAGGAAAAGTTAATAACACAGTAGACATATTGTATCATACATATGATAACATAGAATCATGTTAGATATGACGGAAACAAACAACACTAGAAAAATAGAACCAAAGAAAATCGAAGTGATACATAAGTCAATGCGATCTTGTGTCAAACGACAAGCCCGAGGAAGAAGATAAGTTAGGTAACAAGAGTGGATGCGAAGGTGATAATCAATGATGAGGGGTCGGTCGGATAGGCATCAATGCAACAAGTAAGACGATGAAACGTCGTGTAGACGTCGCTGATTAAGCGAAGGTGAAGTCGAAGATGGGTAAGATGACTCCCACAAGAAGTGTGGTAGTCGACTGATGGATTGTGGGGAGGGGGGTGGTAATGTGTTTGGTTACGATGAAACGTGGTTGGCATGTCGCTGATGTAGCGAGGGTGAAGTCGAAGATAGGTAAAATGACCCCCACAAGAAGTGTGGGGGTAGATGGATGAGTTGGGGGGAGGGGGGATAATGTGTTTTGGTGACGACGAAGACGCTACGATGAAACCCAACTTTGATTAACTTTCAACTCAACAACTCTTAAGGTCACAACATACCTCTAAGCAATGACGCAGTAAGTGCCCGGGCGCCAAGGGGTATCCTCGTTAACGGGGATGGAGGCGGGATCCTGTTCGACGTGAACAGTCTCAGAGGGATGAATGGTCAAGTCAAGCGTGGTGAATGAGTCCATGACTTCGATGATAAGTGATGAAGGGTGTTTGGATTGGGTTAAAGCTCGATTTATAGCGCGAGTGAGGCTGGCGGGAGGTTGGTAGTCAGGGTGTGAGCTGGTAGGCACCTTTGGTTCGCGAGGTGGGAGTCAAGAGTAAGGAGAGAAAAAGTGTAGCTGGCCCTTTATATATTCCAGCCTTGTTTTCCTCTCTCATTGTCTTGTGGGTAAGCGAGTGGCCATGTCCACCAGAATTCCTGAAATGTGGCCACTCGGCTACAGCGGCCACCGGGTAATTTTAAGGGGTGTGGACGAAGCAGTCCGTATATCACGCCACACGTAACATACTGAAACCCCTCCCGTTCCACTTGCCATCTGCAGAAAACAGGGAATGTAGGAGCCTCTGAACGATGCCTGAACGTGTTTGACAACAAAACATTTCACTTTAGGTACTAATATTGGAATCTTCAAAGTAATGCTGACTTACATTCCCGTTATTTTACTGTGCTGGCGCGTCTGAAGTTGGCGTATCGTATGTAGGTTGTCGATAAAGACAGAGTCGCAAAAGCTTTAAGTGACGGACGGCAAAGCGAGCAGTATGATGGATCATGAGGCCGATGTACAGCAGAATAACGAGCTAGCAATACAGTGTGTGTAATGCTGGACACCGTATTGACATTAAACTTTTGTGAGAAAACTAGGTTAGTACGACGATAACCACCGGTTAAAATCAGGTATGCGCTCACCTATTGATGAGGCTGATTCATAAAACTCGATAGCCTAAGGAGTCTATTGCCTTTATAACGATGGTTTGGAATATCGAAGGATATGTCGAAACAGTAGGTCTTGTGTATCGTGTCAACGCCTTTTCAATTCACTGTTTTAGACCTTCGAATGGATTGGATGAATCTGGAGAATGTAAATGTTGTCCAGTGCATGAAGACACGTCCATTGTAGCTCGGGCGTAGCACAAGAACAATGAATTTCGGGCAGTCCATGCTGGACCTGGGTCACAGGTGCGTTTGCTTTGCAAGATATAAAATAAATCCTTCTTACCCGGGGAGGAGCAGCTGTAGGTTGCAATCCTGGCTCATCCACCGTAGAGAAGTACTACGACGAGGTCTTGCCAGGACTTGAACGCTGGACGTTGAGGCGTGAAACGTGGTCAAAAGCAGTTGGTTTTTTTTGGCTCGGCTCGACATCTGACAGCCAACGAAGGCATCACACGACAGAAACCAAGGATCAGAGGCAAAATAGATGCATTCAAGGGCTACATGAAATTACTACAGTTATCAGTATGATCTAGCAAAGATTTCCAGTATTCAACAAACACCTTTAAGGAGAGACGATCTGTGACACGACAGGAAAGTAAGAAATACAGCGAAGAGAGTTGATTCAGCGTGGAAAAGTGAGTCGAAAGAGAGACGGATGCAAAATGTGCAGGGTAGTTAGAAAAAGATAAGAGTCTATGTCCGGGGACTTGGTATGATGAGTCATTTAAACATCACGAGTTTGATAACGCGGAATGGGAGATTGTGATACAATAGGATACACGCTGGGCGGTGTAAATGGCCGATGGAATGGAAGCAGGGTGGCTGGTCTTTGTTCTTCCAATGGAGAGGGGGGAAGCGATGGCGAACAATAAGTAGTATCGGACATCGACATGCTGTGGTGGGACTGAGAGCTGTCCAAATCAAATTCGCTTACAGGATATTTTGAATCGGTAGGGGACTGGCCGTCTCCTTTACTGTATTCAGGAAGGCGTGCAGATGGAAGTCCGGCAGATTTTTCGATGTCATCATCCATGTTGTATTTAGGCCGAGGTGGAGTGGGAAGGGTGTAAGCGGGAAGAGAGCCAACAGAGACACCTGAATTAGATTTGAAAGCAGCGTTCCACCTACAACAGAAAAGGTGAGTAAGAAACGCTGAGGACAGCCACACCCAAAGACATACCTGGTAGAGGCAGGAACTGATAGCTGGGGTTTGCGTGGGCTCCAACCGAATAGTTTCGCAACAGACCAGAAAGCAAGACAGTAGTTCTTTCGGGCCTCGCCTGCGAAGCCAAATATGGCAAAGAATAACAAAGCACAGGAAGGGAAAAGCCAACGAGTCATTTCAACGGATGTCTTGTACCCAGGATCGCTCGCCCACTCTACAGCTGGAATGAGCCCAACATAAGAAAAACCATAGTGCACGTTCGACCAAGAGATCCACGGCTCTAGAGTGACACCCTTGTTGCTGATATAGATACTGTAGATACTGATGGGGATTGTAAAAGCCATTTCGATCGCGGCAAGTAGCATGAGACGTATGTAGCGATTGATGCTCAAAGAGGTATTGGAGTTAACGAATTGACTGAACTCCAGGCGACGTTTATAGAAAGCGTGCAGTGTCAGGCCTAGGAAGAATTAGTAAGTGAGCTATATGGTCGTCTACCAAAGTGAAGCTAAACTAACCTGAGAAAACGAAAGAAACGCAGCCCAATAGCGAGGGCCACATGAACACAAGGAAGTATGCTGGAAGAGTGTTGTATATGGTAGGGTAGCATCCCACATTCTCAAGGATGTCAAAACGATGGCCTGTGATAGCAATGTTAGATGGACCTCAGTTAGTATGCCGTTGGATATACCTTGAACGACATAATCTAAAAGACACGATAAGCACTCAGAATGGTGGGAATAATGGCCTGGACTTACGGAGTATCATAACGAGGACAGGTATGCCTATGGAAATACAAAGGTCGATTACAAGGGCACGAACTTTCTGAAAGAAACAAGTCAGTGAAATGAAATACACAGAGATAATAACGAAGCATACATCTTGACGAGTAGTAGAGACAGTTTTAATGACTGCAATCTTGTACAGTCTTCGACTGATACAAAGCGATGCTGCAGGTATCCCAACTCCTGCACCAAGCAGAATCTTAGACGCTGAAAAGGTGTAAGAATGGTAAATGAAAAACCGACTGAGGACATGAAAAGAGACCCACAAATATCACACCATACTGGTGCAACATTCAAAGCGCTGCCATTCCAGACGACAGAATTCACGAATTCAATAAGGCAAGCCACAGCAGCCCAGATCATATAGACACAAGTGCCAGCATTCCAAGCTTGCAAGTGCCATGGTAGAGGAATGAGAACGAGGATAAAACCAAAAAATGCGAAGATGGGGAATAGTGGGTAGGTCGGGTTGACGATGTAGGCCATGTTGTTGGAACCGCAGGAAAGTAAAACTGAAGAAGACGAGAGCAGGGATAGGATAGGACTACAAAGCCTGGTATGGAGAGCTCCATCTTTTCTACGAGCTTATCCTTCGTCGGTAATCCAGGACAATGGGCGGAGTTTAGTGAACAGTCTGCATTCCCTTTGTTTGAGTTAGTGACAAGGATCACAGTGTGACAGCGTGATTTCATTGTGTTTCTAATTTTGGTAAGTTCTGTGGATGGACAATGTCTGACCGTCCCTGTCTATTGTACTTCGCTCATAATGCCTGGTTCATATAAATACCTCGATACCCCCCCATTGTGCGTCCTCAACTACCACTATCCACATCCACAAAGCTAACACCTTTTACTTGTGCAATTGCAAATCAACGTATCATCTACCATTCCGAAGATTTAACACAATAACTCACACTCTTGACTCATCACTCGTACCTCTCAAAACATGGACTCCTTTGCCACAATTTCCATCCAAGATAACTCATCTTACCTCGACGTGGACATTGAGTCCTCCATCCCTGTGAATGAGGACTCGCCATGGCGTCCTGGCACCTACTGTGTTATTGCGTAAGTAATTGTTTCAATTATTGGTGCTGGTAGCATCATGCTGACTTCCAACTGTGTCTCAGATAATTCTATGCAGAAACATTCTCCCGCCCTCCATGAAGTCTGCTATACCATCTATGCGACTCCGCTCCGCGATAGTAAGCTGTCAACGTCGCTTTGTTCCATCTGATGTCTTACCGTCTTTCTTAGCCCTCATAACTCAACCGTGACTACCACCACATCCACATTTTACATCTCTACTATCTCAGGTCGACATATTTTCTCGAAATGTATTCGCAGTGCGATAAAGCTATCCTTGTAGCAAAGAATTTCTATCTCTATCTTTATTCACTTTTATTTTCGTCTTCATCTTCTATACTTATGGCTACATATGTCTCCTCTATGCTATCCAACGACATTACATACTGTCACAACTCAGCACCTACCTCGTAGCTCTGTTCGAAGCACATTATCAATTCTGAGCTAGCTTTACGAAACTCTCTCTTGTTTGAGCGGTTTCGATAAGAAACTGGTGCAAACCATCTGTATCCACATGAATTCAAGTGTTCCGCTCCATACAAATCATAGAATCGACTCGGGACACTTTCTCCCTTATCATTGATGGCGCCGAAAATAAAAGTGAGCTAAATTGTGGAATGAAATGTATTCCGTTTTATTGAGCGGCTCAGACAAAGAAATCAAAGGAGAACGGCGCTAAGTCCAAGCACCGAGTTCGGGAGACATTGTGCTACTCATTTAGCCTGAGTATAATGTGGTGAAGTTATTCGAGTCGACACTGAAGCACACTATCACGATGCTGTGAACTTTATCATAAGATTCAGAGAGTATTATATTCTAGTCGTGAAGGGGATAAAGGTGGGTAGTTCTACGAATACACCAACGAAGGAATACTGTGGCAAGGTGATGACCGGAGATATAGCAATACAACGTGTCGATCCGTGTTTCGAAAATATGAAAATTGTTGATGTCAAAGAACGTCGTCGACAAGGCACAGCATGTCGCTTTAATGGAGGAGAGAAATCATTGAGAAAAAGAAATTATGACCGGGGAAAAGTAAGTCAAATACAGCTATGGAGTGTACGGGGATTGCTTGAGGTCCAATTCATTGTATTGGACGACAGGGAAAGTAGCATCAGAAGGAGTAGCTTGGGTCGAGCTGGCAAACTTCTCGTCGATAGTTCCCGCTAGCGAGGGTGATAGCGAGTATGGACGTTTCAAACCAGGACTCTGTTTTGCAACGTAGACAGGCAATGAACCATGAGAAGCCATATGAAGGGCGCGAGGATTAAAACTGATAAATCAAATAAAAACTATCAGCTACCGTTCCCATAATAACGAGAAAGAACAAAACTTACCCAGCAGAAGGGATCATCGGGGGACGAGAATAACCAAAAAGCTTGGCAATTCGCCAGAACACCGTGATATAATGCCTTCGCGCTTCTGCCGCAAAGCCAAAGTAGGCGAAGAAGATAAACGCGCAGACAACTACGAACCAACGCGTGAGCTGCATGGCGACGACGAGCAAATAGTTGCGAGTCCAGAGGATGGAAGGATATTGTGCGACTCGCGAGAAATCGTAGTGGGTGTTTTGCCAGCTTACCCAGGGCTCGACGGGTTGTGCAGTAGCGTTCAGCCAGATCATAAAGGAAGCGAGGGGAATGGTGCAGACGATTTCCGTCATTGCAAGTGCCATCAGTCGGAAGTAGCGACTTATTGTTAGTGAGGCGTTTTTAGATAGGAATTCGTTGAATTGAGCACGACGGCGGTAAAAGGCGTGTAGGGATAGACCTACAAAGTAATCAGAGGCTGGAAAACAAACTACAATGATGTGGAACACTTACAACAATATACGGCCGAGATTATACCAATGATGATTGGCCATATGTCAGATAAGACAAATGCGAGAGCGGTATTGTAGATGAAGGGATAGCAGCCCACGTCTTCGTAGATGTCGAAGCGATGACCTTGCACGATATATTCTGTGAGAGAAAATCAGGATAAAGTATTGTGAATGAATAAAAATAGAGAGCATACGTAGGGCAATGAAAATGAGTGGAAAGAGAACACATATCAAAGTGTCAATGAGAATTGCACGACGTTTCTGTGAAAGTGTTTAGTACCAAATAGAATAAAAAGGAAACAAACGACACACCTCTGAGCGAGTGACAGTAACAGCATGAACACGTGAGATTTGATACAGGCGACGATTGATGCACAAAGACGCAGCAGGTATGCCAACTGAAGCGCCCAACATGATGCGTATAGCTGTAAAGGACTTTAGCTGCGATGTTCAGTGAGATAAAAGAATCGAACGCACAAATGTCACACCAAACTGGTGCATAGTTGATGGCGCTGCCATGCCACACGACGGAGTTGATGAATTGGTTAAGGCATGCTAGCGATGTCCAGATCATGTAGTAGCACGTTCCCGAATTCCAAGCTTGAAGGTGCCATGGAAGGGGGATGAGGGATACGATGAAGCCAAGGAATGCAAAGATGGGGTAAATGGGGTACTCTAAGTTGGCCATAGTGATTCAAGAATCTTATGGGGAGAGGGAGAGATGCAGAGGGGATTTGTACGATGGAGCTGATAAAAGTACCATGCTTGCCGTGTCCTGACAATGGGGTTCAAGTTAGCGAACTCCAGCTACAATGAAAAATGGCAACAATGGGGGTACAGTTTCGCGGACTCTATCGATTGGGAAAACGTTCCCACGTCTTCAAAGACCATTGACTTCCATTTTGGAATTTACTGCTCCGACTGTAGTCCTGCATTATCCTGTGGGAAGTTCGTGTTACCCTTTGTCTTTGTCAAAGCTCAGAGAACCTTTATTTGAGCGAAATGGAAAAGTACGATACAACCCCCAGTCCAACCCAAAATTTTGCACGTTCATCATTTATCATTATAACGTCGACATGTTTGCACAGTTACCTGTCGTAGCCTTCTTATGCGCAGTTCTAGTGCTTATCCCTTTCCCTTGGCACTGGAGAGCTGGAACTGTGTCTACTCTTGCGATCAGTGTTTGGCTTTTTGTGAGCAACCTCATCTTCGGTATCGATGCTATCATCTGGGGAGATACAGTCTTGAGTGTAGCACCTGTATGGTGCGATATCGGTAAGTTTTTTCCTGGTCTTCCCATAGCACACTACTAAACATATTCTAGCAACGAAAATTCAAATGGGAAGCAACGTTGCCCTTCCTGCCGCCATGTTCTGCCTCTGCATGCATCTGGAACGCGTTTCTTCAGTTCGTCAGGCTAGGACGACATGCTCCGAGAAGCGTCGAAGGCAGATAGTTGATTCATTACTCTGTTTTGGCGTACCAGCAATCTACATGGCTCTCCGTTCGTACTTTTCCAATTTACCTTTGTATAGCCACTAACTCGTCACACAGATTATGTTGTTCAAGGCCATCGCTTTGATATTGTCGAAGGATTTGGATGTCGCCCGACCATCTACGTATCTGTAGCCTCCATCTTCTTGATTTGGGTACCCCCGCTATTCTTTTCTGTGGGTGCATGTATATTTGCAGGTATTTCCCTTTTTTTGTCATGCCTTGTCAAACATATCGCTAACTAATATGTAGCAATGGCGTTTAGTCACTTCTGGCGTAGGCGTGCAACGTTCGCAAAACATCTGCAGAATTCCAATACAGCACTCACCACGGGTCGTTACTTCCGATTAATGTGTATGGCCATAGTAGAAATGTTTTTCGGTTTGCTAGTAACGTCTCTCAACATGTGGTTCTCCCTTCGTGGTGGTCTTCGTCCTTGGATTAGTTGGGGCAACGTACACTCGAACTTTTCCGAAGTTGCATATTTTCCCCTCGCTATCATCCCTCAAGCTGAGCTTGCTTGGACATTCGCCTTGTGGTTTATGATTCCTATTGCGTCTATCATATTCTTTGGGTTCTTTGCCTTTGGCCAAGATGCTATGAAGGAGTACGCCGCGACGTTCGCCTGGATCAAGCATAATGTCCTCCGTTTACCAGACACGGCCAGTGCTGGCTTTGGATTTATGTCCTCGCGGTTAGTCCCTGATCACTATTGCGCGTAAACACTCTTCTGACATAGTATCACAGCCGAAACGGAGGCAATCACCCCACCCTTCCTCATATTGCCACCCTAAGTAGTTCCCAACTCCAAACTCCACATTCCCTTAGCCCTGTCTCGTACAATAAATCTGAAGAAGCAGCGATCTACGACACGAACAGCATTGAATCACCAACAAACTTGTCGCCAGCACCAGCTTACTACGCTACTTCTCCTTTCTCTTCATTGGCCGAAAAGAAAGGCGAGGGTTTTTCGATCCCTCCACACCGTACATCCTCGCTGCAGAGCACCGAGGATCATTCATTTACAGAATGCTAGCATTCCTTACGATCATTCGCTCAGATTTTGACATATGTTCTGCCCTATTTCGGATATCCTTGTATTTCTAGAGCACCAAGTTCCTACCCCAGCACTCATTTACTCATAATCTTTCCATTCTTTTTTTCCTCTCGCATAGCCCTCTCGTCCTTATCTTAGTAGCATGTATAGATCACTCATTGTCGCTTGAAAACAAACAGGTTGTAGCCTTATCTCAATTGCTGCGTGACGGCTGAACTCATGTACAGACTTAATAACAACTTGTGGGATTGGTTGTGGACTTAAGCTAGCTCACTTGGCGGATTATTCACACATATAGCTTAGACAAACATAGTAGCAACATTGGGGGTTTAGGGAAATGGATTTAGGAAGAAATGTGCATAGTGGTAAGTACTGGAACGGGTTAAGATTATGATTGGCAACCCTTGAAACGTAGAAAATAGTGGAACGATGTACGTGTCACTAAGTACTGGTATGTGTTGAGATTGAGATGGCTTTCGATACATAAGTGAAAGATAAGTGAACATGTTGATATACAGTGCCATAGGATTGGATTGAGTAAGAAACACGGGCTTGCAAAACGATGCCCAGAGAGTAAGAGATTATAACGAAAAGAAAAAAGAGAAACGGAAAGACATAGTGAATAAAGATAGCTGAAACAATAACTCTTCACCGTGGTGACCCTTTGAATACGAAGATTTAAGAACTCTGCAACTCCTACACGGTGGATGGCGAATAAATATGGCACATCCGACTTTGATACAATCCCATAAGACGACGAAGCTACAGGTCCAAAACCGTCAGTGAATCCCTAAACAGTTGAATTGGAACTTGTAACTCACAAGGATGTAACTTCTCTTCTAATCCTCAACACAGCGCTAAGCCCAATCCTCTATGCAATAACGCAGAACCAACCAACTCCCGAAGAACCGTTGTTGTCGTGTTCAAAGTTGACCATGACTGAGGCGTCCTCGCTCTGCGAGGTGGTCAGGGATGGGGAGTCGGTGGTTGTGATTTGGTGGGTGGTTGTGAATTCGATAACGGTGAATGAGTCCATTTCAGATAAGTGTGAATGGAGACTCTGGGTGTATTTGGTATTGGTATTGCAAAAGCGATCGATTGGATCAAGCTAAGAGTCAATAGACTATGGTAGACGTTGAGTAGAGCTAGGTAGACGCTGGGTAGACGCTGGGCAGACGTTTGGCAGATGCTACGTAGACGTTGGTAGACGACAATGGGGGGAATCCATTTGTTGGACCAGGGAGGCTTATATACTCTGAGGGCAAGCACAGAATTCGTCCACTGGAGTACACATTGTGCCAAAAATATCGGACAGTGGACGAATGTCTCACTTTGCCGAAGGGCCTCAAAGGCCATGTGGCCATTGTCCTTCAGGGTGCCGTCTAGCCGAGTCTTCGAACGGTTCTCACAGTCTCCTAGTGGCCACTGGATGCAGCCACATTTCCCAAAAAGGGCATACAGTGGACGAATCCAGCAGTCTCAGCCACATTGAACAATGGCCATTCGTCCAGTCCCAATCCCTTAAATACCAGCTACATTGACCTGATTTTGCAAAAGTCCCCCAACTGCGTAACTACCACCATCAGCTCACCAGCGATATTGTAATAAACTGTACCAGTCTCACTACTACTCTTACAATCTTGCATTCGGCTTCCTCATCCTCATTCAACGATGGATAGCTTCACTACCTTTGAGCTCATCGCTCCCGACGCCCCCATCTTCCCTTCCTCTGAAGACGATCAAGTCCTTATCGACGCTGACACCAAAGCTGGCTATGCTGGCTACTGTGTCATAACCTAATGGCTTCTATTCCGTCGCATCCCTCCAACACTTGAGATGGGTTAAAGTAAGTTTCTCTCTCCCATTCGTTCACTTGAACTTTTACTGACAACCTTTTTTTTATTATAGTTATCGGTCGTCGTCATCTAAGTAAAGCACTGTTATCATGTTATCGTCAATATCCAATATCCTCGCACATCCACCATTCCCACCACCAACCAATCCACGAAAGCTGCTCTACTTTAGACAGCCGGGTTCAAGTTAATTATTGCGCAGGTTGAAAGGCATAGGGTTGCGCCTGATTCGTTTTCTTGTCTACTGTATTTCCTTTCGTTTTCTCTCCTCGGTTTCTCTTTCAAGGCTATAATATTATGGATAACATTATGCACTGTATCGTTATATATTTCCTTTTTTTCGGCGCTGGTTGCATTACCTGGAGCTCATTATGCCTACAAAGCTTCAAACACTGTACTATACTATGCACGACACTACTACTAGTTCGTTGCTACCTACGATCAATTACTTACCAACATACCCTATTGATTGGAAGTTTACTCAGATAGTGTTCATTCTATCTTACTTACGTTACTTCATCTTCATGGTCTTGCAACATCTATAGCCTCGTCAACTGGGCTTTCATATCTTACGTTAGCACTAGTAGTCGTAGTGTTCCTTTTCAATCTCTCATATATTTCCCCCTCCATTGAAATTGTGTGGATCATCGCTCTAACGGCACACTGAGTACTCACCATCTAAGTTACTACAATTTCGAGCGATAAAACTAAGTGAAGTGACAGACATGAAAGATACAAGTACATCCAAGTTCGATCTAAGTTATCCCGTAGTACATCAATAAGCGTACGCAGTCTATCAATCCGAATGCATGCTAAAGACAATCATGTATTTCATTCCTTAACATGTTAAAACAGGATCCTAACCTTCGCCAGACTCGGTGAATTCTTCTCTATGATACGGTGGCGTGAGCTGCTTCTCGTTTCTCCTGTCTTCTCGTCGAGCAACAGAACGTACCTTGGATGGGTGGGTTAATTGCTCAAGGGGCGTTGCCAGTGTGTGGACGGTAGTCCCGGGCTAGTAATTGGATTGATCAGACGGATGGATCACGGTTAAAACATGTTCCCTTTGGCTGAGTCGTCCAGCAGCATTGCACTAGTAGTACTCTCTCAAGCTTGAGTTCGGGATTGAAACTGGTCTATAAGTCATCGAGTTCGAATCATAAATTCTAGTAATGTAACTCACAGTATCCCGTTTGACTGAGCACCTCCTATCCGCCTGTTGCCTTACCTCTTTTTGAGTCCTTAGAAAATTGACCGCGGACATGGAGAGATCCCTCTTTTCTACCGCACGTTACAAGGGGAGTGAGAGTGTCCTCATGGCTCTCTTTCTGTTTTGTGGGTTTCGTTGGTCTAATGAGAATGTCCATGGGGTAGGCAGGATTTTATTGTTTATCAAGACGGCTAAGAAGGACTCATCGTCATGCAAAAAACGATTTACTTACCAGCCGTTTCCATTCTCGCACCACCTTCTCACCCTCCAACACCGACTCGTCTTTGAGAATACTATCGATTGGACTTGGGGCTAAAGGAAGTCGCCCTCGTGGTCCCGTCGGACCACATCTTACAAGAGCTTGAGATGATCCACTTGGTTTTAAAGATTCTTCTGCCCGATCCTCGTCATTGTCACAAGTGGTATATTCCTCGTATATGCCTGAGCTATCTTCTTCATCGAAGCCATCGCCGTCTGTGTCTATATCTGCCTCCATAGAGCAACCATATTCATTCTCCCAGTCCGAGTCATCCTCTGAGCCACGTCCATGCTTCTATGCATTTGCTAAGGACGAAATAAACTGTTGCGTAGGCTCGGGCTGGCCATGTGAATCTTCCGTCGTCTCTGGGGCATTGCATTGGTCCGTACCAAAAAAAACTCCTTCGTCTCCTCGTCTGATCCTTTGTTTTCAGAATGTCCATCCAAACACCTCCTGTACCTACATTCGGCGGCACACCCGGTGATCATAACACACGGTCTTCTCCTGCCTGTGGTATCTGCGATAAAAACGGCGACTGGGATTGGTGTATTCTTTCTGGTGCCGCCTATACATGATTTTCATCCTTTTCACTTTTTTTACCCTGCCTACCTTCTTATTTGCCTCCTGCCTCTACCTCAACGGGCAGATAGTGCATCCACCATGACCACAGTGTCCTTCTCCAGATCAGTGCGACCAAGTGGCTTAACCATCATTTACAAACGCATATATGCTGTTAATATCGAATGTTTGCACGAGAAAAGAACTTGGCGTACACTGAAGAGATAATCCAAGCCGACTACCCATAATATAAGAAGGGCCACCTCGACAAAATTGACCTCGCCAACCGATGTGACATCGAGAAAAAGCCTCTGCTGGTGAATAAGCCGTTTAAATAGCTTGCGAACGATTCAACTGAATTTTGGGTGCTTGTTTGGGGTTCGAATATTAGTACATATGGAGGGTAGTAAAACTCGTCAATCTGAGACTCAGCGAATGCTGGAAGCCCTTCCGAGAATACTCTATGTTGGACCCTCTACGTTGGACTGGCATACGAGGACCTTGCACCATGGATGGAAGCGAGGAATTCAGATGTCTGATCTTTCAAGGTTTCTGCCAACAGAGATGTCGCCCACACTCTCCAAATATTTCCTGAACGGCGAAGGGCAACATCTGTTCATATATCTAAGCAATGATGAGCGTAAGTGAGCTAGTAAATTGTGGTAAGGAAGAAGTCGTAACAATGTCCAGCATTACAAAAACCACACTCACCAGAAACGCGTCCGTGATGGGACGACGCGCCAAGGTCACGTGATTTAAAACTTAAATATCTAGAGATGCAAGTCTTGCTACAAACACTGGGGCACATTCCACTTTGTGCAAAGGAAATAAATGACTGTACAATGTTAGACTAGAATAAAAGATAAGATAGAACACAACACTCAACTCATAGCTGTTACAAAAGGTGTATCTAGTACAAGCTATACAGTACTTATAGAATGTATTTCGTGAATCATGAGACTTGCAGAACAAGGCGATATATAATACGATGCGAGCTGTGAATCCGAACGTGCTAGGCCACGGTCTATGAGATAAATAGCAAAGGAACTATGACCAAATCAGGAATGCTGGAACTACACGTGTTTTTCACTGCGATGATGATGAAAGCGGCCGACGAGGTGTATAGATACGACCTGATAGAAGATATTGCACAATTGTGCGCACGGGCAGGGCAGCGAGGTCCCCTATGCGTAGCACTAGATTGAGCCCGGGGACATGAAAGCGAGACTGGCGCCGCTTAGACTGCTTAGTGTTGAACACTGAACCCTCAGGGATCGTCTCCAGATGCGATCCCTTGCGCGAGCGGCTCGTTTTGGGTGAACGCGGTGGATGCGATTTTTCTTTGTGTGGATCAGGTACCATCCAGAAAGGGAGGATAGGTGAGAGTTGTTCGACCACTGCCGAGAAGAGCGTCGAGGCATGTGCCGACGTCTTACTGAAACTTATCGCTGCCCCATCTATTTCTTTCTTCTCCAATAGCGTCTCTACATTCTGCTCGATCTTCGCCAGTTGTTGCTCCTGACCAATTCGTGCAACATCCCATTTCTTCTCTTGTTTTCGAATCATCTTTTCTACACCCTCAACTGCCTCATCCACGTGGTCATACAACTCATCTCTCGTGTCATTTGCTACTTCTTTCGCAGCCTTTGCCTCGTTTTCTAGTTGTGCCACACGTTCTACCAAAGCCTCCAGTTGCGCTTGTATATCCTGACTGGGAGAGGCGGGGTAATGGATAACGTCATGCAGGTCTGACGTTCGTTTACGGAGCCGTTCAACTGCATGTTTCCAGGGCCGTATACCCGTTGCGAGTACAAAGAGAGACGTGCTAAACCATGATATTGAACTAGGACCCGACACTGAGGTGATCACGACGCGAAGGAGGATAGCACCTAACAGAGGTGATGCCACGGTCGTTGCAAGAAAGAAGGATTCCAGCTGGTGCAACTCGGAAGTCGCAATGTTATGAAAACGATCTTCGGTGGAAGCGTCTTTGGGAAGAGGTTGAGGACGGCGGCGAGGTCTCGCTTGATGATACAAACTCCAAGGAACTACATGAATGAGCATAAGTTCGGTACGATAAGTAAACCGACTCACTTTCGATGATTTGATGTAAATAGAAGATTAGCAGGAGTATCAGAAAGAGATTTTTGACGTGATCTCCTCCTGTCAACCAATTGCCTATAGGGGACACGAGAGCGACCACAACAGAAAGGTCGAATTCATTCCAGCTTCTGCTTGGTGTTCCAGAGTCAGGAGCAATTCCACCATTTGTATCTGAATCTTTTGCTGGATGAGAAAGTGGCGTGGATACTGCGCTTCCATCCATGTGAGTAGCATCCCCTATGACAGATGCTCCTGGGGTGGTGTCATCGCCAGAGTCGCTACCGGACTCGTACTGGGAAGCTGAAGAGACGCCATCGTGCCCGTTTTCTACATAAGGTTGCTTTCCATTCCCAGTGTGACCGTTAGTGTCGTCGCTGAAGTAGTCGTGGTCAGAGCCATTTCCCAGTTTCACACTTGCAGGTGGAGAGGCAGCGGAGCGTATTCTTTGGCGAAGTAGCGATCCACTGATAGAGGCCATTTCGTATATATTTCGGGGGGACTGTGGTGGTTATCGACAACCTTGTTGGTTTATTGCCCAGCGAGGTCACCGTTGTGCTTGCACGAGGCGTGCACGCTAGGCGTTCGGGGCTATGACGAGCATATTAGCCCCTGCCGCAGAGGCGGGGTCTATAATATCGTAGCTCCGATTAGGCTGTTTCCGTGTAGTCTGGACTCTCCAGCTTTCCGTTCTTGAACTCGACACTGCTGAACGAGCCTTTATTTCTTTCGACAGCAATATACTCGAAGGTAGTAAGCAAGATAGACGTCAACCAGGAAGAATGATTGGACTGACTTCTTTGCACCGATGAAGACGATTCTCACCTGGCTCGGCCAGTTTACGGATGTGATGCCATCCTTTACACTTTCCTCTTTTGTACGTTCCTTTCATCCTTTCCGTTTTGAGTCGATGTCACTTTCTTATAGCCTTAGTTCCTTCGCACCTCATGGCAGCTGTCTTTGTATTCTGTGCGGCAGTGAGCTTATCATCGGGAAGAGGGAAGTTCCTTGAAGGGGCTACAGTATAGCATGCATTACTAGCGCACCTTGTCCTCGAAGCGTGCAATGCCCAATTTAACGAAACCAAACCGCGTTATCTTTCATTTCAATTTCTCAAGAAACCCTCTTCTCCCCCCTGACGTTTGATTTTCCTGTCGTCATGCAGTCTGAGATACCAGTTGTCTCGTTCATTTGTGCAGCGCTGGTCTTAGTTCCTCTTCCATGCCATTTACGAGCTCGCAATATCGCTACCGTCTCCATTATTGCCTGGCTATTCGTGGTCAACGTAATATACGCCATAGACGCTATTGTATGGTCGAACAACTCCAGGATCATCGCTCCAGTGTGGTGCGACATTAGTAAGTACTCTTTCTCTCAGAAATAAATGCCGTCTAAATGATTGTTTTGTGCAGCTTCAACTCTAATAACCGGCGTCCATATCGCCTTGCCGGCTGCATGCCTATGTATCTGTATTCATCTCGAACAAATAGCATCTTTCAGCCAGGTTGCCACTCCTGTAGCGAAAAGACGTCGTATCATATTTGAATCCCTAATGTGTTTTGGTTTGCCATTGGTGTATATTGCCCTTCGTAGGCCAAGATTCAGCTCATGATCCTTTCCAATGTTAATCACGCCATATACAGACTTCATTGTACAGAGTCACCGGTTTGACGTCTTCGAAGGCTTTGGATGCCGTCCTACGACCTTTACTTCAATTCCAGCAATCTTCTTGGTGTGGATTCCACCGCTTTTTCTTTCTCTGGCAACCCTTGTTCATGCTGGTAAGCTCTTGGCCGAACAATTCGCTTGTGGAATTAAAAGTTTTAATATATATACCAACAGGTCTTTCCTGGCGCCATTTCCTTTGTCGTGGTATCCAGTTTGCACGGTGCGGCTATGGCTCACCGCTTTCGCTTACCTCCAGCCACTATATTCGGCTGGTCGTCATTTCCGTAGCAGAGGTGGTCTGGGTACTCATCGTGATATCTGTCGAGATGCGATTCAAACTTTCTTCCGGTCTGGAACCATGGACGAGTTTGAGCGACGTACACAAAGATTTCTCTCGCGTACTCACATTCGGTGTTCAAGACACATCACGGTCTACAATTTCATCCCTGCTATTCTCGTGGATCGCAACTCCAATTGAGTCGCTCTTGTTCTTTGCGCTTTTCGCCTCTGGAAACGATGCCGTAGCCGGATACAAACGATGTGGGAACTGGATCAAGCACTGCTTTTCTTCGAGGCAGGAATTTGATTCAAGCTCCATGGAAAGCCATAAGACCCCGATGTGTTCTACCATTACCTTTAACGAGTGAGAGCTATTATCTGAACCAACCCATTCAAAAACTGATATCAATGTTTCCTTACTAGTCCTTTCGCCGCGCCACCCGTCACTATCCTCGACTCCTCAACCATCAATTCACACACAAGCGCAACCAAGTCTGTCTCCCAGCTGTCTATTGCCAAGTTACAGCCGTCGCCTGCCTCCTCGCGCCCACCTTCACCCTCTCCTAGCCATAAACAAGACGACGACGATACGTCGTTCATCAGCGCCACCTTGTCCTACCTTGACTCGCCTACTGGGCGCTCCGCTGTAGCATCGTCTCATAATTCCCTCGAATCTAATTTTGATCCTAATCTGATCATCATTGCTCCCGTAAACTGGCCCGAGCCTCCGTCTACCATTCCCGTTCGCCCTCCTCATCGTTCGACGAGTATTGGGTATCTGCAAAGCCCCAACAGGCACCGCTCTCAGGCTCCATTTGATAGCTCCGCTATCCAGTTGTCGAACCCTCCTAAGAGGAACAGGCCAACGAACGGTGTCAAGCGATCGCAGAGTCGCAATGCAGTATACATGACTGTAGTGAAAGAGACGAGTGAGGTGTGATGATGATTACATGCCCCATTCTTGAATTTGTATTTTTTGCCTGTTGAATTCCCACGTTGATACCACGATCTTTCTCCATTTCCATTCTTTTCGTTCCATTCGTTCGTCTGCTCGATGTATCCCAAATTCCCTTTGATTTTTCAGCTGTATTTGCTAGATATTTGTATCATAGTTGTCTCTGGACGCTATCTTATCCGAAACCATTTCTCCCCAGACCATGGCGAAGGTGATCGTACAAAACCACACGCACCGCCAATATAATCATATAATCAGCCCAGCCAACGAGTACTACCTTCTTCTGACCAAAATTAATTCTTACCTTCCACTATCTCTGCTAGCTCTACGAATGATTTCACGATCAAATCGACCTCGCCGCCATCCTTTTTTGTTTTCAACTGCGCCTTGATTTCAGGGGAATCTTCTACGGGCCTTGGCACATAAATTGTCTTGTACCCTACTTCGGCGGCTGCACGTAAATCCCATATGTGGGCGGCCACCATGGCAATCTTGTGAGGTGGGAGAGACAGGTGGTAAGCAGCGCCATGATAGAGCTTCGGGTTGCTAGTAACAGATCGAATCACAAAAGCACACACAGCAAAATTTTGACAAGGACGAACGGCTTGAATGACCCAAACATCTCTCCCGGGAAAATGGCATCCCACGGTAAGTTTGCGTGTTTAGCCTTGTCGTGATATAAGGGAAGAGCTGTACTGAGTGTCATGAGCGATGCTGACCATATCAACCAAAAGGCGCATATTTCCGTTCGAGAGTGTTACAACAATCTTGTGCTTCTTTAGCCTTTCCAAGCCTTCAGTGACATCAGAGAACCCTGTTTGGGATCGGGGATCAGCATAGGGGCTTCGGCGGGTTACACGGCGAATGGCGGAAACGGACCATCAAGATGATGCCAGATCAGAGTGAGATCCTGACGCTCGCTCTCGTTCCACACAGAAGATAGATAAGACCAGCGAGGAGATGCCAGCATACTGTCAAGGATCTGAGAGATAATTATAAACAACGTGCAGCTAAAGAGAGACTAAAGAATGGCGGGTTGATTCACATCTCTGTGCATGATGTCTGAGTTTAGAGTTCCTTCAGCTCCTTTTGCGATATTCTGACTAGTATGAGAGAGTTGCTGGAGTTAGGGCAAGAAAGGCTCAGTTAGAGATAGGTAGACACACTTGGTAGTCATGTATCCTTGTCTCCATTCTCGAGCAAAATCTTCCGCATCGGAAGAACCTGAAGTGTGTAAGCTCTAACAGTCAAACATTACATTTCTGTCGTACCTTCCTGAATTCTGCCATGACTCCTGCGAGCAACCTCCCTCATCACAGTCGTGAGCCAATCGACGGTGGTCCCAAACGCATCAAAAACGAGAGCTTCTACAGCCTCCAAGAAATTGTTGTCATCTGTCATATTTTTTCAACGTATTGTTGTTGCGCTTTGCGTGATGGATGTAGGTTCTAAAGGTGTCGCAACTTGAATGTGTGACCTGTGAATATAAATCCTGACGTCAACAGTGTCGGGGTATTGGAAACATCCCCGAGCCTTGTCTTCACATTCAGACAACGACTTTCATACAATCCTATACTGCATCGATTCCATTACTACGAGCAGTGAAACCTTCCATGAGAGTATTCATAGCATAAGTGTACTGTAACGGCAGTCAAGATGACTGACAGTGACAGTCGACTTGATATTTCCGGGAATGCAGCATTCACGTGACTGGATATTTAGCTCACGCGCGTTGTGCACGTGATACGGTCTAATTACGGCACAACTCCGACTCTTTATTGTCTTTCACGCATTCGTCAGTCTCTATTGTCTCAGACGAGTGGCACCGAGCTCACATATCATAAAAGTCTCTCGTCTCCAGGTTATTCTCTCGTCTCTACCCCCACCATATCCGTCCTGCAAGAGATCCACCACAACTCCTCCCCATTCCTTTCATCGTTTTTGCCACCTCAATTACAACTGGAGCTGAACTCACTGATCCCTGGCGACATTGTTTTCTACATTTGATCCATAGGTATTCGGTTGCATTGGCAGAAATAAACTTTGTAAAAACGCTTCAAGTATTCCCAACGCAGAACAAGGTAAATTATAGTTCTTGTTTGTGCCCTGGGCCATCTGCTGACTTTGGATGGTACTAGTTAGGTACCCTATCGCCTCCACAAACCATCATGCTATCATCAAACCTTCAAAATGTTGGCTCTTCTGTAGAACGCCCTTTAGGGTATCGCACAGGCCTACGACCACCGCATTATCTCTATCTTCACGGTTCTGAACTTGCACAGCCACCTTCCCTTGCGGTGTGGGAATATGGGAGCATATAGTCGACTTGGTCACCACTCGCCTTGACGATTTTCTTCCGAATTATCCACAATCCTTTGGAACTTTCCAAGTCTCATGACACGGGAATGGACATTACAGCATGTGCTCTCAGGCAACAAAGTGCTTCGTTGAATTGATGTAGCGACGTTAAACTGGCCTTTCCTTTTCGGTACATAAACACTCGTCCAAATTGGGACGTAAGTTTGTTCATCGAAAAGGCAAGGCCGGACGTTTTCCTGATTTCGTTATCCAACTGTTATCGACCGTTTTTCGCTGCAGCCGAGCACAAGGGGACCGCCATATTCGGGTACACGGGGGAGTACATGCGAAACCTTTATTAGACTGACAGGTGCAAAGTGATGCCTCGTAGTTTTACCTTCGGGCATTTCCTTCCCTCCCGCTCAACGAGGTCTTTGCAAACAGCAGCATTCCAGTTCTGCTAGTCATTTTTCTTTTCACAACTGCGTTGTATCTGAATCAAAATGGCCGAACCTCCGAACTGGGTTTTCTCTATGTTTGCATTTTTTGGCTTCGTCCTGGTCACCATTCCTCTTCCATGGCATCTTGAATGTAATGCTTCTCCTTTTCATTCACAAAAAAGCTTAAAGCTGACTGTATTTTTAGCATGGAACACTGGTACATGCTTGTACATGGTTTGGACTGGGTTGGCCTGCCTGAATCAGTTTATCAACTCCGTGGTATGGAACAACAACGCGATCAACTGGGCTCCCGTTTGGTGTGATATTTGTCAGTCCAAGCAGTGTTTGATCAGCAGTCGCGGGAAGCTGATCGGTTATCCCCTTTAGCTACAAGGTTCATCATTGGATCTAGCGTTGGGATTCCTGCAGCATCTCTCTGCATCAACCGCCGCCTCTATCACATCGCGTCGGTATCTTCCGTAACGAAGACACGATCTCAGAAGCGCCGGGATATCACGGTCGACCTATGCATTGGATTGGGCATTCCTTTGGTGGAAATGATTCTTCGTATGTATTATATTGAGTATTATTTGTTGTCGTTTCTTAACATCGTCCTTTTAGAATACATTGTTCAAGGTCACCGCTTCAACATCTTTGAGGAGATTGGATGCTATCCGTTCACCTATAACACTCCTCCCGCCTACGCTCTCGTATTTTGCTGGCCTGTGGTCATTGGAATGATTTCTGCTTGCTACTGTAGTAAGTCACAGTTTGGCAGTGTCTGATATTTTTTCTCACCGCTCAATTTTAGTGCTTACCATCCGTGCCTTCGCGCACAGGAGGTCTCAGTTCAAAGAACTCTTGTCGATGAACAAGAACCTTAGTTCTGGTCGCTACTTCCGTCTTATGGGTCTCGCAGGAATCGAGGTTCTTTGCACAGTACCTCTCGGTGCCTACTCTATCTACCTTAATGTTTCGGCCGAACAAATTCAGCCATGGCTCGGTTGGGCCAACACGCACTACGACTTCTCTCGTATTGGTCAATACCCATCAATCATCTGGCACATGGACTACTTGACCGTAGTCTCTCTTGAGCTCAGTCGCTGGCTCGTCGTTTTGTGCGCATTCATCTTCTTCGCCTTCTTCGGATTTGCCGAGGAGGCAAGAAAGCACTACAAGATCGCCTACTCTTCGGTAGCCAAGCACGTCGGGCTCTCAACTGGTGCTATGACTTCTGGATGGATGAGCTCTACTGGCTCGAAAGATATGACTTACAGTGGTCGCAACGGCACCATGCCTGTTTTCGTTACTCAACGTACGGAGCAGAAGCGCGACTCACTCACTTCTTTCTCTACCAACCTCTCTATCCCCGAGTTCGGTAGTGCATTCGATGACGTGAAGGACATGCCATATTCTCCCACGGAATCATCTACCGGATCAGGCTCCAGGGTCAGCTTGCATGAACCCCACGTCGTCGAGAACGGCGTGCCCCTTCCTGATCCGCCCGCTCTTGCTCGCCCTGAACCTACACTTGATCTCTCCTCTGTACCACGACACTCGAGTGATATACAAATCTCGCCCGTCGATATGGTCTGATTCTATTATTCCTTTTTTTCTTGACCTTCTGCACTCCCAAAAAAAACTTTCAAAGGAACATTTCAACACATTCGTCTTCACTACCGCCTGCGTTATCTCTGACATTCTACCCTGTGTATCCCTAGCTGTTATCGTCTGGAAATCCCCTACCCGCTCTTTAATTCCTTCTCTTGCTGGATACCCTCTCTCACAGCGTACCCCCTTATCAGTATTTTTATGTATATGTACTTGGGTTTAGAGGCCGGATATCTGTATCAATTGTTAACACGCGTGCTACCTAATAGACTCAACTTCTTGTTAACTGTGAGCCTGATCATAAGTCTGAAGAGCCAATAAGTCGAATCGATAGTGCATTTTTTTTTGTATAATTCTTTTAATCTCCCAGAGACGATCAAAACGACGATTCTAGCGAAGGGGTCAGACCCTAACCTGATGCTGTGGTCAGTGAGGGGCTATTGACATCATCTCTTACAGCGACGTGCAGCACCACTAAATAATCCAAGAGTATAAAAGTGTAGTTTGTTTTCACTTTCTGCCATCCATTCACCCAACAATGTCGAATATTTCTACACTAGAAGCTATTCCTCAATGCTACGCAACGCCTTCAGCTGGCATGCATACATCCCATACTTTGCCCCTGAAACTGCAGGCAATTGCTGACGCTGGCTTCCGTTTGGCTGAAATCGCTTTTCCTGATCTCGAGGCATATGCGCAGCAAGAGAACCCAAACTACAAGAAAATAGGTAATAGGGGTCGGGGCGATGTGGACGTGCTTTGCCAGGTAGCTCGCAAAATCAGTAGCTTGTGCGAAAAACTAGGACTGAAAGTGCTAGCGGTACATCCGTGAGTCAAGTGCGAAAGCGAGGATAGGTAGCTGATTATGTGCGCCTTTCTTTCTGGGCTTCAGGTTCTCGAAGTTTGAAGGCTATGAAGATCTCGGGAAACGAGAAGAGAGCTTTGATAGGGCCACGACTTGGTTCAAGGTCCTCAAAGTATGCACTTTGATTATTATTATTATTGCATTTGAGCTAGCATAAATCCAATTGTTCTCGTCCTTAGGCACTGAATTGCCAGATGCTACAAGTAGGTTCAACGGACGATCCTAGCGCAAGCTCCGACTTGAATGTCATTTCTCGAGACTTGCGTCAATTAGCGGACGAGGCGATTGCACAAGACCCACCAATAAAAATGCAGGTTATTCCTGGTATAACCTTATTAATTGCTCGCTGACGATATTGTACGAAACAGTGCATACGAACTATGGGCGTGGGGCACGCACACGTAAGAATTTTGATAGAACTAAGAAACAAGGCGCGTGACTGATCTGATGAGGCTCGCAGTAATACTTGGGAAGGTGTGTGGGAGGTATGTAAACGTGTGGACAGACCAAATTTCGGACTCTGTCTTGACACCTTCCAGATCAGCGGTATGTACTTCTCCTTCTTCATGGTCGCCCTTTCGTCATTTTAATTGATCCATCAATAGCACGGACTTACATGCTACCGGATCCGCCTCACACCACTCACGAGGATATATTCCCATCTCCTCCTGGAGTGCCCGTCCCACTTCACCTGACATCTTCATTACGGAGACTCACAGAAGTATTCTCGGAGCCGGCTGCACGAGAGAAGATTTTCTATTTCCAAATTTCTGACGGCTCCGGGCCAGGAAGAGTCTCTTCTGCCGAACTTACCAAGACCGCGAAAGAGAAGGGTATATCGCCTTTGTACGCATGGTCGAATGCATGGAGGCCGCTCCCATATATGGAAGATATCGACCCGGGAACACAGTACGGCGGGTTCCTTCCTGTGTTAGACGTGATTGAGGCAGTTTTGCGGACTGGGTGGAGAGGTCCTTGGTCATACGAGGTTGGTGCACATATTTGTTATTTTCTGGGAAGACGTACCATCGCTTTGTATTGCTTTACAGGTCTTCTATGAGGCAGATATGAGTAGGGATGACCCTGGAGTTCCGCTCAAATGGACAAAGGCGGCTATGGAAAGTCGAAAGAGAATCTTTGAAGCATTGAAGCCATTCCACATGGACTCGAATTAGTTGCTACGGCATACAGTAATTAGATCGCTCATCCAAGTGAACTCAAAAAATGCTGCAAACCTGAGATTCGCCACCTTGTCATGCCTCAAAATGCATCCTTTACCTGGCACGCCTGAAATGCCTTTCCTACTTTTTATTACCTCCCAGTGGTATAATGCCGCATCTTCGATGTGTCTGGTGCGTGCGATGGTGACTAGATTCAATTTTCTTAAGTTACAGCCTGTCCAGGACATGATCGTAGAGAGACAATGTTAGTGTCACGTGCACTTGCGTAAGTTATCTGGCAGGTGGCGGTGCAGCACACACCAGGCTTCTTTGCCGCTGTCGTAAATTTCGAAACTGGCGTTGCTGGAGTCTCAAAAGAGTTTTCTGTTCCTATCACATATCAAGAAATGGCGTTGTCGAAAGTGTTATTATTGATATCTGCTGCTACAGGAATACAATACAGCGTAACACCTCCAACGGCACGGCCCTCAACCGAAGAACGCTTGAAACCAGGAGGATGGGAGGTAGCTGCGCCATATTTGCACGTTGTAGTCAAGGTAGCGTGCTCGCATTTTGTTCTTCCCATTGATTATTGATGAACTCAAGGCAGGGAATTTATTGGGCGCTCACTCTATGTGAAATAGCCGTTGCGTGCGCTACTTCATATCCTTCGTCTGCAATCTCTCAGACAATTCTTAATGGGTTAATTCATGGCTCAAACTCTCTGCAAGCACTGCAGCGAATGCACCAAATGCCGCAGTTTCTCATTGGAACATGTTGCATTTTAACTGGTAGCTTCATCCGCACCCGATGTTATCGGACACTGGGCAGAATGTTCACCTTCGAACTAAGCATTCGCAAGACGCACAAGCTAGTCACATCTGGACCATACTCAATCGTACGACATCCCAGCTACACGGGTGCCATCCTCGTAGGCGCCGGTATAGCGTTCTGCCATCTAAACCGTGGATCATGGCTGGTAATCTGTTCTGGGTTATTCCCAGAAGATCCACGTACTCTGAAGCATGTCCTGTACGTGTTGTGGGGCGCATTTATGACACCTGCTTGCATTGCAATGAATGGAAGGATGAAAAAAGAGGATGCCATGCTTGAAAAAGCGTTTGGACAAGAATGGCGAGATTGGGCAAAGAGGGTTCCTTACTGGATGATTCCATACATCTATTGATTTGATAATTGATTCAATAGTTGCGGTGAGAATATGATGTTTGTTATCCTGCCTATCGGTTCTGATCGTCATGCGCCCGAAGGGAGGATATCGAAAACAGATGTGTGAAGCATTGCAATCATCGACACAGCAGCTGCTGTAACAAATATACGTAGCACGCTGCCGTCTCTCAAGTTGATACCCCATACCCCAAGTGTTACAACTTGAAATATATTATTTCGATCCGTCAACCGGTTTCATGATCTCGTCGCATGCGCTGTTGTAACAAGAGTCGAGGAAATTAAGTAAATCACTGTTATTTATCCAAATAGTATCCACCTCTATCTAAACATCAGCTTCTAGTTTCAGTCCTTTACTGGGTCTCATGACCTCGTAAGACCTTCTCAGGCTATCCTTGAGATCAATGCGCTGGCTGTATCTAGTCGGTGAGGATAATAATCCTGATATCCTGAGAAAAGATGGCTCGATTCTATTGAAAATATTGTGCTTGTAGTGGATGGTTGCTGGCATGGATGACAGCCCGGACATTATATGGAAAGCCGGCTTAAGTGTATGGCTTTCCATGTAGTGCCCATGTTTCATAAACCCCGCAAGTATTCGGGCAGCCTGAGAGTGATCGAAGGAAGAAGGTATGTCATGCGCCCTCGTGCTATCATTGATAATGTCTTTGTACAATGAAGCATATGATCTGAGGTCGCTTATTCGATAATAGTCCAATATTTATTCTAGTTACATTTATTGGAAATCTCCAACGCTATCAGTGTCTCTCTCTCTCTTGTCAAAGTTTCGGAAATGTCATTGTTAAAAGTGTTGCTGCTAATACCTGCGGGTGTAGCCTTAGAAAACAGCCTGACACCTCCCCACGCGCGCCCCGCACCTGAAGAACGCTTGAAAGCAGGCTCATGGGAGATCGCCGCCCCATTTTTGCACATAATAGTCAAGGTGAGTTATGTGCATGGTCTGAATGTTTACATTACTGATGTATGTAAGATAGGGGGGCTATTGGACATTCACATTGTGCGAAACGATCATCACATGTGCTGCTTTGTATCCTTCTTCAGCAATATCCCAAGCAATCCTGGATAAACTAATTCGCAGCTCGGACCCCGTACAGGCGCTGCAACGAGTCCAGCAAACTCCCGAGCTTCTCATCGGGACCTGCTGTCTTTTAGTAGGCAACTTGATACGAACTCAGTGTTATCGTGCTCTCGGAAAAATGTTTACCTTTGAGTTAAGCATTCGAAAGACGCACGAGCTAGTAACGTCTGGTCCATACTCCGTCGTGCGACATCCCAGTTATACAGGTGCGACGTTCGCAATCGCCGGGATAGCGTTCTGTCACCTGAACCGCGGCTCTTGGCTCGTGAATTGCTCTGGGTTATTTCCGGAGGATCCGCGTTCTGCGAGGAACGTCATGTATCTGTTGTGGGCTGCGCATATGACAGTTTTTCATGTTGCGATGAGAGGGAGGATGAAGAAGGAGGATGGCATGCTGGAAAGGGCGTTTGGCCAAGAATGGAGAGACTGGGCGAAGAGGGTACCTTACTGGTTGATTCCGCGTATCTATTGATCCAAGATTAGTGGTGAGAAGGTGATCCTTATTTTTCTAGTCGTTTTTGTTACTTCTGATCGTCATGAATTTCAATATGCAATTACATGACCGTCTTTTGGAAACTGTGCATATGTGAAGGCATGCCGGGTTTTGGTGCAACCGGTACTATACCATCAGTTCTCTTCATTTAGACGACTTCCGATACGAAGATATTTTTGTGGGAGACTCGGCAACTCCTGTCCGACCTCTTCGCCAGCTCACTTTCTTCCATGAAAGCCTTTCTTTCTTGCTTTCATCCCACGACATACGAACTACGCCGCAATTCTCTTGATAGACAAACAAACAAGTGAAGGCTTCGTAAAGAAGAACCACGGAATCTCTTGGTATGTGGCTAGTTCGTGTATCATAACTTGCCTTTATTGTGATCAATGAAAGGCACTACAGTACATGCAAGGACGTCATTTCCCAGAGGCATGCGACTTGGTCAACGTCAACTCTAGCCCCTGCTCGACACAATCCTTCAGGAGTGACGACAAAGCAGCAATCTTCTGGTCCCGGATATCAGGCCCGTGGTCAACATGTGCGTAATCCAAACGAAACTTCTTCAGACAAGGAGTGCCGCGCACTGCGGTGGTCCCTCCACATCGAGATCTCACCATGTCCGCAATAGCGCTAACGGCAACACCCGACGAACATCTGAAATGAAGATTTTCCATTCGCGGACATGTTGCTTGCGACATTGGGGCGGCGCAGCCGCCTGGGGGCGATGTAGTGAGTGCGGGGATCAGATCACGAAGTATCCTCATAGGGCTACAAAGGAAACGCAGCGATCTGAGATTGGAGGCGTGTTCAAGGCACTCCACGACGTCGCTATCTGGTGCATCGATGCTATCCAGAACCAGCTTTTCAAGAGTATGAGCTGAGCGAACGATCAAGGGAAAGCATTCTCTCTGTCCTCTGTACGGTCCCATCACCCGCTTGCCGTTCTGTACGTCAAGTTCCCGAAGCTCCGGAGCCTCTAATGTGTTCAATAGACGTTGGTGGTAAGAAGAATATTTGTAAAAACGTAATCTTAACGTTTCTAGATGAGGAAGCGCGACAGAACGGTTGTCTTCGGAGCGGACCGCATCGTCTACCCATCCAATGCCTAGGGAGCACGACACGAGGCTACGGCACTGCGCCAGGATATCAACATAATCGCTATGACGTGGCTCCCATTGGTATCCTGCGTCGTACAGCACAGATAATTCTGTAAGCTGACCCCAAGGTACCTGGAATTCCTGTAGGTCAAGGCTACACCAGGAAACTGAGAAACTTCGAAGAAGAGGTGCGGAGTGTAAAATGAGAGGAGCGGGGTGCTGCCTTTCCGTGAAGAAAGTACTGTCGTGGAGTTCTAGATGTCGTAGAGCCGGGAGGTGGCATTGTGCGAATGTAAGTATAGAACTCATGGTGCTTGATCGCAAACTGATGGCCAAAGTCTCTAGACGACTGGCAGCTGTTAGAAGGTCTTGATCCAGCAACATCAGGCTAGTCCAGGGAATACACGGTGCTCCGAAATCCGCGAGAGTGAGAGAGATAGGAAGTGATTTTGATCGCAATAGCCACAACCGCAGTATCATGGTTTTGTTCTGTATGAACTTTGTCCATTCTGATGATTTAGCAGGGAAAATTATTTCGAGCGAAGTCCACAAGCAAGGATGTGAGAACAACAGTTCCCGCCAGGCGCTGCATACCTGTGCGAGCAGTAGTGGGGCTTCCACTGCATTGGCGCGAGGTTGCCCTTCATCGGAGTGAATGCAGTGTTCGAACACCTTTGCTATAATCTCCGTTGGCATACGCCGAATGGGTGAGAGCAGCGCCTCCAATTCTCCTATCACTACTCTGAGCTCATTCTGCTTGTATTCCAACTTCGACAGGAGCGCACGAGCACGTTCTACTTCCAAGTTGATGCCTGCAAGTTCATTGTAGTGCGCGTTGCGCAGCTCGTGGATTTGTTCTGCGTGCATTAGAGAAGGTACGAAGTTCGTTTGGAACATCTGCGCTATTGGTGCCTGCGGATGACGACGAGGGGATTTATAAGTGAGCTTGGTACAACGAATTAGCCGCAGACCGTACCGGTACTATCAGGTGTTCCATCAACGGTAAGGTTTGACGAAGTAGAATTGGAAAGAGACCGTCTTTGCGAAGAATGAAGAGTGATAAGTACTAGTAGGCAGAAAAAGTGGAAAACACGAGGATTCGGTTGCCCTCGTGCTTTACGTGCTCAGACCCTGACGTGGAATAATGAACGTCACCGGAACAAGGCCTGAGGAGTATTAGAAAGGATCCGTTTAGCTCCCATATTATCGTACGCTTCCAAATAGAGGATATACCGTCTTCAATGGAGGAACCGCATCTACTGAAATCGGAGAAACCGCACGGCTCCCGTAATTAGGAAAGACAGAATACAGTAATGGGCGCCCTAACATTGGTCCTGGTGTAAACCTTATTTACAAATGGAAAGTCGGCGCTTCCAAGAGGTCCATCGCCCGCCGCAAGGGTATTTCTGTATAGTTCCGTGGCCTCAGGAAGGTGCATTCCAGCTTCATAAACTGGCAGCTAGCGTTGTAGCCACATTTAACCTCGTTTGTTCTTGTTATTTTCCAAAGCTTCTGCCAAGCAGCGCCAAACTTTCAGCACTGCCTCTATGATATGATTTCCGTGTTTTCGAGATCATGTATGTCGTGAATCGTGAGGTAACGGCAATCTAATTCTGGAGAGTTTTTTACGACCCTGCTTAATATAGAAGTTCTGAGCGTCTATCAGAAATGGCTATCAGTGCAATGTTACGAGCAAGGTTCGAACCCGCGACTTAGTCATGCACACGCGCGCCTATGGGTCACTGTGGCACGAGGCGTACGCGTCACGGTTATTGCACTCTCTAACGGACGTACATCTGCAGTTTCGGATAGTGTAGCAGGTACTTGGTTGGTAAACGTGAAACGATCCCGTAATCGCGCAAAATGTCGACCTCGATGGCCGTGGATGCCCCAAAGCCTCCCAAACTGAATTTGGACGAGTTTATCTCAACAGCTTTATCGTCTACGCCTACAGAACTACACCCTTTCCTCGATTCTTTCCAAACTCTATACAACCGAAAGTGCGTCTTCATTCTCAGCTTTTCTTGGGCTTCCATTGAGCTGAACTTCTTGTTCTTTCACCCTTCTAGACTATGGCATCAGTTGACCCTGAAACTGTTCGAGTTCTTTGACCATCCTCTCTCGAAACCATTCCGTGTAGATGTCTTCGAGAGATTCGTGCGTGATTTTGAGTCCAGAGTAAACCAGCTGAGATTGGTCGATATGGGTGTTAAAGTAGCAAAAGAAATAGACAGTAAGCATCGATGTTGGCCCTCATGTCACCCTAAGTATAAACCTTCATCACAGATCCGCAAACACACCTCACATTCCTCACTTCCTTGCTATCACGTATTGACGCCGAAAAGTCAGAAGAAGCCTATGTGCTTCTGCTGGCCACTATCGCGCATGCGAAGCTCCTGTATGGCGACCTAGAAGGCACGAAGACTGACATGGACACTGCGTGGAAAACACTGGATTCGTTGTCAGGAGTAGATAGCTCTGTCAATGCTGCTTACTATGGGGTCGCCGCTGACTACTACAAGGTACTCGGTTTTTATTTGCTGGTAGAAGCTTAATTCACATCGTCCAATCAGGCCAAGGCAGAGTATGCACCGTACTACAGAAATTCATTACTGTACCTGGCTTGTGTCGACCCTGCAACAGACATGTCGCCGGAAGAACGCGTGCTGCGCGCGCACGACCTTGGAATTTCGGCATTTCTCGGAGACACTATCTATAACTTTGGTGAACTGGTGAGTGTAGATTTGAATTTGAATTTTCCTTTTCTTTGGTGCTCCTCGGGCAAAAGGCTGATTCGGTTTACCTCGCGGCCAGTTGATGCATCCGATACTGGATGCACTGGACAACACGCAGCATGATTGGATCAAGAAGTTGCTTTTTACATTCAACGAAGGCAATATTGGAAAATTCGAAGCACTTGCACCGCTCTTTCCGCAGGAGGTACGTGCATGTGTTTACGGAGCGCCGCTGGGGACTTAAAATTACTGAACACATTCTTCCCCAAACCGAAAAGCCAATATTACAGGAGAACTACCCCTTTTTGCGCCAGAAGATATGTCTCATGGCATTGATCGAGCTGGTTTTCCAGCGGAATGCAAATGATCGCACGATGTCGTTCCAAACTATCGCCGAGGAGACAAGACTGCCTCTGGACGAAGTGGAACATCTTATCATGAAAGCGTTGAGGTATGTACCTCTATTTCTTGGAATAGAGGGGCGCACGAACGGTGCATGTACTGATTATCGATGTCTCATCAGCCTCAAGCTGATCCGGGGGTCTCTGGACCAGGTAGATCAAAAAGCACAGATAACATGGGTGCAGCCGCGTGTACTGTCGCGGGAGCAAATTGGGCAACTTGCAAGCAGACTGGGGGAGTGGATAGACAAACTGAGTATGGTTGAGCAGAGGATCGCCCCCGAGGTTGTCGTAAGTGGATGAAGAATGTAATGTCGTAATGTAATGGGGCAAGAGATGAGTTTGGGCGAGATGGGCGATCGATGGAGAGAATTGTCGTTCCGGGTTATGAGCACGTTGCAGTATAAGTGATCAGATAGGATATTTAGAAAGTCGCGAACTTGGACCACGATGCATGAGAGATGACTGAAAAGGCATATCCGAGCCTGTAGGGAGGCTGGGGTGGCGCTAGCGAATACAGCTCTGCCTCATTTAGTTACCATCCAGCAGCGTGCTTGCCAGCAACCAAAGGTATTTCCCTGTCCTCGTTGCAGCCCACGACGTTCCACAGCCCAAAAAAATACAGGGCAAGAATCAGGAAAGCAAGTCCAGCAGCATTGCAGTAAACGTGTCTTAATTTACGGTATCGTATACCCACACCCGTACACAAACTTGTTCTCTCGCCTCCTGCATTTAATATCCGATTCCCTTTCGTTTTCTTGTCATAACCTCTCCACACAAGATTATCTTTTAAACGCCATATCTTCCTCTCAAACATCCTACTATCATGTCCAACAAACCGGACTCGTCCTGCAAACCCCCCTCAGCACACACTTTCTCCTTCACAGCCCCCTTTCCCTCATCCTCAGCGTCCTCATCGTCTCCCCCGACGAGCTCGTCACTCAAGCAGAGGCGCGTATCACTCGCCTTGCCGTCCTCTCCCAGACTCGTCCCAGCTTGGAGCTTTCGAGACGACACCAGCCTCGCCTCGCACGTCGCAGAGACCTCGGCTATGATGCCTGAAAGGAAAGGCAAGATGCGCAGGATCGCTGACGATGGCGAACGCGACGAACCCAGAGGCGTCGTCATCCAGGAGAAGAAACAAAGAAAGAAATGGACAGAGGAGGAAACACAGATGCTCGTTGATGGATGCAATGCTGTAAGTCTCATCACCGAAATGCCCCCCGCTTCCCCATCTCACACTATACTCTCCTCAGTGGGGAGTAGGCAACTGGAAAGCCATCCTCAAAGACCCAAAGCTCAAGTTCGATAACCGTTCACCAGTCGATCTCAAAGACAGGTATGTTCGTCATCAATAACAGTTCGTTTCCTTGTCAACAACTGTCTTCTACAGGTTCCGCACATACTTCCCCGACGCATACAAGGAGCACTATCCTAATGCCAAGACACACCTTTCCAGCAAAGTTCGATCTACCCTCCCAGATGGGCGCTCTATATTCGAGAAAACACGCAGCAAGAAGCGCCGGCCTTTTACTGAGGAGGAGGACCGGGCTTTGAAGGCCGGTTACGAGAAACACGGCACCGTATGGGCTACTATTGTTAAAGACCCTGTCTTTCAGGAGCAGAACCGTCGCTCGACCGACCTACGTGACCGGTTCCGTAATGCCTTCCCTGAGTTGTATCAAGCCGCTGGGTACAAACCTCGTAATACGGCAAAGAAGAAGCGAGACAATGGGATGCAACTTCCCATTCGTGCAGCGACAGATGACCAATTAACTATGAACCACAGCATGGGTGGACCTACCAAGAAGCGAAGAGCACAGACCAGACAAGGTCTGTATAGGGGAGGGACAAAGAGTGTCCCTGAAAGTGCGACATGTTCAGAAGACGAGGACAGCTCGGGCGCTGAGGAGGAGGATGGGCATATGTTTAAACTTCCATCCATGCCCACACAGGTTTACCAGTTCGACGACATCACATCACCTTCCGACGGTCTTGCTGAGATGGACATGGAAACCATCGACCCTCTCTCTGAACCATTATCTATTCCGGAGTATATGCCGAGTGGCTCACAGTCTCTATCCGAATTGACCGACTCGTCGCAATCACAGGCTTGGTCTAGTCTCGAGACACCTCTGCACTCGACTCCATGGTCTGCCACCACAGGTTCACCAACCTCGTCGCATATATCCTCCGATTATCTTCTGAGCCATTCACCTTATAATCGTCGCAGTGATGGTATGAATATGATAGGCAAGTCTGCATGGGGAACGCAAGACTGGTTCTCTGCTAATCCTCGTCTGGATGCGTCTGCCGTCTCGAGTAGCGGGTCCTCTTTTGCCGATGGCCTGTCTCCTGCCCCATCATCGCCCTTTTCGTTTCATCACCTTAACCACGGTGTGCTAGACCGATATGACCTTTTTCCTGCCGCTTTTGCGCACGACTTTGCTTCCGAAGCGGGCATGGGTGATTCGCACTCCACTTTCTCGGACCCCGAGATGTTTGCACCTACGAGTTTCAGAGGATTCACCCATCACTCGAACTACGCTGGAGATTTAATCTTCGGAGCTCGAACTCACCAACCGCCTCAGCAATCATTCTACGGCCCTGGTTTTGGCTTTGGAACTCCCGGACTGGGGCTGTCTGGGATGCAGCAGTCTACTGGTATTCACCCGATGCAGTTGCATACTCCTGCGTTGCCTGGGATTGATGAAATTGAGCTGGCCTCTATCACTCTCAATGATCAGGCGGATGTGTCTCATGATGCGATGGACGGCAGTATGGATGTAGGAGTGCAGAAGGATGAACCCGAGGGATCCTTGGGCCTTGGGCCTCTTGATCTCTTCAATATCCCATCCCAGAATCTAGACGATATCGTCGACTTGGCGCACGAACTCCACTCCACTCCACCGGCCACGCCGCTTACCACCTCGCGCCACATGCGCACGCATTCGGGCATGTTTCCTACCTCTAGTCACGGGCGTTCGATCTCAGTGCCACCCTCGGCTGAGCCGCGCTCTACCACTTCACGTCCCACACAGGTACACGTTGGCTGCCAACCTCAAATAACGGGCACACGATCCCTCCCCCTGTTTGAGCCGTTGCCTCCTCAGCTCGCCGAACCGACGTATCATCATGCTCATACTCATTCAGAGGATCCTGCATCCTTTGACGCCGAGTCGTGGCGTTCGTCAAATCATCATTTCTATGGCCTTCCTTTCCTTGATTTGCACTACTACAGCAGCAACGCTAATAATGGCGGCAATGTAGAAGTCGACTATGATTTCAATGCACCGAAGATGGCACCTGATAACTCGAGGCAAGGCCAGGCGCTGGACCTCGCCCGGTCTACCTCGTCCACTAAGAACGTCGGGTATGCATATGCGACGGTTTCACAGGCTCTAGGCATGCCGCAGACTAGCGTTGCGACCGGATCTCGCCCCCACCATGCCACGCATCACCGCGGACAAAGCGTGGTGTCCCCTCAAGAACTGCAGGTCCGCAAGAGTAGTGACAATAAGAGGAAGCGGGCAAGTTGGGACGGCGGTATTTTCTGATAATTTTAATTTGTTTCCATCTCTTTCTCTCTCTGGTTTCGGTCGTCGCCTGGGATTCAGTACTGTAGTACGCTTCCCCTTATTTGCTTTTCTCATTCTCGATCATCGTTGTCATCCGCCATAGCATCTCTCATTCACGTCGGCGCTCCATCGTGCAGCGCCATCTAGCATCGTTCTCGTTCACATGTTTTTTATTTTATCTTTGCACTGTCTTCGTTTATGTCGTGCAATATCAGGATATGTTTCGTCCCCAATGAAGGTTCATAAGGATAAAAAAAATACAACGATCTACTTCTACTAAATCTTCATTCTGTGACTTTTGACGGTCCTGCGGCTGCATTGATATGGTTGTGTGTCATCGTGGCACCACCTAAATTAGTTGAATGGCCTGGTACTTGTGACTCATCGCTTTCTAGGGGAATGAGATACTCAAGGTCTTCAAACATGTGAGGAAATAGAATAGCCAGCATATCGTCCACCCTGAACGCAAGAGCGTTAGCGCGTGCGAAAATGAATACTTCTTTCTTCTCACTTGAAGATGAAATCGCCCTTTTGGACCTGCTTCTTCGCAGGGGCATCAACAACTCTCTTCTCCGAATCCATTGCATATGGAGTAACATTCAGCGTTCCTGCGTAGTTGTCCTTTGTATATAGCGACAGCCCCTGTCTTGCGGCGAGGTCAAGGATATTCCTCTCTACTGTGTCTGAAAATTCTATGTCAGCTAGGAAATCATTATTTCTCACGTCAGCCAACCTTCTGCATAGTAACAAAAGACTATAAAAACGGTAAGTGATATACTTCTACAATATAGGGCAATGTACATTACCTTCTGTACGCCTGTTTTGCCCCATCCTGTCTATGCGAGCGATTGCTAGAAGTACCCATCACTATAGCTAAATCTATATGTTATGTATTAGGGGCATACCTTGCATCTCAAAACCGTGGTGTACGACACTTTCTACCAAGAAGACGCGCGATGCACACGTCACATTGAGACCAGCATTCTCTCGTTCACTGGGTGAGAGGATTTAAATGAACGTGCAGTTGACAGTAATGAACAAAGACGTTACCCATGCAGTAGTAACACTAAGATTTCAGGATTTGTACGGAATCTCTTTACAGCGCTTTCTTTCCCTTTCTGTTTAGCTTGGTCAATACGCAGGCACTGGATACCTAATAAACGCATGTGGAATATAGTTTAAGGTTTACATGCAGCATTAAATTTCATACCGTTAGCGTTCAAAGCATGTTGAATGACTGGACGAAGTTAATATATGCAATCTCGGATAACTTGGCAGACGCACTGTGCAAGGAATCAGCCCATGCTGAAAAAACGATGCTTTTCGAGCCAGGGTCCGTGACTTGCAGGTAAAGTAAGTGTCGTATTAGGGTCTGAATTTTACTTCCGTAACTTCCGGTCGACTCCATCGATCCAATCTCCTGGATTAATTTGGGATCTATTATATGTTATGAGTATGGAAACTTGAGTTTCAGGATATTTTACATACCTATCATGTTATACTCAATCTCTCTACGAGATTTAGGGGCGGGTTCATTATTAACAAGCACCGGTTGTGGTGGAGGTGGTTTATCGCCTTTGACCGCGAATCGTTGCAGTTGATCCACGTTAATGAGGACCCTGCAGGAGAATGGTGAAAAACAGCCATTCTACAGGTGGGCTGACATACCGGCAGACAGGACACACTCTTCCTTCTTTGCGCGTCAACCAAGCTTTCATACATCCCTGTGCACATATTGTCAATACAACATCAAAGCAAGGTAATATCGGTTCTAATACCTCACAGAAGACATGGGCACTATATGTCAACATTGAAACATGTGTTAGAGTTGTTTTATATATGCATATATAAGCTCACCATTGAGTTATAAAACCACGCGTGAATTCACATCTACATAATATACACGTCTCATCATCTTCGTCTACTTTACCTTCCTCCTTATTTTTTGCTAGATGATTCAAGTAACGTTGCCTCGCACGGCCAGTTTTGATTTTGGTGTCCAAATTCAAGTGCTCAGCTAAACAAATTTCCATTGCGTGAGTGAGGCCAGTTTCCCAAGACACCTCAGCTACAGTGTCAGATATTTCTTGTAGTTGACGGAAGTACCTGATCAGCAGCTATGAAAACCTGACAAGTGGAGTTCAAGACATATGGACGCACAGAATACGTTCATTGAAGGCCTTGCGCAGCTTGACAAGATCTGCATCAAGCTTGTCCATCAAACTCCCTGGGACAAGTCAGAAGAGACTCAGCACATATCAATGATGGCGGTTTACCTTGAGTAGCTATCAAGGACCTCAAACGCGAAATAGCATCCCTAGCTATGGTTTTCTCTGGGTCCTTATCGTTTATTATGCGCGCCGCCACGGTAGTTAAATCGACCATGATAGATTTGATAGCCCGACCCCTGGACTGCTCGAGCAAATCTTTGCGTTTTTCAGATAGTTCCTGGTGCAATACCTCATGCTGAGGTTGTAGATCAACATCTTCAGGTATTTCAAGTTCGGGAGTTGCTTCTGCAGCAGCTTTTGAAGCATTGGTATTGCGACTTTTCTTTTCTTTTGCATCATGGGAGGCCAAAAGAGTCCTCTCAGCCACGAGGACTTCTCGACGATCGGCCAAAAGGGTAGCGTAAGCTTGCAGACAGATTTCAGCGTCGCCCTGAGTCTCCAGAGTACGAGAATATTCCTGTCCATCAGCTTCATCGTTGCCAGCTGATAATTTCTCGGTCAGCAAAGTATGAATACGCGTTCTCCATTGCCAAAGAAGAGTGGTTTGCTCATTGAGAATGTATTCGATAATTTCGTTTGCTTCTTCAAACTGGGAACATTTAATGAGGATCCTAAGTCTGTACTATCACAAATTCTGATACATACCAGATGTGCTGTCCTAATCCCTCCATTATCGATGTAAGGTGTTTGGATCATAAGTGCTTTCTCATTTACACCAGACCCTGTGGCATGAAGTTTGAGATAAGCCATAGCCCGTGTCGCGCTTTCTTCAGTAGCTGCGTTTCAATCGAGTCAGAAAAAGGTGCCTCTACACAGTCTGCAATTAACAATGTACCTTTGAGCAGATCTTTTCGTATTTTTTCAGCGGCCTCGTATGCTGCATCCTCACTTTCGGAGTATGATTGACCCAATGAATGGTATATATCTCCTTGCAAGAATTTTATCTGATGCAGAACCATGTGGCATTCTCGTAACCGCTGTTGTAAAGCTCGTTTCTTGATGCGGTGCTCCTCGCCAGCAGGAGTATGAGGGAGATCACTGTCACCATCATCGCTCTCGTCTTCTGTTAAAGGTGACATTTCTCGCATTTTCCCCTTGCCAGCTCCATTGTTAGTGCTCGACTTCTGTGTCCGAGGTTCTCCTAAAAGTGTTGCTTCCTTCTTTAGAGCCTCTCCTTTATCTCCGTGTTCGGTTATGGCATTTTTGATTTCTTCAATATGTTGCTCTAGTTCTTTCTCTGCTAAAAGCAAACTTTCCAGAGAACGTTGATAGCGGTCGCGGTTTTCCTCGTCATGTTGCTGCAGTTGTGCATAACGAATGAGGGATTGAGTCTAAATAACTATTAGATATTTTGCAGCTAAATGGGCCAACTCGTATAGCATTACCTTGGTCTTCCTATCATCCATGAGATTACGCCAATTCTGATCTCTCATTGCCTATATGACTGTCAATAAAACAAAATCGTAACTATAACTCGAGTCATGACCTCTAACACATCGCCCATGGACTTCAAAGCCCCTGGCTTAAATAGCTTGTCTCCCTGTTTTTGCAGTTGCCCCACCTTTATACCTGAGGTTAGTAATCTGCTAATGGTGATCATGTCATGATATGCAATACCTGTGGGTGGGTACATATGCCACGAAGTTGCCGGAGTAGACTTCGTAATAATGATGCATCTACCTGCCATCCATCAGAAGCTGCTACTCCTCGGGCATCAAGTCCTAGCTCGAGCAAGGCAGCTTCCAGTTTCTGGTCATATACCTGAGCCAAATATGAGCATGCACGCTTCCAAAGGTTTCGTAATACACATACATGTCTTTCGACACGGCCCAACTCAATGCTGACAAGATAACGAGTTTGTTGCGGGATAGTTAACTCGGCACTAACAGCCGACTTCATTGTTCTGTGGGATAACTTTATTGGTAGAATGTTACATAGAGCAATGGTGCACAAACCGAATAGCATAGCGCTGGAACAGTTCTGTGAATTGGGCTTTCAGCCCTGGCAATAACAACCTATTCCACATTTTCATAGATCCAATAAGATTATCAACGCGTAAAAATCTACGAAGGAACACACAATGCTAGCATTAGGGTAAGTTGCCCATCATATTCAAATGCTTACCTCAACACATGAATTAGATCGGCCACCTGACTGCGCGCAGGTGTACCAGATACAGCAAACGACGAAAGTCTTGGTATCAGCGAAACCATTTCCCTATAAGCATTACAGGTAAAATGGAAAATCGAAGAAGTGAAGATTGTGCGCACTCCGATTTCCCACTTCCCATCATCTGAACTTCATCCATTATAACCCTATACCACTCACACATCACCAGTGGGCTGCGGGGACGTTCCACATTCGAATAAACGACAGCTTGTCGGCGGGGTCGCTTAGGCGCGGCACGAGCTACCGTAAAGTCCTGTCGTAGAACATTATAGGTTGTGATGCAAACATCATAACTGTTGATATATGAGCACCAATCGAGAACCTTGTCGCCGCCACCCGTATCCTCAAGTCTCGAAGTAGACGTTTGTTCCTCGTCATCCATTTCAGTGTCCGAATCGAATGCGCTGCTTTTACGTTTACGTTTTCTTGACTTTGTATTGCTGACTTTCTTCGGTTTGCCCCTATACCGTAATCTTTCTCTCTCCGCTTTGGCGTCAGCTTCTGTAATAGGTACACCAACTTTAGCCCATCCGTCGTAAACAAATACTTTTAGAGTAGGGGCATGGTTTGCCAGCTCATCCGCCCATTGTGGGGCAAGAGAGGGAGGAGTGACGATAAGAGTTGTCTGTGCCAGAACATGAATTTTTATTACTAGCGAAAAAGACGATGAAGTTTACCTTGATCTCTTTCACGTGGAGTTGAGCTTCAGGATCCCACGTCTCATTGATGGGGTTGCGATCCCTTCCGGGATTAAGCATGATGAGAGATATACATTCGAGAGTCTTCCCCAGCCCTGGAGTGGAAGTTGATACACGGTAAGATCGTCAACAGCTTAACCAGCCAGAAGAAAATACCGACCTGGTTCTTCAGCCAGGATGCCTCCTAAGGCGGAATGTTCCTGGGGCGCATAAAGAGATACTGCACCACTGATGCGATTAATGTAAAGTTTATGACTAGGCAAATCGATCTTCTCCCAAAACAATGCTAGCGGCCTGTCCCCCCTCATGGACGCTATTGAAACTAGTTCTCCTCTATCGGACATGACCTTTCCTTCACGTTCGAGCATCCATGCTACGCTACGTCGCTGAAATGGTAGCAGAGTAGGCAGAAGAGCTTTCGGTTGAAGGGCTTCTTGGGCTCCTTGAGATGGAACCCCAAGTGCTGGGCGGAGAATGGAATATAAAAATGGGATATTGATATCACCGGAGTCATGGCTTGACGAAGAAATAGGAGCCTTGCGAAATATGTAGAATAGGAAGCGCCTTTGGATATCTTCCAAATCGGTGAGCTGACGTTTTGGCTGCCACGGAAATGATCGACACAAAGTGGACAAAACGAGAGAAACAGTATATTCAAGCTGAAAGCGAAATGGCAGGTCATGGTCAGCATCATATGCGTCTGAAGGTAAGGTAATAACACGAAGTTTTGCGTGGAGTTTTGCGTGACCTGTGAGTTGAAGGTTGTAGAGAGCAAGTAACATATCCTCTTGGTTAGGCGACGAGCCAATATCGAAATGTTCTAGCAGCTGCCCGTTCAGACCGTCCGGCCATATGACGCGGGGAACGAGTAAATGCCACTCGTCGTTTTGTAGGAAAAAAGAGTTGTTAAGCCAAGAGTTGCGAGGTTTTCCCAGCAAAGCAATAACTCGATCCCCATAACTACGAAACCACAAAGTTCCGAGCTCGAATGTGCGCGAAGTGCTTTTGTAACCTTGCAGCTTCCGGACAACGTCGTTGAGTTCATCCTCCTCTCTCAACCAGCCATTGCGATTGGCAACAACATTATCGACATTGTGTTCCTGCTCGTTTGCAGACTTTGTGTACTGCAAATCAAGAACATGGCGGAAAACGGGTACATATTGACCGCCGGAACTTTCTGGAGATAAATCTTTACTATTCCCTGGCTCATTTGGAGCATATATCTGCTTTACGTTATTATTAGAAGCAGAGGGCCTTGGTTCAGAGGGGTTACTAGAGTCGACATGAAGCTTCGGGCGTTTCGAGGGCTTGATCTCTGAGGACGAAGCTGAGCGCTTTTTACCGGTGCGGTTTTCATCGGGCGTTTCTGCAACAGAGCCCACAGTTCCAGTGGAGCTTGAAACCCATAATTCATTCAGCAATGCTGTGACTTTGGAAAGATTGACAACTCCTCTGAAGTTATTGTGTTGCTGATGTATCTGAGGCCAGTAGTAACGTGCGCGTAGCCGTGCAGAATCTACATGTTGGGTGTTCAAAGTGCGAATTGAATCCATTATAACGAGGTCCCGGTGCGGGAGGGTGATGGTCAAAGATCAAAAAACGCGACACCCATTTACCAAGCGCGTGTATCACGTGCCAATCAAAAAGTCCGCACGGCTAGCGCCGTAACTATTTACCCATATTACCCCTGACCAGTTCTGACTGTGGAATGAGTAGCGAGCGATACAGTATAGCGTGAGTGACAACGTGCAAGCAATAATACCAGATGTACATTTATTATTTTTATAATATCTGATAGCGCTAGAAGGAGGGTATTGATGACCACTCTGTCTTCGAGGAAGGACTCGAGACGTACCAGTATTTCCCAATATTTAAACGATTTACATAGTATGCAAGTATCCCCCAAGGAAACACAACATAGCTGGAATATCCATCGTAATCATCCGAACAGTGTGGAGTTTTAACCACCATCGTAATTCGTCTTTGGCATCAGTCGGGCCATATACCAAACGTTTGATGCACCGCGAAATCTACAGATAATACAATGTCAGCATCTCGCTCATGAGATACTAGATGTACAATAAGAAAAGAACTACGCTTACCCAAGGTACGAACGCGAAGTGGCCGATCGCAAAAAAAGTCCCATACATATACAAAACACTTGCTCCTCCCACCGTATCTTTCCATCCTGCATAACCGCCTGCTACAGACACTGTTCCGAACGTTAAAACGCTAACAAGACCGAGCCGAAACCAGTCGTTAAACCATGTAGATAGCGTAGTAGATGGAGTGTCTTTTCTGAGCCACGGAATAAGCGTGAAATACTCTGACATCGCGTAGGTGACCGAAGCTGTGGCAGAGAGAACTGGGGTCAAGTGAAGGAGGCCAACCTGCATCTGTTGTCGTAGGGACATGAATTTGTGGTGCGAGCGCAATAACAATATTTAGTGAAGATCAGCGTTCAACTTCAAGTTGATTTATCTTTGAGTGTACAGACAACTGCCCAGCGGACAAGCTCGGGCGACACTGCATGATACATTGCGACCAGTTCCGATGTCGAACGCCGAGACATGAAAGGCAACCAAGCCCTGTAGTAGGGTTAGGGTTTGGCACGTGCCGCTAAAGAGCGGCGCGTATTCGCGGAGCGTGGAGTTTGGTCCAACGATTTACATAACGTTGGACAGTTCCAGTCAAGGTGCTGTACCGTCATACAAGGTTCTTTAAACCCCAACGTCAGTGACCATCAGTAACTTTGCGTTGTCGGAATCAGAACATACCAACTTCTCTACGAGAATAACGCTACATGATGAACTCAGACACGCCATACCTACAGGCGCTTTCCGCTTGTCTACCCACGCAGTATTCATCAGTGGTGCATGAATCCATAAAGTCCACCGCAATCCGCATGGCTTTCGAAACTTTGCTCTGTTTTGCTGTTGGAGGAGCATGCCCTGTAGACGTCTCATCGCGGACGCGTACGGAATGGGCATCCAAGCAACCTGAAGCCATGAAAGCTCTCAAGGATCTTGCTCATCAATCAAATGGCAAAAGAGGCAGAGAATCTGACGAGGAAGGGGTTAGTACAAAACGTCAGAAGACTAACGATGCTATCGCACAACCCGCCGAAGACGACCTTCCCTTGTTCTCCCTACCTTCTATCTCTACAACATCACCAATCCGCAAAAAAGTAGACATTGCAATCCATAAATCGTCTATCCGTTTCCTCAATCCTTCTTCTCGCGCTGTGGAAGCAACTGTGCAGGTCTCGTCTATCAAACGCGCTTTCCTATTGCCTACTAGAGGAAAATCGAAAGCTCACTGGACAGTCGTGTTGCTCACTTCCGATGTTTCGGATAAAGGCAAATCTTCGGCCACGTCGCCACAACAAATCATATTTGGTCTAGACGCAGCCTCAACCACAAAATTCGATACAACTACATACGTATCAAATTCAAAACCTGTGATTACTTCAATCGATAAAGGATCAGAAACCGAAGCGTCATTGCGTCAATTTCTGTCTTTTCTTCCAGCTCATGCTTTACCTATTCTTGAACCATCCACGAAGGTCTTTCGTAGCGCATGCGGTGGCTCAGGACCAAGTGGCAATGGTATTCCAGGAGTGGAGGCCTACCGAGCAGCAAAGTCCGGTACCTTATGGTTCCTGTCAGAAGGAATTCTATGGGGCGAGAGCAAGCCTTGCGAGTTCTGGGCGCTGGAGGATTTATCTGGGAAAACTGAAGGCGTTAGGTTGCTAAGTGCTACTGGAAGGACATGCACGGTCATCCTGAAGAGAAAAGATCCAGAGGCCGAGGCAGACGAAGGCGCAGAAGAAAGCGAGGGAATAGAAACTGAATTTTCAATGGTAGATGGGAAGGAACAAGACCCAATTAATCAATGGGCTAAACAGCGACGCGACTTATTCGGGAAGAAGCAAGAGAAAGGCGCGGATGAAAAAGAGGCCGCCAAGCTTGCTGCATGGGATGATTCCGACCCTGATGATGAAGATTTCGAGCTGGACTCTGAAGACATTGATGGTGGCTCTGCTAGTAGCGGTGATACGGACGGCAGCGAGGCTGGTAGCGATGGACAAAGTGCAGAGGCCAGCGACGCAGTTAATAGCGACAGCGACAGGTCCGATGAGGAGCAAAGCGCCGAGGGCAGCGATGCAGAAGAGGAACTCGACCCGAAAAACCATCCTCTCCTAAGACCTGGTGCCATGCCCCGTATGTCACGGGCCGCCGTCGATGCTGCCGTCAATATGGTCAACGAAGACATGCTAAACGGGGAATCGAGTGAAGAAGAGGAGGACGAGTTGGAAGAGTGATACCTCGCGAAGCATTTAGCCTCGTTTCCACGGATCTCACGAACTTTGCGATGGCGCTCTGTATTAGTTATTGTCGTCAACGTGAAATAGTCTACTACTGATTATTAGGATGGTCTGGTGCGTGTGTACATTGTAATAGACGTAATGTTGTGACATATCTTATCAAAACAATGTAGGATAAAACCTGCGTTGTGAGCTTGCAAAATCATAGGTGTTCAATTCATTTCCACCCGACCTCTTGGCTGATTTCTTCGTTCCCCTTGAACGGTCAACATTAACTGGTTCGAGATACAGAACATCTTAATTTATCAACTCAAAGCGTTACTACAGCGGTATTTCAACGTCGTTTTCTTCCACAAAGGACAACGTGAGTTCCCCTTTGAAAATGAATTGTGAACGTCTTATCAACGATTTCCAGAAAAGCTTTATCAGTGCGTCCCGCATTCTATCACTCCCACACTCCAAGGATAGCGCCGACAAGCAAGCACGCCACAAGCTTTGCTTGGTAGATAGGATCGATATATTCGTCTTCCTAAGGTCAGTCCATTTGACAACTAATCACGCATATTTGACTTATAAACCAGTATGTATCGTGCTAAGAAACGTACATTTGAATTCGATGACGAATCAAACACCATAATCCGAAGGAAACAACCATGAAGATCAAAGGTCATAAAGGGGTATCGTCTAGCGAGCTTACAACATGAAACCGAGGCAAGACCTTCAGGCTGAGAAGGACGTGCCGCTAAACAGAATATGGCCGTGACTTCTGCCTTGAGGAGAGGAAAGATGCTGTCACTGCTGGAGCAGCTGGCTGCGGCAACTCGTTTGGCAGAGAATGATGAAAGCATCCAGTTACTGACGAACGTCCTCTCGGAGGCTAAAGCAGTGAAAAAAAGCAGTTCAGCATGCGCGATTCAAAGACGTCACTAGAATTCCATCAACGGCATGATAGAACATTCATGGGTATGGAACTGCGGTGACTTTTTCGCTGGAGTATCTAATGGGAGCAATAGAATAGCTGGCTTCGGCTGTGTTATCACTAGCACGATATTGGTGAGTGTACACCCAATCCTTGGTTACTATCCACCTAATCCGAGCGAAGAGCTATTGTCTTTGCCCTAGCATGCCGCTTTTGTCACTGCTTGTTGTCTGTATTCATCTCGACGTCTAGCTGTGCTTTGCCTCGCAATCATTCGACGCTATTTCTTATATAGTATGTCAAGTCTTTCTTTTCCTCTGTGTTTATTGTCAACCCACTCATTATTATACTCGCAACAGATTCTCGCTATTTTACTTGATGTGTCATCACGAGGACCTATTATTCGTGAATATCATTGTACAAGCCATGTAGCCTTTACAACTTCCACCTCGTCAGACATCGCACCCTTCCCAAGTCCGAAAACTGTGTCTCCCATGAAGTGCACCCGCAACTTCTCATAGTAGGATGGAACTCACCCACCCATTTCTTCACAGCAAAACACAAGTCAAGCTTCTGAGTGGGCGCGGTGGCGTCGACCTAAGGTGAAAGGTGTGAAGTGTGAACCGATCCAACGAGAGGCGCAGCATGTCGCGACTTGACAGTGGGTCTTCAAGGAGTATTCGCGCATCGCGCCCTCAAAGGTCCAGTTGCGCAGTTTGGACGTCTACCAAAGAACAGCGTACAACGAGGCTGGTGGCGCATTCTATCCAAGTCCGCCCCTTCCATGAAGTGCACCCGCACTTCCTCCCGGTGGAATGGAAGCCATTTCACCCATTCCTATGCTCATCGTCAGTAAAGCCCCCTGCGGAATCAGTCGTGCAAGACATGCCGCTCGTACAGTTCAGAATCTTTCTACACAGCAAAACAAGAGTCTGTCTTCTCTGTGGGCGCGATAGCCTCAAAGTTGAGTGAAAAGTGTGAAGTGATTCCCATTTAACGATATAGCGCAGCATTTTGGGCCTTGACAGCTGATTTCGCTGTCAAAGCTAGGCAATGACGCCTCCGAAGGTCCAGGTGACCGCAGTATAGACATCCACTTGAGAACGACGTACAACGACGTTCGTGGCTCTGCGGTGGCAGTTTTTCGCGCCTCAAGCGGGAGCTCGGAGGATTTAAAGGAACGTCAGCGAGGGGGAAGAGAGGCAAGAACTACACCCAACCCAACATCCATATCAGCTCGAAGCACTATCAACCAACCGACATCATGAGCTCACCCAAAGAACAGACCCGAGTGGACAGAACTGCCATGCGCGAATCGTACTCTGGAGAAAGAGAGGAACGAACTGAACAAGGGGGTCAAATACCCCATAATGCACTGGCACCATCTGTGTTTCATCACATTGATCAAACACACACAGAGCCCGACAGTGGGATCCAATCTGGCCCACTAATTCAAAGCGTTCGCTCGGAGAGACATGTGTATTTTACAGACCTCTCTGCTGAAGAAAACCATTCCCATGTGGAAACAGCGAAAGCTAATCAGAGAGCAAAAGGACAAGATCAAAAGTCTTATTCCACGTTCCCTAAGGTCACGCACCTCCCATTAAGGACCTTCACCTCTGGACTGAAGGTACGGATATGTTGGCTAAAATTGTTTCATAGAGATGGCTGACAATTTCTTCAGTGGCTGATCATATTGAGGATCTGCTAGGCGAAAACGTCAGATTGAAAAGAAAGGTCGGGTACACCGCACCAGCCCAAAATCCCGATATTTTCGTAGCAGACGACTTCCAAGCGATGGCTGTCAACGGGCCCAACGACAATGCAGCCATTAGCCTCTCTGAATCGCTACAAATGCCCTACTTGCAGTGGAAGGACCCTATTCGTAGTGACGTGGGAACAGAGTTGCCCCCAGTCGCTGGTCCATCCAGTCTAGCAACAACCAGCGAAACAAGCAATGCTAGGGCGGCGACGATGACACCTCCTCCAGACTGGAGCACATTCTGGGCAAGCTATAACCCTGGGCCACTTTCAATTCCCATCCCAAGCGTTCAGGCGCAGCAGACTGAACCTTACTTTGCCACATTGCTTGGACAGCACATGCAGACAGATGTCCACAGATCTAACACACTCAACCACGAAATCGGCTTCACAGGGCCTCAACTCCAGACCAATGGCTCGACAAAGCGGTTGAGCAGTGGTTCCGCGGACAGCGGAATGCAAGACTATCTCTTCACATTATTTGCGCAGCGGTAAAATCTTCAAACCAGGCGTTCAGATAAAATATGAAACTGCAAGACAGACTAGGGCTCGATGTGCCAGTAGACACTCGAAAGCGTTAAAGAACAAAGCATTCATCGACGACGCACCTAGTACAGCGTCGGGGTACCAACGGATTCTGCGGACTTGCCACGCAGGTAGAAGTGGGAAAGTGTGACAGTGGAACGGCGAGGAAAAGCTACCACATGGACATTGGTTATCGGACAGGAAATATTAAGAGCGCACATCTTCTTGTCTATATATTTTCCGCGGAATCCCATTGTTCTGATTATCCGATCACCAACTTGCAAGATTTTATCCAAAAACAAAAGGGTACTGAAATTTCAGTGTCAACGACAGGAACACGCGCTAAATTGCTTGTCATATATCAGGGCAAAGAGCAAGAAGAATAGCGCAAAGCGACTCAGCGACTCCGCTATTATGAACCGTGGACAATAACGCAAACGAACTTGAAGACTACCCATATTAGGGTAGCTTGGTAAGCTATGCTCAGGCAATGACTAGCTGCCGACAGACTGATCACTTTCCAAGTCCATCATTTATCTTCATGGTTCAGGTTCATCGAGTAATGTCTACGAGGGCTATAACAATGCTCGAATCACAGCAATAGAGGTACCAGATACTATCGTCAGACGGTATGTCTATGATGTCCATAATCCAACCAATGTCTTAACAAAAGGACACGAATCAGAACCTAGTAACTGGAATAATAGATGACATGTGTCAATCAAGAAATATGCAACATTCTCTCGGAGGCTGAGGCTGGACGATTGTTAATTGTAGTAAAGTCAGCCCAGCCAGGGTATCATTTAACCGTACATCATGAAATGCAGGTTCGCTCTTACCTAATTATAGCGCAGAGTAATGGAATGATGGTTGTGTTTACTGGCACAACGTTGGCATATGACTCGGTCCGCTTTATTTGGTTGTTATCTGTTTAATTTTGACTGAATGGTTATAACATGGCCCCCCTTGTTGTGGTGAGTTACCGTAGCATTAGCATTCATCTCTGCGATGTACCCACCGGTGAGGTAAAGTTTTTCAGCACCGACTCACTTAAAGTACTGTTTTGCAGGTATCTCTGGGTCCAGGAACTAGTAATATATATTCATAGTGGTCGAATACACGTTTTGTGTATCTTACAGCTGTACTCGTGCACAAATCAATCGCAAAACAACATATCAATTTGATCAGATTCGCATACAACATTCTCTACAATTCTATATATGTACAGACCAAGAAAAAGGAAATTTCTTGAATATAAAAACAGAGATGTTACCTGTTTTCTAGATGGATACCTTGCCTCTAGGTTCGTAAGGCAGCAGAAGGGCCAAGAAACCAGCGAAAATGATGAGGGCACCAGCTATATACACTGGGACTGCCGTAGCAAGGTTAGCATATAGCGCGATGATAGGAGCCTATATGAACAGCGCATATCAAATTAATTGTTTGCTGTCCCACTGTTCACGTGTATAGGGATAAAACGTACCATGATACCGAATACGCGAGTGGCGGTCGATGTCAACCCATTCCCAGTTCCGCGGTCTTTCGCAGGGAATATCTCTGGTGAGACAGCATATAAAACGCCGTACATGATCTAAAAGAAACACATGAATATATTCGCATGTAAGCCGATGTCGTTCACTACTACGCACGTTACTGAAGAACGTATATCCACAATTCCAGCCTAGTAGAGCGTTCGAGGTTCGGGCGGTCGTGGTAGCGAAAAGAAAGACGCCTGTGAGCCCTGTCTTTCGCGTGAGGTCGTTGAGTAATGTCACTTATAGAGAGGCGAGGACTACTCGCCCGCCGAGATGGCTAAAGTGCCTTTTCTTCCTATGGATGGTACTTCTACCGCCCATCCCGCAAGGAAGGCACCAGGTATACCTATTAAACTAATGATGACTTGCTGCAATTGCAAATGAGCAAGGTACGGCAACTACTCGGAGAGTTTGGAACTCACATTCCGGTATGTGGTATACAAAGATGCGTCTCCAAACTCGGCACCTCTTTGGACAAGCCTAAACACAAGCGATTAATGTTTACTCTCTCGATGAAGCAGAGAACGCGACTTACAGGTAAGGCAAAAAGCTGTTATACAATGTAGACGCCAGTCCGATAATGCCTGATATTGAATCAGCGTTCAGCCCCAGCGCGAGATGCAACACGTCCTACCCCAGAGTGCTATCAAAAGACTTGTAGACCAAGCCATTTTAGAGGTCGAAAATAAGGCTTTTACATGTTTCATGCTAAAATCAGAGCTCTTGCTGAGAATCTCACGGCCTCTAGTGGTATTTATCTGACCGTCCTCTTGACCTGCCGAAGCCAGCTCTTCTACAGATAGAGTAGTCGTTGACCCGTTGAACTCCGCCAATTGCTGAATCACTTTAACTGCCTTTTCATCTTGCCCGATACCTGCAAGGAAACGAGGACTTTCTAGAAGAGTGAAAATGAAGAAGCGGAGACCCCAAAAGAAAAGGGTTAGTCCACCCAGAGTGAAGAGAAGGTAGCGCCACCCCATATTGTTGGAACGGTCACAGTTCGATGCATCAGCACACGAGTAATTGGCGATCAAAGGCCACGCAATCTACCAAAATACTTAGACGCCGATATTAAAACTGAAAGTGATTCGACTTACTAAACTGAGTACGAATTGACCAACGGACCACCAAATCGAAAGAACGGTCAATAGATATTGATGTGATCCAGGAACAAAGTCTAGTAGTAGAATTTCAACGAATTTTAACTAACGCCGTTCCTCTGGAAAAGTTGTGTACTGACCTAGAAAGACGGCTGAATCAACAGGCATATTACCTGCAACAAGAGCTTAGTCATTATATCGTAGTGTAGATATATATCCATACCCCCAACACCCATGCCCACGACAGCGAGCAAAGAAGCAAGAGCTATGAAGTTCGGTGCGCCTCCTGATGCGAGTCCAAATATCCCAGCTATGAAGAGCGTGACGTTGAAAGACCATCTGAATGTCCAAGATTAAGAAACTTTTGAGAGCATATCATTTCAGTAAAACCCACCTTCTACCCCATATGTCGCACCCCAAACTCCAAAATATAGCGCCGGCAAGTAAACCAATGTTCGAAGCCAGCGACAGAAGAGGGCCTTTGAAATGAAATTCGTTTATTACAGGTGCCAATATGAGACCGCTAAGCAGCTAATTATTGATGCATGACTTCCTCGTGAATAGAAATAGAGATTTATGGTACTCACAGGCCAGACACTATCGCTAAACATAGTGTGTTTACCATGAGAAACCAAAATAATCTATTGAAACATTGCACACGTACGCGAACCACCCAAAACCAGTTACCACGAACAGATACCACTGAGGATTTCCTTTGATAAGCTCGCCACATCCAGTCATGAAGATCGCATCTCACCTGATATTTGCCCATACCAATATCCTGAATAGATCGGTTCAAGATACGGGCCTTTGCTTGGTAGACAGGGTCGATAAATTCATCCTCGTACAAATCATCGAGTCGAACTTTCACAGGAGCAGCAAAGTGGTTCTCTACGGCTGGCAGCTGGGCCAAATCCGTCAAAGTCTCCGTCGACCTCGACTTGGGGCTTTCATCATTGGCAGCAGTCATTGCAACGAGTATTCTACCGGAGAAGTGAACGATCTAGGGCTGAAACTCAAACTCACTGAAGCGAGTAGCAAGTAAAGGTGAGAAATGACTGGCACACGCGCATCGGTTCATAAATAATACACCGGTATGTACCGGAACGGTTATCAATTCTGACTAACTGTGCTCTGTGAAGGTGACATTAACATCAAGTCACTACTAAGGACGAGGATGTAGCACTGAAGAATTCTATGACCTCGTTTACTACATACATGGGACGAATACAGCTTGAACAGTCCGGATTGCATTGTCTGAGTGTACAGATGTTCAAGGTCAATTAAAGAAAATAAGTACATTTGCTTCCATCGAGTCGCAGTGTCGCCTCGTAGCTTAACGCGCTGTTTGGCCAACTTTAGCTGAGATCCACTGCTTTGCCTTCTTCTTTTACTCGCCGCTCCCTCCTCCTCTTTACATCCCAGTTGTAAGCTCTGGCAGTGTTCACTTCCATAATCGTTGTTTGCTCTCTCAAAAACTCCAAGTCTTCTGCAGTGGTCTTAAGACTTGCCTCAGCCACCTCCAGCTTTGACTGCAACAATGCTATGGCAGCTGGTAGCTTGTAAGATAGCATCACATTCGCCTGAAAACGAATTAGAGGTCTCGTGCAGTGTTAGTTATAGGCAAGACTTACACCAAGCCAAAGGTAGACTGTGTCCGTATCCTCAAGTTCAGCTTCTGCAAATAGAGTATCATTCAATTCAAAGGTTGTTATCATTGGCTTTTTAGATCCCGTTGATTCATCTTCCTCGTCTAGATCATCTTCAAGATCATCGTCGGATTGTGCTTTACTTTTGCCTTCCTAACCATGTTATCACGATCTATCCGGTATCTGTTATTGGAGGATTACTTACCCGTCTATCCCTTAAAAACTGAACCATGCTCAGCGTCTTCTTGATGTCAGGGATCTTCTCGTCCAGACTACTCCGGCGTTGCGTCAGGTTCGACTCCATATATCGATATTTCCTATGCTACATTCGGATTAAGTTCATAAAGCCAAGATCTCTCTGGTAAACATACGCGATGGCATCTTGGAAACTTTTGAGTGTTTCTTCAATCTCTGCATCTGGTCCACCGATATACTCTTCCACGTTTGTCTGTAGTCGGGACAAGGACTTATAAGTCGAGGATCACACAATGAAGTTCACAAACGCACGATAAATGGTGCTTTTGGGATCCCTCGGGGATTTTTGTCTTCTTGAAAGATGACTTTAGGTGGCATTTCTACCAGAATTCGAAGGACTTCAAGTTTTGGCGTTGAAGGCAAATGTCAATGACCTTCCCTCTCGGATACATCCGGTCGGAGATTCATTCGCTAACCTGATAAAGTCAAAAAGAAAACTGATATTTTTTTTGATACAGGTTTGTGTCCGCCTCTGTTCTCCCTCTTTTCACAGAGCTCTAATCTCCATGTAGCAGGAAAAATGTCGCGTTTGATTGTCAAGAACATTCCACCATATGTGACACCTGCTAGACTCCGCCAACATTTTGAGCAGAAGGGTGCTCCAGGTGGGACGATCACTGATATCAAAGTGTCCTTCAAGCCGGATGGCACCTCTAGACGTTTTGGCTTCGTTGGCTTCAAGACCGATAAGGAAGCGAGTACAGCAAAAGACTGGTTCGACAGAACGTTTATTGATTCGACCCGTATCAACGTAGTCGTTGTAGAGGTAAGAATTCGTCCATTCTCATGGACCGGTGTCTGATCTTCATGGTAGGCATCTAAGGATGCGCCTACACCGCGACCAAACAAGAGACGGCGAATGGATTCATCAAAAGACGATCATCCTGATATCCGAGAGTCGAAACCTATTCAATCGAAAAACGAGACGGCTGCATCTAACCCAGTCAAGGAAAAGAGTGATCCAAATCTTGATGAGTTCATGAAAGTGATGCAGCCGCGTACCAAAAAGGGTCCATCATGGGCAAACGAAGCATCTCAACATAATCAAGCATTGCTTCCTCCTGTGGTGGACGTCACGCCGGTACCTGTGGAAGAAAATAATCAAGAAGGTGATGAAGGCAAGAACGATGAAGGCATCTCAGATCTCGATTGGATGAAGCGACGTATGACTCAGAAAATGGATAACATCAATCTCCAGGAGCGTGTATTCCAACAGTCGGACGACGAAGATGAAGATCGTGACATGAATGCAGAGGTCAGTGTCGCTGGAAGAAGCCGAGTCGTACATGCTAATGCGGTCGTCAGAATCAAACTGCGATTCCAGAAGAGGAGAAAGATCCAACAAAAGAAACGATTTTACAAACTTCGCGACTGTTCTTGCGGAATCTAGCGTTTTCATGTACCGACTCTGAGCTGATGGAGCTCTTCCAACCGTTTGGCGAAATATCTCAGGTGGGTGTCACATTCTTTGAATAACTTTGAGATTGCGTTCTCGTCCAAGATGACAAAAATTTAGGGACATCAGACTCATTACGAGTATGTTGACCTCAGGGAAACTATAGTAGAAAAAATTATCTGATTCTATTTTCTTACCCTTTCTTACGTTTTAATCAACCTGTCTAACTTTTTGTTTTTTTTTATCTTCTTCCCAGGTAAAAACACGTTCCATTCGTTTTAGTATTTCGCGATGAAAAATTGTATAGGGACATCAGATCCTTTGGACATGATGATCCTTCGGGAGACTAATAGTAGAAAAATATTTCTGAATTTCTCCGACCAACTATCGTATCAACTTGATCGCTTACCGTTCTTTTTCTGCAGGTTCATATACCTCTTGATCCTCGAACAAAGCAACCCAAAGGTCTGGCTTATGTGACTTTCAGTGAATCTTCAGCAGCCTTGGCAGCATACGAAGCTCTTGACAAGAAATCCTTCCAAGGTCGTCTACTACATATACTTCCTGCTGTGACCCGCAAAGGCAAAATACAAGATGAAGATCAGGAGGGGAAGAAAAAATCGCTGAAAGGCGAGAAGGATGCGAAGCGGAAGGCTAGTGCAGGACGTGAATTTAATTGGAGCATGTTGTATATGAATGTTCGTCGAATCATCGGAATTCATTTCGTGTTCCTTAGTCTAAAATGTGGACTATCACAGAGTGACGCGGTGGTCTCGTCTGTAGCCGACCGCATGAACATTGCAAAATCGGATATTCTTAATCCTGAATCCGATAACGCTGCTGTCAAGCTTGCGCTTGCTGAAACGCATATTATTCAAGAGACAAAAACATATTTTGAATCACAAGGAGTGGTGCTATCATCGTTCTCGTCGAAAGCACGGTCGGATACTACGATTCTAGTTAAAAACATACCCTATGGTACGACGGCGGAGCAGATACGAGAGATGTTCGAACCACATGGACAACTTAGTCGAGTGCTCTTACCTCCTGCGGGTACAATGGCTGTGGTCGAGTTTGCTCACCCTGATGAAGCTAGTAAAGCATTTCGTGCTGTGGCTTACAGACGATTAGGCAACTCGGTCGTATATCTGGAGAAAGGCCCGCTGGGTATGTTCCAGGACACTGGTGATACTAACGAACCCACCGGTCAACCCAAAATCTCAACGTCTTTCAAGCCAGTGACCATATCAGAGCAAGAAGCGGACGGTCCTGACGGTGATGATGAACCTTCCCTATCTGCTGGCTCGACGTTATTTGTCAAGAATATCTCTTTCAGCACTACCTCCGACCGATTTACTCAGGTATTCCGCAATCTACCATCTTTTGCTTTTGCGCGTGTACAAACGAAACCCGATCCCAAACGGCCTGCTGTCCCTGGTGTCGAAGCTCCACGCCTAAGCATGGGATATGGTTTCGTTGGCTTCAAAACTGCAGATGCTGCTCAGAAAGCATTGAAGAGTATGCAGGGCTTTGTGCTTGATGGACATGCCCTACATGTCAAATTTGCTGGACGTGGTGCAGAAGAGGATGAGGGTAAAGACAAAGGGAAGACTAAGAGCAACACGACGAAGATGATCGTCAAGAACATGCCATTCGAGGCGACCAAGAAAGATATAAGAGAATTATTTGGGTAAGCGCGTGTTCTATGCGATCACAGTTTATTGTATTGACCTGTGATAATAGGGCTCATGGACAACTCAAATCTGTACGTCTTCCGAAGAAATTCGACTCTCGTTCTCGCGGGTTCGCTTTCCTGGAATTCGTTACACGACACGAAGCAGAGAATGCCTACGCTATGCTTCGCCACACCCATTTGTTAGGGCGACACTTGGTTCTCCAGTGGGCTGAGGAAGGAGAGCAGGATCTAGATGTCCTACGTAAGAAGGTTGGCGTTGGGTATGGTGACGGGTCTGAACTTCCTGGACGCAAGCGGAAATTGGTATTTGATGAAGATGGGGATGGGGATGGCGGAGGGGGAGATGAATAGCGCAAGGCTTGCACTGCAACTATCTGCTACTGAGGTCGGAAGCCAGGCGCTTCAAGTCTATTCTTGTTTGTACTAGCTGCCCCCAGACCGGCGTAGCACTGTTAGTTACGTCACAATACTTAGACTCTCGTGTCTTCTCAACAAGAGAACAAACGCAATGAACTTTCCAGGTGCGGCACATTGTCTTTGTCGCATGTCTTTGTGCATGCTTGTTTTGTTCTTGGGACTAGTTCGGCTGAACCCGACATGTTCAAGCAAGGTGTCAAGCTAACTTCGCTTCCGGTGCTCACTGGAATTTACCCCAGACCGCCTGGCATGCTGTAGCCTGCAAGTTTTTGGTATTAGAGCAATGGACGAGTCTGACGCATCTGATGGCAATGAACCTATGCCTTGTTTACCTCCAGCGAAACGCAGGCGAACGGACACCACTCGTTCTTTCCACTCTCAACTTGGAGGTCTTCCAGACCAAACACAGAATGGAGGCGAGTTCTGGCACGATGATGGCGACATTGTTCTAGGAGTGGAACACCAATTCTTCAAAACACACCGAAGCCGGTTGATGTGCTCACTAATTTTTGCGGATATGTTGGAGTTGCCACAACCTGAAGTCATAGAAAACTTTGATGGTTGTCCCCTTGTTCACCTAGCATCGGACACTGCAAAGGATTGGCAAGTTGTTTTAGGATGGATGTATGACCCAAAGTAAGCACGAGGTGGCTTCGCTTGATTACCCTTTGTCGCTGATCTCTTCTAGCTACTTTTCTGTTCAACCAGCTATAACATTCGATATGTTAGCAGGTGCCACGAGGATATCTACGAAATACGAAATCGCAGGTCTTCGCGACATAATGAAACACGAAATTATGTCTCGTTGGCCCAAAGATATTTCCAAAATGACTACCAGTTCACTACCTCACGCTGCTGGTGAGTTGAGTTCACTGTCGACTGTAAGCCTCCATGATGCATTCTACTAAACGTCTTCACTGCCACAGAAGCGATATGTCTAGCGCGCGAGTGTGATATTCCAGAGATTCTTCCAGCTGCGTTCTATGCGCTTTCAGTCCAAAAATGGACTTATGGTGCTGACGGAGGACGCTCACATCTCATACTCGCTCCAGCTGACCTACGTCGCCTTATTGCAGGGCGCGAAGCTCTGCAGGATTTCCTGGTGAAGATATTAATCGCACCGTTAAACTATACGGACCAATACGCACTCTCTTTCTGTCCACAATGCAAACCAGCTGTCGAGCGCCTTTGGATCACCAGAATGGCGCCAAATCCATCATCGCCGTGGGGTTGCTGGTTGTTACGCGAGCTCGTTGACATGACTAAACAAGGCCGCGGGTCGAATCTAAAACTATGTTGGAGATGCGATTTCGACCTTGAAAGCTTGATTTTTGTCCGCATATCGGCACTGAAGGAGTCCATGTCTAAATTTTTCATGCTTTGATATTTTTGCTATCCCCGCAGTCTCACACCCCCTATATTATTATTTGCCATCGACTCGCTGTTTGAGCATTTTTCCCTTGACAGTTTCGTCTCGCTTTCATCTCGCTTTCTCGAGCAATACAGGCTCAGTTTCATTCCTGGTTTTCTTGTATTACTGTCTTACAATTGTTCCGAGTCTGTTTGGTGTCATGACTGCCGATGCCATTCTGATTGAAGGTCTGTTTATCCTACGGCCTTCGATGTTTTTTTGACTTACTTTCCACATTATCCTTACTAGTATATCAGATTCCCGTTCAAGTTGATTCCTGTATTGTTATTTCTCCGCCATCATTTGGGAACCTTTTTGCTACCCATAGACACCGTCGAGCACCGCCTCGGATACTAGAATTGACAGATATGTTTGGTAGAGCGCTGGACATTCCACTTAAGAAACATTCTTCCCACTAGTAGCATTTTCGTGCTTTCCGGATGGAGTTGTGTCAAGCATGTGGTCTCACCTATATGGCCTGGGCTGTGAATGACGTCTTATGTCCAAGCTGGTCATCGAATAACTCCAATTCTTTCTATGGCGAGTATATAAGTCAAACCCATCACCTTTGACCTTGCACAATCATTCCCGCAGTAGCGGCGATAGGAAACGCAACTGATAAATATGACTTCTGTAACTGATCCAAGCACCATTGGGAGGCCTGCAATGCGCCCCCGGTCCCTGACAGGTGAAATCATTCTGCTGTGGGTGCGGTTGCAATATTTATCGATTATATTTTCAGGGTATCTTCCTGAAAGGGATGCATCTGGAAAGGAAAAATGGCCAAGAGGTGACGAGAAAACTTGGAAAGATGGGCTGCGAAAACTCGACACCGGTGCGTCCCCCCTGACCAAAAAAAAGACTCGACCTGTATTGATGCTTTGTGGCCCTAACCTTTTGCTACAGACGTTCCCTCTATCACGAAGTCCTTTGTGAATCATGCACAAACCTCTTTGGGTCGTCAGGCTCACAACTTGGATTACCTAGGAGCCTATCAAGCTGCAGCCTTGTCAGTTCGAGATAACTTAATTGTGCATAGTATGTTCTTCCTGTTGCATTACGGCATTCTTATCACTATGGTCAGATTAACTGGAATGATACACAACTGCACTATACTCGCAAGACCGGAAAACGTGCCTATTATCTTTCTCTCGAATTCCTCATGGGCCGAGCACTTGACAACGCTCTACTCAATCTTGGTCTAAAGGAAAAATACACCGCGGGTATCGATAAACTTGGTTTCAGCTTGGAAGGTATCCTTGAAGAAGAACGCGACGCTGGTCTTGGAAATGGCGGTCTTGGCCGACTTGCAGCATGCTACCTCGACTCGTCCGCGTCGCAAGAGCTTCCGGTGTGGGGCTATGGCCTGCGTTATAAATATGGTATCTTCAAACAACTCATCTCGCCCGAGGGGCAGCAACTGGAAGCGCCTGATCCATGGTTGGAACATTCCAACCCTTGGGAGTTACCCCGTCTAGATGTTACGTACGAGGTCAGATTCTATGGGAACTCGGACAGATTCACTGATGGCAGTGGTCGTGCAGTATGGGCAGGCGGACAAGAGGTTGTTGCAGGTATATGCTCACCCACCCTCTTCAATAGGCCGCGAACTGACCTTCATGTACTTGAGTTGCGTTTGACTGCATGATTCCCGGTTGTGATACTAGGACCACGAATAACCTCAGGTTATGGGAGAGTACACCAAAGAGAGGGTTCGATCTCAATAGTTTCAATGGTGTGCAGAAATCACGTTTATATGTGTTGCCTACATTTATATATGTCAATTTCAGCTGGCGATTATGTACGTGCGGTGGAGTCCTCCAACAGTGCCGAAGCGATAACTTCAGTTCTATATCCTGACGATCATACCACTTGTTCGTATTTCTTCTCGTCTAATATTATTTAAGACTGCAGGGCTTACGATACACCAGTCGGCAAAGAACTGCGTTTGAAGCAACAGTACTTCTGGACAGCTGCCAGTTTGGCGGACATCATCCGTCGATTCAAGAACACAGGCAAGAGCATCTCAGAATTCCCTGATTGTGAGTAAAGACATGCGCACCCCAGTAAAGATACTCAGCTTTTATTTTTATTTTAGATGTTGCTATTCAGTTGAATGATGTAAGATAAATATTTTTTCCGCGGAATTATTCCTAATACCTCTAATAAGACTCACCCAACCCTTGCAATTCCCGAACTCATGCGTATACTGATCGATGAGGAGGATGTCACTTGGGATGCAGCTTGGAATATTGTTACCAACACGTTCTTTTTTACTAATCATACTGTGCTGCCTGTAGGTTGTTTCGTTTATTGAACTACAGTCGAACGTACTATAACTTATTATAGGAAGCACTCGAGAAATGGCCGGTTCCTCTGATGGAACATTTATTACCGAGGTACGTATCTATACCTCTAGTGATAACTAGTATTTCTCGTCGTCGTCGCATTATACTAACCCTGTTTTAGGCATATGCAAATCATTTTTGATATTGTAAGTCATTCAGATGTTTAGAATGTGATGACTTACGATCCCCTAACTGTCTACTGTATAGAACATGTGAGCTTGGCTTGTGCGTACGAGTGTTCATTATTAACTTTCGTTTTCATAGGCTATTTTTACAATGTAAGTAGCACGTCTTATAAACTAGACAAACGCTAATGTATTGTATCATGAATAGCCGTGGAAAGGAAATTCCCTGGGGACAGGGAAAGATTGGCGAGAATGTCTTTGATAGAAGGTACAGTCTCTAGTCCTATACCAACTTGCAGACAGTTGATATGTTACGTCTCTTAGAGGGAGTACCTCAGAATATACGAATGGCGCATCTGGCATGCATAGGTGAGCACTTATAATATGAACACACTGCATTTCCTAAGCCTGATTGAATTGAATAGGAAGTCACAAAGTGAACGGTGTTGCCGAGGTAAAACATTTCTTATCAGCTTATTCAGGGGGCTGACAGGACACGATTAGCTACACAGCGAGCTTGTCAGGACTACCATATTGAAGGACTTTGTAGAATACTTTGGGATTAGCAAGTAAGTTCGCTTCACCAAAAAATTAGACTTGAAATTGACGTTCCCAGATTTGGCAACGTTACGAATGGAAGTAAGTGTACGGGATGTAAAATCATCTAATACTAATTTCCGTTTTCTAGTTACTCCCCGGAGGTGGCTCGATCAGGTATGTTCGGATATAAATCATGTAGTTATCGCTCGTAATATTATGCTTTTTAGTGTAATCCAACACTCAGCGACCTCATCACAGACACCCTCAAACTTCCCAAAACGGTCTGGTTGAAAGATCTCTATAAGCTCAAAGGTCTTCTTGATCATGTCGAAGATGAGAATTTCAGGCTGGAGTGGGCTACGATAAAACACGCTAACAAAGCAAGGCTAGCACGCTATGTCCGGGCCAACTTGGGGTTTACTGTGAATAAAGATGCTATGTTCGATGTGCAGATCAAGGTGTGTCTCTATCAAACTATTCTCTGATACCGCCTAACAATTCCTATTTAGCGATTACACGAGTACAAGGTCAGTGCCGACAGAGTCTTATAACATATTTACTGATCCATAGTTCTGTAGCGTCAAACTATGAACATTCTTGGGGTCATCCATGTAAGTCTTTGTCTTTGAGACTGTATGCTTACATTTACATTGTTTGTATTCGCAGCGCTATCTCTCGCTCAAAAAGATGACAGCTGAGGAAAGAAAGACGGTGACTCCTCGTAACGTATTTTTTGCTGGAAAAGCAGCACCAGGATGTGAGTCTAATGACATCACTACGACCTGCTCTAAATTTTAATGACGTCCTTCTAGATTACATCGCAAAGTTGGTCAGTGAAACATGCCTCTGCTTACAAAAGGGCATTGACCTCAACTTACTGTGGTGCATTTTCTGAAGACCATCCGGCTGATTGTCAATGTCGCTCATGTTGTCAATGCTGATCCAGACACGAAAGATCTCTTGAATGTGTTCTTTTTACCTGATTATTCTGTTAGCCTTGCAGAGCTTTTGATTCCAGCATCGGACATCAGTCAGCACATTTCCACTGCTGGCACGGAGGCATCTGGGACTTCAAATATGAAGTTTTGTTTGAATGGAGGATTACTGGTGGGGACTGTTGGTACGTTCTAGCTATAATGATTGGTCACTGAGCTGGTTATTGATGCAACAAAATCGTCTGGAGATGGCGCCAATATCGAAATCGCTGAAGAAGTTGGAGAACAAAATGTTTGTATGTCGCATTCTTTACTGAGAATTCGATATTTTGTCGCTAATAAGTGGATGAGAAAGTCTTTTTTGGTCATTTGAGTTCAAGCGTTGAAGATATCCGCTTCCAGCATATCCACCACCCTGTCGCGGTCGAGGAGAAGTCGCCCGCATTAGCGAATGTACTTGACCAGGTTTCGTCTGGACTCTTTGGTGATGGTAGTATTTACAACCCGTGAGCTATTGTGCGCTTCCTCCGTAGAAGATGTGCTGACATTGCGCCCGAAGGTTACTCGATACCATCCGTCACGGTGATCACTACCTCGTAACTGATGACTTTGATTCATGTGAGCTAGCAAAATGACAAAGGATGAATTTGTTGTTGGGTTTCCTTACTTTGTAATGCAGATATCCAGGCTCTCAGGTTGGTTGAAGAAGCCTATAAAGATCAAACAGAATGGGTCAAGAAGAGCATCAGAACTACAGCTAAGGTAATCCTCAGCTTCTCTACTTCCATCAATCAATGTTTTATCTGTATGGCTTCCAGATGGGCAAATTCAGCTCCGATAGGGCCATCCAGGATTACGCACAAGAGTATTGGAACATCGAGAGTACGAAGGTTCAGTAATTATTCAATTTTCCACGGGAAGTGTACGATCGAAATAGCGAGGGGATAGCAGAGGCGATCTGACGAAAGGTATGATGGTGGTTGGGTTATCGTGGTATCGGTATGAAAATCTCATGTGCAAAAAAAATGGCCATGAAGTTATAAAAAATTAAGGAGCAATATGAATGCATACGTGGTGAATGTAAAAAATGAAATGATGGTAATGTTAACGAATATAAACCTAAGCTCATCTGAAGCTTAGTCGACAAAAGAAATAAGTACTAGCTTGAGGATGTGCATCCAACTGAAATAGATCAAAGGGTATACAACGAAGTGCATTTCAGCTATAGTGAAGAAGTCTGCTCAGAAGCATCTTCGGGGGCTGCATTCGCTTCAGACTCCGTCTTTGCAACAGGTGATTCGACCTCTGGGTAGAATTAACAGGGGATCGTCAGCAGATAAGATAACGTCCACTAACCATCTGCCGGAGCTGAATGTGATTCCACAACGTCCTCCTCTGAAGTCGCAGGCGCTTCAGAAACATCTTCAACTGGTGCATTTTCCAGAGTCTGATCATTGTCCGTCAAAATATTGGTATCCTCCGTGTTTGTGATTTCATCTGTTTGGTGTTCAACTACAGTCGGTCCGTTAGGTTCGTTGAACAGACTTCATGATAAAAAAAAAAGCGCAACGTACCTTCAGCCTCCACGGAAGTATCATCGAGCTTCTCCACTGCAACGGGTTCCTCAGCATCAATGCCTACGCTATCATCTGCAGGTGGCTCAGGTGTGGTCTCAGGAATAGTGGTTGTAGCCGACTCCACAGGAATTCCTACTGCTTCATTCACATCAGCTACTTCGGGTTCTGCAGCTACAGCAGGCTCAGCAGAATAATGAGGGTCGTGGATTAGCTTTTGTTCTTTCGAAACGTCTTCTTCATCCTTTGATAGTTGCTCGCTTTGTATAGGTTCGGAGACGGCATCCGCATCTCCTACAACATCTTGTGAATCATCACGATCGGAGTGTTGCACCTCCGGTTCCTCCGCTGAAGGTTCAGTAAAACTTTCCACGGGCATAGCAGCTTCAGAGCCACTAACAGATGGACCCACTTCCATCTCATGTTCGGAGACCGAGGGAATAATTTGATCGTCTATCCTTGCGTCCGACATAGCCGCAACGTTTGTCTGGTCAACATCAAATTCCTTAGCAGATGGCGTCATATCCAATTCCCGTTCTACTGCCTCGACTGGTTCGGTAGATCCGGGTTCCTGGGTGACCTCTGGCTCTATCGTCAGCGGAACATGCGTGCTATCGTGAGCGACAGTATCCGGGAGCACAGCACGTTCATCATCAACAACAGACATGTCTTCTGGATCTGCTGCTTCTTGCGAGAGAATCTCCTCCGTAGATGCAGCCGACACAGCTTCTGCACGAGCAACATCTGACTGAGATAAGTCGGAGATGGGTTCCACAAGATCGTCAACGGTAGATTTGACGGACTCCTCGGGCGAAGTAACCTCGATATTGGCTGGCTCAACATCAGCTGTAGATGGTAGGACCTCATCCTCTACTGCAGGCTGTTCGGGTTCGGCAGCATCATCGACGTCGGCGAGTTCGGAGGGATGAGCACTCTCACCGCTGACGGTGAATTCGGCTGGTTGCTGAGGTTCAGTGGGAGCTTCAGATTGACTGTCTTCATTTCCCGGTTCAGGAAGAGCAGTCGACTCAGTCTCAGTAGAGTCTACAGATTGTATGGGCGCATCAGTTTCATCAGTTGGGACTGAACTGACGTCCACAACTACAGCAGCCTCTTCCGTGGGAGCTTCGGACTGAACTTCTTCTTCTACGTGTCCATTTCCATTCCCGTTCCCGTTCTCTGGTGCAGATTCCACGGGTTTGATAGGTGTCGCAGCCTCAGCACTAGCCACTGAATCAATGTCCACAACCGGAGTTGCCTCAGTAAGAACTTCAGACTGAGTTCCTTCTGCAGCGTCAGATGCAACGCCGAGTACGGGCAAAGAAGGCGTTTGTTGGGTATTTTCCGGCTCCGAAACAGGCGAAACAGACTGTTGGACGTCTTCTACGATCTCGTGTCTGGGCTCTTCAACGACGAGAGTAGTAACACTGTCCTGTTGAGGTTCAGGAGCCGTCTCATCCTTCTTTTCCGGAGCATCCGACGTCGCAGATACAGGTTGTGGCTCTGCCTCCTGGACGGGCTTGTCTGCAGCGTCAGCAGCCACGAAAGCAGCACTACCAGCAGCTCCAGTAGCAACCACAGCACTAGCAACGCCAGCAATACCAAGACCCTTCTTCTCTTCACCCTTTCCAGATTCAGAGGCAGGCGAGACTTCCGGTTTCTCCTCTTCTTCAGCCAGAATTTCCCCAAGTTCACCAACATTGGGCGATTTCACGGCCTTCCTGCGCACTGCAGTTCGCTCTGCGGGAGACGAGGTGGTCTTCTCAAAGAAACTGAATCGCTTCCTCGCTGCAGCCAGCGTGGAGGTCATGCGCAAGCCTGAGATATCAGACCTCAGAGATGGTTTCGGGGACGACGTCCTTCCTTTGACAGAATCAGGAGACGAAGGGCGGAGCTGTGATGGCCGACTGTATGCTTGTTCGATGACAACCCACTCGATCGGATGTCCAGAACCGTTCTCAACGCCCGCAAGAGGCTTCAATTTACAGATTACAAAAGTCGGCCAACCAACAGAAATAGGGTCCACAACCGCGTCGCTCCAGAAATCGATAAAGGCTTCGTCTATCTGGACCATATGCACAGAGCTGAGCTTAGAGAGCAGAACTTCAGGTTCTTGGGGTGATGTTTCCGGCGAGGTTGCAGTAGGGGTGTCAACTGAAGATCTGCGAGGAGTGGGTCGCTTTTTGCTCGATGATTTTCGTACTACGGGTGGCTGAGTGACCTCGAGGTCTTTGTCGAGGAGGGTTGCCGCGAGAGGTTGTCCGACAGCCGTCTCACCAAAGCCGCTCGTCGAGAAATGTGCCCAATCAGTGACGATGGCAGGTCCGGGGGTGTTGGGAGATGGCGAAGCCGATCCGTTTCTGAGGTGCTTGCCATTAACACCTTTCTGTTCAACGAGTTTGCTCAGAGAAGACGAACGTCTCCTTGTCGGAGAGACAATGCGTATGATAGGCGAGGAGAGCATTCCTGTGGTGGGCGAAACCGCTTCCATGCTGTCAGCAGGGACCAATGACAGCAGTTGGATGGTCTCGTCGACAAAAATGCGAGTGAGTTGGGGGAAATCCGATGATGACGGGGCGTCAGGAGACTCTGTGGCTGCTTTCTTGATCTTGGTCCACAAATCAACATGCTCACCGGTGCTAGACTCTGCCCCCGCCTTGAAAGCATCAAGGATGAGACGCACAGGGTGCTGCTTAGGTTTCTTTGCAGAATCTGATAGTCCAGTGTCGACGCGAACAAAAAGGGCATCATACGGACGCGTTGAGAATCGAGGACGCGATAGAAGGCCATCATCTGTCGAAGGCGAGCCAACAAGGTAAGGGTATTGGCGAACTAGTTCCTGTAATCGAGTGGGAAGGCGATGGTTGATGGTTTCCTGTCTAAAAACGGAAATTTGATGAACTGAAAGTACATATTTACATGGCAGTATGCTAACCTAACCCGAGCCAAAAATAGATGTTCAAAGATACGAGCTGCCCGCTCCCAGCGCTGATAGAATTGGGCCCAGTCGTCTGTATCTTCAAACCTAGTGACGGTTAGCATCCATAGACCAAGGAACTTTGTAAGCTTGCTACCCGAAATACTATTTGCCTCAGCATGTGCTGCGAGAGAAGAAATCACTTCGAGGACAGCGACGAGTAGTTCGACATGAGCAGCAGGTAGCTGGGGTAATAATATGTCTGAAAAAGCCGTGGGAGGATACGAAGAGTCACGCTCAGCCTCAAAGAAAGTTTTGTACCAAGACCATTCGACAGAGTCTTTACCGAAAGTACTTCCCTCAAGCTTGAGATGGCGGAGACCCCATCTGAGGACAGAGGCAACGTCGTGGGGGGACCGAGTGTAGTTGAGCTCGGACTCGAAGGCCGAGGCGGGCGAGGTTGGTGTTGGAGAGAGCGTGGTTATACGGCTTTTAGGAGCCAATGAATGAATAAAGAGAGAAATAAGTCGTCGTTGAATGTCTGGCGAGGCAGAATACCAGTGAGGGTGCATGATACCAAGGGTTTCCAAACCTAAGGCGAGAGGTCAAAAAATATATTAAAGGTGAATCGCTGGCATGGGAACATACCACGTTCTGTGATGGCCTGAGAGCATGCTCGTACCAAAATGAGAGCTTCTAGCGGGGTCAGTCTCTTTGCAGCAATGACAGCGTCGTCCAGGATGGCCTGACTTTCAGGATCAGCCTCAAAGACTATACCGAGCGCACGCGATTCGGTGTTTTCCTTCGGACCAGGTAAATTCAGCGACAAGTGGGGCAGTTCGTTTGCACGTTTCTGCGAGTTTCCAGGCGAGCCAACGCGAGATTTAGGCCTGAAAAGAGAAAATGGGCCATCCTTGTCTTTCTCCTTGGAGGACGAGGCTAAATCGACGAAGTTGGTTGCGGATGGCGAGACAGATGGCGAGACAGCCTCGTAGCGCCCATCAAGCAAGGAAGGATCGGACGTTGGCTGTGTAGAACGCGAGGCATCCTTGTCGTCGTGTTTTTTACGTCCGAATACTTTATTGAAAAACGAGGGCATGGCGTGACCTGGAGAAAGAGTCAGAGAGCCGAAATGACCTGCATTATCGTTATTGTTATTACCGCGCGCATATAGCGACATGATGGAGCAAAACATACGAGTAAAAGATAGCCTAGGGAGCCACGATGGATGATTTGACGGGGACAGCTGCGAAGAACAAAACGTGTTTCTGTGTTCTCTCAGATGGAACGAGATCAGGTTCGTGGCGGCAACTCGTGGCTGCCGCGCGATATACCACAGAAAATATACCTCCGCAATACCTCCGTTCGAACCCCGCTGCCGTCATTTTATTCAGGAGTCACCACATCCCAGACCTGGACTTTCTGTACTTCCTGGGCCGCGATACGGACATCCTTTTCACTCTGGCAAGCCTTGGATGTTCTCACATGACGAATAAATCACCATCGATATCTTCTTTCAATTCAAAAATCAACATCAGTGACCTCCTTTAGTCTGAACATCTATCATGGATTCACCAAAATGATCCAAGAACGTCCAATGGAATCTTAACCTGCCAGTTCTATATCCCCTACCAGCGGCGAACAAACCCACGCAGCGTACAAACCACTGGCACGGTACTACCATCGACATATCGCAAGTCTTCAGCCACTTTTTGAGTCCGTGGCGAAGCTCGATTTCAGTAGCCCCTTAGATTTGGGCATTTTACACGTGGTGTACATCTGCGTCGCACAAAGACCCTCCCCCTAACGTCGTGAGTGGGCTGAATGTTCACACTCTTTCGAACGGAACCCGTTCTGTTTCAGTACAGGTCGGATACAGGTATAAATCAGGTCTGCAGCTACCCAAGCTCGACTTCATAATCTTGAGGACTCGAAAAATGGTCCAGGTGGACTTCACCTAGTGCCGATCAGAGACGCCGGAGTGTCGGTTGGCAGACGACTTCAAGGAAATCTGGTGAGAAAGGGGAAAGACAGGTGGTCACCACAATGGAACTCTTACAATTGGTTTTTGAAATCAGCCCCATACAGGTTTGTCATCGACTCATCATATGGATAACTCTCGCTCTAACTCTTTCTTGCTTTCAGCACCAGCACAGATTTGACATCAACCATTTTTTTTTTTCATCGTGAAACATCATACAATCCATCAGTGATCAATCGACAGTTTTACCTGATATAATGACGTTGCAATACACATTCGTCGGCTTTGGACTCGAGACGAAACACGGTCCGGCAGGTAATTCGTTTCGAGACCACCTCCTTGTACAAAGAAGATACGGGCCAAGAGAAGGAAGCGCGACACTAATACCAAATGGAGACAAATCAGAACCTACCAGTTCAGGAATATGCTTCATTCTGACATCTGAAGAAGAATGCATCACTGAACTCTTCTTCGTTTCAAGATTGTGGACATCTACATCAGTGAACCTTCTTGCATCAGCCTTTTATTGTGGGAAACCTTAAAGAGCATTCGTTGTCATTGACTAAACGTCCTGGAACGTTCGACGGAGGATTTATCGCCACAAGTTTTGCATTCTGCGTTCACGTCACCGAGACCCCTACGTACGACCAACAGCGATAAGCTCTGTAACACAGCATACGTGCGACCGGTACGGGTTACCATCGACATATCGAAGATCCCGAAAACGAAGGAGCGAATCTGTGTGCCAGAGCTATGTCCGTCTCCCTCCGGTGAATAGTATTGATTAGGTTGAATCATATCAAGAGTGCGCAGTTTTTTTTTGCTTCTTGACACAACGTTTACTTACCACTGACTTGGATTAGACTAATACTTAACAAGTATACATCAGAACACTCGCATTACCACCACTCACCTAAGACGCGTCCGAACAATACTCATTGGTCGCTATAAAAGAACAAGTCTATCCCTATACCATCCTACTATCGGCTTTAGGTGATCCATGCACGAGTCTCGGACGTTCCTAGCCTCCCCATGATTCGGTTACAAAAAATACAATGCTGCAGCGTCCTTGAACATTTATTTTTGGTTCTGCATCATCTTGCTTCGTCATGTACCTAATTTTGTGCTGTCGTATCTCAACCCCATAGTATTTCAGCTTCTAACGCTCCCTCGTCCGTGCGTCGAGGTGATGCTGTAATTATGCTGACCGATGAGCGCTTCCCACTGCAAAGAACATGCTGCCATAGTCTAGTGCCCGTAAGAACCCCCTTAATTTCCCATCATCAAGCTCCTCGAAGACGTCCAGTGCACCGTGCACTTTTCCTACATTCTATAAGCACACTTCCTGCAATGCTCTCTCTTGTACAGTACCATCAAGCGCTGATCATTCCGCGTGGTCACGGTACCGTCCGAAACGAGTAAGACTGCAATTTCGGGATTTGTTTTCCAGTGCAAGGAGGCTGTACATGAAAAGCGCCTGCCAGTGCTTGATGGACCACCGTGGGCAGACACCAACAGCGAAAGCTTAGCTCACTCCAGCTCACACCATACGTTCTCCGAGTCCACACGGCAACGACCTCCACATCCACCATGTCCGCTCCACCTAGAGGCTACGACCAAAATTTGCTTGACGAGGCCCCGGCGGCGACTCGGGCACAGCTGCAGGTCAGTCTGGGCTGGAAATTTGGCTGCATCAAAAAAGATGGTATAGGGCTGATAACAGTACTCGAATGGATGTTTTTAGGAAGGGTACAACATCGATTTACTTGATGAACGGAGGCCTCAACGATCACGCTCTACACACGTCGCCAATGCCACACCTCCCATCAGCTCAACGACGCCCCGTCCCAACGTTCCAATCCTTAGCTCACAAGAAAAATTCCAAGAGAGGAACTCGTCCCCCTCTCCTTCTTCCAAGAAACGTCTGCCGTTCTGGAGGACCACGGCAGGCATCGTCACTATAGTTGTCGTCGTTATCGTGATCATTGGAGCAGTCGTTGGGGGTGCGGTGGGTGGGACGGTGGGGAAACATCATAGCAGTGCTGTAGCGTCCACTACCTCGAGCTCGAGCTCGAGTGATTCTGGCGGTGGTAACACATATGGATCAGGGGGTACCAGTACTGGTGGTGGTGGGCAACCGATAGGCAGCTCAGGTGGTGGTGCTTCAAGCCAGGATGTTAGCCCTACAAGTGTTACAACTGGTGGCTCAGTTGCTTCGACCCAGGATGTGGGCCCTACAAACGTTGCACCTGGTGACAGCACCACTCCACAGGCTGTCTCGGCGACGACGCCCCGGGCAGATGCAGCTCCCAATACTCCTGTGCAGGGCTCTCCAACCCCCTCCGCTGCGGATGCATCAAATTCCGGGTCAAGCTAGTTGGGAGCGGATCATTATGCGGAGTGGATTCTGTAGTGGACAAGAGTAAACCCCCCTTATGTATCTTCTTGGTGTTTCGACGGAGCCAATAATCTAGCAGGTCACTTCTTTTGATGGCTTCTTGTGTGTGGATATACTTTCTGACAGAGTTTCTGTTGTACGATAACTGTGACGGTACTTGCAGCACTAGTTTAGGCCCCTCGGTGATCCATTTAGTTTTGTTGTTTAAAACACTTATTATTTCAACTTGTGAAGCCATCAACGAATGTTAAGATTCAAAACACTGAACGTATGCTAGCTGCAACCGGCTAGACTTCCGTGAGGGACCCGACTCGCCACTGCAGATCACGGTGAAGACGCAAAGCACCAATCCCCAATCGACTCTGACACTGACGCAGCTCTGGGCCCCAGCAAAGCCCCAATGCACGACTCTGCCACAACGAACCTACGCATCAGGCGGAAACACCCCCAAGACAATAATAATCTTTTCCCCCTTCTCGCTAACCCAGAAACTGACAAGGTGTTACAGACTATCAGCGAAGGAAACACGATGATGCGGATGAGATAACGATACGTAATGATTATCAAAAGGGATATTGGGCGCCTACGTGCCCACCGCCCCCTTTCGGTTTTCGTCGCACTCAGGAGAACCACCCCTTGGGCTGATGCCCCGCCTCATCCTCGACCTCTCCGTCCCTCCTCTGCCTTATAGCCTCCAAGATCCGACCGACCCCTTCAACATCGCCTATACTCGCCCTCCCCCCCGTCCAGTCCACGACCACAGGCCATCTGAAGGCACTAGGGTTCTGCGAGACAAGTCGGACGAGGCCATCGGCGCTTTGGGGCCGTTCAGACGGGGACGGCGCGGTGGGGTGCGATGAGAAGAAGGCAGAAAGCGCAGGCGGCGGCGATGACGACTTCGAAGACGGGAGATAGGACAGTATGATAGACAGCTGGTCTGCCGTCGGCGCCGACTCCACGACCTCCAAGTCAAACTGCAGCGGGGGAGACGATGGCTTGGTGGACGGATAGGGCAAGGACAGCGAGGACCTCAGAACGGATAGAGCTTTCACAGAGGGCGGAGAAGAGGGATTGTGACTACGGAAATCGTCAGTAACGTCGATACTCGTCTTGGGAGGCTGAGCACGGCGAAACGCACAATATGGACACTTGAGGCTGCAATGACGAGAATCAGACTTGAGAGGATAGCATTACGGAAAAAGAAATATGCACCAATGAACGCTTGAATGCAGAAAACATTTATTTTGCCTTGAGGGGATTAAAAATTCTGTTAGAAGGTATGAGTGTCGGGAAGACCGTCTCGTGCAGCCCAACGGTCTGACACGGCGACTGTGCACTCGCAACCGCGGATGGCTGACCAATACCGACCATAAAAGGCAAGCATTGTATTCAGCCCACCAAACCATCATCGCTATGGCTTCAGCACTCCCGAGTCTCCAGAGATCAGAGACACAGATACAAATCAGCCGCACCTCATCTCCATATACTCTTTCCCCGGGGGTAAACAGAATCAAAAAATCAAAAACAAAAACGGAGCCAGTACCCATACATCCAATACGTCCCCCCTCCTATGCCTAATGGATGACTCGGAAACAGCACCGACCGGGATTTCCAGACTTTCCGGTGTACTCGATGGCCACCGAGACGTGTGATGAGATGCATCGACCATACATGATATGCTGACGGGTCCTTCCACCGGCGGCACCGACCATCCAAGCCCTAAGCCATAAGCCATAATCCCGAAGGCAATGGCGGGCTTCTATCTGTTAAGATGATGCATGGGCGCTGTCATATAAATAACAGCCCCTCCCCCCTTTCCCCTTCCCAAGACTCCATCAAAGCAGCCGAAAAAAGAAACAACGCTCTAGAATCCGAACCTAGCTAGGCCTTCCCGCGAAACCTCGGGATACACCACCCCGATGCCAACATCCTTTCTAAAAAAGTGAACCGCATCGGTCATTGGTAGATCCCCCCCCCTTTCCTTTCATCATTATCTACAGAAGAACCGGAGGGGGTGTGATATCAACATGTGCCGTCAGATTTCGGGACTCGTTGGAGATAGCTCAGTGGCGGTGAGATCACGTCTCTTTCTGTTTATCGGCGGTGCTCCCCAGCGCTGCGCTGCGGTACGATCCTCACCCGATCCAAATACCCCCCCCCCACCACCACCACCACACCTAGCCGACATCGTTCGCACACCCTCCAGCCGTCAGATCTCACCGCTTCGGTGCTCAAAGTGCGCCGCACTCGCCATCCCCCGGCGTCCCGTCGTCATGAGGGGTCAAAGTGGGCGTTTGATTATTAATAAATTCCCAACACAAAAAGAAGCTACAGGCGCGTCACGTATACATGACTCGGTGTAATAGAAACAGAGGGTGGAGTAGGGAAAAGGCAGAGCTACGGTCATTAGGACTGCAAGAAAAAAAGAAAAAGATGATAGAAATATTAGAACTAAAGGTAGCTTAGAACGAAGCGATAGATAAAGAGAGGATGCGCTCGCGCATCCATGAGCGGCGTTGAACACGCCAAAATAGAGAGAGAGAAAGGAAAAGCGACAAAACAGGCTTATTATGAACACGAAGCATACCGATACGATGATGGCAACCAACAGCGAATACGATGGATTTGATACAAATTGATACAATAGCGTCCGCACCCCATGGGTAGCAAAGGACGTGGGAGAGGTGATTAATGCACGGATACGATAGCGAGTTTGAATTGCAGGTAACAAATTGGATAGATTATTTTCGAGGATGGTGGATAGCAAGGATCGAAATTTAATAGGTAAGATGATGAGTGGCGAGCGGAGCCGAAAACGAGCTCGAGTCGACCGCCGCCGGGGGGTTGTACGCATTATGTGGCGCACCACTCATCCCCAAGTTATACAGCGCGTGGTTGTGATCGAGAGAGTTCGACTTGCCGTATATAGGCTCAGATGAGAACGGTGCCGGTATCGAGCTGGTGCCATAGTTGTCGGGAGACTCGGTGCGATACATCGAAAACGAATCGTTCCCGGCCGACGGCATGTTGCCAGCATACACCCCACTCGCGTTCACCTGGTCAACGTCGATGGACTGACGCATCTGCACGGGCAACTGGCCGCCTGACACCGCTCGAGGCTGCGTCGAATTGGGACGACTGGAATGAGAAGTCAGGTGTTGAGCGTCGAGCGGGACCGAAAGGCCAGATGGGCTGGAATGACTGGAACTCGACCTTGACTGCGAGCCCAAAGAGCTGGTGGACGGTGCATACGGATGGAACCCACGGTTAGAAACCAACGACGGCGTGCGCCCCCGATCAAGGTTCCTCATCAACGACGGCGTCATACTCCTGTGCCGCCTAATGGGCCCGGGACCTGATATATGTCCGGTGTGAAATGATGCGGACTGTTCGAATGCCTGTCTGTGCGACGGGGCAGAGAGCGAGGACATGTATTCGTCTGACGGATAGGAGGCAGGCAGCGAGTGCATGTAGTTGGCAGGCGATGAAGTGAGCGATGTGTAGCCGCCATGCGAGTTCGCGATGGAAGACGTCTGGGCAGGACTGGCGCGAGTAGGCGTCCACTGCATTCCCATACCCAAAGAAGGGTCGGAATTGGAGTAGTTGCTGCCCGCATTGACGCCTGCTGGGAATTGCGACGGTACGACGATACCTGACATTTCAGAATTGAAATAAGCATCGTTCGTCCTCTCGCTAAAAGCAAGACTAGTACCACGCGTAGATCCGGTAGCAGACACGAGTCCCTCCTCGTCGCCCTGCACATCTTGCACCAACCCTGACACTTCCACCTCGCACAGCTGAATATCTGAGATGTTGTCGACGCCGTTGACATACCCTAGAGACGCAAGAGCAGAGTCTAGGTCCTCGCTCTCGGCGTCTCCATGGTCTTGGATCTCGCCAGAAATGGCTACATCTCCGATATCAGACCTCGAATGGGTTCGCAGATGTTGATTCAGGTTGTCAGATCTGGAAAAATGCTTCTGGCACAGATGGCATTGATACGGCTTTTCCATGGTGTGAGTGCGCAGATGACGCTTCAGATGTTCCATCCGTTTGAAGAGTCTGCCGCAAGAAAACAAGGGGCACACAAAGGCTTTCGATGTGACGGCCACGTCTCCTGCCGTAGGCGAAACCTCGGCATGAAATGGCAGTTGTGGAGGAAGTACGCTATTCATGGGGTGCAAAGGCTGAGAGAAGTCGGTCGAAGGAAAAGGTCCAGACGAAGGGCCATAGGAACTCGCTTGCGCCAAAGGATCATTTGGCCGAGTAGATCCATTCAGGTGCTGATCTGCAACCGAACCTGCGCCGATCAAGGGTCCCTGAGATGGGATCGTGCTGGGTTGGTGAGCCTGTAATAATTCTTTCTTTCGCCTCTCCTTCATTCGCTCATTCATATTAGCCGATCCCTGCTGACCCCTGGCTTGTGAATAGAACATGTCGGACGCCGTCATTCCACCATCATGAGGCCCGTAGCCAATGCCCATATCGACCGAACTTTCGTCTTGACTATGGCCAGCCTCGTCAGAAGAGTGTCGGCCGTCGACAGCCGAGGCGCCGAGCAGACTATGGGCTGATTTGTTCACTAATTTTTTGCGGCGTTGTTTGTACGTGGGAGAGCCTTCAAAAATAGAGAATGAGAAGAAGGGGGTGTTGGGGCCTTGGAGTGCTGGAGGGAGGGAGTTCACTGCCATGCCGTCATTATGAAGGCTAGAGCGGCGCAGGCCATCCATCAGGTTCTGTTCTGACCTGGCCGGTCGAGTGTGCCCCACATCCATCAACATGGTACCGCCGGTACCGCGGACACCCGCAGCCTCGTCCGCCCTTCGGATTGCCACCTCGAGTTCGTCCTCTCCCTCACGTGCGCCCTGCGCTTTGCTGAACTGCTCGTACAAGCTCCTTTTAGGGTCGTACGTGAAGGACAGGGCGGGTTCTCCGGTAACAACTGTGGTAGGCTCTAGGCCAATTTTCTCACGCTTCAAATCACGTTCAAGAGCATCTAGGAAAAGTCGGTCATGAGGAACGGAGAACCTAGAGGTGGCACTTGTTGAGAAAAATGTGATTTGTTGATAGAAAGACTACCGACCAATAAAACACCTTCTGTTTTTTTTGCGTACGGATACATTGGTATTTGAACAAGAGATCCAAAAATGGCGACTGGAGAGGGAAAAAAAAATATGAAGAGGGCAAAACGGGTCAGAGACATTGATAAATACCTTGGGTTCTTCAAGGCATGCGTCAACACCAGGCTTCAAGTTCCGGAGGTCACTGAAAACACCCTCCTCGAACTTTTTCATATTCCTGACAGGCCTGCCAAAGGCCTCGAATCTAAAGACCAATGCTCTGACGATATCGGTACCGGTGATGTGGTAGAGTCCGGACCATAGGACGCAGGACACGTATTCGGAGGTGGGAAGTAGGAACCGATTGAGAGCGGGATGGTGTGAGGAGGAATGGGTGGTTGAGGGATTGGAGGACGAGAGGGCTGAAGGCGATGAGGAGGATGTGTTATTAGAGGCAGGTGACGTGTCCCATTGCGACGGAGCAGTGGCAAGGAAGAACTTGAGACGGTCGAGATAGGCGAGTTTTTCGTCTTCGTGGACAGTGAGTGGCCTGCTGAGACCCTTGCACATGGCGAGACCCAGAGCTGAGGGGTTGAAACGGGGAGTGATTGACATGGAATCGCGATGTGGCTGCGTGGATTGTGGGTGATGTGGATGCTGTTGATGGAAAGGATAGGAGTAGTGGAAGTGAGAGGGATTTGCAGGATAGTCTACATCGTCCTCGTGGGGGGCAGGCACAGCAGATGTGACCTGGAGGGCAGGATCTGAGCGTGGTTGTTTGGCATAGTGGATGTCGTAGGGGAGAGGGTGTTGTGAGGAGGGAGCGGAGTTGAGGGAGTCGTTAAGTGAGGAGTGGGGAGAGGAGGCAGCAGAGGAGGAGGAGGAGATGTAGGTAGGGTGTGAGTTGGGGTAAGGTGCGAAGTGGGAGATGGAGTGGTAGGGAGATTGATCCATGATGGTTGTGCGCTGGTGGTAAGGAAAGACGGATGGGGGGATGGAGGGGGTGACTTGGAGGAGCTGGAGGGGGCGAAGATGAGCGAGGAAAAGAAAGAGAGGTGGAGAGATACGCTGTGGGGAGGAGGAAGGATGGAGAGCAAGGCAGAAAGGCGTCCGGAGAGGAAGTGTCGAGAAGGGGTGGATTAGCGGATGATAAAGATATATAAGAAAGACGGCGCTGTATTTGGGTGGGCCGAAGGGTAATATAGGAAAGAAAAATAAGAGATGATGCGGGAGAGATGGTGAATTGAGCGAGATCCAAAGGGAGACGGAAGGAGTTATGGCTCCGGCGTTGGCTGGGATCGCGTGGAAGACGCGTGCCTGCCGAGGTGCCGGTGGCTGGAGAAACAGGAGTCAACGGGCCGTGGCGTCTATCAGTCCGCTCTTTCAGGCGATGCTGCTAAGCCTTCTGATTCTCGTAACTCTGGCTGTGTCACATATTCCGTCACAATCAGCAGTAGATGCACTGCCTCCACGCTCGGAAATACCACCCACCTCATCGACACCCATCCCTCCCTTCTTGATCTCATCACTATCTTACAAATCCCGCAGTTAGTATGTATGTCACCATTCACACTATCTTCTTTGATCCCTCCCTTGCCTGCTCACACCACGGACTTGCTGTCAGCACCGGACAAACAACTTCCCAATTCGGATCACCGAATCCGCTCTATCAAGATTCGTCCAGATTGCTTTCCACAACATGCGTCTTCTTTTCTGTGGCACTACGCTCAAAGGCTCCGACCTATAGATAATTAATTACCCCTAACTATCACACTACACTCGCGGGAGCTTCGCGTCGAAACCCCCCCCGTGAAACCACCTTGTCAACTTTCATCATGCATTTCTTCAATCCATCTCACCGATGCTCAGCACACCATTCTATTCGGTCACTATACAAAAATACCATCCACGACAATCCTTCAAGCTCCGACCCATTCATGTCTATCTGTTCCTGATCCCAGTGCGTAGACAGGCAGACCTGGCAACAGCACACCGCCTATCCCTCGTCCAATCACCTTGATCAGCGCCACACTCACGCTTTCCCCTCGTCATCCCCTCCGTCTCCTTGACTTGGACGCGATCATCACGAATCAAATCCAAGTCGACTAAACGCCCAGCGTGTTCCGTTGCCCCCCTCTCGACGACCTCGGAAAGATGTTCAGTCGTTGATCTTCAGTCATCCAGCACAGAGTTTGAAAGGAGGTTTCGGCCCTATAAAAATACCAGTCATCGGGACTGAATGGCGCGCCTCCGCAAGCGAGTGCACGACGTCCAAGTCTTCCACCACAGCCACCACTTCATCAACACCAAGACAATCATATGGGGAGAGAAAACGGAAACGGAATGGGGACTGGAATACATGGCGACATCAGCCGACACGTCCTCACCGTCCGTCCCATTTGCAAACGAGTGTGGAGAATGTAGATGTAAATGTACCCGTGGGTGGCTGTGACGAGATCCAAAGATGCCCGATGGCGAGATGGTGAAGACATATGTCAATGCCATGGGTCGGTGAGTTCCAGAGACATGTACGTAGTTACGACGTAGTAGCTTCACGACATTGAAGAGGGAGTGGCTGTTGTGTGCTCATGAACGTTCATCAAGTGCTATACACGGGACTGCAAATAAACCGAAGTGAACACTCGGCGTACCTAATGCTCTGCTCACGTGCACCCAATGATGACTATGACGATGCCCGAATGCCTGGTCACTGGTGATCGATAGTGAGGCTTTGGTCCTTGGGTATATGGCCATTGATAGTCTAGCGAGAACGAGAGGTTTATTGTATTGGTAACACTCACTTCTTGCGAATCGGAATATACTCCTTACGTTGAAAGACGTAGAGTTGACGTTCGTGCACCCGTCATTGCCTATATGAAACGATCTTTCCGGCCACGCCGGCGGCACCCCCCACTTCGAATCCCACTTTGGGGGGGGGAGCGTCGTTGGAGCGGCGGAACCAGCACAGCCCGGTGCTAACGGAAAACGCACGATAGATGGGCCCAAACCGTCGAGAACGGAGAGAGAAGTAAGATGCGGATGCGGGGAGATTGGCAAAAGTGGGAAGAGGCTGTGCGCCCCGTCGTGACAGCAGGTTGCAGCCCAAAAAGGCCCACGTCTGCGTCTTCCTTCCCTTTCGTTCGCTCGTTCGTTGAGATTCGAGACGGATCTCGGTCCGATATCCCGAGCGCGCATCCATGGGCGGTTTTTGGTTGTGTACTGTACAGTAACAGAACAGTATTTGTTTTTTCTTTTTGACATACGGAGGGGCCCCGGGCTCGGATAGAGAGTGGGGGTAAAACGTGTTCGCTGGACGTATGTCGAAAGTTTGCAGGAATCGGCCGATGCGTACCAGCGGACGCACCGAACCCAAGCCCCTATAGACGAGCGAAGCATTCAACGTTCTGCGAGATCCCTACCGGTATTTGCGATATCGTCGGTATTCCCTTCGCTTGCATGGTCAGGAGGGCATCGAATAGCGCCTTTTTTTTTTTTTTTTTTTTTTTTTTTCAAGTTGAAGTCATGCGCGTCACACCGCGACTTTGGACGCGGTGGAAAAGAGCCCGTTCAACGTCCTCCGTTACAGCCTTTTGTACATGTGGGATCAAGGACGACGATGGCGTTAGTATTATATACATATGCCGGCGAACGGAGGCCTGGCGGGCGCTTCGGGGCGCTGCGAGATGGAAAAACCGCGTTCGTCGTGCGGATCGTGCGCTTGCGTTGACATGCCCAGCGAGGCCCTGAGCTTTCTCGGATAGTGGAGGTGCGGCGAGCTTCGGTCCAGGCGAACTCTCAGGTGAGCGTCTTTGAGGCTTCAGGGAGCACATGGGGGCACATGGGGGCGCTGGTACCCGTCGTAGGTGCAGCACGGCACGAGGTGGTATCAAACGCTGGTATATGGCTGCAGAGATACTATACTTTGCTGAGCTGATGGGGCCCTGCCGCGGCGGGTCCTGACTCTTCAGTTTTTGCAATTCGCAGGCGTGGCGGCGGCGTGACTCATTGGCTGGCTGGTGGGTCCGCAACCTGTCCGTTAGCGACTGCATCATTCGGGATGATCTCCCTGCCATCTGAATCAATTATCAAGCTCAAGACACATGGCTATTACCAGTGGGGTTAAGACATCGTGCAAGGCGACTGGTGATGTCAAAGCATAAGAGTTGTGAATCGGTATCGTATAATGAACTCCATCTCACAGCATCTCACCCGCTCTTGTTTTTTTAAAAATCTTTTTTTTTACGTTAGCTCGGCATAGAACGAGTGAAGAATAGGGCTTTTGTTTGACACCGCGGCGTGGCCCTGTGATGCGCACTGCGCAACACAGAGCCAACCCGACCACTGGCAACCCGAGTGGATCAAACGAGTATGGCACGTCTCCAGGCAGCTTGTTATCCCACCTGGACCACTCTTGGCATACGTTCAGGTGGATGCAATTCCATCGCAAGTATGGGCAGCAGCAGGAAACCGGGATCGTTGACTCGAAAACTCCCACTAGTCCATTGGCGGGCCCCAGATACAGGAGCAGTCCTGACGTGGGATCCTGATTTGCAGGGTGGGTGGGGGGGGGGTGTACTACCACACTTTGCGCCGCGATCGTGGCTAGGCCGACCCTGATTCGACCCAACTGGTATCCTTCCTGGAGATCAAGGCTCGGTGAAAAACCCAAATCTGTCTATTTTGTTTGGCGGCGACGTACCCGATTGATACTGGGCGACTCGAGGCCATGTTTTCTTGCACAGGCAACCACCACCGACTCGGAGCAACGTTGAGGTCTGTCCGCCATCGAGGCACCATAGATCGACTTTTTTTGTTGTTGAGGGAGTTGATCTTTTTAATCTGATATGATCGTCCCTACCCCCCTACTCCTGGATCCTGTGAATGGTGATGGCACCTTCTTTCCATCTTGCATCTTGCATCTTGCATCTTGATCGACCTATTCCGAGGGAAGCCCATCTAGCCGAGCATTCGCGAACCGTCGGCGAGGGCGTCCAGTACGCGATACGCGAGAAGCCCCATCAGGGAGTTGAGTGGTCAATAGATAATAGTCGCAGTAGGCACCGCTTCGTCAGGCATCGTAAGCCCTCGAGACCTTGTTCTGCTTTCTGTCGTTTCCTCGTATCCAAGTCACAACTTCTTCTTTATAGTTAGTACCTCATTCGGTTTGCGCAACAGCCATTCCGTTCGATCGCGCCCGCAGCACCCTCCCGCATCAAACGGTAGAGCCTCGTGATTGGTTTATCTCTTCCAGCTTTCTTATTATTATTATTTTAAACTTCTTTCCTTCTCATCTTGACGGGCAGTTCAGGGATACGATCTAAGATTTTGAGCATGTATGGCGATGCATTGGGGTATGTATGCGCACACGTCCTCCCGCATCATGACATTCCGGGTACCCACATCAATCTTGTCCATCCCACATGTAATCCCGAAATATGTTGACCCACCACCGCACTTCAACCCCGCTTCCACTCCCTCCTCCCTTGATGCTCGCGCCTTCGTCATCTCTGCATATCTCTCCATCCGCCTCAACAGCCACGATCATGTCCCCCGCCAACCCCATCGTGATGTTCTCTTCTTGGGCAATCTGCGCGCCGGTCTGTGGCCCTGCCATCACCAGCGTTCCCACAAGGCGTGAGGCAAAGGCAGCGTGGGTGTACGGCGGTGTGTGCAAGACGGACAAACCTGACTTGAACACTCTGCTGCGGATGGGTGGGGACGTGTAGGCAGGGAGGTGTGGGAGGGTTTGTAAAAACGTGGAAGGCGGGATCAATGCTGCGGCGTTCGGTATCCCACCATAAGCAACGTGATGATTCTCATTGGAGTTGTTGAAAAAAAAAAAAAAAAGTCACATACCGACTCCCCTCGCTCGGTTCCACCCACCCCACACTTCGTCTAATGCTACTATACCCCGCTCTTTCATGATGCCAATAAACTTGCCCGTTTTATTTCCGGCGAGACCGTCCGCAGAGCCTTGCAGTACCCCCGCAAGTTCGCGTGCGAGCTCCTCAATCCAACTTCGCTCATCTCTAATCATATCCATGGTGACAGGGGCATTCGACATTTGTAAGCCGAGCTGAGATAGCGAGGATCTGATAAACGCTGCTTCCTCCGGTTCTGTAGACGGAACCAACGTCGTTGTCGAAAATAGGGGCGCATTTGAAGGCGCTGGCGTTGACGTCGAGGAGTACGACGAGGAGAAAGGGGATGCGGTAGGCGCTCGCGGCGGTTGTGTGGTGATGGTCGAAGATGCCGTTAGCTTCTCGTTGAGCTCTGCGGCAAGATGAACTAGATCTTTGGCTTTGACCATCAGAGCCTCGAGATCTTGCAAGGCATTGGATAGGTCACTCTCCGAATTTTGTGCAGAAGTCTCCACGGTGCGCAAAATTCCATCTTTTGGCGGTTCATTCAGCAAAGTGACACTTTCTTGGCAGAAGGAGGGCCCTTACCTATCCCAGTGCGACGGACAACAGGCCCAGAGGCTGCTTCAGGTGTCATAGAACCACGTGTGACAGATCCACGTCTCGCATTCTTCCCTATGCCCTTGCCCTATTACGCATGATATTTCAGCATATTATATTTTCTGTAAGATTCACTCAATACTCACCTCCCATGCCTGAGATTTAAGTGCACGTTTGAGCACGGCGTAGAAGGCTTTATCGCCGCCTTTGCGAAAGCTGAGTTTCAGGATATGTTGCATGGGGTCGTTGCCATCCTCCGACAGGGCTGGTGAGATCGGACGGGAAGATGGTGCCGACTTCATGCTTTTTCGTGCATCGATGGCCGGTCGAGGTAGTGGCGTATTGCATATTTCGCAAATTCGCAGAGATGTGTGATTGAGGAACGTGCATGCAGAGCAGGCAACGAGATCACTAGCGATAGGCGGCGCTGGTGATGACGTAGCCGAGGAGGTTGTAGAAGACAACGAAGAGGCTGGAAGAGATGAAGAGAGCTGCTTTGCAGGGAAAGGAGCACGAGATGTTGGCGCCGGCACTGCACTTCGGGGCACTCCGCACAGCGCACACACGTTGGCTGCCGCAGGACTCAATCCAGGAGGATTGCGGTAGCTGCAAACCTCGCATTCCCAGCTCTCGAATACATTTGCAGGCTCATTCCTCGAATTGGCTGATGAACTTGGGTAGTTACTGGCGGCGAGGTAAAGGGTGAGTTTGGGGGAAGACGTGAACAATCCCGCATAATGATCGGTTCGGGTTACATGCGAGAGATCCATGGCGAATGAGCGGGAAGATGCCTTGTGAGAATCGACATAGAAAAGTCGATGGGATGTTACGTGCACACTCCCTGCCTGGTGATCTGGAGATTTCTGAAGACTGGTTATTCATTGAGGAGATGCCATGTCGATATGAGTGGTAGATGAAAAGAAGGTGCCAAAGGGATGACGTCGGGTATAAGATGTATAGTAAATACTTACCCGCTGTAAATTCCTATATTCTCTTGGGATGCCAAGAGTTCTTCGTCATTATAGAGGAGAGCGGGTATGGGAATGGTGCCATCTACGGATCCGGTGTATCGTCGAAGGGCCATGAACAGGCGCGCGTCTCAAGATCAGAGTTTAATACGTCGATTGAACAAGGATGCCCAGGATAAGGTTTTGGACGGATCGTGTAAACCTTGTGACTGGCGAAGTGAACAACAAGAGTAGTGCAGTCTGGCATAAGCCCGCAGATAACACATTAAAGATAGACCAACAAGCTCACAGGCGGTACTGATGCAAATATAACCGAGCAATGGGCTAAAAGAAAACCAGGATAGCTGTGACTTGGGTGAGCAAGCCAGAGCCGTTGACTGGCGATGACTTGTAGATCGCTGATAACCTAGAATACAGTATTGATTGAGAATCTCTTGAATCTGAGACTGTTTTCGAAACAGACCTGTGGAAGCCTGGAATACGAAGACAAGCTCGGTTGCCACATTCGCGGGTTCGCAGGATGCCGGTAGCGTGGCACGCACCGGGCCGGCACCATGACTGAACCGACGACGTGACTTCAGCCTGTTGCATAACGAAGCATCCATCCATGCGAAATGTGCATAACTAGCTTCTGTTGGCCAATACTGTCGTCAGTTATCTACGGATTCCATAAGGATAAGGTCAAAGCTCGAACCTTGTATGGCTAGTATACACTGAGAATGGCTCGGTTTCTATAAAGCTCATCCTGGAATTTTGGTGCGTTATCTCTCCCAAATCCCATACGCTGGTTTCACCAGAAATATGTGTCGTTACATATGTCTTGGAGTTCTTTCGCACCCAATGCCATCTAAACCCAGCTCTCCAACTTACCGGGATCATGCACTCGTCCAATCGAGTGCAGCTGGACTATCACACGAAGGGGATCCCGTCAAAAAAATCGTATGACATCTCTCTGCCCGAGGCTTCTGCGATGTAATACTCCCGACCAATCCAGTGGATCCTTGTTTGATCTTTCCACAAACCTTACCGTATACCCTCTTATCTTAACCTTTATGTAGCACTCACACGCTGACAGCTCAAGTCCTCCTCCCCGGCCTCTCCTTTACCTTCCCTTTTCTCTCTCTTTCAACTCTTCTCTTTCTCTTTTACCTTTCTCCCAATGAGGTGAGCACCATGCTCCGGTCAAGTAATTGTTGGCCAAGAAATGGTACAAACCATCTTTCACTTTTCTCATAGGTTTTCACGAAATCCGTTTACTACGGTTGCTCTTGTCGTCGTCTGTGTTTGCTCCGGCTATGGCATTCAAATTCCCGCAGTGCAAGCGGAATCAATCAATATCACTGTCGATGATAATGGCCCCTTTGTGTACAAACCACAGGCTTTGTGGCATTCGAGTACTACGTCGTCCCGATCAATTCAAAGGGCAGCTGAGCTGGCATATCATGGAACGTGGCACTATATCATGAACGCCCCGTCACTGCCTCTTGCAGAGTATCATGAGGACATCAACTCGGCCGACGTACCTGTCACGGTCGAATTCAATTTCACTGGTTGTTTTCTTATACTTTTGAGCAGGTTACGAAGTTGACATCTTTCTTTGACCTTGTAGGCTCGGCAGTTTACCTATATTCAAGTCTGCCTTTGGGTAACACCTCCCCATCGTCTTTGGTGAACCTTACCTATTCCCTGGACGACGTTTATGCTGGGCGTTATATCCATGATGGGTCGAGATTTGCTGCTGGAGTCACGCACAATGTCGCTATAGTCAGCAGAAGTGGTCTTGAAAACCGGTTCCACTCTTTACGCGTCGACGTTGGTCGCGGCTCTGTGTTTTTCTTCGACTATGCGGTGTATACCGAAGAACGTCCCATTGCTGGTGTCCTTGTGACGTCCGATCATTCTCAGAACATCATGCCAAGATCAAACAATGTCGAGTGCGTCTCAATCCCACTCCATTCTTCTTTCAGTTTGTCATGGTTCACGCTTCCTATGTAATATGTATTTGTTCATTTTCTCTCTCTCTCTCTCTCTCATTGGATGCATTTTGATATTCAAGCTTTTTGTCCCACAGCCCAATGTCCTCCGGTAATTCTAGCAAGGGAGCCACATTTGCTGTTGCAATAGGTGCAACCGCTGGTGTACTCTTCGTACTCAGTGTTGGGCTGGCATTCAACCTTTACAGGCGACGAAGGCTATCAAAGCGACGAGGCTTGGAGGAACAGGAAGAGGAAGAGTTGGGGGAACAATCACTATATCACGGCCAATCCGACCGAATGCACGGCCCAGTGCCTTTCATCCCGCGCTATTTCCCCGGCACTTTACCGCCTCCTCCGCCATACGACCCCCTGAGTACCCAACTGGATTCACTTCCCACACCTTCCACGCCCTCGTATACTCCACGACAAGCTGACAATGACGGGTCGTACGCGGACCACCCTCCCCCCACCCCCCCGCAATCGCAATTGCACGGAGAAGGGGGCAATGAAGAGGGGGCCACTCAGACGCCTCCGCCATTCGGTGAGGCTATGGCGACTTCGCCGCCACCTGGGCCTACAGAACTTGTTTCGCATGATGACCCATTGGTGGATGAAAGGGAGAGTCATGAAGCCCACCCCACTCTAGCAGTATATCCTGTTCGATCTTCGCTGGTGATGCTAGTTCCATTAGATTCATCACGTCACAGTACCACTTCACACCCTACGGAGGGACACTAAATTTACCTCTAGTGTTACCGCTGGACGGTGACCAACGATGAGGGATATCTATTGGTACGTATTGTCTTCAGTTCCCATTTCTTAGTTTGACATGATATCCCCTTCTTCGATTGGCGACTTTTGTGCTTCACTTAGTTTATTATGATAGGACATTGGGAGATATCAAATATTTGGACTTTTGTTGTACTAGAGCATGTAATTCTTTGGTATTGTATTATTTTAAAATAGCACGACAATCTCAACGATATTGCGGGTAATAGTGCGAGGTGGCAGGATAGTCGACCCATCGATCAAGCTCCCTGTAGACCTAGGAGCCATCTATATGAATCAAGAAAGGGGCTGATTAAGATTCCTTGTGGATTGATACGACAAACACGTTGGCACGCTTCCCCAAATACCAAAAAGTCTGGTTGTCTGCAAAGAACATAAAGCGATTGCTGCTGATGATATGTCGCAACTCTCAATAAATTATCATCACAAGGCCGCAAAGAATACAGGCATACCTAGAAACTACACACACGAGACCAAACAAACACACTGACAATACAATCATCTGCGCAGACACATGCCCATGCTAATTCTTCTTCTTCTTTGGTTTCTTCTTCTTCACACCGCCCGCCGCCGCCGATAGACCTTGAGAAGGAACTGCTGATGAGGCGGCACCACCTGGAACGACTTCTTGAACAGATTCTGATTTTGTCTGGGCTGTTGGGACGGCGAGGCGCTTATTCTGCATTTTCTGCATCAACGATAGATTCAAAGCCTCGAATCGGTTGAGGAAGATCGACGAATACGTTTTGAATTTGAGACACTGAAAAAATTGACGAGACATAAGATGGTGTTCCTCAATAGATGGATATGCACGCACTGAAGAGTTATCGGTGATCTTTAGCACGAGCTTTCCCTCGGATGACTTCCATTTTACACAGTAACGGGTCTGATTGAAGTGTCAGACCCAGCAGAATATACATTCCGAGTGAAACATACATTATTGGGAGATTTTGCATAGAGGGCCTCAGCCGCCTCCTGATATTCCTGCCAGGATGCGATGTACACCATGGATGCATCAAGACAACTTTTTCAGCCACCGATTGGGTTACGCTGGTGTGACAGGGATAACGGGGTGTCACACCCCGGCCTACCGGAGCCGCGGGAATAGCCGGTGCTCCGCCCAATGGCCGACGAGGGGCTGAGCCGGTCGGCCTTGCGTCGGCCCATCACCCAAAAGATATTGGTGTCGCCGTTACAGCTCCGTTAGCTATTATACAATCAGGTCTTTCGCGTTAGCAAGCGAAGTCTTTTTAATACCAACTTACTAGCTGATCCTTCTGCTATCTCTCTTTGCCCAGAAAAGCACCCCGTCGAAGGTTTGAAAGGAAACATAACTGTAAAATATCATGACCTCGGAAAGGAAACGTGAGTGCCCAGATCTGAGACTTCCCGCTGGGAATTTTTTTGATTAACTCTTTTCAATTAAAATAGCACTACCATTCATTGCCAACTTCACCGCGGGTGCCATCGCTGGTGTCTCAGAGATCCTGACGTTCTATCCTCTGGGTGAGATTTTCAGTTGAATGGCGGTAATAGAGTGATTATTCATCATTCGCGGTTTCATAGATGTCGTGAGTACCATTGTCGATCTCTGACCAATTTGGTAAACTTACTTCCGTGATGGCAGGTCAAGACTCGTATGCAGCTGGACACGGGAAAGTCCAAGCATGGTCTCGTAGGGAGTTTCCAAACGATCATTAAGGAGGAAGGGTGAGCTGGCTCATGCAATGTCACACGACCAATAATCTAACAGCTCAGATGTACAGTGTAGGGAGGCTATACAGAGGTATAACAGCATTGATATCATCCTGAATGACTTTTCACCTATGACTTCAAGGTTTGGTACCACCTCTCCTTCTGGAAGCGCCCAAGCGTGCAGTGAAGTTGTAAGCCGCATTGTCTCCGTAGTCTATATGTGGATTTTCGAGTCTAATAGTATGCACTAGCGCTGCAAATGACTTTTGGGGAAAGACCTATCTTCAGTTTTCTGGAGAAAAGAAAATGACTCAATCATTATCGATATTAACCGGTTGCAGTGCTGGTGCAACCGAGAGCTTCGTTGTCGTCCCTTTCGAGCTCGTCAAAATCAAGTAAGCTGGTTTACTCTCACTTACTTGAATTGACTGACGACTATGTAGGCTTCAGGACAAGACAAGCACCTTTGCTGGGCCCATAGACGTGGTCAAGCAGGTTATCAGAAAAGACGGTGTCCTTGGTCTCTATGCTGGCATGGAGGCTACATTCTGGAGGTAATCTTACAGTGATCATCGGGGTGTAGATGGTTGACCATTTCATTGCCAGACACTTGTGGTGGAATGGAGGATACTTTGGGTGTATTCACCAAGTCCGCACCATCCTTCCCAAAGCCGAGGTAAGTAGCATGGCCAGAAATAGTACTACAAGCTTCTAAGACAATAAGGAAACAGACACCTCAAGCCCAGCTGTTGAACAACTTCATTTCGGGTACCATTGGTGGACTGGTTGGGACAATGATCAATACCCCGTTAGCTTATATTTCCCCTTACCATTATCTGGTACTAACTACTATGTACTAGGTTCGATGTAAGTGCAAGAGTTCAGGCATCTCAAGGCTTTCTTTCGGTTTATGATGTTATATAGGTCGTGAAGTCTCGTATCCAAGGTGGCAGTAAGGTGCCAGGTGTAGTGCCCAAATACAACTGGACATACCCGGCGTACGTTGTTTCATGCTAGTTTCCAGAGTATTTGAAGGCTGAGGTTATACTTCAGATTGGTAACGATCTTCCGAGAAGAAGGCGCCGCAGCCCTTTACAAGGGTTTCGTGCCGAAGGTCTTGCGGCTTGCACCTGGTGGAGGTGTCTTATTATTAGTCGTGGAGTTCACTCTCGGGGTATTCAGGCAAGGTATGTGCTTCAGCGAATTTTCCTTTACCTTGGACTAAATCTGTCACTTCAAACACTCTAACTTTCGAAAAACAAGCGCTCGGACCTCCTTACATTTGAATGATAGACAAGTAGACGGTTCTTCTTGGGTGGCTTATTATTATTGTAGGGTAGTAAATATACTCACATTTTTGCGACCCGAGTTCCAATTTGGACATCTTGAGCAAGGGTTTCAGCGCGATGTGTATATTTAATACTCCTGAATGGATGGTTTGGGATTTCCAGATCGATTACGTGACTTGTAAGCTGTTTGCCCCTATTGAATTCAAAGGGCGTTAATATACAACACCAAAGCCACGGTTATCATGTACTTATCCGCGGGTGTCTCAGTCCACAGATCACTGTTTCTATTCTATATGTCAGATCACCAAATCTGAATGCTTCAATTGCTTCTCAATGGAAAGGAGTTCCTCAACTCAATTGAAGTCCACAAAATGTCCCTAACTCATGCAGATTCACCAAATGTCTTAATCTCCGGGGAGCTATATAATGTTACGTTGAACGCCACTGAGGGGTTAGAGGTCCCTCTCTAAACGACCCTTCCAATGTCGACAGCTAGCTGGCAAACTTCTGAACACAAGTTCGTTCCTTCCCGCAAAGGCGACCGACGTGCTCCATGTCCAGCTCTGAATGCGATGGCTAACCATGGATACCTGTGAGTCGCATCATATCGCTCCGGAGTTTGATCACTCAGTTTCACCGGCAACAGCCCACACAATGGAAAAAACATTGGACTTTGGCAACTTATCCTCGCTCTTCGTCAAGTGTACAACCTCTCCTTCCCCCTCGCTGCGTTTCTGGCGTTGGCGGGAATGTTCCTCTGCGGCCACGCACTTCACCTTGATCTCGACGCTCTCGCAGCACATAACAAAATCGAACACGATGCCTCGCTAGTTCACGGAGACACAGAGATGGGGCAGCACATGGCCCCCACCTGCGTCGACTCCAGGTTGTTGCAATCTTTTCTCGCTCAGGCTGACACAAAGACTGGGATGAGCCTCAAAGGGTTTGCGAAGCTTCGAATTCAACGCGAAAGGGGATTAAAGAGACCACTCGATATGGTACATGCTGCGATAGGCAAAGGGGAAGTTGGCTTGTCCTGGTTACTGCTGAAGGAAGACAATGGGCGAATACCTTATACCAGACTATACCAATGGTATGGAGAAGAACGACTACCAGACGGATGGCATAAACCTTCTCATGAAGTAGGGTTGCTACAAGCCCGCCAAAAAGCCAATGAGGTCGCTGCGTTCATGCGCCAGCTCAAAGGATGGCAAGACCCAGTTTAGCTCCTTACATCTTCTGCAGTATTTGACTTTCACAAATTTTTGTCATGAGTCTCAATGGTACGAGAATGTTATTCCTCTTTTAATCCTGATTGCTTGGTTATCAAGGCATCCACCATGAGGTATTCCCCAGCGGCGCATATACCAGCTGACCACACCAGCAGTAAAGATGTGATACAGAAAAAGCTGATGGACTGCCCAATTTCGAGCCAAGATCCTAACCCACCATTTAGTACTAAAAATCATAGTCACTCGAAAACTTACCAGTGTCCGTTACATTCAAGAAGAACGTCATCGTCATTCCTAATCCACAATCAAAATCAGTGGACGGCAAAATCAAAATTTTAAGTGCGAACCATCTGTGAGGGTCAATGCGACTAGGAACAACGAAAAGGGGGGTAAGTGAAGTCGGGCGTTCAGCGTGGCGAATGTAGCAGATAAAATAACATAGGGTGCAACTATCTTGAAAATCTGTAAAGGGAATTCAGGAAGGGGGGTTTTACGTCAAAGCCCTGTTATCACAGACCAGTAAAGTCGCCATTAGGAAGGGATTAAATATAGGCAAGAGGCGGTAGACGGGTTCCAGGTAAAATGAGCTGAAAAACGAGGTCTACAAGTGTTCTAATGTTAGATATGATGATACGCACGAGATCGATGCCACACTTTATTCCTACGAGTTAGACAATTTTGGTATAAACAATATTACTGTTTACTTACTTTCCAATTCCGAAGAAAGCAGCTTGCACGAAAAACAAGAAAAACAGAGCAATTCTTACGTCGTCTGCTTGAAACTGATACATTCGTGCATCGTTTGTCGGCGAAGCAGAGTACTCGAGTTTATCACTGATTCGCAATGCAGCTTCGACCTCTACCCATAGAAGGAGAGTACACGAAAATGCCATGTAAAACAGACCCTCGACACTGATCGAAAGAATGACGAAGAGTGGAGCAAATCCAAGGAAAAAAGTCAAAATCTTTGACGTTGGGTTAGAGTGTTTGACCTTTGACACAAATGGGTATAGCGAGGCGGTCGCTGAGAGATGATCAATTTACCCGAAAACAACGCATGAAGGTAGTAGATACCTAAAACAGTCCACCCGGCGACCTGATTCATGAGAGGAAGACCCAGCTTGGCCTGCAGGCTGGAAACAGACCCTACTGTTATAGCCATACTCAATGCAATGAGGAATGTCTGAAAAAGCTGTCAGATGAGATGCCACAGGACACGCGTCACTTACTTGAGACATGAGTAGGATCCTCAAGGTCGCGTGGTTTGGATTACGGGGAAGCATGATCACATAGCATGCACCCACAAGCAACATACAAAAACCACCAAGTAATCTGAGAAGATATAACGAGTTACCTCTTGAAGTCTTCGCAAGCAATAGCCACTTACATTGCAGCCAAGCTTTCTTTCTTATCAACACTAAGGAGTGGAAATATTCCGGTGACTAGACAGCTTAAAGCCCACAAGAACTGGAGTTGTGGTCTCTCCGAACGCATTTTACCTGGCCACGAATAAGAGGGCCATGCAAGGCCCATTAGCGCAAACCCAACACTCCATATAAATCGACGAGTATATGCAGCCTTAGAAATCAGTACATTCGTAACGAGAACACAAGCACAAAACATTTTAAGACTCACGACCATGCATTGTAGTACTGCAACCACAAGAGCACCTTGGAGTATCAAAATTGGCGATGATATTGAAGACGTTTTGGAGGACTTGAAGTAAGCAAGAAAAGCGGGCACAACTCTTAGAGCGAACTGTTGCCAGAAGTAGCATGGAAAGGCAATATAGAGATAGAAGGTCCATCGTGATTTTTGGATAGCAAAGGCCACCCAGAATCCTAGGAGTATAACAAATGTGGCGGAGTTGATGACAATTGGAGTACGAGATCCCTTGTACGATGTGGGACTATCTTTGTATAAAACAAAGAGCGACGTATATGCAGCCCACCCGAGATATGCTAAGACAACAATGGCCCGGATCAACAGACGGTCGTATCTGAGAATTTTCCAACGGTAAATGCACGAAGCAAAAGAAAGTGGGATACGTACGTTTCAAGGTAGCGTAAACCTTTCAAAGTAGAATTTATAAGATCAAAAGATTCCCTTCGAGCCTCGTACCATTGTTCTTCCTCAATCAACCGGTTTATTTTTGCAATTCTAAAACACTTTTGGGGGTGTCCTTCGATATTTATACTTTCAAGCTCTGAAAATGGTTTATAAAACAAGACATGGGAAGCTTTTAGCTCTGAAAAATAATGAGAAATAGAAAATCTCCTGTCAAGTTTGTGCCACGTACCGTGTTTAATCCTATAATGTTCCACGATAACTTGTGCATTGACTAGTGCAGCATGAGCTAGTGTTTTCTCTCCATCCCGAGGCAGCAAATACCCCGGACGCGAAGGATCGACATCGGGCAAAACACCTATGGCATTCACTGGCCATTCGATCCCGATTAGCGAGGCCATTATAAGAGCCAGATCAGCCTGCTCAACGTCACGGCGCAAGAGGCTATTTAAACCCCAGGGTTGGGAATAGTCATCGTGTGATGAAACTGTCGTATCTTCCACTGGTCCACGAATACCCTTTCCCCAGGCGATCACTGGGGTACGTGTATTGTCTGGGTCTGTCATAGAACAACAATGTTAGTGTCAGCATCTTGGTACTGTCGAAAGCTTGCCCAACCTCACCCCCATCTCCATGGTTCCCAATCTTTGACATGCCATGATCTGCGGTGAATAGGAAACTGGTTTCATCATCTCCGTAGAACTCAGAGAAAAGCTGCTCGGTGTCGTGTACAATCCTATCTACTACTTGGATATTGCTCATGTATTCCTAGTTGAAGATAGTAAGTGATGCTATATGTATTAAAAAAAGAAACGCTATTACCTTGGAGTGAGGTCTATACGAGTGTCCTGTTGTATCCAGTCCAAGAAGATGCATGAAAAAAACTACTTTGCCCTCATGTAGTTGTGAATTTAAATGTCCATCTAATGTGGCGTTCTTGAATAGAGTGTGAAGCTGGTCAAGCACCCACACGTCTAGCGCCGTGGCATCTACGAAACAGAATATTGCCAATAGGAAAAGATAGTGCTGTTTCATGCTTACCTTTTGTGAAATCTTCAACCTCTTGTTCGTAACTCCATGTCCTAACCCTCCCTGGGGTAGCTCCGCGAGCGAACATAGGAAGTATATCGGGGGAACCAAAAGAGAATGTATGGGACGAACGATTGAAAACAGAGTCAAAATCTACCTAAGGTTTTTTGTCAGACATAAGATCCGTATTATATTTGAGGTATTTACTGGATTGGTTTTCCATCCCTGCTTGGACGATGATTATTTGACTCTATTATAAAGGTTGGATAAATACCTTCGTCACTGCTGACACATCTTCGTACATTCCACCTGATTTCTGGTAAATTCTATGGCTGTTGGCATGAGGTACTTAGCTCACCGATGATGGCGACGTGTCCCGGACGACTCTCGGTCGGCACACGAGTGTGTGATACCCCGAACGCACCCCGTTCTTCGGCAATGGAGCGTAGATGTGGTGCCACGAGGGCTGGTGAACCCTCCACTTGAGGGAAGCCATTCGGGGTAAAGAGTAGATCAGCACGAAGACCATCCGCTACACATGATGAGCAATCACTTCCAAAAGTCCTGTGAGCATGATCATACCGACAATGAGAACCAGGCGCTTTGACTCTGGAGAAGGAAGTCTGTAAGGTATCATTCCATGCACGACCGGACTGGCAAAGTAGCAATCGAAAACAGAGGCGAGGAAAACAAGATGAAAAACCAAGCCGATTGCCAACAGCCTATAGACATTACGGTTTGGGTTTTTAGACATGATCTAGATGGGATGCAGCAATGGTTATCATTCAGGCTGCGGGGGGCTCTGCCTCGCTGTTAGGATGCGGTTGGACGCGTATTCACCGTGACTGGCAGCTCCTGCTGGACAACCAGATTATCTCCTATCGGTTGTTTCTTCGAGATATGTCAGAGGACGTGGCAACACAGTATCGAATAAAACACAGTTGCAATGTTGTACGGTCTGAGCCCAACTTCGTTGAAGGAGCTTTCTATGAAAGAACCGCTGTAGCTATAAGAAGTAAAAGCTCACGTGACATACGGTATTACCAAAAACAATTATGAGAAATTTAGAAACACCGACATGTACACTTGGCCTATGACCAGTATATCTGCAGTTTTGGTGCATACTACAGACCTCATATTCGTCGTTCTGAGGTATGTTCGTTAATTGATTCCATGTCTCAATTTTCATCGATTCCAAATATCAAAGGCATCATGATGGTGACTCTCCTTTTCCCACCAGGCTCGCACCTGCAGATCTTTTTCGGATCGCACCATTTTGGACAACATCTTCTGGCCTCGCTCAACTGTAATGTGATACGTCTGAGGATACCAATGACAGAACGATGGTATCCAATCTGGGGTTGCAGACCTGATCGTGGAAAGACCTAGCCATTGAGTCTTTGCATCAAACTATTACGCATCTCCTTTTCATTCAGAAGCACATCACGCGTCTATCCACATTCACAGCCTATGAAACGGCATGAGGATGCCTCGAGGCTTTGTGGGCGTCCATTTGACCATATTTTGGCTGGTGCTGCGGGCTTCTTTCAACCTTTCTCCAAACCTCTCCCCAGTATCTTAACAAACGATTTTAGCAATGGCTGACGATCCCTCAGACGCTCCTGATCTTGATTATATCATTAACCATGTTTTCTGTCCTCCCAAGTTACCACAAAAAGATGACAGCAGTATTAAACACGATCAAGAGCTGTGCGCGCTTGTCCTCCAATGTGCTTTAGAATTCCGCGACGTTTTGTCCAGGGAAGCAGCGTTCAGATGGGATGCAATAATTAAGATGCTGGATCAGCTATGCGATTCTAATAGATTCCATACGTTGTCTACGCACTTGATTAATGACCAAATATGCTCTATGGACTGTTCAGGTGGCGTGTTTTCTTGTATTACACCCCACCAGAAATATTTAATCAATCACATTCACAGACTTCGTCGTATACTTAATTCGTGCCCAAAATGCTGCCATTATCTTGCGAAAAAGTGACTCGGAGGTTACCTTCGAGCTTTTTGAAGTTTCACCCACGGCTGCAGCTGTTATAGGAACAAAAGGAAAACTCCTCTGCTCTTATCCAGGACCTGCGATAGCAGTGCCATCGGACATTGTCGATGATCCAGATTTTAGCCAAGAACTTGCGTCCTTTCTTTCGCAGATGAATGAAGATACCCTTGATGCTGCGCCCACAACAACCAAGGCACGTTCAACTGTTGTCGAAGAGAGGGAAACAACCAATCCGCGTTATATCACGGAGCTTCTTACTGGTATCTTACGTGGGATTGGTCGTCCGACGGAGGTATCTCGCATCACGAAGAGGATTCGAGACGAAGTACTCTGGGGCCGAGCTCCATTACCATGGAGAAGGTCTCCCCTCTGGCTGGTTATCAGAGTCGCACTGCAGACAACCCTCGAGCATGAGGTTGATGGACCGGCAGCCTACAAGTCGTTCATGGTGTTTTTCATGACGAAAATATTAGCTTTAGGAGTGGAGTCAGAGCTGCCGAGCGATTTGCTTTACTGCATGAGGGCTAAGGTTTGTCGTCGACTGTATAAGCTTGCCTCTACCGCTCCGCAGTTTCTGTTGGATATGGTGAAACAGACGACGGAGCAGGTTCAGCAAATATTGCAGGAGCGATGGGATCTGGTGCAGAACGCTCAGACAGAGTCATCCCATTGGGCACCAGAAGAACTTGACATAGAGGAAGACACACATCTATCACTCATCAATAGCCATCCTTACCTGATGCGCGTACTACTAGATCAAGCTTCTCCATCACCACAATCATTCTGGCAGCCACAAGATCATCCTCGCCGCCATGATATTAGTGAATTCTTACTTATCAATGGCGAATGCTCACTGTCGTCATCTTCTGAAGCTGATTCTTATATCGCCTTGGCCGATTTTGAATCCTCAGTTCGTACAGGCATTGATCGATGGGTCTCGCAGGTCTCCCCGAGCACTCATGGTTCCGCCTGTGTTGCAATTTATCAATGCATGAACCAATATTCTAAGCAGGCGCAAATCCTTTACAAGGACAATCCCGAGGATATCTCTATCATGTTCCTCACGCTGTTGGAATTATGGGTTGCCCTTGATAAGGTCGCCATAATGGAGCACAAGATGTTAGCTGGCTATTCACCAGAGATCCCATCCAACCTACCTGACTCGCTCCTCATACGGAAAGCCGATTCAATGGCACGTTTGGATCGTATACAGAAGTATCTGAGTCTTCGACACAGCCAATCGTCGGTCTCTCGGTCAGTTTTCATGGAAAAAGTGAATTCTGACGCCTTTGCTATCCGATTCTTTGATTCTTCCGAGACGCATATACTGCTGAAGGAGCGCATAGAATTAGATGCAATGCAGGAGCGAGAGAAAAAAGTCAAGGAGTTGGAGCAAAAGAATGCCAGACATACATCCTTAAGCAACGAAGCCCGCCAGCTCCAGCACGCGATCGAAATGGATAAACACGGACGCGGAATTCACGCAAAATCTTGTAAAAAATGTAAACTGGAAAAACAAGTCCGCAAGATGAAGATAGGGGTGCATGAGTGGCCGTTGCCCAAAGATCCTTCACAAGCAAAGATAGTGGTCTTCGAATTGGATTGTCCCATTGCATTTTCCGCTTGGAGGTCGGCGACTTACAGTTTCCTCGTGGATGTCTGCACACCCACAAAGGATAGACCTTCTGCAATATCGCCACACACTACTTTGGCTAACTACTCCGCTTTGTCGAAGTATGCTACCCAACCAATGAACCACCGACTCTCCCTTGCCTCGACTTCGAAGCCATTTTCTAAATCTCATTACAGAAATGTTGGTATCCCATCAACGGAGGGAAAAGCTTGCGTTAACAGCGGTCTCTCCTTCAAACTTTACGACAAAACTGGTGATAGCTGGGCTACGAAGTCCTTCGCTCATTGCAACCACATTGCGCGATACTGCACGTTTCTTCTGCCCCCAGGGCCGTATTTGAACTTGCAGTTTGCTGTGGCTGAAACATCTCACACTCAGAACGAAGTCATTGCCAAACAGTCAGACTGCCACCAAGACTTGAATATCCACGAATATATAGCATTTGGAAGTTTACGGAGTGGGCCACTGTTACAATGGCTCAATATTATTCGTGAAATACGCGCTCGTTCTCTAAGCTTCCGCCGAGAAGAGGTTTGTGCTCTAATCACGCAAGCCGCTTGGCAAGTTGGACCATTGTCAAGTACTGGCCAACGGGAGTGGCATGAAGAGTTGGGAAACGATGCATTTGGACATGCTCTACTCGGGGAACTCGAGGGTCTCATGGCGAGCATCGAGGGGAATTGGTTAGAGTACGTTTCGATGAGGATCATTATTATATTGGCATGCCGTCTGCTAACATCAACCACTGGCGAGGAAGTCGAGGAGAGAATATTTGCTCTGTTACGAAATATTCGTACAGTAACGTTTTCATGCGTACGACAACTATCCGAGAAACTGCAAGAAGCTGAAGACGACGCGGAGAGCTTTGAATTTCAGCAGCGTGTTCGTGATATGGCAGCGACGTGTCGAGCAACGTACGATGTCGAAATCTGCTACCTCCCATATCTTTTTTCATCTCCAGAGGATGACAACATCTTTGTTCAGTGTGCTGTCATTCTATACGACAACTTACCTCCGAAGCTTGATGAAGTACCAACTGATTCGAAAGTTCTATTGGGCCGGGATCGGCGTTTCTCTCATGCGCTGCAAAATATCATTTCTCAGCGAGTCGACGAAAATGGGACTGGGTTCAACCGTGCGATAGCGTCCGCTTGGCCTGCTTATCGTCCAGGTTCTTCGTGGCAGAGATTACAGTATCCGAATGACTGCTGGCTCACTTCTACCACAGCAGAGGATGGTGGTCAGCAACCTCAGCGCATCCACTATAATACATTGGAGGGGCGTTTACTCATTGATGGAAAGCCTCTAGGTCGCCTTCCTCTCGATTTTATACAGCATCCAACTTATCACTTGATTTTTGGACAGGTAAGCAAACGCTTGCAGTCAGTTGTACAAAAATCGCTGAAATTCGCCTCACAGAGAATCCTCGATGTTATCCCTGCTGACATGTCAGGAATGGAATTTGCAACGCGTGGCTTTATCTTCGATTACCGGGTTAGTGTTATCCTTCGGAGTAGAAATGTATGGACACTCAAACATATAAAATTAGATCTATTTTGCTATGAAAAACGATGGCTCCGAACTTGTGATACGAGCAACCAAAGATGCACAGATTTTCGAGCTTATTCCACCAAAGTTATTTATGGGTGATCTACCGAAATTACTAGTTGAAGGACACACCCATTGGATGAATATTGCTACTCGTGAGATAGAAATCCGCCCTGTCAAACACATGTGGGATTCCGCGCAGGGAAATTGGCGAATACACTTTTCAACTGCTGGCCAATCGTCAATGTTGAGGATAGGCAATGATGCCCGTTATAGCCTGGTCGATGTCTGTAGCCCCAGCTACCAGATGGTTTCAAACCGTCTGAGTCCACTGGAATATCCAGAATATCACATCATCACCGCTAGGTTCGATGGTTCTGAGTATACACTGTCAGCCGACTTGCCTCGATTTGGACTGTCATTTTTCGTGAATGATGACAATCACCTCCAATGCCGGAACATACGTGGAATGGTAGTTGATCTAGATCAATCAACTGGCACTTTGATAGGCCTTCGTAATCAACTCGTGCTTCGGCCTGGCAATATGGCATTCACACAGCTTCCTCGACCCCGCTCTATCATTATCGCACAGGGACAATTGTCTATCAGCTCAATAGACCATCACGTTCGCATCGACATTGATACGCAACACCAATCCCGAGTCCAGTTTCATCTGTATAAGATCGATACTGACCTTGGTTGTCTCATCGGCAATGTTAATTTAACAAATAAATTGTACAAGGCGTATCTGCATGCCGTAAGCAGTCACTGCCTACCTGATCCTTTAACAGGACGCACTGGCACGGAAGAAGCTCTACGAGGTTTACGATCCGCCGGTTGCAAATCTTTCCAGATACTTGGATCAAATGATGCCGAGCTTCTTCGTCAAATAGGATCATTGACGGCCTTGCGTAGCTACTATCCGAAGCATTTGAAATACATGGAAAGTGTGGAATGGTCCACATCCCTTGCTTCACTTGCGCAGCACCATGGCCTGTACATGGCCGTCAAATCGATCCTTGATTACGCGGAACAGCTCAAGATATTCCACGAGAACTCAGAGCCTTTCCCAGAGATTCCATGCGAGACTCATCTATTAGAACGTGCTTCCATCCGCAATGCAATATTCTATCCGGAAGAGTATGCTGGGCCACTCCCTTCTGCGAGAGAGGATGTGCAGTATAAGTCCAGACATGTATGTAATACTGGAGAGGCTTCAGTTTTTGACACCGCGTCCATGGTGCATGAATGGCCGTCGAAGATGAACACATCCACCCAATTGTTTGAACATTTCCAAGACTGGGAGCAGCTATCTGGACCATCTGAGGAGGGGCCCATAAGGAGTCTTCATTATGATCGTCACTGGCTTCAAGTTTCGCTCCCCGCAGCTTGGCTATCCATCTTTGATCTGTGTCGGACAACGCAGAATTGTCAATATCAATTGCTCTTTTCCCTATCCGCCCTTGCTTATAAATCATCCGAAAGTAGATATCTTATCCCTACACTCCTCGCATTTGCCGCGATCCCTCGGTTTCGCAGCCTGGAACTCCCCTCTCACGACGCGTATGACTTGTCCCGTGGTTTTGATCCGCAACGCGATGAGCTGTCAGAGTGTGTGCAGTCCACGGCTTATCCATTCGAATCAAGTGATGAATTCTACATGCCAGCCTACTTTGGGGAAAACGAAATTGCTCTAGAGCGACGACGTATTGCAGCATACGAGCAAAGACGAACTTCGCAAACGATTGACATTGTCAATGAACTTCTTCTTCAGTGGCCGTGTGAGAACCCAAACCTTATATCAGACTATTCTGTTTGGTTTAATGTTACGGCGCTCATGGAAAGCACCAACATACTATTTCGCGAATGGTTTCACAACGCTCAGCTTAAAAACCACACAAGTCATGTTCAAGCAGTCCTCGATGAAGTTCACCTTTCACACGCTCAGAGCTCCGAACCATATCAGCTTTTACCCTCGCAGAGCACACGTCCCCCCAGACCTTCAAATGTATCTTTCCAAAACCTTTTTCTCAGGGAAGCACCGTATATCAAGCTGCCACCAGAACCCTTAGGAGTTCTCAAGGCTATGACGGAGGTAGGAAGCCCGCCAGACACCCAGAAGTTACAGGTACTATTATCGGAGTTCCGAGGCAGCTCTACTAATGGGTTCCATCAACTTTACGGGACAAGTTTGAGCGAAAGCCGACATATTCTAAGTGAACAAGCCCCAGACATATTCCCTTCTCTAATACCTTATTCTATCCAAATGCTGCAGTATCATTGTCAACAATGCGAAGGTCATTTTCGATATGCTCTGAAGACAATCCAGGCAGCACTGTCTTCTAGAAATATACCTGAGTATACAATACTCAGCGCTGGTCTGTGGCCTCGCATTACTACAAGATCTCTTCTTGAACAATTGGGTCTTACTTGCTCTGTGGCTTTGTCGACTAATTGGAAACGGACTCTTGTCTCTTTCGCAAATGCTCTCCTCTTATTTCAGCGTTCCCAGCGCTTATTGGCCTTAGCACTGAATAAAAAATACGAGGAGTTCTTCAAAGAGTTGGAGAATACTGGGTGTGATGGGTGGGATGCTATGGAATATCCTGATTGGCTTTTGATTCAGGTGCATCATCATCTCATCATTTGTTGGCATTTCATGTGACGAAAAAGACAGATCGAGAATCATTTTCTTATCAGGCGCATTCAGGCCGGTGTCGCACTGGAAATGATACGTCCCACTTCGCAAGACAATACAACCCTACAACTCAACATGGGTGAGGGAAAATCATCGGTTATTGTTCCGATAGCCGCTGCCGCACTAGGAGGTGGTGACAAGCTTGTGCGAGTTATCGTGCTGAAATCGCTGGCTGTTCAAATGTTCCAGCTACTTGTCGAACGTTTGGGTGGATTGACAAATCGACGTATATTCTATCTGCCTTTCTCGCGCTCACTCCGGCTTGACGCTACCAATGCAGCGCACATACAAAAACTATACAAAGAATGCCTGCGCACCGGTGGTATCTGGGTTGCGCAACCAGACCACATTCTCTCCTACAAACTAATGAGTATTGACCAACGTTTGCTCTCAAAATCTGTAGTTGCGGAAACTTTGCTCAAGTCTCAACAGTGGCTGGACAAGCATAGCCGAGACATACTTGATGAGAGCGACGAAATTCTACATGTCCGGTATCAACTGGTGTACACCATCGGATTACAGAACCATCTGGAAGGTTTTCCGGACAGATGGACGACTATGCAACAGTTGCTTTGGCTTGTGAAGAGAAATATTGGGATCATATCGGACAAATGTCCGTTTGGAGTAGACCTGCAGCAAAGCTCATACGGCGGCTTCCCTCCAATTCGTATACTCCAAGATGCAGCTGGAACTGCTCTGGTTTCTTTGCTCGCTGAAAGAATCTTGGAGGGCGATCTTCCAAATTATAGCTTCAGTCAGGTTCCACCTTCCACCCTTGAAGCTATCTCAGCTTTTATTAAATTACGGGATCCTTCATCAGAAGATGCAGAACATGTCAGAACATACTGCAGTGACACTGGGCTTTGGAACGGAGTATTGCTTCTTCGAGGCCTATTAGCAAAAGGAGTCCTTATATATGTGCTAAAGGAAAGACGCTGGAGAGTGGACTATGGCCTGGACCTACGAAGGTCCATGCTTGCAGTACCTTATCGTGCCAAGGACGTCCCCGCCCCAAGAGCAGAATTTGGACATGCTGACGTTGCAATTGCGCTAACATGCTTGAGCTATTACTATGGCGGCTTATCAGAAAGACAGCTGGATATTTGTTTCGAGTTGCTTCAGAAATCTGACAACCCAGATCTAGAATACGAGACCTGGGTTCATGAATACGGTCTAGATGATATACCAGAATACTTGCGTCATCTCAGCGGAGTCAACACGAGGTCTACCGAGCAGCGCAAGAAATATCTCGTCCCACTGTTCCGGTACAATCAGGCCATCATTGACTATTATCTCGCCAATGTTGTTTTTCCAGCGCAAGCCAAAGAATTTCCTCGAAAACTCGCTACTTCTGGTTGGGATATTGCAGAAAGGAAAGTCCATGTTATGACCGGCTTCAGTGGAACGAACGACAATCGGTATCTTCTCCCCACCTCCATCACGCAGCACGACCCCCCTCATCAATTAAGTACCAACGCCAAAGTCCTCAATTATCTCCTGCAAGACGAAAACAATCATTACCTATGCATATCAGGTGCAGCAGGAGAGCGTGTATCCACGGAGGTCTTCCTCAGACGACTTATAGCGCAAACACCAGAAATTCGAGTACTTCTTGACGTTGGCGCACAAATGCTAGAATTACACAACGACAGTCTGGCAGCTCTTTGGCTGTCACTAAAACTCGAGGCTCAGGCAGCGATATATTTCAACGAAAATGATGAACTGACTGTATTGGATAGGGATGGCAATGTGGAATCATTTGTCTCTTCTCCTTTCAATCAGCAGATAGACCAGTGCTTGCTATACTTGGATGATGCACATACCAGAGGTACAGATGTCAAGTTGCCTCCCGGATCACGGGCTGCTGTCACATTAGGCCCTAAAGTCACGAAGGATCGTTTGACTCAAGGTTAGTAGTTATCCTGGATGAGATATATATAATCCTTAACCATTTGATATAGGCTGCATGCGCATGCGACAGTTGGGCAACGGACATTCAGTGATGTTCTTCGCTCCTTTAGAAGTTGATCGAGGGATACGGGAAGCCGCTATGAAGACGGGAAAGGACCCTACTAACCCACTTGACGTGCGGGATATATTGCGATGGGTGATGCTGGAGACGTCTGCAGACGTCCAACACCGCGTTTCGCAATGGGCAGAGCAAGGTCTAGATCATCGAATCCGGGCCGCAGCATGGTCTGATTTCATTAGCGGAAAGATAACAGCTGAAAGTCTCGCAGCTTCATGGCTTCAGCGCGAATCCTGGACTCTTGAAGAGATGTATGGATTAAGTTCCTCACTCCCTCATTCAGCCTTCGAAGTATCCGAGCTGCGTGAGCGCTGCTTGCAACTCGGAGTTATGTCCCTCTCGCAGTCGCGGATGGACGAGGAGCAAGAGAGAGAAGTGATTCATGAGGTCGAACGTGAACGACAGGTGGCGAGGCCGCCAAAGGTACAGGCTGCCAAACACCAGGTTCATAAGGATGTCACGCGCTTTATCACTACTGGCATCATCCGTACTACTTCTGCTGCATTCAAACCAGCATTTACCACTCTCTGTCGCACAACTGCAGAATTCAAGCAGAACGATGTCTGGTCACCGAATCTACTTGCAACAGCAGATTTTATTAAGACAGTGGAGCTTCAATCCAAGCACAAAGCTGACGATTTTCTGCGACCATGCAATCTGATCATCTCGAGCGAACAGGAAAATTCGCTGGTCCTCATCATTCTCAGCCCTTTTGAAGTTAACAATCTACTTCCCCAAATTCGAAGGAGTAGCAAAGTTCGATTACATCTCTACACTCCAAGGGTCACCAAGGCGATGAAAGCAAGTGACAATCTCACACTCTACACTGTTCCACCAATGTTGGCTCCATTGCATTTGCCCATGCCACTGAAAATCCAACTCAACGTACTTGCAGGCCAACTTTTCCTGCCAGACTTGGAGACGTATACGCAACTTTGTCGTTTCCTGGGTATTTATACAAGGGATCTGGGGAGGAACGTGGAAGTACAAAGTGATGGCTTTATCAAGCCTAAGCATCGCCCCAAGGCTACGCGGTCTCTTTCACCTTTTACTCAAAGTCCACTACTATCACTCAAAGCACTGATAGGACTGCGCCGGAAAGGAATGGGGTACTTACCCACGCATCTAGGGAAGATCTTGCAAGCAAGGTTATTGACTGCTGAGGATTTTGTGGCATAAGTTTTTGAATGTTCTTGATGTATCTTAGGAGCTCGCGAGAGATAGTCATATGCATCGGTATGGGAAATAATAACATCTTATATGTACTATTGACTCACGGAGTATAATGACAGATATTGATATTTGTAGAATGTACCTTTTAGAAATGCAACCATGCCATGCCATATATTCCAATGTTTCTTATCTTCACACTGGACGCTCCTTCAAACGTTGGAAAGGAAAGATCTAACAAATCATAAGGGGCTTGATAGGGTACTTGGATTTTTACCTATCTACTGCACACTCAGGGCCCCTCGGAGGTAAGGAACAATTTGAAGTCTGAATACACTGAACTGTACCTTGTTTATTATTAACACGCTTGGATGTCATCAGACGGTGTAGGCTGCAAGCAAAAGCATGTTAGCCATTCTCCGAGCCATTTTTGCTCCCTCGGATTCCCTTTGCTAGTCATATGTTCCGATTACTATAAAGTCTGACAATAGGCTTTCCGCATTATCGCATCATGTGCCGGTGGTAGCTCAACTGCGACGCCTGTAAGCAGTATATACATGGGAGAGCCCCACTCGGCCCTTCCGTAGATCAGGGATCAGAGTCAACAAACTAGGAACAGGCGATAAGGGTACAAACACATAAGCCTACGAAAGAAAGGTCAAGCATCTACTTGAGCGTCAGCCCGTGAGAGCCGGATTTTACCGGATTCCTTTGAGCCTCTGCTACTAAGTAGTACTACTGGTGACAAAGGAGTACCAGCGAGGCTCCACAATTGTCCAATCTTAGACCAAACTGTATTCGACGGTTATCGTGGTGGGAAGGGAACCAGAAGTGGGAAAACTAGAATACCCAGCCTGGAGAATGCCCACGCACACGGGTATGTCTTACCAAATGTAGTCCACAAGTTTGGATGGGTTTAATGCTAAACGATAAATGATGAAATCAGTAACCGACGACATTCTGAAATCCCTCGTACAACGCGGATGAAATCCATAAAGGTGCAAAGATCAGCGGCATCCCTGTACCGCGACCTCGGATCGTGTCGACCTCGAGGGAAATATCTCAGGCTGGAGCCCCTATATAGCCTCGACACTCGTGAACACATTGAGAATAACCCACATCTTCTTCCCACTTAGTTGCAGAGGTATCGTTGTTTCACATCTGATAAGCACAGTAGTTATCTGACAAGAGCATTGGAATCTTAACAGATACTCAAAAAAAATACAAATGCAGACTTCTCGACAGACACGCAACACACCTTTGCCTCGTTTTCCTCCAGAGCTCTGGTTGAGAATTTTTGATCTTGCCACTGGTGTAGCTGGACTGCTGGACTACAATGGAGAGGGGTCTTCAGACCTGCCTCTCTCTATTGTCAAACAAACCCAGCTAAAGCAACTGAAGAAATCCCTCGTTGAAAAACGATCTCTCGTCCAGGTCTGCAAGTCGTGGCATGAACTAGCCAGTGAATATCTATATCAAAGCGTCATCATCACTCGAGTGCGAACTTTGGAGTCGTTATGCAGCGCTCTGGAAAAATCAGAAAAAGATACATCTATATCTGCATTGCGTCGCCCTTTAGGATGGCGCACAAAAAGACTAGATGTGATCATCCAGGATCAACGGTGTGAAGCTGAGGATTATGCATTGCTTGCCATCATTATGCGACACTTTCCCAACCTCTCCATCGTGACCCTTTCTATGCCGATGTTACCTTTTCACGACTGTTGGCTTCGTAAACTGCCCACTGCTGTAGTCGCCTCCTTGGCAGAGACTTGCGGATCTTCCCTTCGTGCATTTGACTGTTCCGAGTCTATACTTCGTCCATCCAGGTACTTGCATAGGTTTTGATTCGATAATTCACACGCTAAAACACCTGTCTTCATGCAGAGATGACTTGATGTTCTTATTAGCATCTGCTCCTAACCTTCGGAGCTTGCGTTGCCCCATTTGCTCGCCATCTGCTGGAGAGAAACCCTTGCGGAACCGGATGGACATGCCCGTGATGCCCGAACTCCGTTCCATAGTCCTTATGTCTGTGTTCTTGCATGACTATCTTCCGAAGAACAAGGAAATAAATCGGTTCCCCGCCCTCCGTGAACTCACTTACGACTGCATCCCCCCGCCGTTCTATGATCGAGATTGGCAAAACTTTATTCAGCTGAGCTGCAAAAATGTCACCACAGTATACATAGATTTTTGCCTCCAAGGAGAATCTCTTCAGAAGGAACTCGATTTGTTGACAGAATGTTGTCCCTCGCTCGAGAAGCTCGTCATCTTCATTCGTTCTTGGGCAGAGTTGAAAGAAAACCTTGTCTTACCCCCCGTCTCTCGCCTCGGCTTGTACTGTTCAGTACACAAGGGCTCCTCGACTCACTATCGCGATCTGTTTTCTGCGCTTGGGACAATGACCGCTCCCCAATTGAAAGCTGTTCGCTTGCTTCATCATCAAAATGTCGAGGACCTGCGTAAAAATCACACGAGTGTGCTGACGGAAGGCATTGCACGACTCGCGCCACACTCGTTCCACCTCGAGGACGATGAAGGCAATTTAATTTTATCGTGAAGCAATTTTTTTCAAGGATACTTCTGGTGTTATATAGTTTAATGAGAGGTATGTTTCGGAAAACAGCTTGAATTGTGATATACGTTCTCATTTCGTAAATTTAGGGTACACCCATGCTTTATTTTATATGAGGGTCATTGTTCAGTGTACAACAGTGTACAGATATTGGTTCATGTCTATATTTTACACAAAATTCATGACAGAATTATTACTTATGATGCAACAGCTCTATCTCTTTGAACACAAGAAATTGGCCAGTTCTTCCTCTTCTATCTCCCCAATATTTGAGACCGAGCATATAAGGCTAAGCGTTGCATGGTGACTTAAGCATTCAAACTTTCTATCTATTGTGGCTTGAGCAATCTCCGTTGGATCTCTTTCACTGGTACTATTACCAGAGAACTGGTCAGTGGTCCTCGATGCCTCTTGCCCTATTTTTGACCCTTCTATTTCCAGCCGCCTTCCCACAGAACGGGGCGGTGTTGAACCCAGTGAGGTCTACCGGACGACGTCGCTCCCCCGGGCCGGCGCGCTCTGGCACCATGCACGATCTCGTGACCACACACTGTTCTTCCTCACAGGACCTCAGTCGCGTATATGAACAAGGTGCCAATACAGAGACATGAATTCCGTGCAGGATGCGTATCTCTTGTGTACCATTAGCTGCTCTTTTATCTTTTGGTCAAGTTGCATTCGGCGTCGCGCCAAGTGGGCCATGGGATGCGTTTAACATAGCACCAAAATCTAAAACGGTATATCCTCAAGCCATTTATACCGCCCAAGGATCTGTCCAGAATGCGAATAACCTGGTTTCGAAATCCGGTAGCACCACCTTCTCGGGAAATGGGTCTTGGGTTGCCATGGACTTTGGTGTCGAGGTATGGTTTTTACTCTGGTGGTCTGTGTTTGTGGGTAGGGATTAATTGAGTGTGCAGGTTGGAGGACTCATCTCTATGAACTTTGACTCGGTTTCTTCTACTTCTGCTATTTCTCTTGCGTTCACGGAATCCCCGGTCTTTATTCGTCCCTATGCTTCAGACGATTCTTCCTATCCTGATGCTACTACCACCTACGATGGTGTTCTGAATGTACCAGCGCCCATTTCTACAGGCTATTGGACACAGCCAGCCGTCGCCCTTCGTGGAGGCTATCGTTACTTGAGCATCGCATCCACATCCGACGAACCTATTACTATTTCGAATGTTTCTTGCGCCATATCATTCATGCCACACGTGGAGGATATGTCACAGTACGCGGGATATTTCTATGCACAGGATCCTTTATCGCAAGACGTTAACTTTCTGACAAAATGTGCGTCCGTCCTTGCAATTGTATCCCTTACAGTCGGTGATAGGAGGCTATGCAGTGTGGTATTCAGGCGCATATACAGTAGAGACAAATATCGTAGCTGTCAACACTGGAAGACAGGTACCCTTTGTATCCAGCGGTTTGTTGCATATGGTGCTTTCTTTATTCTTCCCCTGATAGACGACCTTAGGTTGGGCTAATAACGCAACTCTTGGAGTTGCTGGACCTATTATAGTTGACGGAGCCAAACGTGACCGGTGAGATTGGATTTTAAAAGACGGAAACACCGTACTGAAATCGTCTGTCCAGTGCTGTGTGGCCTGGTATGTTCTAATTTATCACTTCTGTCTGATATAAAGGTGAAACTTGTGTAGGCGACATGGGCATTGCTGTTCCAACCCAGTTTGTGTCGACTAACGACCTACTGCCTACTAAAAACGCGCTTTCAACAATGTTTGCGGCTCAGAATCCGACGACTGGAGCTTTGCCTGAATCAGGTCAGCAGGCTCGACTCGCATATATAATATCATATCTGACCTTGACCCGCCAATAGGGCCTCCCTTGAGCCAACAGGGATCGGACACATACTTGATGTGGACCTTGATCGGCACATATAATTACTATTTATACTCAGGTGATGCAGATTGGTTGCAAACTATTTGGACCAACTACACGAAAGCTGTTGCTTATGTGGAAAGTAAAGTCGATAGCTCAGGCCTGATGAACATCACAGGGTTGAGAGATTGGGGAAGGTTAGGTCAAGGAGGGCACAATGCAGAGGGCAACGCCATATTATACAAGGTATTCCCACCTAGATCCCGAGTTAAAGACCATGACTGAGATCGGCGCATATAGCTCTTGACTAACAGTGTTGATCTTGCCACGTACACGAACAACACCGAACTTGCTTCTGCCTGGACATATAACGCAACGGCTCTCAAAGTCAAGTATAACGAAGCATTCTGGTTGCCTAGCGTTGGGATGTATCGTGATAACGAAACAACAACTCTCACTCCTCAGGACGCTAACTCCTTTGCTGTCCTTTTCAATGTCACCTCCACACAAGAGCAAGCAGATTCTGTGAGCAAAGGTCTGCAGAAGAACTGGAACAGCTACGGAGCTATTGCACCCGAACTCCCGGACAACATTAGTCCTTTCATCGGCGGTTTCGAAGTGAGCTTCACCTACGAGGGCGTAATACAAATCTCTGAAATATTTTACTCAGGTACAAGCACATTTTGCTTCTGGAAATGATAATGCCGCTATGGATCTCCTTAGACGAGAGTGGGGCTATATGCTTACCACAAACCTTAGTGTCCAGTCCACTTTATTGGAAGGCTTTACATCCAATGGTTCTCTTTAGTAAGTTATTTGAATTCAACGGGTCACTTGATACTTGATACTCATATATGATATTTAGCTATCGTTCCTACGATGGCTATAACTATGGTGTGTCCTACATATGTTATCATGGATTAGCATTGACTCGACATTGTCACATTAGATCCTTCATATATTAGCCATTCCCACGGATGGAGTTCTGGACCGACTTCTGCGCTTACATTCTATGTTCTCGGCCTGACTGTAACTTCCCCACAAGGTAAAACTTGGTTGGTGGCCCCTCATCTGAGTGGACTTTCGTCAGCGGAAGGAGGCTTCGAGACTACTCTTGGTTCTTTCAATGTGAAATGGACATTGGAAGGTAAAATGTTAACGTTGCAGATCAATACTCCAGAAGGAACCTCTGGCACTGTACGCTTGCCTGCATCCGGAACTGTGTCACTGAACAGTGAAAGCGTCACTACGGATGCGACCACCGATGATCTTCCTTTGCTCACACTGAACGGTGGACAGCAGACGGTCATTCTGCAATTGTCATGAATCTAATTATGCGTTATTTTTGTACTTGTTTTCACTTGCCAGCGTTGTTCAGAATACCATTGAAAATCCCAATGGGATGCACAGCACTGTCATCCAAAAATTTAGTAATAGCTATCCGACACCCCTGGAAAAGGTAGAGGAGTAGGTTCGATGCATGAACCCGTACCTCCTGTAGATCTATTTATTATAATAGTACAAATATACAGCAACAATACAGGCCAGCCTATGAAAGACAGTTACAATACAGGATGCCAGAGGGTCGTATACATGGAATGCACGTGTTCGGTGAGCTCTAGACACGGTCCAATGAAATGAGGGGCAATGATTGCGCGTATATCGTCGATGTGCGAAGTCGAGGCGAGTGATTGTGTGTATGAAATGCTTTGGTACGGGTATTCGATGATATGATATGCCAGGTTCTTTAGATTGGGTACCGAAAATATGAGGATAAGTCCAAGCATGATGCGTCCGCTGCGAATGTAGAAAAATCGTGAAAGTCGTGAGTCATGAAGTGATCGTGCTGGCCCTTGCAACATGCATGTAACGCTGCAGAATACGTCGTAATCGCTAGATCTTCAATTCCCTAAATCCTCGGACATCTACTCTGCCCGTCCCATTTCTCTTCCACTCCCCCTCGGAACCATCTGCGTCCTCCTTTACTACATCACGAGCCTCCTGTACCAGTGACGATTGTACTTGAGTTGCTACAGCTCCCTTCTTGTATCGGCCGCCAGGTATGACAATCTTTCCTGCACTAACCTTCTTGGCCACGAGGACAGAGCGCGGTTTTGGGAGTCCCAAACTCTTGCGTTGACGACGCGTCAAGGGCCTTTCCGGTTCTGGAGGAAGAGATGCGGGAGGGGTGCTTGGTAACGAGGAGGAAGCAGCAGACGACGACCTTGTTGATTCTGCTGGAGAACCGGGAGGGGATAGCCCTGGTGTGGAGTCCTCCATGGATGCATTGTCTGTTTCTGCTATTTGCTGAGCCTGTGATGACAAGCCGTGGGAACTACGCGTCCTCTTGGCTATACCCTCTGACGTCGAAGAGCCTGATGATTCGTCGAACGAACGCTTGGGAGATCGGTGGACGCGAAAGTCGGGAGACAGCGATGAAATAGTCGATGGTAGATTAGATGAGTGGTTATCTCGAAAACCAGGAGAAGATGAGCGGGATGCAGGCAGAGCAATTTGTGAGGGTGTCTGGGGCCGCACTTCGTCCACCTTTGTCACTGCAGCCAGCTGCCGGTCCTTTGAGGAACTCACTTTCGAAATTTTCGATTCTGGTTTTGATTTAACCCGCATCGAATGTTTCTTCTTGGCAGGAGAAGGAGGTTGTTCGCACTCGGCGGAAAGTTCTTGGACAGAGGGCAGTCCAGTATGTGGACCTCTCAAATTTCGAATGGAGGAAAAGTGCTCCCAGTCATGATATCTATTAGACATTATTAACATTGAGGTATGAAGAGAGAGAGAGAGAGAAACATACGCAACATAGATGGCACCAAGCGATGAATCTACCTCGGAGTCTTGAGTGGGAATTTCTGGCGTTTGTTCGACACGTTTTTGATGTCTAAGTAGACGACACTTCTCCCGTTCATGCTGCACCGTCTCATCTTCATCCAGGTGATCTGAAGAAGGATCTCCACCAGCATCCCATTGAATGACGTAGACCAAACCGGGCTGAATAACTTTTACATTCCGATGGTTACGATGCGCAAAAGCAGACAGTTCAAGATGACCGCCATATGTTCCTACATGATGGAATTTATTAGATTGTCTTTCCGTTAAGTTGTGTTGTTATGACGTGCCCTGCTCCCTCATGCACTGTAGATGGGTGCTCAGACCACGCTCATCCTCACAGAAAGGCTCGTATCGTTCGAAATGGACCTCGATCCAGTCGCAGATGTCTTTTCTAAGCTGGAGGTGGTGAGAGGGAGTACCATATAGCTGGTCTGACAGCGCTCGGAAGAGACAATTGCCATCACCAAGCGTGTCGGCAGCGTATAGTCCAAGCGACCAAAGTTGTTCAGTGAGTAGTCTAGTGTTCTGTACTGGATCAGAAATAACCTAATGACCATACAGTGAGGAGCAGCATTAGCCTCTTGGTCTTTTAGGAGATATGAAAGGAACGTGGGCGGACTTTGCCTTTGGATCTTGTTGTGCGGGCGCGAACTGAATACGTTCGTTCAATATGGATGAAGATGCGTTTGTTACAGCAAAACATACGTGGTAAATGTTTCTTTTGTTGTTTTTTTGCTCCCATTACTTGCTTGTGAAAATCGTTCTGCTCGCTATGATGATGAACGTTGATTATAGGGCTCTCCAACGTGGTTTTGGGGTCGTCGAGGACCCCGAACAGTACAGCCAAACACGGGCCCATCATGACACTAGATAGATCCCACGGAAATCTTACAAAAGGTGAAATAAGGACTCAGTCTGTTGTACTGTCGTTAACCGTCAGTTCGGATGGGGGGGGCTATTCAGACATTTCTAAAAACATATGTTTCACTGTCATTTTTCCTCAACAACTCAACCCATAGCAGTTCTATATATTCTTACCACTTACTCCAACTTTCCTAGCACAAAATCCTGAATTATTGAGTGAGTTCCTTCCATGTGCGTGACTTTTGAGAAAGTAACGCTATACTAAGGTAGTTCAGGTGTGCCACACTCAAGATCATGTTCAACCACTGATAGTGCCGAGCGGAGCTCCAACTTGGCTTGTGTGACCTCTCTGACGTCCGAATAGCCCCCCATCCGAACTGATGGTTAACGACAGTATTGAGAACCACGAGCACCTCAACCTCACATATATGTAAGCTAGTCAGCCTGGCAATCAAGAGGGGGGTTGTCAGGCTACTTAGCCTCAAAGTGCATATTTTCCTGGACCTGTTACGATACACAATTTTCGGACCTTTAATTTTCATTCTCCTCTTTAACTTTATACTGTAGTTTTCACACACTGTACCATGCGGTGTCATGCACCAAAATTGATTGGTAGCATGGACAGGTGTCATAACGAAGCAAATATTCAAAAGACTTGCCTTTGCGCCACACAGGCACAGTGCCACGTGGAATAGTAATTAATATTGCCTTTTTCAAACTTGTGGCTAATCAGCACCACCTCTATTAGGCAATCCAGTCACGCTCACCTTTGCTTTCCATTTGGTACTTTCTGCATTTCGGCATTTCAGCAAATTTTTGCGTCGCCACTGGCTACACATTGCATTGCACCCTCGCTTTTGTTGTTTCCTTCACTTCCCTTCCTTTGCCTAGCCCCACCATGGGTCCCTTACTCTCGTTTTTATTCTCACCCGACGGTCGTTTCTGGATCCCCATTCTAATCCACTTTTTCGTCACCTCCACCCTCCTCCTCCTCATCTTATTTGCACCCCCACCATTTCTGATGTCACCACTTCCTATCCGCTTCCGTCGCCGATCCGTTGACTACCACGTGCCGCTGCTGATATCAGCAAAGCCCCGGCGGCCGGTCCAAATAGGGCAACAGGTCCATCTTCATGACGTCGATCTGCCATCATATACTATCAAAACATTGGTCGCTCGTCTTGCCTGGTTGGAGCGTGGGTGGGTAGTTTTTGAGCTGGAGAAGGTTCATCCCCTTGCGTCGCCCATGTTCATCGCTGTCCCATTCACTTGGGTACACTTATCTTTTGTCCGTCGTCTTCACTACAGCTACACCTACCACACGCTGCCTGGGATTCACTTGTTCCAAATTGGAACTACTCCTCTCCCTCCCTCATTTGATCAGGTGGTCCAACACAACCAGTCCATTGGTAAGGCCATGGAACTGTCGGATTTGGACTAGGTGGTGGACTGGTGGCTCCAGTTTCTTTTTTTTCAGCAGAACATTCATTTACAGTGCAATTATTTTTGATTTTTGAATTATTTCTATGGACACATATTTTTTTAGAATGTCTGACTGACAATAAAGGAACTGTGTTGATACTGATAGTGTTTTGCCTTGCCCTTTTTTTGCTGCATCTTCCCATGACATCATGATTTTCCTGCTCTCTTTTTGCTATTGGACTTTACTTTATGGCTGTACAAACCTGTGACATTACTCACAGCATTCATTGTTCTATCCCTTTCTTTTCCTTTTTTTGACAATCTTATCCTGTACTACCTACGCAGGATTCGTCAGCATACATTCCTTCCTTCATGTTCTTTCTCATTCTTTTTGCACAGCTATACTGTGCATAGCCTACTTTTCTTTTACTATATAAACCCCTGTATTTTACCTTGTAAAAAAAAAAACAAGTACTCCAATCCAGACTTCTTCTCTACTCTCAAGTTCACTACTCTGCTACTTGTGATCCAGTGTGGTCACAACACTTCCCACTTCTACCACTGTTAACTGCTGTCATCGTCACTTGTCACTTTTTGAAAGTGATTGTCATCCCCTTCGATTAGAGTCCTTCTGAGCACTACAGTTTGTGCGTCAGGAGCCTGCTATCACTGGGAACCTCGTCACCTCGTCATTCTCGTCGTTCTCAAACCTACCTTGTGCTACCATTAGCAAGGTAGTGCTCATCTATACTCGTCACTAAGCCCCTATCTTCTATAAATTCAACTATCCCTCCTCCTCAAAACCCACACTCATACACCTCTGGGTTTTACTTTGAAGGATCTTTATACGTACCACCCCACGAACAACCAGACCACTCCACTGTTCTAGGAGGCAAAGCCCATAAACAAGTTCCGTGGAATCTGGGAGGATTGTGTGTTAGTTTGTTTTTGTGTGTGGTTTTCTAACTGCAGTTCTCATCATCGACAGCATCAAAGGAGTAAGGGCCTTCCTTGGCTTAGGCAATTTCTACCAAAGATTTGTTGAAAACTTGGCAAAAATAATGAGACTGTTGAAAGATCTCACTAAAAAGGATATTGTTTGGCACTGGGGCGCCAAAGAACAAGAAGCTTTTGATAAGCTTAAACAGGTGTTTACAACGGCACCCATATTAGCATTAGTCTCATTCACTAGGCAATTTCCAGTGTGTTGTAAGACTTTCATATTTATTTGGAGGTATTACTGGAACATGCATGATTATATACGAATACGAGGTGGTGTAGGGGATATCGAAAACGCGTCAAGTTGACCTTTCCCTGATGGCAGCATGCAACGGCTTCCCCTGATAGACAGGGACGAAATTATCATTATACTTGAAATCCTCAACACTAGTACCACGTCGTTAGAGAAAATCATAGGTATCACTCAAAACACTCACGTCGTATCGTGCATCTCCATCTCTAGCTTTCGGAAAACGTTGGCGAATATCAGGTACAGTTCGCACCATGCAAGGCTGTTACAATTATTGGTCAAACGGCGTCAAATACCTTGATCACTTCCTGAGAATGGTTTGAGACGTACTTCATCCCAAGACAACCTCGAGGCCCCTTTGAAAACGGAACCAAATACGTCTCGAGGTCCTTCGCATCTAGTCCTAGCCATCTTTCAGGTGCGAATTTGAAAGGCTCAGGGAAGACATCGGCATTATTGTGCATCATGGTCGAGCTCATTGAAATGATCGTCTTTATTCTTGTCAGAAAATGTGCCAAGTAAAGCCATTGCGTCCATGCTTACCCCTGCAGGTACATGCCAGTCTCCGATCCGGGTATCAGCCGGTCCCACGACGCGAGGAAGAGGGGTTACTACGCCTGAAGCAAATCGCAAAGTCTCCTTGAGCACGGCAGTCTAACGTGCACCAAAGTGAGTGATATTGAAGAAGAAAAGAAAATGTAGGAGTCGACGCACCAGGTAAGGTAACTTCTCAAGGGTTGTAAATTGAACTATTGCATCTTTGTTAGGCCAAGCATTCTGCAGTTCTTCCACAAGCTTCGCATGCACAACTTCATCATTGAGCACACGGAAGGTTCCAACAGTCAAGGTGTTACCCAAGGTGTCACTTCCCGCCAATAGCAACGTCAGCGCTTCCTGTAATAACGAGCTACGTGAGATGGGCTGTTTTTCCTTTCGAGCCCCCGGCGCTAGTAGGTGATGGTAAATTATATCGTGGTCTACATTCTCAAGAGCCTCTGGGTCTGCAAGGAACACGTCAATCTGAGCTGAAGCTTGCTGACGAATGTCAAACAATGCCCGTGACTTGGAGTCCAGAAACTGAGCAATCCAGGTAGGTGGCTCCATGAGAACTGGAATGAGGAACGGGAGATATCTCAACACCCAAAAGAAGGGTATCAACGTCTGCAGAGAAGTCAAGAACGGATGCATGAACCCCTCTGTGCTTAGCGCATTAAAGTCTTTAGCAAGGCAATAGGATGCGATAATGTCTAGAGTCGTTGAACGGAAGGCCATGAACAAGTTAGCGGATTTCTGAGCGTCGCGGTAAGTCAGCAATTGCGAAACGAGTTTATTGACCTGCAGTAGTAGCTGCATGAATAATCTATCGTGACAGGGCAACGATAGGTACCAACTTTCTCTTGAACCACGTTTTCGAGTTTGAGGACCGCACGTCGAGAAAATAGTGGGTTCAGGATTTCACGCCTGATCCTGGATGCGTGAACATCGATGAGACCGAAAGACGCCTCGTCTTGTCCAAAGCACTTATAAAAACTGGGTTCCTTCGTAAATTTCGATCCTACGGCATAAATATCCGCAAAAGCCTTCGTGTCGTCAAAATGCAACTTTGGTACGAAGTGAGTTGAGACGATGGTAAGTATTTGGAAGAGCTTACTTCATTGGGAGCAATCCTCACAACCGGGCCTAGTTTTCACCACCATGAGATAGAATAAGATGGCATTCGACGAATGGCGTACCGTATTTCTGGTGCAGTTGCTTGATATGTTCCAGGAGCCCTCCGCGCTTGATCACATCGAAGTAGCCCTTGTAATAAATGGTGACCGCAGCCAGAGGAGGACCAGGGTATTTCTTCAAGGGATGAAAAAGTAGCCTATAGGCCACTGAAGCAATGGCATAGACACAAGATGCGCCAGCGACGACGGCCCAAGGCCTGGCATTATCCATAGCTTACGCTTGGATCATCCGTATTCTGGATCCCTTCTTACATGTTATAAAAGAAACTCATCTGAGCCGAGGACCCCTGGTTATCCCTATGGAACCCTGATACAGTACCCGGACAAAATAATTTGGTGAAAGACGCCAGAACACCTACGCCACGGTCCGGACGCAGCGGACAAGCTGCCACTAGTGTCAATGCTATGTTCAAATCATAGCAAGATCTGAAGGTCTTTTTCATCGCGGAGAAGTAGCTGGGTCTCGTGGGAATGTTCTGTCATATGATTTTTCTCTCGTTAGCCAAGTTCTTCCAAATTACACACATTTTTCATCCAAGTTCTGACGAAACAAGGTACCACAGCGGTACCACACGGATAGTCGGGGGCCTTCTAGTGCTTCAATATGACATGTTCGCAATATGAATATGACAATATAAAAACATCATGGGCCCTGTTCCGTTCTGAGGAAGGTTCAATTATCGGCTATTTGAAGAGAAAAAAATATCTTGGTATGTTTTCCGACGTCCTTCGCAATATGTTTTTCCCCAGGACCTTAGGACCCCGGATCGGAGAAGATGTTTACCGATCCTACACGGTTGCCTAATATGGATATGAGTTGAGAAGATGTTGACTTTTCCCTTCTGGGATGATGACCGGACCCACCAGCCATCGCGAACGCACCATACTGGTATAGAGACAAATTGCGTTATGAATGTACAGTCAGACGGCGGAGGTGACCACTGAAACGGAGTATCGGGTTTTTGATCAAGTTGTTGTACGTTAGTAATTTAGAACCCATACTTCTGTCTAACCCTGTCGTCTATCGCCACTAACATTTATGTGCTCCTGAATTATACTTCAAGGAGCTTACAACGCTTACGACTATATGTAAGACGATCTAACCTATGTGGTCCGGCGATTAAACATATTCGACTGATAACGGGCAGCGTTGAGATAGAGAATTCCGAAGGTATATTTGAGCTATTTATCACAAGTCCACTACAGACCAAAAGTACAATCCGTGCTGCCCCAAACCACTACAATATACAATACATACATCGATATACAATATACTAAATAAAATGAAAGACCTAGGTATATACACGCTTAAACAGCGGAACGATCAGGTCTTCTCGGTTGGAGATATCGATAGTCCGGAAGTATCCTGTATGACAAGAACAAGAAGTTATGTCATAATTCTAATTCCATGTGCTAGAAAGATCGATCACATACGCGGACTTAGATAGTACCAAAGTACTGTGCCTTGAACAAAGTGTTCCAGGGCTTCCAAGTATCTCATGAGCTCAGTATCAACAGCAGGTCCGAAGGAAGGTAGTTGCTTTTTCAGCTCCGTGTACTCCGCCACCCGATCGGCGAGCATATCTGTCAAGATGTCAATTGCCGCCTGGAGACCGACGTTATGCTCGATCATAATGCAGACAACGAGGTTCTGGTAGTCACCATCTGACTGTTCTTTCTATAGAGCCGGATTCCCGGGGTTAGAAGCTGTCATAGATCTGGTTACGTAGAAGACTTACATTAAAGGAACACAAGTCCTGTCATTTACAAGGTACAAAACAGCGTCAATCTATAAGCACAAGGAATAATTAAGAGTGCACTAACGTTTGGCCAGGTCATGATGTCAGTCGTAGCTTCAGACATTGCAATAATAGTTGGATGGTGAAATACATAGTCGGGAAGATCCAAATCCAAAGAATATTCGACCATGGCTGCAAATAAAGTGTCAGACAGGATTAGTCTGGAGTATGAGGAACAGTCTCTCACCTTCAACCATAGCACCTCCAATAGTCGCCCGACGCATAAGAATGAATTCCTCCACCGATGGTATTCGATCCAATGACCGATTGTGAGATTGCTGAACTTGCGATCTGCTCCATTCTTCAAAAGCGAGGGTAAACCTATATGCGCAGCGGCATTTACTAATTCTGACATGCATAGGTCCATTGGGAAACGTTACGTACCTTGCGTAAGCGCCTGGACTGGCCGTTTCACGAATCCGTGTCAGGAGACTGTAGTTAGCGAGTGAGCCCACATACAAAAACGAAAAAAGAACGGTAACGGACTCGTAAAGCATGGCAGCGTAGGGAAAATCTGGCCGTGGACCCTCGGGGTTGTCCAGGACGGTCATGGAAATATCAACCCCTGCCTGAACATCGTCTGGTTTCGATTGCAAGTCCCCCTCATCCGAGAGGTCGTCCGTCTAGAAGAAGTAGAATTGGAACGACAACGACAACACAGAAAGATGAAACATTACACACAGAAAATGCCCAGAAGAAAAAAGCTAGGCACGTCTCGAGATGTTTGGCATCGGCGTCCGGAAAGCTCAGAGCAGCGAAGAGATCAAACTTTCCGTAGTCCAGAAACTTTGACAGCTTCTTCTCGTTGTATACGTTGAAGCTTGATGACAAACATCTGTCAGACATAGTTGCGGACGGAAGGACGACATAGATACCTCATAAACCATTTGCGAGCTGCGTTGTCTGCCTCTTTCTGATGGCGACTGACCTTGAGTTCGAAGGCTTCACCACTGATGGCGACAAGATCTCTTAGAGAGAAATAAGAGGGGAATGAATCCAACATATTTGCAAGCAGAGGAGGGTAAAGAGATGATGCTAAAGAGACAAAACGCGAAAGTTTGGCCTGCTCTTATTGACAAACGTGTGGCGGTTTACTTCAGCATTTCTTATCAGAAGGGCCTGAAAGAGCGAATCTACAAATAAGAGGATGAGCGGCAACGGCAGAAGGAAAAGCATGCGCATATGCATGGTTATCAAAAAAAAACATAAAGATTTCTTCTAAATTTACCGCACGTGATCCCGTCCCAATGGCACCTCTACAATATATTTCACCAAGGCGTTGACACATTGATACGTCTCAAGCGTATTTTCGTTGGAAGCCGTACTACTACCCTCGAGGGAGCCGGAAATTACACAAGCAATGTAACTTGAATACAGCGGTGTAAATTTTCGATACAACAAGAAGACTAATATATAAGACTAGTGTGACGCACCACATCAACTGTCGTTCTTATCAAACGCTCACAGTGACTTGCCCCTCCGTAAAATGAGATATTTTGGTATGATTAGGAGATGGGCGGCTTTCTAATTGAAAGCAATCGAAATCCAAGAAGTAATCAGCATTACGAGCTGGTGGTCGCCCTTACGAGTCGGTGACCATCCTTCGAAATATGGGCCTCATTGACTGATTTTCGACTGGCTTGTTTCACATCGACGAATAATATGACCATGCCATGGACCGACTCGTATCTCTGCAAACGTCTTAGTCATGTGTTTACAGCGCCGCGGGCTACCAACTGTCCGGATTTTGTAAACAGAAAGCTCTCAGTCATACCAGTACTTACCACATATGATGCATCTAGTACCAGTTACACCTCAGTCGCCTTTTCCAAACCTACATGTGAATGAACCGCAAAAGTCAGCTCACTAGCACGGAATAAGGCCTATAGGGAGCAGCATCACGACTGAAACTCGTCGGTGTGTGTGGGGCCTCCCAGAACATGTTTGGCCGCTAATGTACTAGTATCTCTTGGCTCGCTGCGCATCCGTTGTACTTTACTTCCATTTTCTCTCCTTCAAGAGCGTCACAAAAATGCAGTCACGCAGTGTTAAATCGTTATGTTCCTGGGCTATTCAGCGCTGGTGTGTCATGTTCGACTGATAGCTATCGATATGAGATCAAAACATTCCTCTAGAGGAATGGTGTGGGCGAGTGGGTCGACCGCATGGGCGATGAGCTGGTCGGAAACGGGGAGATCCGATAAGCGTCACGATGGGGCAGATCTTATGTAATCGTACCTCCCATATCATATCAAGCAAAATTCTGAATTCGCTTGCAGAGGCCAGATCATCCCGTTTTCATCTTACCATGATCATGCCCGCACTTCCTCCCGTCAATACCATGAATGGCCTCAGAAAACCATCAATGCATATAATATCTGTCTCCAATTTGAGAAATCAGCCCTAGCCGATGATTCACGCAAGAGTACTAGGCTGCTTGCTGCCTGATTGTCCATCCCCCCTCCCCGCGCTTCATGAAGTCGTCAGGGCGATACATTCGCACACACAAGACAACGCGCAGTTGTCCCAACTCGGGTTGACCATCATCGACTATTTCATCCGTTCCTGTAAGTTCTTCGTCAAGGTGGATAAGTAATAAGCCTACTAGCACTAGCCTTGATATGGAACTGGCTCTCAGTCAACGAGCTCAAAGGTCGAACACATCTGTTTCCCTGGTCATTCGAATGTATCACCCTGACGATAGAAGTCAGGCGGCCCAAAATTCCATCAAGAGGCAAAGGATCTCGTGAGTAGTGACATGCGTAGTATTACTCTCATTGGGAACTCACATTTCCCTGACTTCTCCAGCCTGGCCCTTGTCCGCGACGTGTTTCGCTGTGTGCTAGTGACTGGCAAGTACGACCTGAACACCGTCTCTGAGGTTTCGGCTTCCCCCGACGAGATTGGGAATGCAGACCCCGTGTACACACACATTGTGCCAGAATCCACGCATTTCAACATATCCGACGAGGACCCTAGCAACATAATGGTGTGACTTTTGTCTGTTTTTTTCCTTCACCATAGAGGAAGTCCTTATTCCTGCCAGCTCCACTATGCCACTTTAGTGTTGACAGTTTTGCAACACTGCGGTTATCATGTTACAGTCACCAACTCAAAAGCTGTCCAACACTGGGCAATCTGGTCGATGGTGCCAAAGTACAGACTCTTTACAATGTCATGACAATGGAAGCCAATGTCCACGACTGGTTCACTCGCTTGGACATCTAGTTCGTTCGAGAAGACTGCGCATGTCGCTAATAATACTTTACCTGGCGGTCTAACTGATTCCACTACCACCCACAATGTCATGAACTGTTACAAACTACAAAATCTTTATCCCGTGTACCAACAGCCGTTGCCGATGGGGGTCCCTAGATAACGAGAATCTACCCGTTCCATCCGAGACACTTCTCGCCCTGCATGCCACTTGTGACAAGGTCGCGCATCTGGGGCGGCCGATTCAATACGTTGATAAGTTTGATTATGACCCCAATCAAGAACGCATTATAGCGAAGACCCTCAATGACGTTGACGGTAAGGGCGTCTACATCTATTTCGATGCACCTAGCGCCCCCCAGGTCTCCATGAAAGCCGCTATGTTTAGCATGCGCTCGCGAGGGATGTTGGCACCTATTCTCAAAGGGGGCTCACCTTGAGTGGAAATTCAGAGTCGTCGAAGTTTTGTGAACTCGTTGTGGACCAACTCTCAGATGAGCAGGATGTTTAAGAGAATATCCTGATTCTTTCCTAAATACGAGGGAGCGACAGCCTGAGGAATTCGGAGGAATTCGGTGTATAAAGTCCCGTGCCCGAGACGACAAATGTGGATCATGGTGTAAGTTTTCTTCTATCCTGTTCGTGTTTTGTACTGAAAAAAATCTGGTATTTCTTATGTGTTGTAGACAGAAACAGGGCTGCGCAGGAGGCTCCATATGCTCTGGAGTTCTGTGTGATAGATTTCCGACTGCAATGTAGTCAATGGCGACGAGTAAATATCTCAAACCCGGGCTATATGCAGACACTATTAGTCACACTTCGTCTCATTCAGAGCGGTAATACACCTCGAAAAATCATCCGACCACGCCAGAAACAACGATTGTTGACGTTCATAGCCCTTCTGTAGAAGATGGTGGGATTTCAGACCACGTAGTCTTCTGCTGCATCTATGACCACGCACCAGCTGTTAAGATGTAAATCTGTTAATGATTTATGCATGATACGAGTACTATGCGTACAAACTAAATTCGATTCCGGTACAGCAAAGGTTGAAGATGGTTCATCATTATGCACCATGTAAAATGAGAAACGGTTCGCACAATTGTTTGGTCTAGCATATTATACAGGCTAGTTAGCGTCGACTGCAAACTTTGAGGGCATTGCGAGAGTTCCTGTATAGAGTTCAATGAGATATATATACTTCGCGTCGATGTTGCAACTTACTAGTGGTGGAAAACGTGATTCCATCCCGTGTCGCATGGTATACACAATCATAGAATGCAACCAAGGATCAAGGGAACTACTAGCGAAGCTCGTCAGAGAATCCTTAAGTGAGACAAATAAAGACAAATCCGAAGGACACTGATCCCCTTCACACAAAGCTTTGCGAAGATGAGCCAACCACTCTGTGGAAGCGTACTGTAATGGTTCTTTTTCAAACAAGAATTCCGTCTTATTTTTCGTCATGATATCTAGGCAACCAATGGCAATGGATATGTGACGAATAGGGGGATCAATGAAATAGGTGCCCGAACGTGCCGGGATCATCAAGAAGTCACGTAAAGATGTGTGGACCAATTGCACTGGATCGATGTCAGATTCGGGGATGAGGAGGATGGACTGAATGCTAAGGAAATATTCTACAAGGGTTCTTGGGGGAATATTCAAGAACGTGGCAAGTTCCTTGATAGATAGTGTATATCGAAGGAGGAGGAGGACGCCCATGATCCGTACGAGCTCGGCCATAGCGACAGGTGTACCACCCGGATATAAAGCATTCGAGAATACCTGGGAATACAAGTTGTCTAGCCCATGTGCTTTCAAAGCGTCCAGAAGTTTCTGGTGCGGCATGCCCCCCTTTTCACTAACAAAATCGACGAATGTGGACGAGTAGATATAGGATCCCGCTGCTTTTTTGACAAGGACATCGAGGATTTCTGGAGAAGGCCAAGGCTGTGGCACCTTATCCATAAGCATAAGTTTGCGATTCGCATGATATATCCTTTTGAATTCGGACTGGAAAAACATTCGAATATCCTCGGTGGCATCGAAATTTTGTAGTTTCAGTTGAAGTATAACGCCTTCGGCGTCTGGGGTTTCGAGTTTTTTACGGAGATGTTCTTCAATCCTGCTGGTGATGAATAAACGAAAAGGGACTTCACTTTTCCTGGCCCCACAGGCATCAATTACGACGTCAATGAACTCCTCCATCGATACTCCGCCTTGACGTATACACTCGTCTAAAGCGTCGATAACTATCACCACTGGCAGGCGTTTCCGATTGCATACAATAATGGGTTCCATGATCAGTATGTCAAACTGGTAGTTAAGGGGAGTATTCAGAATATAGGGTTCTTTGTCAAGGGCATTTTTCAACAATGGCTCCATGCCTCTGACTGTTGACGAAAGCTGAAAAGCCAGGGTTGGAATAAGGTGCGACATTTTTTCGCGATGTCCCATTCCTCTGAAGAAGAAGAAACTGGCAGCGAGTCTCTTCTGGTCAGCGCACCATTCCGCTATGGTCTGCGCTATGGTTGATTTTCCAAATCCAGCTGGGCCGTTGAGCCAGCAGATTGGTTGGCTAGTTTCTAGTTGGTCCACCCATTTTTGGATCGTCGTAAGGACATCCTTCCGAGTGCCTTGCAAGCATCGGGCCCTTTTTCCAGCGCGATCGCGATACGAAGCGTTGACTGGTTGTAGCAGTTCGTACAAACTTGGCATGGCTGCCACTAATGATTCATTTCATAACTAAAGGCTAACAAGTGTCACAAAACGTTGTACTTGCCATGAGGACCATTCATGATGTTGTTTACAACATGATTCTGACTTCCAGAGATTTCGTTGAAAATACTATGTTGAACGTGGGTGTTTGCGGAGTGGTTGAACATGCCAGCACTGGACCCTGATAAAAAGGTATTCTGTTCGATGTGGTGAGGATTACCGGATGTTTCAGTGTTGCGTTGGGGCTGTGGAATATGGGGATTAAGTCGGTTGTGGTCAGACATTGTGGATAAGAGAACGACAACGATGAGGGGTGGGATGGGGGCATGGGAATGAACATAAGTATAAGTAGCACAAGTTGCACTCGTCGCAGGTTTGCAAGTGTCAACCTAGTGCCCTATGTACCAGTGGCACCTTCCACGAAAAACCGGTCATAGGAAGGAAGGTCTTCTTGGCACATTTGTGAAGCCCAGTGATAGAAGTACTTAACGTTATATCGTTACTTAACACTGGTAAGGTGACTCTCAAACAAGTAATGAAGGGCATCAAAGCTCTGCTACGGGCTCGCGTGGTTTGTACCGTTCCTTCATCATATACTTACACACTACCCCCCGAATGAAAATAATCATCCATCCTTGGACCCCTTGATTGCATTCGTTTTCGTCGGTGTGTATTCTTCGATTGTCAAATAGTATCAAAAACGTGTCGATATGAGAACATTTAGAAGATGCGAAGAATATGTAGGTTCTTCACTGAAACTAAAGACATCCCCAAGAGGCGAGAGCTAACACTAGCTCAAAATTATGTGGTGATGATGGTCGATATTAGTTACGGGAAGTGGATCTTCCAGGATGAATGCCTCGGATATTTGTTGATTGATCTGAATGGATGAAGATAACATTGCATTGATGCATTACATGCGATATTTGATCTCGGTAACTATTTTGATGCATCCACGAATCGTTTCTCAGCTTCTTTGAAGTTGATAACGTTCCAGACTGCGGTAAGGTACTATTGTATATTTTAGTAGTGCTCTAAACGAAGAACTTTCAAGGGTAACTTACATCGGCTTTAACATTGTGGTACTAAAAGAAGGAAGAGTCAATAACACGATCGACTTGAGCGAGTATATACATACCTGCAAGTAGAAAGCCTATAGCGCCGGATATATTAGTTTGGATCCATGAGAAGTAGGACACCAAGACTTACATGTTCCCAGATATCCACACCAATGATAGGAGTGTGGGCTATAACCAGATAAGGGGCCAGTTACAACAGAAAGAAAAGCACGTACAGATCAAAGGATCCTGGTTCGCAGTAGTGACAATTTCAAGCATTTTGGCAGACGAATTGTAACCCTAGACATGCCAAACGTTTACTCTGATTAATCTAGTGGCAGCTCTACAAGACACTCACCAACCAGCCCCAGCCACTCCCTTGGATAGCAGCGGTGGTTGTGTTGAATTTTTTCTTGAAAGCGTCAACCGAGCCAAAGTCGCTTTCGATGGCAGACTTTAGAGGACCGTCCGTGAGTTTTCCACCATCAGCGTTGTTCGGAGCGAGGTTGGTCCAGAAAAGCGAGTGGTTGATGTGGCCTGGCAAGCAACACAAATGAAATCAGAGCCCAAGTGCGTCGACTTTGAAAACTGTACATACCTCCTCCGTTAAACTTCAAAGCAGACTGCAGAGCAATCCTCTCCGTCGTCGAGTCGGACTTGGCGTAAGCCTCCTCCGCCGCGTTGAGACCGTTGACATAGGTTTGGTGGTGCTTGGTGTGATGCAGCTTCATAATATTCTCCGAGATATACGGTTCCAGAGCCTGACAGAAAGGGGCTGTTAGTTGCTTGAAAGACTTGCGATAATACAAACCATACATTATAAGCATAAGGCAGGTCGGGCAAAGTGTGCAACGACGCGCTGGACGCTGGAGCAGCGAGCGAGCGGGACAGGGCTGGACGCAAGACGGTGCGGGCAATGGAGAACATGATGGTGGTTGCGGTGAGAGAAGAGATATTCGTCTGGGAGTATATGAGCTCAAGAAATATAACAAAACGTCATGTCATCCCAATAGCATAGGGTTAGGGTCAGACCCGGCTCAACCCGAGTCCGCTTGTGGCCACTTAGGTAAAGAATGATTCTGCAGCAGCACCACTGGATCTACAAAAGCACATTGTTTTCTTTCAGAATACCCAGAGTTATCCCCAGAAAGCTTTCTTCAGCCCCACTTTAGCAGCGAAACACACACAGAATGACGGGAGTCCAGTTATCAGCAGAAGACTGCAGGCGAATACTACACCTGCCCGATCGGGTTACCTTTGCTGCCCTTTGGCGCGTGGCTCATCTGCACCAACATTCCTGACTCTCACCTCACAGGCCTCGCCGCTAACTCAAAGTGTGGTGCACCGATACGATACATAGAACCCTCTTGCATCTTTCACATTTCTCCCTGCAGTAACAGGCGTATCACATTGCCTCAGTTCAACCACATGTCCACAGTCCACATGCCCTGCAAGGGCCCGGGATCGCAAGGTGTCTGCTCCAAGTAAGTAACAACTTGAACTTTCTTTCACCCTAGAATCTATTCATCATCAAATAGCGACTACCAAATGGCCCATTTCTCACTATATTTGACATCGGTATCGATAATCGAGTAATACATGCAAGCTCGCTCATTGTACATTCGATATTATCTAAAGGCTAACAAAAAAAAGAATAGGAAAGAAAAGTCGAAAGGTAATAATTATCAATCAAGTAGCGGAAAGAAAAATAAAAGCTATTCATTCAGATCTCAAGCAAAGCAACTAACGCAAACAATAATCCTCATCTACCCCATCCGCTCGTACTCCCACCCCTGCCCCTGATGCGAGGTGGTCCTGCCCAACCTCTCTCTCGTTCCCAGTCAGTTCGGTCACGATCAGCTGAAGGCCCTCTTGGGATGTACTGCGACCCACTAAAGGACCGACTTGGCGAGTATACAGGTAAGTGACTAGAGTGGCTACTAGCGCGCAATGCACGCGGTCCACTAGGGACGGGACGAGAGATCGCAGCAGGGATGGAGTTCGAAATCTGAGACCTAGAAAGCGGTGGTGGTGGTGGCGGTCTACGGGAAGGAACTGACGATACCGTAGTGGGGGCGAGCCCAGGTGAAGAAGGCGGAACATGGAAGGACCGAGGCTGTGTAGGTGGAGTATGAGAACGTGGAAAGAAAGATGGCTTTGGAGGTGTGGTACTAGGAATCTCGCCGTCTTCGTGTGAGGGTCGACGTGTTAGTGGAACGGATTCCGCACCAGGAGGCGGTGGACTGGGAAGGAAAGCAGAAGCGTGGTCAGATTCGACTTTCTTAGCGTGCCCATTCAATGGAGGCGGGGGAGGCTCAGGTGGAAATGTCAGAAGGTGATGTACCCCATCATCGGTAGCAACCATGCCACTCGGCATGGCTTCCTCAATGACCTCCACTTTCGCAAGCAACGATGCAGAATCTGCGGATCTCCCATTCGATTGCACGTGTCCGTCTACCATGCTTGAGTGTGGCGACGAAGGCGAAGGCGATGGAAGTCCCGAACTTCGAGGTGATAACGTCAACCGGTGCTGTGGACTGCGCAAGACACCATCGACCGAACCCTTCATAACGGATTCCCCGGCCGAGTGATTCGACACATGTTCTTGTTCTTCATGGTCTTCCATGCCTGGAAGATCATGTTGTCCATTCATACTACCCTCCGAGTCAACCTCCCTGTCATTTATCTTAGGACTAGGCGAAGAACTCAGCGCGGAAGTAGATGGCGTTGGAGTGGGTGATGATAATGTTTTTGCCATCTCTTCTTCACGCTGCTTCTTTTTCCGCAGAGCAAAATCTTTCAACGACATCTTTACCTTGGGCGGAGGTGGAGGCGAAGATGGTGCTACAGATGGTGTGGAAACATTAGATTCATCTTGGATTAAAGATGGTGGGTCAGGCACATTCGCTGCTTCAGAGACATTGTTGATGGTGTCAGCTTTGGTATCAGGCGACATTGGAGAGTCATAAGAAGGCTCAGGTTCTGACAAAACACCAGACATCTCAGCAGGAACATCCGGCGCTTTGCCAGGCAAAACAGCTAAAACCTCTGGAGAAGCAAACCGCACCCTATGCATTTCAGAAAGTGTAGCTCCTGGCTGGTTGAAGGCGGGTGTAGCAGAAGATCCTGGTGAGGCTTCTCGGGGCTGCTCGATATGGTCATCGTCTAGCCGACTAGGGAATGAGGGCCTGGAAATGGATGGGGTAGGAGGAGGTGATGAAAGTTGCGAAGGGTGAGATAGAAATGAACTTTGAGGAAAAGCAGAGCCTGAAACACCAGGGGAAAGGAGTGATAATTTAGAGAAAGAAGTCGAAGGTGAAGTTTGTGAAATGAAAGGGGAATCACTTGTGGAGCTTGGAGTTCTGGAATCCATAGAAGATATAGTGGTTGGGTCTAGCGACGCAGGCATCGGAGGTGGTGGCATTTGCTTGTGGTCTTAATACACCAGGAAATGAATACCAAAGGAGAAAGAGAAGCCAATTAATGAACGTACCCAAATGATCGACATCCATCTTGTCATTATCAACCACAGCGCCACTGACTGCACTGCCATTGCTCATAACACTCCCACTAGGAGATGCTGGGCTTCTCCATTCCCTAAGCGCCTCCGAGTTACGATGATTCCATCGTTTCCGCATTTTTGGAGGCATACTCTCTTCTTGCTGAGAGACAAGGGTCGCGTCGTCGACGTCCATTGCGGCGCTGAGTGAACTAGGACCAGGTGAAGATGCAGGAGATGGATCAATCGCAACCTGTTCTCGTGAACGCATTTTGTTGAGGCCTACAAAATAATCACATCAGTCACCATATACAACAATATTTCGATGATTTGGACTCACGTTCAGACGGCAACACGCTGCCTTCGGTCTGCCCATCAAAAGGAGATGAAGGCAATGCTTCAGCCTGTTCAACGTCTGACACACCATTCGTCACTGCACGACCTTTGCCTTTCCTATCTTTCTTCTTCTTCGGGGATGGGGACGCAGTTGCTGGTGATAGGGTGAGCACGGGCAGTGACGATTTCTTGCGTGCAGGTGACGAATACGAACTGTTGTGCCCGTTAGCGTCAAGAAATCTTGATGGCCCAGGCAATGGAGTCGACGAAGATGATGGGGTAGATGAGGACTGTTCTTCCGATGGTACCATCTCCACACCACTCATCCCACTCGATAATGGGATTTTCTCTCTCGTTTTGAATCCTCTCTGAACACCTACCAGAGGACCCAAATCAACCTTTCGCTTCTCGTTATTCTTCCCATCATTTTCCTTCGGATTACGAGTAGAGGGTGAATGAGAGGGTGGTATCTCGCCGTCCACGAACGCTGCCATTTGAGTTAATGCGCAATCCCTAGCCTTCGAACCGCACGCACAAGTCGTGAACGTCGAACTCAGAGCATGAAGTATCGAGGTCATTTGATGACGTAGATGGAGAAGCTGGGTGGAACTAGAACATGATACCGGGGATAATGTCAGAGGTATGGTACTAATATTCCAATAATCAAAACAATGAATGAGGAAGGATGGGTTACTTACGGGAACATATGCGGACTCTCTATGAGAGCTGGCAAACTATGAACGGCGTTACCGTCATCCCATTCCCAACCTAAAACTACTTCTTCATTAGCCTTGAGATCCCTCAACGCGAAGACGCCAAAAGTCAAAGTTTCTTCGTCCATCGGTCGTTCATCACCCTTGACTTCCTGGCGAAGTTCGGTGCGAGCTTTGTCGTCTTTTGCTTGTGGGCATAGTACCGGCCGAAGCACAGCATTTGGTCTACATCCGCTCCGCACAAATCTGGACTTGTCTCCGGTTATCCGGGAGTCAAGAGTAACGTCTAACGGAGGGCCAAGTAGATGTACAAAGGGTTTGGGCATGCCAAGATGAGCGTAGGCGTTCAAAGGGTCAGCGAGGTAAGCAGCTGAAGGTATTATAGTCGATGTAAAGGGGGCAATGAGATGTGCAGACGAGATCGGCATGGTAGTATGCAAAGCATAAGAGGGTGGCCTAACAGAAGGATTAGTGTTGGGCGAAAGTGTTGGATGAGAATAGGACGAAGTTGGGAGGGGTTGTATCGCGGTCTGGGAGGGTTGTGGTAAAGGACTTTCAGACAAACGGATTGGTGTTGTGTCGTGAGGTGAAAGCGACGCATTTGATTCCAAAGCAGTAACACCTCTCCAGTGTTGGGCTTGTCTACGTAGTTTAGCGTGGGTTTCTTGATGTGGGATGATGTCTTTGGTGATAGGTACGTAGCTCAAAGCCCAGGGTTCGCCGATGTCGACATGTTCGTCTTCTGTGGGTTGATGGACGTTGATGGAGGACCTGCGTTTTCTTTTGGAGTTGCTACCCTCTATTGCTGCTGCACTGGCTCTGCGCTGCTTCCTCTCAACGCCTGGGCTTGGTTTTCTCTTTTGTTTCTCTTGTGCGACCTCAAGAGCCTGCTTCTGCCTAGCCTTCTGCAGCTTTACAGCCTTCTCTCTGTCGACAGGCCGTGGAATGCAGACCCAACATCGCCACTCCTCTGGTACCCCGCCCTCGACGATATCAAAACAAGCAGCGTGACACCATCTTGAGCAGTCGTCGCAAGCAATAGAGAAGCCATCATCATAGGAAAAACCACAAATACAGCTGATAGCGTCTGAGCTTGCAGAATGAGATTCGTCTGGGACTGTCAGGGAGGTTGTGCTTTGTTTTCGTTTCAAAGGGACGATGGCAGGAGGGGGTGCGTTGAGAGGAGATAGACCCAAGAGACCAAGGGCAGCCTCGGTCGCATCGCTATTCATCAGCCTAAACGACAACCAAAAGTTATAGCCAGGACGGACGGACGACGACGACGACAATGGCAACGACGACAACAACAAAATGTTTACTAGCACTCGACAATTCGTGAGGGAAAAGCTAATGCGCTCGACCACCCAGACAGAAAGCCAGCGCGGGCAAATATACAATAACATTTCAGCCACCACCATCTTACGCAGCAACAGCACTGGCCACGCTGGCAGACCATTCTCATCATACACCTGGCTGTATACCTTCTCATGCAACCGCACTCTAGCATTCGTACCCCACACCGGCCCTTCTGCTGGCCCTACAGCACGTATCTGAAGTCACGGTTCTGCACATCAGTCATGTCCAAATATTCCTACATTATACATCAGCACGGACAAAATAAAATCAGGACGTCCTCGCACCTTGTCGACCTTCATTTGCACCCTCGCCCCATCGCCGCTAACACACTCGATAAAGAACTCGCTATCCGTCTCGACTACAGGCTCAGCATCTCGCCTCTTGTTCTCCTGCCAGAGAAGATATCGAATGACCAGGAGCAAAATGGGGCAAATTAAGTAGCAAATTCCGATCACTATCCACGGAATATGGTTACTACAGGTTGAACAGAATATTAGCTCAAGCTGCCGACGATGCAAGGCACAGGAGTACTGGCACGATACCGATTGATCCTGCACACGTACCGCGGTTTGTACTTGGCTTCCCACATGAATGGCCCCGCTGCGTTCCCGACACCATACCCAATCAGTATCATGGCATTCATAGTGACCTGTAAGTAGCAAATGAATCCAGGTACGCAAAGCGAAGTGGACGAATCCATGAGTGTACCCTTTTGGTATGCCCAGCAGTGATACTCGTTATCCAGGAGAGAGATAACACGAAGCCCGTGATACTTATGCCTGGAAGAATCGAACGACCACTGGATTAAAGGACGACGCGAGTAGGTTCGAGTGAATTACCTGTCAGCCATATGCCGAACAACAAGCCCACCTCATCGCTCCAGGGCAAAAACTCGATCAACAAAACGCCCAAGAGGGGAGGCATGTAATAGATGGCGCCAGTGTACGCACGCCCATTGACCACTCGAGCAGCGATGATCACTCCTGTCCATATAGTCGTAATCTCAACGAACCCATCTACGCAAGTGAGCAGAGTGGTCTGCAAGTCACTAAATCCAAGCGAGGAGATGATTATTTGGCGTTGGTTAGTGAGGGAATTAGGGATGTTGTCGAGGGCTGCAAAGAGTGTAAAGAGCCATGTCTTAGGGTCCGTCAGGGCTTCCATCATCCTTGTGTTCTTTCAGTTGGTAATTGTAAGTGTTACATATTGATAATACGATGCTCACTGTTCTCTCTTGAAATACTTATTCTCTACACCAGTTTGATTTTCCTACACATATATGTTCAATTGCCACTTATCTCAAGCCAGCTTTTACGATTGTCTGACCTTTAGTCGATGAACGGCAATCACGCGCTCGTCAGGCTTGAGAAACCACGCATTGGTAGGAGAGTCGGGAAAGAAGAACCTAAAGCTATATTGAAATGCTTTATAGATATGAAGGAAGTATCGCGCGCACCAATACACCACTGCTGTGACAAGAGTCATTGCCCCTGTAATAACCACTAGCCTATAAGAGCAATTAGTCTGTCAATGGGAGCGAGGACAATAAAGAGCTGTTACCATTGCCACGGTTCGAAACTTGTTGTGTGGATATGCAAAGATCCGAAACTTATAAAGCCAGTTATGATTTGTGCTACATTTCTTTCATGAGTCTACCAAGAATCACCGCTTATCGAGAACAGCCCACCTGCCCCATTCATCAAGTCTACGCCAGAGTAAGAAATGGATGAAATGTGAATGTATGACTCGCTTACACCAGTAACCGATTCTCAACGTTTGCTCATTGCGAGTATAAAACATAGAGCTGACAATCATGAATCCTGCTGTGATGGAACCTTCACACGCGCCCATGATGAAGCGGACAACGAAGAGACCAGCAAAGTTCTTGCACGCTGCATGGCTGCATAGACAAATACCCCAGACGAGTATGTTAATGCTAGATGTCCATACATTCAGCGAGACGAAGATCGTAATAGAGTTGATACGACGAACCTCATCCACTTTCCGACCGGAAATTTTTGTAGAGCAAGATTTTGGGGGTATTCGAAGACAAGGTAGCTAATGTAGAATATAGTTCCGAGCCTATATCAAGAAACATGATGAAGTTGAGATAACCAGTTTTACCATGAAAGCCAAAAAGATACCAATTGTACCTGTCCTTGCGAATTAATCAATTAAATGCGACTGTAAGCGATGAATACTAGACGCACTGGTTTGTGGACAGGTGAGTAGCTTGCCTTGTGTCGAGCAATGAGTACATGGTCTTTCATATTTATTATATGCCTTACTCGATTCCAAGAATGGCTGCACTGCCGAGCGTTGTTTTGTCCATGTATTGGATCCTGTTCATATTTTGAAAGAAATCCTGCACCATCTATCATAATGCTAACCAATATAATACTGGAAGAAATCAGCATAGATCGGACATTTACTTATACAACATCACAACTCACTGCACATCATAGGGAGAATATTGAGGTCGATTTTTCTCCTGTATCGATTCAATAGTTAGTTCTCACTACTAATGTCGTGAGCTTGTATTGCACATACCTTATCCGGAGAGATTCAGAGTGATCTATGTTCGTGGACAGCCCTGCAACAAGTTGGGCGCCAGTATCCACCTCTTTGCTGGACACCGAGATACCATGTACTTGCTTCTCCTGTTTGACATTGCCTTGCACCGTATCGTTAGCATAAGAATCGACCCCTAATCTTGTAGACATGTTGATGTTGCAAGCAAGCCTGAAAGTCTCAACTAAAGAGCAGTAGATACCTGCTCGCCAGGCCTTATATAGCCATCGCAGGCCGATAAGTCTCCTGGGCGCTGGATAACCCTGTAGATAAAAACATATGAGCGATTAGATAGGCCCATAATAGAATGCGAATTCGACACCTGCCACGCCTGCTTGATGATCATGTTAGTTTTGGAAACGTTGCGGTAGGAAGCGTGAGATGCCGGCTCAAGCTGTGTCAGCGCGATGGAAGTATCATATCTTACCAGATGCAGTGGGGTTTGGAAGTAGTGAACAGGAGCTGTATCCATGAAATTGTACAATTTCCAGTTCATAAAATAGTATAAATAACAGCATTCATAAGCATCATCGTATTATTATCCACGTAGAACACTGAGCAAATACCTAGAAGAAACATTAATTAGCTGGCCATAAGAAACACTGATTAGCTGGCCATACTACTGACATCTCCGTCTACAGCTGACTGTAGCTTCACTTAGACTTGGACTTGGACGCAGCGATTTCTGGAGAATCCACAGGTATTGCCATCTCTTGACCGATCTCCTTCGTTAGCTGCACTAAATCGAGGTCGTTGCGCTTGAATATATCCGCGATGATATTGTCAACCTCATCGGTGACCGGCAGAGGAGAACCATCAGATGCGATAGTTTTGACGTGGATAACTTCTATCATCTGTTCAAAGACATCCTGCTTCCCCATTGCTTCTAATTTTTTCTAAGATTAGGTGAGTTAGAAATGTGTCTTTTGATATTTTAATTTTTTCTCTACCTTAAGCAGGTCCATCATACCAGTAGTAACTTGAGCGCTCTGCTTTCTCCATTGCTCGAGAGTCACCCACCCATCCTTCATTTTCATCCACACAGTAAGCTTCCATGTTTCCGGTTTTATCTCGCCGGTTTTCGCGAGTGCATTGGCAGCGGACATAGCTCGATGGTCGACAAGCCACTCGTCCCAGGGCATACCATAGCTTGGTTTCTTCAGCTCAGCAGGGTCGATGGCGCGGCGCAGTACTTCGTCTATGTATGCGTTCCTTTGTACATCGGGTTGAACGACAATGTTTGCGACAGTAGCAGATGAAGGTTTGCGGAAAACGATTTCGGGATGCGGAAATTTGTGCTGCAAGCGAAGCATAGCAAGGCCAGTGACAAAGTCATATACAGTAGGCCAAAGTACGAAGAACAAGAATATATCAACACAGACATGACCCGCTAACGTCGTCAAGGGCATTGAAGGAGGTGCTGCCGGCCTAGACATCATCCTTGAATACAGGAAGGCGATACCATAGCGAGACACGCCATATATGATGCGGCGAGCGAGTAGAATTGACCAGACGACGTTTAAAATGAATAATGATAGAAAATGGCCTCTGGTAAACAAACGCGGAATACAATGTCAGAAAGAGCCACGAACATGGGACCAAGGCTATTGCACTCACTTTTTACCTGATACAGGAGTCTCGTCCAAATGGGTGATATAAATCTCGTTTGAGGCATCACATTTGGATAGGAAAGCGGAAACTTTACTCGGGACAGACTGCAAAGCGGTCATGCTCGATACAGGCCACCTACCAAAGGGATCAGTGAAACAATAGTGTAACTACCGAACGCTGGTTTGTGCAGGATTTGACAGGAACTCACTGTTTGAACTTATTAAACTAGCTTGAAGCGCTAAAGGGTGATGCTATGGTCCACCGTGACTGCAAGACGCACAATATCGCACGGCCACGGTGCCTGTGGACATTACATGCGGACTCGGATATAAGTGTGGACGCAGAATCCAATTCCATCTAAGTATTATTACGCAGTACAAGCAACACACAGTACTACTAAATAGTTTTAAAAACCAAAACAAATGAAATAGTATGTACGACAAAACATATATGATTCATATAGGAACTACAACTATGATACGAATGAGCAGATTTCATCGAATAGTGCATTTATCAAAACTGCTCTGCTTCCTCTCCACTTCTCCTGGGGCGGACCATACTTTATACATCTTGATGTTCTCCTCAGAAGGGCTTAGCGTAAAAATAGAGCACCCGTCGGGTGACGTGCATCCATGAGCAACTATGCCGTGGTGCGCGGTTACACTGAGGATTCTTTCGCACGATGGATATGAGTGAACTGTCAGCGAGTTGGTGAGAGGTGATGGCACAGCACGTAATTGAGAAGGATCTGAGGTCTGCGAGGAGGGTGCCCACGTTGATCCATGAGTGCTCAAAAGCTCTTTGCAATGAGGCGACCAATGTAACGAGGAAACTGAGGTGTAGAGAGAAATTTGATGGAGAGGTTCAGGGTAAGGTGTCGATAAGGGTGTGTTGATACTCCATATCTGAATTGTTCCATCTGGGGAGCTACCGCCAGTGGCAATCATATCGCTTTTCCAAGGACACCATGCTAAAGCCTAGAGGGAAATAAAGTAAGTGCCCAGCCAAAAAAAAAAAAAAAAAAAGGAAAACACAGCCCGTCGTACCTTAACCGGACCGCCGTGCTTCATTTTATTTTTCTTTTCACCCTCAGTTAAGATACCGTTAGCTCTCATGTCCCAGATATGTACGGAGCCCGAGTTATCACCAGTAGCCATGTACTTGCCATTAGCATGCCATTTGATACCATGAACCTTACCTTTATGACCTTCGAGCTTGAGGACTTCTCCTTCCGAGCGTGCATCAAACAAGGAAATACAGCCATCTTGCCGCCCAACAGCAAGCAAGTCTTCGTACCAATTCATTCCGCCCATCCCCTTCCCTGACCTGGGCCACGCTACTATTTGTTTGCGCTCTTCAGAATCCCAGAGTTGGATGGTACCTTTGACCGTACCAAGCGCTAGAGTATTTGGTCGATTTGGGCCAGCCCAATCAATACTATGTAGCAAACCGTCATCTGCTGTCCCGCCACAGAGGCGCACGATGGCTCGCGTGTTAAGATTCTGATAATATACATCGCATTTACATGCTACAGCAATGCAATTCGTGGATGACCACGCCATTGGAGATGCAAAACGATCCCGGGGAATCCCCGGTCCATCAAGCGCCAGGAGAAACTGTTTTCGTTTGCCTAGGTTGGCTTTTGCGGATAACATCGATACGTGGAGGGGCGTGTGAAAGAGTTCAGAAGCACTTTTGCGAAGTAGTGAGTATACTTTGGCGTCTGGACTGGACGAAGAGCCCTCAACAGAATAATTTAATATGCGATCATCCACAAGACCAAAAGACTTGGCGATGCGATTTGTCCGAGGAGTGGTATTCAGAGGGATGGCGAGATTAGGACGACTGGGGATAAAACGATCTGCCTACAGAAATTTTATGATAAAACTAGATTAGTCGTGATGACTACTTACAGGGCTATCTTGAAGTGCTTCCGGGTCGTCTTCAAAGTTCAAATCTGGAGAGAAATCAGAGGATGGGACAGACATGCGTCTCCGTTTTCTGGCAGAGTAAGATATCGGTAAAGACGCTCTGGATGGCGTTCGCTTTGCAAGTGGGACGGCCGTGCAGTCGCGAACAGGTGTACTATATGGTCTGTTCCTCCAGGTCAGTGAGAAAGTAGTGAATTCCGCAGAGGACGTACGATGATGCCATGACTCCAGAGAAGAACCTTGAGGCCTTCTTTCAAAGAAGTTATAGAACACTTTATCAACAATTTCAATACAAATGGAGGCGCTAAGGTGGCTTGAAATCGTCAAAGTGCTGGATCTATCAGTGTTGTTCTGTTGCAGTGGCACTGTTCTTCCTATAGTTGTTTGGATCTAAAGCCTTTGCCAAACAACCGCAAAGCTGTAAATGGCCACTCGTCCGAGTCACACTGGTAACCGTGACGCCAATGTTTCTGCTGTGCCTTTGTTACCATTGAGAACCCTAAAAATACTGGTATTCAATTTCCAATTTATTGTTTCCATACGCGCTATCGACCTCCAACTGATCGTGAATTGGCCCGGAAGCTGGTTAGATATAAATTCATTTTCAATTCAATTGGCCACTGGATATTTCAAGTTTGAGGCAGGACACGTTTTATTACCCCCGTCAAGATTTCATATTTGAAAAATTAACTGTTGTTATGCGGTACGAAGTGTGCCTTTTTCATTTACATAGCTAACCTATGCCGAATATATTCCCGGCAGTCCTAATCTATATGAGTCCGAGCCGCACGTCTGTCTCTCAACATATGACAGTGAATACAACTCATTGTGCTCAAAGTCCGTTCTCTACCTATTTGTGCATGCATCCTTATTAGTATTGCTACAGGAGGATTCCCGGAGCAAACTTGCTGTCGGTAGTATGGTACGTTCCGTTGTGAAAGCTCGAATCCACGATGATGACGTTTTGGGCCAATTGGCAACTCTTGAATTACCGGACCGTTCTCTAAATTCTCTAAATGTGTTTTGCTAAGACAGCTCGGTGGTTTTTGTGCACCGTCTTACAGATTGAGCCCCTATCCCTTTAGATCACGTACATTTCCAAGGTATACTCCAAAAGTCGTATGATTTTATTCACTTTCGGGCTCGGCGTTGGATGATTCAGGCCTTCGCCTCGGTCTCTTCACTGATCCGTCCCTCACTAAAACGGCAAAACAATTATTAGTTCTTCTCAGGATGTGAGCGGACTGTGTTTCACTTGAATGTCAGTACTATGGGCGCTGATTTGCATGACAATACTGATGTCTTTTGAGCTAGCATTCTGACGGAAGAGCACTGTCCCGTATCAACGCAATCACACGGGTTATACCGACTACGTCGTACGCAGTGCTGGCGTCAGGTAACTAGGATCCCAACGGCTCTTTTGATCGTCAGAGTACTCGAATAAAGTACCACTGCCCAACACTCTTCCGGGAAGCTTCCGGTCCGCGATACTGCTGTCTCCAGCAGATCAAGAACGGCTGACGCCATGATATGATCTGAGTTTGAAGAATGTACGCACCTATCCATGTGTTCCGTCAACCCCGCTCAAGTCGATGATTGGGCAATCTAATGTGGCAGTGCCACTTTATTCTTACTCCTCTTCACAACAAGACTGTTGAAGTAGCACTGATAGCACTGCCGCCTCTCTTTTGTTCTTGTATGAGTGCCACTAATGCTAATTGCGGTAGGTTTCAGTTACGCCCAGCTGCAAGCCGTGTTCGCTGCCATTCACCATCTATCCTTTTTCACCCACAATCAAGCCATTCCATACCACCACACGTGAAACAGGTCTCAGATCATGCGAGAATGATATAGGTGCGTTATCTGAATACGCTAGAATATACCGTAGTGACTCATGATAAATATGTCATGATGATGCAACTTTGAAACATGAGATCTGGACAGTGGCAGAGATGGAGATTTTGCATTTATCAATACCTCCGATCAGATCTTAAACAGCTCACCGTGAAGATTCGTGCCGTCCTGGAGCAAACACTAGACATTTTGGGTCGCTTCTGACAGGTTTAATATTCACCAGGAACGCGATTCATGGCCCAGGCGGTTGATCCGCCCAAATACAAATGGTTCCCCTCTCACGGAGCCTACAATGGTTGAATGCACAAATTCCTCCGAGCGGTGTTTAACCCGGTCATCAATGACGGACCTTAAATGCCCTTGCCATCAGGCAATCGTTTTGAATGACTTTCGTCTTGGGACATGAATGGTGTATTCTGAAGACCAGGATGGCTCAGATACCTATCTCTGTTGATGGTCTATAGAAAGCTCTACGATATGCATATAGACCAAAGACATCCAGGGATGCTTTTTGTTTACCTCAACCAAACTTACATCCTCATATGATGCCAGGCCTGTCTAACCATCGTCGATATTGCACTGAGAATGTTATGAGCGCAAGAATGCTGGCAATCATCCCGTTGGGGAAGTGATACCCAGGAACCCCGCATATGTTTCGACATATAACGACCATGGCGCAGTATGGGGCGTGACCTGTTTAACCTAGATCTACGGTTCCGATGTCGTCACCACAACCGCGACAGATGAGAACCCTAATGAAAGCCATTTTCGTGATATTACAAGTAGCGTAGTGGACTGCATGGAAGCAACAGACGTGGAAGGAAATTGGGCAAAGCGAACATCAGTAAAGCGAGAATCAGCAAAGCGATAACGAGAGTAATACAGAAAGCAAATTTTGAAACATAGCAATATGAACGAAAGCAGACAAAACTACGTAAGAAATTCGTGATATTTGGAAAAGTGATAAAAGAACACTGAGACGTAGATACCCAGTATCCCTGAGAGCAAGCAACGGCGTTAGAGTATAGACTCGATAGAATACTAGACAGATGCACCAAAGAAAGACACATTCTGCGGGTTAATAACAGGCTGGCTCCTGTGAACTTCAGTCTTCGAAACTGACGATAATCTTTTTGGAAAGCGCGGGCCGATGGTATGGGTGAAGACGACCCTTCGAACTACGCAATGATATAGCTAATGGTTCGTCCTGATCGTAGTGTGTCGCCGTATCAATGACATCTTCTTCGGTCTCCAAGACGTCACGAGGAGCAGTGATGACTTTCTTGCGATGTCTCCACTGCTTGTTTTCATGACCCTTCCCTAGATTTTGTGCACTCCACTTTTTCATTGTGTTTTCAACCAAATATCTCCATGCGTATTTCTGTGGGTCGCAGAAGGGTTTCCAACCTCCTTTCATCGGGGTAATGTAAATGGACCAGATGAGGTGCATCATGGCAAGTTCCTGCGTGGCAGACAAAGGACGATCCGGGGTAGGAAGCCTGGGAATTACAATCGTGTTGGTCTTGATATTGCGGATGGGGCCTATTCTATCATTAGAATCGACCTGGACATCGAATATACGAGCAAGAATTTTCCAGTGAAGTATTTCAGCCTCTTTTGCGAGCTCGTCGCGATCATGGTAGTAGGTAACAGCACTTAAGTTAGTAAAGCGTATGCCTTGATCGGTCACATATATATTATCCTCCAGGAGGCCTCCGTGCAAGATACCATGACTTTGAATGTCGGCGACAGCCTCGTAAACGGCGGCTCTATCAGAGGCAATGATTTGACCTTGTAGATATGTGTGAAAGGGCGCCCCGCAAAATAAAGTTTAAACACTTACGTCCGAGAGCTGCCTCTGTCATAAGCCCTATGAGAAGGCCATTATATGTGACATGAGCGATCAAATCATAAGTATACTTGGATAGTCCAAGTGAACACATGGTTTTGTGACCCTGGTTAGTCATAGTCACGCAACATGCGAAGGAGTCATCCCATCCAATAAGCAGATCTACTTCTCTTCCTACAAAGACATGAGACATCTGTTTCACGGTAAATATGCTGCGTACCTTCGTATTTGCCTATCCAATCATTGAGAAATAAAAACTTGGTAACCTAAACTTGAGCTTCGGTATTTTATTTGTGGCGCAAGGATGAGAAGTGGTACCTCTATGTCAAGTAAATCCACAGTCTAATAGGCAAGAAACCTTAAGTCAGAATGCAAGAGCTTGGAGGGATAATGCTTTACCTTTGTCCAGATCTCACAATCTTTGATCAAACGCCTGTTTTTGTATATCAGGCGATACATGCCGTCTTTCTGACGGACTAAATATGCCCAGTTTGAACGCCCAAACTCGATTTGATCGAGCATGGTTTGCAGGACTTCGAGAACATAATTGTATGCGGTATTCTCCGGGGAAAAGTCCTGATAGTAATTGCTGTAATCAATATCTGGACGACAAAAAGGTTCTGCCTGAACGAAGATACAATGGCCATTCTTGATGTAATGGTACGATTAGTTGTTATCCTAGATGTAATTATATGACGAACTAACTCTCCATAGGCAATAGAACATTCCCCTATCGACATGATTCTGTCCACAGGCTTTGAGAGTTAGTTGGCTGATGTCAATCTTGTCCTTTAGCTCAGCAAGTCCTCCCTGTAGGAGAGATTAATAAAAATGTACATAACGGAAACTTGAAGGACCCACAGGGCCAAATTCCATGATGAGTGATCCTTGTTGAACGTGGATTGCGCATCGATGAATCTGAGCTCAAGCCCCTGCACCGTGTTGTGTCACATTGGTGACATGTCACGCGTGACAACCCAGAATGGAAATAGATCCCTATTAGCTTCAGTGGCTTTGATTATTACCACCATCGAGACCAGGCAAGATGCTAACTTGGAATCAGTACATACGACAGTATCACCAGAAATAAGAAATACCCGCTAAGTTCCCTTTACTTATCCCCTTTTATACTCACCTCTGACGCTCGTGCCCCCGCTTGCTTTCAGATGCGGCTCATCTGGGGGTCTTTTCTTCAACTTTATCTTGCACTTACGCCACCAGTATCATCACCATATCCCATAGCCTCCCCTCGTAAGTTCGCGTTTCAAGATTTATACGTTTACATACCAGTGAGGAACTCGAATATCATTTCGACATGACAGCAATCCTTCGTTATCCAAATCCAAAAGTTTGAACGCCGCCGTACCGTGTTGTACTTCCCCAAACGAACATGTTGATGACGTGCGTCTGATATTTGTACAGAAAAGTATCATGCGAAGTCTGTGCTTCAGACATCCTCCTGGCGCTTTTTTATTTGTTAAATATCAGGTGAGTATGTGGTACCATATCAAAGCTATCAAAGCCATTCTAGACATGTGTATTTTACAGGCTTGCTTTTGCCGTCGTCATGCCTTGCGCTTTAAAACACTCCTCCGATGTGAAGTTGCTGCTATGTACGGCCGCCCATGCAGAGACCACGTTCACGCTGATTCTCCTCTACGATACGACATACCCTGTGATAGGTGTTATTGCTAAGGCGTGTATACATTGTCTATTTCTCGCGTCTCTTGCTCAATGGTGCATGTATTCAGCCTCGCCATATAATATTATCCGAACTGATGTATAGGGTATCGTCTCGCTATACGTTCCCTTCGTTAGATCGACGTTTTCCCTACCTGGCAAGCTCTTCCACCTTCAAGGACCACCTCCACCAACCCTGGGCTCCATTATGGCCATCACTACCTCAACCTAATAGGCTGTCCTTCTGCATCAAAACCATAACAGCTTCAAAATCATCAACTAATACGCGTACCATGGCATCACGAACAAATCAATTATCCTGCAAGACTGCGATCGATCTTGCTTATCCTTACCCCCTCGATGTCCTGCCTTACTTCGGGCTCGGGTATCACGCAATAATGACTCCAACGGATCCTCAACTTCAAGCATCTTGGACTCAACATTACATATTTTATGGTCCGACTAATTTTATTAAGTTATCCCGGACTTCTCATTGGTCTCGTCAATTACAAACCCCTAATTTTGCGTTTGTAAGGCCATAGCAACTGAGGTCGGTCATAACCCCTGATTAGTACGTTTGCACTCACCATTCAGTTTTTTATCTGCTCAGTAACTCACTCGAACCTGAGCATTCATGCTTTAAGGTCTGTATCGATCACACTTTTAAGTTCCGTCTTGCGGATCACGCAAACGGGCATCTCCCGTCCCCAGCTACCTCACTCTGATTTTTGCTCGACCACTCCCCTCTGTAGCCGATATAGATAGCTTATTAACCTTAGATAGACCAGTGTAGCTCTTACTTCTCACTATTGTATAATAGGTAATTCGTCGGACCTGGTAATGTTTTTGTATTCAACGTTTAGACAGTATCGTAGTAGCTGTAACATTAGCGATATTTCTTCTCCTCCACATTCAACTTACTTATTCCCCTTATAATTAGCATCCATCCGTAATATTGGGGTTCTGGACGGGGCATGTAGAGGGAATTCTTAGATTAACGAGTCGGTATTATCGTAAATTAAAGCTGTAGAAGAAACAAATTATAATATATTCCAATACTTTCTAATTCTTCGGGTTTGGACAGATTCAGTGGTAATGGAGATAATTGGAGAGGCATTGTAATGAACGACATGGCGATGTCTCTATATAACGTCGGCGGCCACAGGAGAGAAGTCGAGGCTGATATCAACGACCGATGACGAATAACAGTACAGCCCGCTACCAGCTTTGAAGTATGCCTGTCATCATGGAATTGCGATATGGGCTTTCACACATAAATATAATCTACGACGCAACCACCCAATGCACATCACTCCGTTCCATCAGGGGCTGCATGCGATGATGGAAACACTCCTCGGCCTCCTCGCGCAGCAACGAGCTCGAGCATATACGTGTAGCGTATAGCTCCAATGTGAACAAGGCATGCTCGAGGAGTGGAAGCCTAGAGGAGGTAAGTAGTGTAATCACACCCCATTCGCTCCGAGACAATAGTACAATCAACGTTCACCTAAACCCCAGTTAATAACCTAAACACTCTATACAACCTATACAACCAAGTGATAAAAATAATACAGCCGTCCATCATCGATCATCTCCGTCTACTCATCACAAAACAGCCCTCATATCCCGAGACATGGCTCGGACTCAAAGTGTCCCGCCATCGTCCAGATAAATTACCGTTAGAATTGCCCACTAGAAAACACCGATAAAGCCACTTTCCACGATCCCCCTCCGTCTAAAATAAAGCATGTCAGTGTGAGCTCGGAAGTGAGGCACAGACGCAGCGTACATATTCTTTGGATAGACTAACGAACCCATCGCACGGTCTCACCCTGCCTATCAAATTAAATTGGCCCCACGCAGAATGCCCCTGGAACAAATGGAGTAAGAAAAAGAATCTCACCGACAGTTGTTTTGTTACCTCTCCGACGACAATAATATCCTTCAGACTTCGAGTATAATTATCTGTCATTAAAGATACATTCAAAGCACAGCTAGGCGGCCTTTGATAACGAAGCGGCTCTGATCGACCTGGCTCATGTATTTGAATTTCGTTCGAATGTTCACGGATGCGAGTCCCAACAGGAAAATAAGCCCTTAGTGGATCACCTGGAGATAGTGGACCCGGGTCTGAAAGACCGCTGCTTGAATCAACATCCGTTTCTAAAAGATGGTACTCCCGAAGCTTCCATGTTTGTCGGTGTTGCGCTACCAAACTCCTGTGTAAGATAGGCGGCGGCGCGCCGGATAACAACGCTGCATATGCAGTAAATTCCGTATACTGATAAGATATCTGATAAGGTCCCAAGACTTTTTTCTTTAAATCGGCGGAATAAAATTACCGTAAATATGCCCTCCCAAACTCCTTCTATACTGCCAGGTATATATGCGCCTGAAAAGGTGTTACTGTAACGAGCCTGCCCCAAATTCATACATTTCTGCCAATCTGATTCCCATTCGTAGCTTTGTCCCGTTATCAAGACGGAGGCTGAAGGAGCATGTGGTGCCTTATACACCATCTGTTGTAATGGGCCTGAAAGTTGGACAGCGAAAGTGAAGAATGATAGGATTGCAGGGGCGGCAAGGGGCGGAGGTGTCAGCTGATACGTCTCAGAAAAGTGGGTGACAGAACTATGACTATTCGATTGCTCTTCTGGAATAAACTCTGCCCAGGAGGGCCAGCAAAGTGGATACTGATGCTTACTGTAAGACTAATATAAGAAACAGTACGATAATGCACTATGCTTACTCGGTTTGCCGCCAGGGCCGTGAGCTTCATCACAGATGTCACAAGGCGAAAGTTCTCATTCCGCTTGTATTGGTCTAGAAGGCGACATATGAGTACAAGTACAAGTGACGTATTCAGAAGCACGGGCCACGCTAACCAGGCTTTAAGAAGAACCAAAAGAGCCACATGGCTAATGAGTTTCTTTCGTGGTTGAGCGGCCATTGATCGTCTTTGATCTTCCGGGGGGCTAGTGACGCACCATCGTCATCGAACCAAAATTCTCGTAACCAGGTCTCTATGTCAGCATATTCCCTAAGCTGCCGCTCGTTCTTTCCATCGTTTTCGAGCATCATAAGATAAGCCATCCAGAGCAGCTCGCCCAACATCTGGTCTTTCTGCGGGGTGCTTGAGACAGAGCGGAGACGAGAATCCAATCGCGCGCGTATCCGTTTGAGAATGATGCATCTCCTCTGGAGTTCGCTAGCCAAAACGGTGGCCACTGCGATTTGAGGGCCCAGACGGCGGATTGCAGCATCTATGTCGAACTTGTGCGTAAATATGCGGGCATAGAGGTGTGGGTTCGCTGAAATTGATAAAGTCCGGTAAATTGTCTGACTTGTGAGCAGCAGAGATAACAAGGGCGCGGGGGGTCCAAGGGGGTTATCTGCTGTGGAGAAAAAGACAATGTGCTCGAGGACCTCTTGCGGAATGGCCTCCAAGGACGAGAGGCAGGTCATCTGTGATGGGGGTTAGAGACAAGACTGAAAGATAGAAATATACTGCAAACCGATGGAGCAAAGGGGGCGGAGGACAATTCCGTCGATGACAGTCAGCAATTGGCCGGCATCGGAATCTGCATACGCGGAATCCGGAAGCGCTCGCTGGACCTCAATTTCCCTCGGATTTCCGTCTGGCAGTTCGTGTTAGTTCATTCTGCCATTTCATATCGGTGCCGCACAGCAAGCCTGGGAGCGTAAACTGTTTCAAGACAAGAAATTCCATTCGAAACCAAGCCCATATGCTACATCGATGCTACATGGCAGAACTTGTCCGTGTATAATTCGCCAAATGCGTTAGGGATTATAGTTATAGAAGAGTAAATATCATAGACAAATACTAACATAGATCACGGATCTGAGCCATAACAAGTAACGGTTCCACCGCCCCTTCAAGAAAATATTGACAGCCTCGTCGACAGCTTGCATTTGGTGGCCAGCACACGCCCCTAGTTCCCATAACCTTAAGTTAAGCTTCAGGGAAGCGCAGTATCCTTGCACATGCTGAACGCCGCCTCCCATTCGGGGGTTTGGGCTCCACCAGCCACCCCCCGCCATCTTCCAACAAAGTTACGAGACCCAACGACTGCGGTGGCGGTCAGCACAACTCGTTCATACACCTAACTCAGCACTCACCATAGCCTCTGAAGATACTTCTGCCGAGCATCTCCATGAGTGGATCCAGCTAAATGACTCGATAAGTATGTCTTCGAAAGATCCGGCTAAAGATACTCACAGGTTCACGAAGTAGTACTATCAGGCCATCCGAGGGCCTGATACGACCAATATAGCTGTATCCACCCCAGGCATCACGAAATCTATCCTCAGTCTATAATCATAATAATTAACACATGGAGAATCATTCATCCGATGGAACGCGTTTACTTTGCCTGTTATAATGATGTCCACTGCGTCTAATTGACTAGCCTGTGAAATACCAGAACCATCGGACGCATTGCACTCGGCCGGCCGAGTCGTGCGAAGAGGTTCATAATAGCTCCTGAAAGAGCTATTCTGGCCGTATATCTCAAGACCATCCTGAACGAGCAGGACTTTGTCATTAACAAGTACACGCATCTTAACTGTGGTACTGACCTCGAGCTCCATCCAACGACAACCCAGAGGGAGAAATCCGTTCATGAATGATTCATTGTCGACCGAGAGTATAGATGACGATGGGCTGTAACAATAAAGCTCCCGGAAAGTAACATACAGAGGGGATCGACCAAATGTCGGAAATGGGGAAGGAGCCAAAGGACTATTCCGTAGAGATATATATACTTCACGACATGGAACCTGTGATAGCCGTTTGTTATGTGCCACTAAATGCTGATGATGGATCCATATACTTACTACATAAGAGCCTTGCCAGCGACCCGTTAGAGTACCAGGGGTGTATGATCCCTGCTTGGAGTATGGTACATGGCCAAAAGAAACATGCATCGTGCGCTTCAAATCAGGATCAAATCGTTGACTTTTCGTAAGCAACCCAAGTTGATCTCCATGCGCAGTTGATATGAAGTGAGTTTTACAATGCGTGACGAAATGCTCAGCATCCTCTCGCGTAGGCCCTTCAATACCTCTTGCATTTGCTTCTACTCGATTGGCAGGCAAGTGTGGAGGAATACCCATGGGCCGAGTCTCTAATCTTGAGAAATATGCGAGAATAGCATATGACGCCAATGAAGGAAATCTAAACTTTACAAGGTGGTTGAAATATAGCGTATCTATGGTGGACAGTCGGTTTGTAGGTTGTGGATCATGTGTAGATGCAGTTGCCGCCTTGGCATTGCTGTCAAGTGTGGAGGGATGAAATTCATGCTCGGGCATAACGGAACATGGGTACTATCGAGATATCTATGAGATAAATATTCATATAAACAGATGAGATGACATACGCGAAAGGCAGCCAGGACAAACGGGCCGAGCAATTCTATGAACTCGTCTCGAATAGCCTTTGTTTCTTCGTGTATCATAGCTAAGATAATATACATTTAGAAACGATTGCAGAGTAATATTTGGTAAGCAGATACGTACGCGACGACGACATCAGCCACAGGATTGCGACTGCCAAAGTATTCACCTGGTCCTCCAATGGCCAGCCAGTACTAGATGTAGGTACTCGAGTGAGACGCTGTCGAACAAGGCGATAAATGAACGAAGGTAATTGTGCCCAAAGGAGCTGTTCCCAGTTCTTTCCATCGTCCTCCAGTATTAATGTATAGGCGACGATGAGTGCTTCGAGAAGCCATGGGCCATTGGTGTCGCCACTCCGAATACGATGTAGGGCTGTAAAGCGCTTGCGTAGTTCGCTCTCAATGTGGCAAGGAAATATCTGGTCAGGAGCAAGATGGCGCCGAGGTGAGGAGAGATCGAACTTTGCGGCGAAGATAAGAAAGTGGAGAGTGGGGTGGGCGACGAAGCATAAGGAACGGTATGATAGGCGACAAGTCAACAATAAGGAGAGCAGATCACAAGGAGGACCCTGTCGAGTCTGGCGTACTGCAGTGAGAACGATGTTGCCAAGGAGCTCTTGAGGGGCAGAGAGAAGAGATGTAGGCATAATGCTGAAGGGCCGAGAGCTGGAGAGAATGAGAGCATATTATTGGATTCGAGGTATACAGTTCCAACGGCGACCTGGAATTAATGCCTTGAGGGGAATAGATCGCGAGGAATGCGATGTTCCCACGGAAAGTAAGCGAAACATAGGACGAATATCGACCGCCGAGTTGAAGAACCGTTGTCAAACCAAATATTCCGTCGAAGGCGGTGAACTGAGGAGGAACGAAAGCCAGTAAAATCTTCTCACCTAAAAAGTAGCCGGTTAAATCCGAAAAATAAGGGGCGATCGCGCCAAAGTGGTGGCCCAGACGGAATACCAATAAAAGGAAGGAGAGTGGCAGAGAACTGGATCTGAGATCCGCATGCATATGAGTACGTCTTTAAGTTCGCTCTTACCAAAAATAAACAGTCTCCGGGCTACAAGCTGCATTGGCCAAAAGTGCAGTGCTGATCTACAGCCACGGTGCGGTCTCCAGTGGTGGGAGTCCTCCAAAAAAAGAGCACTAGGTCCCCGTCGAGTATCTGATAACACAACCACAAATATCAGCATGTTCGCACCTCCCTAGCGCCCATACCTATGCACCTAGTGGCGCCAGACACTGTCAACTATCACTGCACTCCACACTGCGGTCAAAGGAACATCGTGTAAGCATAGAAGCTCAAAACGATGGAATGTGTCACATCTCTTACTCTAACTCCGCTGAGACACACTGACGTTAGCTTACATCCATCCACGTCTTCCGTTCTTGATTTCCAATGAGTTCTGGCTGCCATCCATTTGTGCGTGCACGGTCACCAAGGGGGCCTCGGGATGAGAGAAATGGTTTATATTGAGTTCTTGCGAAAATGACGCATACATTCTATCGAGAGGCAAAAGAGCTATGTAATAATATGGAGCACTGGTGCGAGAGCAAGCAATCAGAAGCGAATAGGGTGAAACACGAAGTAACACATACTCGGTCCCCACGAAAATTTTGGCTCGTGCAGATAACCAGCACAAAAGACAATCCCCCAGACCACCAAAAATCACCGAGTGTGGAGCGATGGATGATCTTGGCGATGACATGCTGGCGAGACGCCAGTCATTAGTCAACATCTGAAATACGCAAGTGTTTTTCGAAATTCCAAGTGCTGAGCTTGCCATATTTGATGACAGCGGACCCGGTGGAATTCGGCCTCCGCGCACAGATAACGTCGACGTCCAACAACCAAGTCTTCAGCAATGTCCGCGAAGCGCCATGCTAGCTTTTTACAGCAGAAATGAGACCGAATGGAAGAACAAAAGACATAGTATGAGTGCAAGGAGATCGACGGTTGCAGCAGGGTACCCATTCAGTCGGCGCACGAAAATTCGGCCAGCAACGAGGCGGTCGTCGATAACCAGCTGCTGGGCGTTACATGTATGAATTTCAGTAGCTTTCATAGTACCCCCACAGCTCTTTCGTTCCTTTCATGGCCTCATATTCATGCACAAAGAATTCATATGCATAACTGGCCCGTTGTAAACGGGATTTCTCTAGATTGAACACCTGCATATCGTGGAGCCAGGAAATTTGCAGTCTGCACCCCATCGCACACAGAATTGTGCCTGTATCGACACGTTCCATACGTCCCATAACTCGTGGAAACTCATCGTGCGCAAGGTGGTGTCGATCGCGTTTTACAGATGAGTCGCGGGTTAATGTTACAGTGACGCTCATATCCTCTCGGAACTCGTCACACCAGCGCCGGGCCCGTCATACCAGATGAACTCCAGTCTCCGGGCTGAACGGGAGAACCACAAAAACGTATAGTACAAAGTGGGATTGTATCGCTGCCGTTGCGCTTTCGTCTATGTTTCGGGTAATTCTTCTGGTTTGGGCAGAGCTTCCTCTTACCAGAACCCTAACTATCATAGGGCCGATTCTCGTGGCACTTCGTTTCTTCGAGATTCTCATGATCTCACAGCTAACGGGGATCAAGACTGGATCGAGTAACGTCTACCGCTTTACACTTCGTCAATCAACGGCCTCTTCGTTGTAAGGTACTTTCATCGACACATATTCCCCACTTTCGAAATTTCGAAATCCCGTTGATTGATTGCATCAGACATGTCATTTTTTATTCGGCCCGCATATCTGTACCCGCACGCGCAACTGCATTATCGGTACGGCAATTCAAAGAATCGATAATAGCAAAACCGCCTGCGACACAATCTGCCCACGGGGCTCGTCCCACTCGGCATTTACTCTGAATAACCTGGATTCTCAGATTCTGGCAGTAGCACACATGGTTAGTGTGAAATCCGAGGACGCCACCCATTCTCGTGGAACCGCGATTCAGGCCGAAACTTTACACTATATGGCCGCCGCCTTGCACAACATCCACGTACCGCATCTCGTTTGTCACGTATGAAAACCGTTCTAGCGCTCACACTCCGACTGCAGAAGCTTTTTTCAGCACTCCGTCCTCGTCGTGCCACAAGTATTCACCAATCACGGGTCTTGCATTCGATCATCATGGCCACTATATCCCCAGGCGGATTCAACTAGATACCTTTTTCCATCAGCCTGGAGGCGCACGGAACCCGCCACGGATTTGTGGCTACCTATCTAAAAGTTTTCTAAATCGTGCCCTGAGAGGCTCATCGCCAGGTTACAGTCATAACAGCATGTCGTATACTTTGGTTCTCAAGCTCCTTTTTTGGAGACAGCCGACGAAGTCCATACAGTTCCCTGCGAACGCCTTTGCACATATGGATACGTATGTTATCGAAACGCCATTGTGATATAAATGTCTTCGTGTCGACGTTTCTCAACGAGAGTCCATCGTGATTGATCCGCCACCGCCTCATCAAAGCATCGCATTCGTCAATGGCGAAGGCGAGATTAATGAGCGGATGGCCCCGGATCCATAACACTGCCTCAGTGTTCTCATGGATTAAAACTTGGATAGTCCAAGCCTCACGATAAGGAAAGAAATATGGTATGCCTCGGTCGCTCCACGACGGCAGAAGGGCACTGATACGATGGTGACTCTTCAAGTTCTCGTGCTCCAGGTGAGTTGTGTTCAAGACTGTTGGGTTGTTCATGTTCAAAGATAATTATGGACGTGTGTGATCGAAGTTGATCTAATCTTACGTTAGAGCCCGCCGGTTAGATTTGGGTAACTCGCGTGTACAGTACGTTTATGTATTGAAATTACAAATTGACGAACTAAGCAGTGCATAATAAATTGAGGCCAAGTTGGTTGCGTATAGATTTGAAAAAGAATATGGTATGGTCTGTGGCACGCTAATCCTGTATTGTGTATTGTGCTATTTTGGATGCGATCCGAGTCGGGACGCTAAGAGGTGCAGACGACAGCGGAGGAAAGGGATGGAGTAAGTTCACCGTCGGTCATGTAAGCCTTTAGATCCACGGTATAGCACAATCAGAAGCAGATGAGAATCAGAAGTACTATAGAGGGAAATGACGAAAGAAACCTTACGCCCTTCACGGCACCGCTGGCTCAAAGTTGAACGTCGAACTAACAGCTACGGCATAGCCATAAAGTCCACATAATCACCAAGTCGGAGCCAGAGGACAGTCAGGATAAGACGCCCGTCTACCGTACCATTGGACAGTTTTATCAAAATAATATAACGCGACGGTGAAAAAAAGGCAATTTGAATGGGCAGCTATAAATGCGAAGTAAGCCGCATTTGGAAGGGCGTACCAATACATAGATAAAAAAGCAGCCACCAGGGCAATGTGGACCTCACGATGCGGCGTATAAACAGGCCATAGCCACGAATATGACATAATGAAGATATCCCGAGCAACGACAGAACGCGGGAATCGTCGGAGTGCGACCACTTCGTTCTTTGATACTCCACACTGCACATATCGCTCGTAAATAGATCCACAGAGTAAATACTGTGCTGGGCGTAGAAGTGAAGGAGAGCCCGACGTAAAGGCTCGGAGAAAGGGTAATGCCTGCTTGAGCCAGAGTAAAGGTGCTGCTATACCCTCAACGGAGATTCACTGCATGTCTGTGGCCTCGTTTATCAGAAGATTTCTGATGGAAGCGCTGGGGGAGGCCGTGCACGTATATGACCTTAAGGATGGTGCGACCTGTCCGCGTATGACAATAAAAATGCGCAAGTGTTTGAAGGGTCTGGGAACGAGGACGGCTTCATTCAAGGGCATTCAAGTTGGCAAGTCATATGAAGATGCCTTGATTAGTATCGGTTCGCCATGAGGAAAATGAGTAAACAACGTTCACTCGGGAAAGAATACTTCGGCACCTGATGGGGTGGTAGCGGAGAGCATGACATAGCATCGTTCCAACAGAACGGAAACTACCTGGCGTGTGGGTTTGAAATGTCGGGTAAGAACATGGGGAAAATCCAAGTTAACAGCACACTACACAGGAGAACGTGCAGACCTGCATTGATAAACACACGTACTCCTCGTAGCGTGCCAGACTGATGCTACAATGGCTAGTTATATAGATATATCGTTATGTCCTGAGCTGGTCATAGTGCTGATAGAAGATACTGGAACATTCACGCGGTTGCACAGTAAACATGGGCGTCTTTTAAGTTTCTAAGATTATGGCAACGTTAGAGTATTCTGGAAACGTTGCGTAGAGAGCACAAACCGCTAAATGTCTCTGGCTGTCTCTGGCCATACCAGACTTGCTGATGAGGTGGTATTGGTATTGACAGTGGCTGGCTGGTACGCGATGGACCAGCCAGTGCAAGAGCGGCTCACGTGAGAAGCGAAAGAACCTGCCCTAGAGGCGCGTATCGAAAAACTTAAAAAACTTGCACAGGCAATATCGTTTCTTTCATTTCATCGATATCGTTTGCATCCCTACAATGTCTTTCAACATCGCATCTCTTGAGCAGCACCTTTCCACCAGGTCTTACGTTGAAGGGTGAGTACATCTCGTTTTCATCGCGTAACATACTTTCTTTTCCATTCAAAAATATGATGATCATATGCTATGGTCCGTGTTTCCAAGAAGCGATTAAGACCCGCTGCTCAAGCATGCCGACAGCCTTTTTGCCTAGCCATCTGATATTCTCATCTGACTTTTGATCTTATCGTAATCTTCAGCTAATGTGCATTCTTCACTTCACAGGTACACCCCATCGCAAGCAGATGTTCACGTCTTTAAAGCGATTACCGCTGCCCCTGACGCTGGAGCACATCCTCATGTGACAAGGTGGTACGCCCACATCAAATCTTACAGTGCCGAGCACGATGGCCTTCCGGGATCTAGTACCGCCGGCCAGAAATTCACCGAGGCTGCTCCCGTTGCAGAAGCAGCGGCTGAAGAAGACGATGAAATCGATCTTTTCGGAGAAGAAGATGAAGAAGAAGATGCTGAAGCAGAGAGAGTCAAGGCCGAACGTGTTGCCGCCTACCATGCCAAGAAAGCCAATAAACCGAAGACGATTGCGAAGGTCTGTCCATTTTCCCGCCTCGATGTTCCCATAACAATATGTCCATGTAACTACAATGAAAACGTTGATTGATTTCCTACTTATGTAGTCTGTCGTGACTCTTGAGGTAAAACCCTGGGACGACGAGACGGACATGAAGGCTCTAGAAGAATCCGTTCGATCTGTTGAGATGGAGGGCCTTGTATGGGGCGCCAGCACGCTCGTAGCGATTGGTTACGGCATTAAGAAGCTTCAAATAACGTTGGTTATTGGTGCGTTGCTTATATTTGAACGGTACTTTGAATCGCCTCGTTGATGCGAGGTTGGATCAGAGGATGAACTCGTCTCTCTCGATGACTTGCAAGAGCAGCTTGCTGGACTTGAGGACTACGTCCAGAGCACTGATGTTGCTGCCATGCAAAGTGAGTGTCGAAGCAGGGCAAAGTATCTCAAATATTCATTTTCCATCTTTCAGAATTGTAAAATATCTTTACGAATCGGGTTGTGTCTTGTTGTCTGTGCCATCAAGTGTAGGGTCTAGCTGTATCGCCGTATTCGAAGAAGTGTAGTAACTGATAAATGGAAATACCCGGTGGGGGTTATATGATCTTGGAAGGTGATGGGGATAACTGAATTTATGTCATTGCGAACGAGGTAAAGGATCTGGAGAACTTTGGTGACCGAGCGTGCCAGGGTGGCTAATGCATGATTATCTGGTTCTGCCTCGTGCATTTCATTCTATGAATCGAGGCAGGACTTACACGTACAAGAATATGAGGCTGTGAGATAAAGATGATAAGGCCGTCACGAAGCGCAGAGGTGGCCGAGATAATGGGGTGCCATCACCCTCCAGTACGTCTACACACGCCCATCACTCCCAATGCTAATATTGACCGGTCAATATTCAAGATAGGCTGAGCATTTTCTGCTTGAAGTGCGTGTTCTAGTGGCATGCTTTAATATACTTCATGTGAAGGAAGACTTTCTTCGACATGGAGCGATCACGAACGTTACTGGTAAGCATAACATGGCACCGGTACGGATGGGGATCTTTGTGTCGGAGTCACGGTTCACTATTGCTTCCTTACCCAAACAGCCTGCGATCCTGCCTAATTCTGGGGCTCGTGGTATGCTCTATTTCTTTTGATATGATTTGGAAGTCCTACATATTGATGACACCTGCAAGACATTGTATTCTTTATGAAGATAACGTTCGCCTAGGTTCATACACAGCTTGCGATATGAATGCGGGTCCAGTGCGAGCGTTTGCGCTCTTTGAATGAGCGGAAAAAGGAAAGACGCCCAAAATGCAACACCCTTTCCTCACAGTTAACCTCTGTGTGCGCAGAAACACAGCATGCAGCGACTTACACAAGCTCCGCCAGGCTGCGGATCTGGTGTGTGTGTGGTATGCCTCCCGTATTGCGGCGGCGAACGTACATCTTGGTTTAAATTACCTTGACCCATAAATCTAACTCGATTCATGCAGTGATTCAAGGGTTTTCGCAAATATGACACCACTTTTATCTCCCACGCAGGTCTTCATTTCCTCTGTTAAAGGCATGGTCATAACAGGGACGTTACTTTCGGAGTGTTGAAACGGACGGCGCTCCATTTAGCTGGAAGATCTCTGCGACTCCCTGGCTTCAAACGAAGGCAATTCCTTTACAATGCACAAAAGCGTTTTAGCCTTGTCACAGGAAGCTCAGGTAAGGAATACGGATGAACACGGGGTAAGTATCAATTAACGATCGAGATCTTGAGTGGGCCTCGCATACATGCTGCAGCAGCTCGATTGCGCCTTTACAACAGCCAGTCGTCTGATGCCTGACAAGCTCACGGCGATCATCCATCTTGCGGTTTCAGAGCATGGCAGTCGGGTTTGAAAACATGCCAGCTTCCTAAACATCCATGGCGCACGGCGCTTGCAACTGAGACCTTTAAAACCGTTTCGCCCTTGGCTGGAGTCACCACAATCCTTCGCCATGCCTTCATACCTGGAGTCAATCCCACTGGACATTCTGCAGCACATAGCGTATATGTGTGTTGCCGAGACGCCCTTCGAGCCCATGGTCACTATCCTTCAGCTCCTGTTGTGCAGTCGTACACTCCACCACTCCCTCTCCATTCAATCGTGTCCCGAGCTTTACGCACGTGTGTTTCGCGTAAAATACGACATTGCCGCCTCGCTTCGTCGAAGTCGTTCCTCTTTGTTGATCACTTCGTCACTGGCCGCCGAACTGAGGCGGCGCTGTATCGTTTTGCGCCGGATTCGTCGGTGCCACCTTTCTCATGAAGACCTTCTCTCCCATCTTTGGACCATCTACGTGATGGTACTCGAAAGCGACGAGCTGAACGAAGCGCAGTTGAAAACCGCGGATATCTCCCATTTTATCACTGAACTTGTTCGGCATCGTTTGCATCAAGACGTTGCCACCAGTGGCTGGCCTCTTGAGAATCAAAGCAATGCAATCATGATTTGGATTGCGTGCCTGTCGCTGTCCACTGGTAAGGCGCCTATCATTTATCATACCAGTTTCCCAGTGATCTGAATAACGAATATAGAACACATATCACAACTAAAGATCGAGGAACGCAACGAGCTTTTGTCTTTGTTACGTCCCATCGCGATGGTGTCATCTAAGGTAGCTCAACTGCTTTTTTTGAATTCAAGAGTGCTAATATATTCGCTAGTATCCCTCGATTGCCCTTTACGACACATATCCACACACGGCTGCAGATGCTACCAATCCCGATCAAGCCATGTTAATTAAGACCCCATCGCAGTCTTACGAACGGCGTGGAGGATTTTTAGAATACTCTCAGCAATTCATATTGTCTTCCCCAAGCTTAGTATCTGGTGCTGTCTTCCTCACGTTCGCTCTCAAGGAGGCATCAGTACTCCAAGTACCCACACATCTACCGATCAATAGAGCCGCGGCGTTGGCAGCTCAGCGCGCTGGTCCTACAATGGAAGACTACGCTGTGATGACACGCTCTAGAACCCCTCTTATCGCAGACTCCTTCCCATTAAAGTTTTCCAACCTGCAATCAGGTGATGCTTCCTCCAACTCGGATGCGACGTCGCAGCCGTCGCGAAGTAGCGTGCACGACGAAGATTTTTACAGGATCGCCCATCCTTTCCGTCCTCTTCATCTCCCGGTACTTCGCAGTTACGTTCCTGGATCGTTGACTGGTCGCTGGGAAGGAACCTACATGGTACGCATGGCGTAGACGATGCATTCACCAGTTGTGCTGATACGACTACCATGGTAGGTCTCATCGTTGACTTTGCTGGACAATGCCACGCATCGACCACCAAACTTCTCGACGCTGCCGGATTTCACAAGCCGGCACGCAATGCAGTGCGAACTCCAAGAGCATCTTTGTTTTCCGCCCTGTGTTCCCTTTCCACGTAGCGGTGACGATTTCCTGAACATGCCGGTCCAATGGGATCAGGACGTTCATAACCGATTGGATTCACAGGTAAGTCTTCTCACCTTCAGGCCTGTCAAACCCATCAACTTTTTTCCAGAAGGGAACAGAATTCTGCCACGCAAGAATCACCCAAAACTTTCAATATGAGCCGTACTCATCAAATACGTCCGTTCATGCCCGCAGAGATCCGTTGGACATTATCATCACTGGAGAAGTACGCCTTTACGAAATCTTCTTACTCGGTTTGCAAACTTACCCCTGTTCATCCCCATGTCAGACCACGCAAGAGTTTAATCAGGCGTGGGGTGCTTTTAGGTTTATTGGAAGAGTGAGATTGTCCGATGGGTGGGTCGTGCTGAGGCGGGAACCTGTATGTCTTTGCAAGTTTTACACCTGCCTGACCTAACACTGGATATAGAAGCACGCAGGCGATGAAGGCCTTGGCACATGGATCTTTGAAGGGCATGTACTCTACAGGCGTGCACTCGTAGGCAAATGGCGTTCAAATCGAACTACCGACCATCCTGGGGTTGAGGGCATCTTCAGTTTGGGTAAAAGAAAGGATTGATATTATCGTATTTATCATATCAGGATCGAGCTTTTGGGGGGGTTATTCATGATGGGAGTAATAGGGTCTGCATACATTAGGTGATTCTCTTACCATATCATAACTTTGAGTAGTTGTGGGGATGAGACGGAAGTAGATGGAGTTAACTATATTGTCATTATAATCATAATAATATTTCATTCTTCTAACGAGAAGAGAATATCAGGCCTGGATTTTGTTAATATCGGATGCGTCGGCAATGAACATTTCACAGCTTGAGGATGAAACTATAGAAACTAGTCGGGGCACCTTTAATGTGATGATGTTATCAAAACCCGATCATATCAGTAGAATCAAATGAAAAGAAACGTGAACTAATACTAATATGATATGATTTCGGCGAATGAACTCTTTATGTACCGTCCGGTATGAGTTCTGTGCGCAGATGCAAAGATGGCGCGAGTGAATTCGATACTCAATCCGTGATCACCGGCCGCAAGGCAGAAGATTCTGGCTTTGGAAGGTTGTGCGCAGCTATTTTGAATGGCTGGTGGTACCGAAGAATCTAGGGGAATGCAGTAACGTGTTCGAGTCGTGTCTCGTGTCTTGATGATGTGTAATGTCTATCGCAGATTATAGAACGTCGCTGAGAACTACAAGCCCCACAATTCCCATTGGCCTTAGAGTTCGTCCGTACAAAGTAGGCTCATATGGCATTCGTGTACTTAGCCCTGAGATTGCCACGCTGTTACTCTATTTTGTTATGAGTTAGCACTCGAATGTCAAGGGCGATGTAATGCTGCAGAAGGAAGTCGTCTTGGGGTATATGTTACAGGAGATGACGGGTTTGCGCGTGAAAAGCCTTCATATCAGAAACCTGACGGAGATGAGTACGAAGCGCGAGTAAGAACTGCGACGAACCCACGGGAACTTTTCGACACGCTTCTGAAGAGGTAATGCCCCCTATCGACTATATGCGCTGATTTTGTTAAAACTGCGAAGGAAAAATGAACAGCCCGAGTGAAAAGTTATGTGACTGGTCTTAATTGCTCACCTGACCGACACCAACGGATAGTTGTCAACTCATGAGATCTGACGATGAGAAAAAAAATATGATCAGTCAAGATGCGCGTAATAACAAAAGGTAAATCAGAGATGAAAAGGTTTGGCATCAGACATCAAATGACATGTCATGCTGGGCGTCCGTACGAGCCGTTATCGCAGTGACTGGCCATCTGTTATCATCAGTTAATGAGCCGAGTTTGGCAAAGCGTAAACTGGAAGGTGACTAGAAATGGTATTGAACCAAATCTACTAACAGGCGTGGAAGACAAAGGCGGTGTGCCGTTCCGCAAAGGACTGTAGTGACGTAAAATTGGGAGGCACTGAGTATTTCGTGAGTGTAACGCAGAAAGTGTGGACATGAGCGCCGATAGAGAGGGCCAGGCTTGCGTGAGCTGAAGGTTACCTGTCTGAGTTGCGGATCATATCACAGGGAGGGTGAGTAGGACAACTGGAGTAAGTGGATCAAATCTGCAGAAAGCTGTCAGCTTATCGCAAGTTTATTGGATGGAAGCTAGGGTCAACGAGTATACATAGTTAGTCGTCGAACGTAATTGCATTTTGCGCCATCGACAGCGCGTCTTACACGATATCTGAACCATACTAGAAATTGCAATCCCACAAATATGACATGGGCGAAACATAGCTTGGCAATAGATGGGCTCCTGTGCTCGTCGCAGAATCACGACCACCGGAGCCAGGTGCATGCTGCTCTGCGCAGAACTGCTTGCACCTGATGGGGTGACGGAGCTCTGTTTGGGTGCACCTATCAGACAATCATGTTCATCAAAAAAGACTATCCGATCCATCCTGAGTACCAAGTCAACTCATGAACAGACGTTATACAGGTTGAAACTCTGACCATGTCCGAAGGCTTCGGGTGGTGTGTGGCGTTCTATGAAAAAAATGCACCGCTCGAGTTGTCCACTGGGCATGTGCAGCGTTTTGGCCTTGTGCAGCATTGAAGATTGAGTATCGTTCTTCTCTTTATGGTTACCTAGGGGTCAGCGAATACAACGTTGTTGCTGAGTAAAAAACATAACACGAGGTCTGCGTCACCGCCATGCCCTGAGATATACGTGATTCAAAATGTGCGGAGTAAATTTAGGCTTTCCGAGCGATAGTTTTGACGCGGGATATCCATACAGCCGTAATATGAGCTGTATAATGAGGTATAACGCCACCATCAACGGTATACAAATCAGAAGAACGTATTGTGAATATGGCCCCCAGGTAGACAGGCTGGGATCTGGCAATCTGTGCGGGAGAGAGCAAAGCATGGAAGGCACCTGGTGTATCAGTGCCAATCTTGCATCTCTGCATACATCGGCCAGACCATTTCCCGGGACCCGGCGCACAGAAAGAAGCGCCAGAGAGTAAGCAAAAGCCAATCGGCCTTCTGGAAACACGAGAGATGGCTATCAGGACCGCGTGTCTCTGTTGAAATTGTGTTCGGGGCACTTGGTCCAAATCGAACGCGCAGATTAAGAAGACGGACCGTGGTTAGGGGGGCCAAACGGTGAATGATGGCAGCCGTGGTCTTCAACATTCAACGCGTTGATGCTTGCCTATGCCCAAGAAAATCTGCAGAACAGACACGTTACCTGTGGATGTTTGATCGCGATATCGGGGAAATGCACGTTTCCTTGCATATGTTAGAAGGTATTGAGAAAGAGGAGACACTTACTATGGGCAATAACGGATGGTAGTGGTTCAAGAGCATCTGCGGTCAGTGCTATCGGTGATAACAGAATAATGGACTGCTTAGATCCGAGTGTGGTTGTATTAGTCAGCTTTCCCGCGGTCATGTTATTGTTCAGCCGCGTCTAGGCCTGTATTTGGTGTTGTTTGGTGATGGACGCCTCGTGTGGAGGGCAACGAGACCGTTTTTCGCATTGAAACCACTTCGCTCCATAACGCAAAAACGAGGCGCCGTCGTCGTCGACAGTAAAGAACACGTCCACTCTTTCATCCTTACCATATCCTTTCATATCAAATGAAGTCTATTGCAGTACTATCAGTCCTGGTCTCCGCCGTGGTGGCCCAGTCCTCAGTGAGTCCAATATCAGCAAAATACATCAATAGCAACGTCTGACAGTCATCCTTTGTTCTAAGTCTTCCAATACCACTGCGAACCCCCTTATACCAACTGATATCAGCCAAGGATGTTCATCTTTCCTCAACTCGCTTAACAGCAACTCCAACCTCACTGCATGCACGAGTCCCATCGTATCAGCCACTTCAGCATTCGGGCCTGGTGCCAACTCTAGCAGCCCTTCATCCTCCGATGTCAACTCGGCACTCAGCAGCCTTTGTGCATCCAGTGCATTCACCAACTGCCCTGACAGCATCATTGGCGGCCAGCTCAGCGCCTTCTACTCTGCTTGCTCTGCAGAGCTCACATCGAGCCCTAACGACGACGTGATCAGGATCTATGACACTCTTTATGTCCTGACTCCCCTCAGACAAGCAGTCTGCTCCAAAGGTGACAATGGCCAGTACTGTGTCACGCAAGTCACCAATGGAATGAACTCGTCGTCTACTGGAGTGGGCAGTGTAGACATCGTCATACCTGGCTCTGATCAGGCAAAGGTTTCAAACCTTTACTACACACCCCAAGTTCTCTCCCGTCGCGATGATTCCAACACTACTGCAGCGCTCATTCCCAATACCACCACATACCACGATACCAATCTCGTCTTCCTCTTCCTCCAACCCTCGATGTCCTCTTCTTCTCTTTGCACCGCATGCACTCGCAGCATCCTCACTCCTTATATCACCTTCGAGTCTAACCGTCCCTACGCGCCCGGTCTTTCCACCAGTCCTCTTATGAGTGGACAGACTGCCCTCGTCTCTGCCATTCAGAGCCAGTGCGGGACTAACTTCCTCAGTGGTGCTGTCCAGGCAGCTGGTGGTATCTCGAGTGGCATCCTAAGCGGAGCAGCATCCCGATCGCTCAGCCAGGATCTCAATGGACCTGTCAGCATCTTCTTAGGCATGGCAGCACTGGCTGTGGCTAGTTTGTGATGAGGATTGTTTGGCGGTACTTTGAGGCTTTCTTTGTTGCTCGGGTGATGTTCTATTGCAATTTCAGCTGCCCTGGTTTTCTGGACTTTGCTATGTTAGCGAGATACCCGCCAGGGGTTTATGTTCATTTAACGTTCATATATTTCGTCGTCGGTGCTAGCTACCTGCGTGACTATTTAAAAATGAACTGGAGGTAATATATTGATTTACTATGGAAGATCAGCGCCTTATGTTATTCGACTTCTTCCCATGAGTGATACTTGACATTTCGAGTAGTCGGCAGTGAAGTACCAAAGTACTAGATAGAGCTTCAAGGTTTATCACCTGCAGGTTGTGTTGTGTATCAAACCTCTCGTAAGAAAGATACCCTCGGCGGCGGCGATTAAGGTCGCTGATCCATGGATCGAGCTGCGGCTATTTACGAGCTTCGAGCTGATCTACAAATACAGGTTCAGCGTGCCATTGCCTTGGAACAGAAATCAAGTCATTGCTTACGACTCGACAGGGTTCGGGATGCGGGCAAAATATTGAAGCATAGTATACCGGGCCGTCATGTGTGTAGTATGTAGGTAAAATTGTAGTCGTGTCCATTTGCCGTGACAATGGTCTTCTAAACCGCCCCCACACTTCAGCGAGAACTGTTAGAGTTGGGTTCACTCGCCAACTACTGGTCTTTGCCGGATAACCCTTTTGTAAGCTGGGTTTGACGGACAAGACTCACCCCACGGGTGTACGTATCAGATCTGGAAAATGAGAGACAAAAGAACGATCTCGACTGCTGCTACAACGATGGCGAGTGCGAGTACATTTACCCCCGCAGTCATGAAAGGTCTCCCATGCCCCTGCTTGTCCTGTTGCCCGACTGTCGGAAGCGCGCGTTCGTAAAAGGCTGCCTCTGCGTTCTGGTCGGCAAAGTCATGCCGAGAATGACGAGCTCGGAGATAGGCCATGATGAAAAGCACACCAGAGAGGACCAAGTAAAGAAGGCCGACTGGAAATGGACATGAGAAATGGGTTCATTGTACAGATAAGATCTGCGCTGTTTCGATGGAAATCAGAGGACGCAAAAGACCCAAGGGGGTGTGTCGAGAAATGGAAAGCTGAAAGAAAGAAAAGAACGTACTTCTGTAAAATCTTACATCAAAGAGACGGAGGACTGTCAACGAATAACCAAGGTTTGCGAGGGCTGTCCGACGATACGCGCCGTCGAACGTCCTGTGCCGTGCTCGCAGCTCCACGAGTTCGTTGATGTCAACCGGCATAAACGAGTGCGCCCGATGGCCCCTGGTGTCAATGGCAGAGATAAAGCAAGGTTTACAACCAAACTTATAATAAAAAACGCTGGACTAACCTGTATCGGTGGTGGCCTGTCATGATGGCAGGGAACAAAGGAATGGGTCCAGCTCGGTTCACTTGGCGCTCATACCACTGGGTCGGTCTGGCTCGGCCCGGTTCGTTTCCCCCACGCTTTTTTTTCTTTCGCATTTCCGTTCAAGGGTCTCAGTCGTAGTCTGCAATGGTTCTGGCAAACTCGTGTGCAAGGTTGACCATTAGGGTCTCTGGTAGGTAGGTATCACTTTGCTTTCTTTTCTTGCCAATTCATGTGCATGGCCATCTAGGTTGCCTCTTAACCACACTCGCACGCGCTTTTTGTCCTTGCAGGTGAGTATCTACCACACGTATACTCGAGTTTATCTCATGTTCTTTGCAGTACTCCAGACCACTGCCAAAAATCTCTCCATATGGCCTGTCTAACACGAGGAACTATTGGTGGTCCAAATCACCCGTCCCAGAGCCATCTAATCCAGTGGTGACATCTTCTCCAGAACATCCACTCGTACCGCAGGACTCACCTTCAGTACCGGAAACACCTTCATTGCCTGCTAGTAATGACACTGTCAACTCCGCTCAATCTACGTCTAACACCCCAGAGGCGTCGGCAGCACTGGCAGTTCCCACTGCCCAGATCCCAGAACCACCTGTACCCGACGTGTCTCCCATACCTACCGTGTCAGACGTCATTCCTCCTCTCAACTACGGCGATTTTGCTGAACTTGGAATTGCCGGCTGGACACCCGCGGGAATCATCAGATGGTCTTTCGAGCTCCTCCAGGTCAGCACAGGGATGCCATGGTTCTATGCCATCATCGCCGGGACATTACTATGGCGAGTGGCTCTTGTGCCGGTTAGCGTGGCTAGCATACGGAACTCTGCGCGTCTCCTTCCATTCACCAGCCAACTGATGACCCTCGGCGAGGAGACGAAAAATGTTCCAAAGGGAGATAGACTTGCTATGCAGCGTATTCTTCTGAAGCGACAGAAAATATACGAGCAAGCCGGCGTTAGGGTCGGGCCTTCCATGTTCTTGCCGTTCATTCAAATCCCTGTTACGTTTGGAATGTTCCTGGGCATCAAGAAAATGGTTCAGCTACCCGTCGAGCAGCTCAAACAAAGCGGGATTGATATCTTGCCAGATTTGACCATGGCTGACCCTTACTTCATCCTACCGATTCTTACTACAGTCATGGTGAACATTCAAATGACCGTAAGTGTACCCGTACATCTCCTTCTCCCGTCTCTGATTGATGACTGTTCCCTAGGTTATGAGAAAAGACATGAATATTGCTGAACGTCCAGAGATGGCGCATTTCATGAACTTTATGCGGATATTGTCTGTCACGGGTCTTCCCTTCATGGGCCACTTACCATCTGTAAGTGTTTTGATCGGAAATGATATATATGGGCTGTAGAACTAAACGCCATCCTTCAGGGATTATGGCTATCGGTTGTTACTGGTGTCACTGCAACTGCACTGCAGTCGTTAATACTTCAGCAAGCCGCTGTGCGTCATGCGCTGAAGATTCCGCCCCTTGTGAAGCAGGCCATGCCCTTCCCCACGATGATACAGTCCCTGCGATTTGCTCAGACATGGTGGCAGAACCGAAGCAAAGTCACTGCAGCCAAGGCCCGGAGATGATAGTCTATATAGCATTTCGATATAACATATAACTGGTTTAATATTTAGATGTTCCCCACTCACTCGTTCGCTGTCATAAATACTGTTATCGAGGCACGTATGTTATGGAAAGCAAGAGGTGTGAATGAATGCCCCGAGTGCCTTAAGAAGTGCCACCGGACGGAAATGGTATGGATTACATAACTCTCTAGGTCTCTGTTCCCGAGCAAGGCCACGACACCCCGCGCAGCCCAGCGAAAGCAACCACCAACAAGTGTAACTGTGGTTTCTCAGTTGAAAGCCTACATTCTGGCTTGCAATCCATTCTTGCTTTCGCCCCATGTCCATCAAGCTAGGCTCGATAACGGCGACTGCTCCCGCTACTCCCTCCGTGTTGCCAGTACCTGAAGAGGAGGAATATTACTCGTCATGGTCGCTTTTTCTCGTCTGTTTGCTGCTCATTTTGTCGCTGTGGACGTCGTATTATCTTCAAATAAAAAGAATACGAGCCGTACATGAGACGTTCGTCGCCATCTTTGCTGGCATGCTGGTGGGCCTGGTTGTACGACTCGCACCTGGTACGATGATTCGGGAGATGCTGGTGAGTGCGCAATGTTATCTGGACTTGGGTGAATGGTACAAGCAAGGATCTCGGCACCGTCAACATGGTTTCTGCCTTGGTTTTGCCTGTATTCCCTTGGCGTCTCGAATATTCTGATCTCATTCGTTTCAGACGTTCAAACATACCCTCTTTTTTAATCTTCTATTACCACCAATCATCTTGAATTCTGGCTATGAACTGAAACAAGTAAGCATGCAACTCGTCGCAACTAGCACCCTATTGACGAGTTTTTTCTTTCTTACTGTACAAAGGAGAATTTCTTTCGTAACTTTGGCTCTATCCTTACCTTCGCCTTCCTTGGCACATTCATCTCCGCGGTTGGAGTGGGGTACGCGTCCAATTCGACATTTTTCATCTGTTTCGCGTTGCTTATCACTTGCAGAACAGTGTCCTCGTTTACATATATTCATTCCTAGGCCTGGAGTCGCTAGATATCACATTATTGGAATGCCTCGTTTTTGGCTCGACACTATCTGCTACTGATCCGGTAACTATTTTGGCCATATTCAACCAGTACAAAGTGGATCCAAAGCTGTATAGTGTCATTTTTGGCGAGAGTCTTCTCAATGACGCCGTTAGTATTGTTATGTATGAGTAAGTAGTTTTGAGTTTTCCACTTTAACTGGATTTTTCTAAACATTGCCTGCTCTCACAGGACGCTCACACAATTCCACGGGACGGAGATTTATATATCGTCTATCTTCCACGGGATTGGTATATTCTTGTTATCTTTCAGTGTGTCGATGGCACTCGGAGTTAGTTTCGGCCTAGCGATGTCTCTCGTGCTCAAGCATTCGTCACTTAACCTGTATCCGTCCATTGAGTCGTGTCTCGTAGCCCTCTGTGCCTACACCTGCTACTTCTTCTCCAATGGACTATCGATGTCGGGCATTGTATCCCTCCTCTTCTGTGGTATCACGCTGAAGCACTATGCATACCACACGATGTCCCGACGGACTCAACGTACAACAAAGTACATATTTTCAACGCTCGCCCAGCTCTCGGAAAACTTTATCTTCATATACCTCGGGTTGTCCTTGTTTACGAGCCCGCCATCCTCCGAGCGTGTGACGAACTACGTAAAACCGCTTTTTATCACCATCACCACTGTAGCCGTCGTCTTCACGCGCTACGCATCCGTCTTCCCCCTCTCTGAAGCTATCAACTTCTTCCACCGCCATGCTCGGGGCCAGCGGACGGAAGAGCTGCCGCATTCCTACCAGATGATGCTCTTTTGGGCAGGTCTTCGTGGTGCCGTAGGCGTTGCGCTCGCCGCAGGGTTCAAAGGCGAGAACGCACAGACGCTCAGGACAACTGTATTAGTAGTCGTCGTGCTCACTGTTGTCGTATTCGGTGGTACGACAGCGAGGATGCTCGAAGTTCTCGGGATCCGCACGGGTGTGGAGGACGAAGCGGCTAGCAGCAGCGAAGATGAGGATGGACACACTGGAAGGAGCCCGTGGTATGGCCGTCGTAACACTGGTGGCCCGTGGAGTAGGTATACAGACGAAGGACTGGGCTATATGCCATCGAACGCGGGATATGCGAGGGGAGCAGGCAGAATAGGCACTCACTACGCACCAACGAGCTACAACCACCAAGCCCAAAGTCCCGCTTCACCGATCGCAAACCACGCCGTCTTCTCTGCCGCCTCTTCCGATTCGTATGATTCGGATGTGGAAGTGCTCCCGATGGCGACGACGTCGAGCGAGCACCCTCCTCCTCCGCCTGGAGGAGGAGGAGATCCAGAGAATGGAGGAGCGGGTGCTGTTGGGGAGGACGGGAAATGGTTCCAGGCGTTGGATGAGAGGTATCTGCTGCCTATCTTCTCGAATGCGACTGCGAGCAGGACGTTCCACGCGCGACGAGCCCGTAGGACCGCTTCCGGTTCAGCGCACCTCGGAAATGTGGGTGCCAGTGCTCTTGGAACGCCTATCGACAGTGATGACGAAGGCGACAGTCCAGAGGTCCAGCTTGGTGGCGATGGCTCTCCTACTCCCGCCCGATCCTTTCCGTCTTCGTCGCCACCGGGGGAGCAGAGTCGGTCTGAGAGAGGGTTGGTGAGTCCGATGCTGAGGAATGGGAGGGAGGAAGGTCAGATTCGTACTTCGTAGTTCCCCTATTAGATGATTTTTCGCTTACTAGTAACATAAAATAACTTTATTGATGCTTTTTTGTACTTATGCAACGAGCGATTGGGATCCCCCTTTTTTGATACCATCATGGTTGAAGATGTCATGGGTCATTCATGAACACTGCTTTTTGGTGTCTTCTGAGATGGCATGATGGGATCCAGTGCATTGTCACAGTACGAGGTGGTTGCCACTATTTTTGTTTTTAATACATAATTCAAGACGAAAGCATAAGTTGTGATACACGTCAGCTACAACAGTTAATAAGTAATTAAGTATGAGGCTGGGAATTCCCATACCGCGTTCTATAGTGTGATCAATAACGAAGGAGTCATGGGAAAGGTTCATATAAATAGGGGGGGGGGATGGATACAAGATTCAGAGTAAATCAGCATTTCGTAAATGGTCCCGAAGGATGCTCTCCTCCACTAGAAGCCAAGGAGCAAAAAAGAAAGAAAAAAGTGAGAAACAGTCATGTAAAACACAACGGAAAAACTGCGGGGCGCAGACTCACCTACGCTCAGCGTAGCTGCCGTTGCCTTGGTGTCCTGGAAAAGAAGCATGTCAGTTTTCACGATGATCCCCGCGGACATGGCGGGTCTTTCCACCCACTTCTTTCAAGGCACGCACGATGGGTGGTGGAAGACCCCCCCTGTCAGAAGAAAAAGCAAAAGGCACACTCACCACTACCGATGTGAAGTGCACGAAGAAAGGCCGTGGTTCTGGGGAGCTTTGCCTGGAAATTTCCTTGAAATGTTGTTGGAAATCTAAGCGAATGGAGAGGTGAGTATGTGGGCATAAAGGTCCACGGGGAGATGGGAAAAGACGGCTTGCATTTCATCACAGTCGCAACGTCGTTCTTCCTCTCGCCACTTCAGGTAGAGCAAAGATAGTCAGTTCGTCCATGGGAATGACAGTAGTATATTGCGCAGACTTACAAACTTGGAACATGATCTTTTACACGGACACCTCGCCTTAGCTTGGCAGTGAGGATGTCACACTTATTCAAGAAGAGAATGATTTGAGTCTTGGACAGCAGCCGCGACGAGCAGACAGAGCGCCAGAGTAGATAACTGTCCTCCAGGCGATTTATACGCCGGTCTTCAGCCAGTTTTTCGTCAAAGCAAGATATTGGACTGAGAAAGATGATGGCGTCTACGTCGTCAAAATACCATGCCCATGCTGCACGCTAAATTGTGAATGTGAATGAGACCACCTTCGTATCTGGTATTGCAAGGTCGATGCCTCACCGATGATCTAGTACCACCAACGTCATACATCAGCCACTCCTTGCCCGCAGTACGGCCTTGTGAAGACAGTGAGAACAGCCATCAAAAGGCACTAGGTGAATCGCCATACCTTCCTCGAACAAGAATCTATGCTCTTGAACGCCGACGGTACGTAGTCTTGCACGAATAATGTCATTATCGGTGGGCTGGTAGTCGCGACTTGCGATTCTTTCAACGGCAGGGAGGAAGCTAAGATGCTCAGACTATTAAGTTGTTCTGCCCCGTAGAAATTGAGATGGGTGCTCTCACAATCCTGGTGAATCCTCGATCCGTGATCTTCGCTGATGTAGTATCTCTTGCACGACTGAATCTTCCCATATAGTTTTCATGTCCTCCTTGCACCCAACGAGGACATCAGTCACATCATCTCCTTCAATATCTTTACGTCTTCGAACGTTATGTTGTTCCGTACGACCAGCTGAGAATGGGCGGAACTTGTCAAGGGCAGATTTCCAGCCGTTACTTGAAGAAATACAAAACTCCTGGGCTGGCCGTCTGTGCTGCGGTACGTGGAAAGCGTCGAAGGGGGTAGCCGTGTTGACAGTGGTAGAAAGGACCTCCTGAGATGCCGCTCCTAACCGACACTCCAAATCAGCCTGTGCACGACGAAGTGGACCTAGACGGAGTTTGAGCAGGCGATGTTTGTCGGTGAATTGAAAGCTTGGTCCTCGGGGTTGCGTTTCAATCTCGTCGTCGCTGAAGCTACTGTCGCCACCTGTGGATCGTTTGGATGGGTCTGACATGGACATTTCGCGAACGATGTTGTCGAGAATGTAGTTGACGTTTCGAATGAGGTTGAGTTGGATGACGGCGCGCCATGAGGCTCGCTCCTGAGCCCATTCGCGGTGTGCATAGTGTAGCTGGAAGTCTGGCAGTGCAAGGTGGAGTCAGATGTGACGAGCGCTTATAGAAGAAAAGCTCACTTTTTAGCGTCGCCGATTTGCCTGGAGAGGATGAGAGGTGATTGCGGTTAGAGAAAGCGAAATAGACGTACCGCTCTCGCTCTGACCGAGGAGAAGAACTTTTACTGGACGTTTCTTCTTCCTCAGTGCTACCTTCTCCAGTCTTAATTGCTCGTCTATCTCGTTGTTGATCCTGGTGGCTTCAGCCTCCGCGCTCTCCCTGACCTGCCTTTCCTCTGGAGACTCGTTTGGTGGGGGTGCGATGGCGAGGGCCAGGGGATCGTCCTCAGATATACGGACCATGTTGGGTGTGGAGAGAAAATGGAGCGGGGGATGTAAGTGAGGAGGTGCTGTAGACACTGCCTTACCGTTAAACCAAAAGAAGAATGTACAGCGCGTTTGTTCTCAAGCCAGTCAAATCCATGAAATGGGTGCAAAGGATCATTCAGTGTAATTTATACGAGCTTATCTTTATAACACTTTTGACAGATTTGATGAAAAGAGTTCCGGGATCGTGCAGAATGACATTTTCTCTGTTTTTTTTTCTCACTCTTTCCACTCAGCGACGGACATTGATCAGAATATAACCACATTTCCCCATCTCGCCGGAGGGCTTTCACATGTTTCTTTTCCAGCCCAGCGCACCAAGGCAACAGTTCGGAGATTCCTCTATAATACACTTACAGAGCGGGATACAGTCACCACAAATAATCACGATCATCGCAGACCAAAACATTCACCCAAAGTCAAACTGGGTCACTGAGACAGACAGCGAAGCATTCAGTGCCGCGCTGGTGTGAGAGATCCGACGTGGAATATCACACGCAATAAACGACATGTCTCCTCGAGTAACGTTGCAATTGTCCGGTCCTGTGTCGTTAGAGACCGTAGAATAACACGCCAACCAGCTGTGAATACAACGACCATTCTGTGGCCAAAGCGCATACGACGAACAGGACACAAAGAGGATGAGTGGGCTAACCGCTTGGTTGCCGACCTATCCTGTGGCTGGTTGTTTGCACTTGCTTGTCACACGTGCTTTTCAATGTTTACATGTGACTTGCCCGTGACTTTTGCTTCCCCACCCCGTGATCAGACGCTCCCCTCACCTCCCTGTCCCTCTCAAAGCACTCTATCTCGTACGGCCCATCACAGACGGGCGTACAGAAAGTCGAAAGAGGCGTTTGTTTCCTCTGAGATCGTTGAAATCAATCGGTTATCGTACACCCCTCAAAGCCAGCCCTTCGTGATCCTTGCAGTCTCAATCAATGGACTCGACTCAGCCTAATCATGATCCTGCAATGTCCCAACAAGCACAAGGCCCTGTAGACACACAACAGTCTGCACAGAACCAGCCCTCTGCTGTCGATGCCTCAGTCGCAGTCGCAGAATCTCTTTCCTCTCAGCTGCAGGATAGATACAACCAGAACCAGCTCGTCAGCATTCTCCGCAACCTACCACCCGTTCTGTTCTCCAAGGTATGTTTCAGATTCGATCTTTCAAACCCGCCACTCCTTCTTGTCGAGTGTTCTCAAAGTCATGGCATATTATGTATATCAGCGCCCACGTGACCTTTGACCTTCGTCACGTTCAGCGACCAGACTGCATGTTATAAATATTTCATCTGCATGGGACACTATGATAGCACTTGCCCTGCTCATCATGCTGATTCTCTTTTTCATTGTCATAGTTGACAGAACAAGGCGCTCTTAAAGAGGATGCTGCTCAAACACTCTCAAATCTTTCGCAGGCTGGCTATATAAATCCTCAGCCTCCCCATGGCCAGCATCAACTACAACCTACCGCACACCAACTACCCGTCTCGCAGCATCCTTATCCACCTCAGGTACATCACCCTGTGCACCATCAGCAAGGAGTACCTGGATTAAGCGACCCAGGCCCATCGTCGCACCCTCGTGGCCCCCCAAACCTGGGTCAACTTTCCGCCATTGCCTCTGCTGTCGGCGCTGCTGTCGGCCCACAAGCGCCTCCAGTGCCTCAGGTTGGGCCGCATGGACAGGAAACAGAAGAAGGTCTCACTGATGCAGAAGAAAATGGGGCTCAGCAATCTACAGATGGCCTCCCGGGAGGTGCACCTCCCCCTGGCGGGAGATCTCGAACTGCGAGAAGTGCGACGATGGGAACGGATGAATGGACTCGACAAAGGAAGGATAACCATGTACGCATATGGTCTCATATCAAAATAGGAAATGAACTAACGTATCATACCATGTCAACAGAAAGAGGTCGAACGTCGCCGTAGGGGGAATATCAATGAGGGAATCAACGAGCTTGGGCGTATCGTGCCTAACAGTTCAGGGGAGAAGGCAAAAGGAGCTATACTGTCCCGTGCAGTCCAATACATCCACCACTTGAAGGAAAACGAAGCGAGAAATATCGAGAAATGGACACTGGAGAAACTGCTGATGGATCAAGCGATGGGGGACTTGCAGGCGCAGCTTGAGGAAATGCGGAGATTATGGGACGAGGAACGTATAGCGAGACAAAGAGCAGATGGCGAGCTTAATGAGCTAAGACGACTCCAACAACAAAACCAGGTGGCTCAAGTAAATGCGACATCGGCCGGCGGGGTACCTGGGTTCAGATCTCGTTCGCGGTCTGCGGATCGCGGTAAGGAAAGCGGGTCACCGAAAAGAAACGTTCTAGGCGAGAGTGAGGTACGCACCGAAGTAGAGGGAATCTCAGAAGGAGACGAGGCGATCAAACAACAGGAGGACGGAGATAATCGACCTGGAAAACGGCCTCGAATGGAGTGATGGGAAGGTCTTGGAAACATTTGGGTTGTCACTGTTATCGATATCGGGCTACCTTTGGGTATCGTGAAACTGTTTCTATTGCTGTCTATTATTACTTTTTGCTGATTGGCTTTGGTGGTTATCCCTATTCGCTTCGGTCTTGCATTCGTGCATACGAGTACCCATTGTAATTTTACGCAGGTCCCAGTATGATAAGGCCTTTGAAATGAGTGCCGACTTGACTCTATTGGCTGGAGACTATCTGACACCTGAGCAATTAGCTCATACGTTCTCACGCCACCATCTCCATGACGTACTGCGCCACGACAGCGATCGTCGAGTCCAGATATAGTGCAAGCATTTGAACATAACAGAAGAGGGAATTTCCCAACTCTGCCTTGAGCTTGGGCCATCGCGGTCCGCTGTCTTTGTGTCGTATGTTATTTGACAGGTTTAGGATTACGATACAGGCCACGACGCCCCGATGACCCGTGGGTGGCCTGGTCATCCGCGTTATTTATACCAATTCTATCTACCCAAACCACAATCACTTTGTATACCGTGGAGTTACAAAGGAGGTCTTCTCTTTCCCCTGTAGAATCATGACATTTGCCCATCTGTCGGGATATGACACAAATCCTATTACCCGTCAAGCCTTCAAGCTTTCCTTTATATTCTGCCCGGCAAAAACTGGTTGGCAGGTGGTACAAGCGTGCCAACAACGCAAAAAAAACCCATCATGGTCTTCTTCTCTCTGATTCTGCAGAGCACTCTGGTGTGCGCTGCGACGGCGCTATGTTATTTTGTCTGGCACCGATTAGTGGCTAAACACCCTTTGGATAATATCCCAGGTCCTCCTGCGCAGAGCTTATGGAAGGGTGAGCTTTCGTTTATACAGCATTGATTGTCTTTCGTGTTGACCAACGCAATGGCACGTTCGTCTACCGGAATTTTGTTTTGTATTTTTAAAAAAATGTAGGTAATATGGGCCAGGTGTTTGATAACAACGGCTGGGATTTTCATCAGCTGCTCGCCGACAAGTTTGGTCCCGTTTCGAGATTCTATGGATTATTCGGGGTGAGCTAGACGATTGTGCAGTCCTGGTTTCGAATAGACCGCTAATACTTATTCTTTTTGGATATAGGCGAGGAGGCTGTATGTGTTTGACCCCAAGGCCATGCATCATATCGTAGTCAAGGATCAGTATACTTACGAGGAGACACCGATGTTCCTAGAGTATGTGCCATGGCATCTAATCTCTACTAGTGTCGCTCCTAACCTTGATTGTCTTTTTCAGAACAAACAAGCTGTTGTTCGGCGAAGGACTGTTGTCCACATTGGGTAGGTAGATATGGACTCTCAATACAACTGGGTTATAGCTAACCATCTCTCCTAGGCGAACATCATCGCAGACAACGCAAATTATTGAACCCGGTATTCTCTATCAGTCACATGCGCCATATGGTACCCATATTTTCCGAGATCACGAAGATCGTAAGTGCATTTCATCCCGGTTCATCGGTCATGAACACATTTTTCATTTTAACTTTTTTTCCCTAGCTCCGCGACGCCATTGCGGAGAAAGTACAGGACGGACCGCAAGAGATCAACATGTTGGACTGGTTCACCCGCACGGCCCTGGAATTGGTAGGGCAAAGCGGTCTAGGCTACTCTTTCGATGAGCTAAGGGAAGGGTATACGAATCCTTACAGTCATGCGGTTAAGAATATGCTGTCAGTGCTCTCTTCCCTATTCGTTTCGAGATGGTTGCTGAGACGTCGTCGTTCCAGGCCGACTTTATTTAAACTGACGATATGGCGTCAGTTCTTGCCGTTGGCGGTCAAGCTCTCGTCTGCTAGCTTCCGCAAACGCCTGACAGATATTATCCCGTGGAAGCCGTTGCGGGAGCTCAGAGACATTGTGGATATCATGGCGCAGACGTCTACCACGGTTTTCGAGGCTAAGAAAGTGGCTCTTCAGGAGGGAGATGAAGCTGTCATGCGTCAAGTGGGCCAAGGAAGAGATATCATAAGTATATTATGTACTTGCCGCTTTTCTTATCGCTCTCACGTCCGTTACTGATCCCATCCGAACAGTGAAAGCTAACTTGGAAGCAGCTGAGGAGGATCGTCTGCCAGAGTCAGAACTTTTAGCCCAGATGTCGTACGTAGTCATACTCATTTCAGCGGCTTCGGCGCTAACGAATAACGTCAACCTTGCAGTACACTCATTTTTGCCGCGATGGATACGACATCAGGCGCTCTTTCGCGCACTTTGCAGACCCTTTCGAGTCACCCAAAAGCTCAAGAAACACTCCGTGCCGAAATCAGACAAGCAAGGGCTGAAAAGGGGGACCTGACTTACGATGATTTGGTCAACTTGCCTTATCTGGATGCTATATGCAGAGAAACATTACGTCTGTGAGTACCAAGTTCATACGAGGTTGACGCTCTAGCTAACTTTAGCTTAGTTATCCTCCCGCTACTATGGTCTCCCGAACGTTCGTAGATTTGTTATGCGGTTGTGTTCATCATGAAGATCCACTAATATATGCACACTAGGGCTCGAAAGGACATCATTCTGCCGTTCTCGAAGCCAGTCAAAGGTGTAGACGGACGCGAAATGCACGAAGTACTCGTTCCGGAAAATACCAGCATCATCATTTCGATTCTCGCATCCAACCGCAATCGTGAGATCTGGGGTCCAGATGCTCTCGAGTGGAAGCCGGAAAGGTGGCTCTCGCCGCTCCCTCAAAGTGTGACTGACGCGCAAATACCGGGCGTTTATTCGCATTTGTGAGTACTGGAGAGTGTATTTTCTCTGGTGTTTTTCTAAATTGGCTTTTGTTCTTGCAGGATGACTTTCCTGGGCGGTGGAAGAGCGTGCATGTAAGTCCCCCAGTCACCTTTTTTTTCAAATTCAATGCAGCGATTGACCAGCATTCCAGCGGATTCAAATTCTCTCAACTTGAAATGAGTACGTGTTTGTTATCTTTGTCTCGTTATACATCACTCATTGTTGCGAAAATGGTTATCAGAAATGGTACTCTCTTTGTTGATCGAGTCGTTCAAATTCTCCCCTGCGAAGGAGATCGCCTGGACACTAGGCGGGGTGTCTTCTCCTCGAGTAAAGGGTTCGACAGAAGCAAAACTCGAGTTGCCCATCATCGTTGAGTCTGTAAAGGCTTGAGTTCATGGATATGTCATATTGCAGTTGTTTATGGGTTTATGGGTGGGCATCAACATAGAATGTTTGTGCTGTAGTACTTTCGCCTTTGTTACTTTTTCTTGTCAGTATATGTATCATCAAGACATCTTATAAGGTCACGTGTGGTTGAGGCAATTGGCAATTGTTCGTATTGTCGTATGGTGTTTTGGCTGCTAGTAGAGATCGTAAGTTTGGGGTTTAAGCTCTATCAAAGGTCACTACCATCAGCAGTTCATTGGAGAGATAACTGGAGTCACTAGATAACAAAGGAATCCCGCATGAAGTAGAGAAGAAGATGGGACTAAATTTAAAACGAGCCAGAGAGATAGAAATGAACTTGAGTCGCCCTCGCATGTGGAACTCACAATGTAATATTTCCATATGTTAGTTGTGTCAGACAGGGCTGATAGAGTGCATGCGTCTGAGTACGAGGTAAGAAAAGCGCCGACAGAAGCAAAATACGATCTTTGGGGAAGAAATTGCTGAGTGCCACTCGATTTTGATAGGACATCTAATGGAACGGCTCCACTATTTGCCACTAGAAGAGATGCCGGGGCCTTTATGAGGTAGGAAAACCGTCCCCTCGGGATCTTATAGTTGACACAGCGTTTTTGGAGCCACTTGAACTTCCGTGTAACACCATTTTTCGACACGACTCGTTGAGTTGAGACAAGGGCTTGCATTACTACTTCCAGCTGCAGCCTCGAGTTCCATTTTGCTGGCTGTCTCGTCTACAAACTCCTATGGAATTAAATAACAGATGGGGTAAGCAATATACCAGTACTAATAAAGTAGCAAAATGACACACTCACTTCCATTGGCCTGATATGACATTGCAATGTTTTGGGGTGCAAACGAGGCAAGACGTCTTTTTCTCATCTTGATGCTACTTCATCGTGAGCGTTATTGAATGAACACTGTCGACTCGTGGTCGCCGTCTCCGATGTTGCGGTGTAAAGAGGGCTCGTCAAGTTATTAAAGCAAACCTGCAAGCTTGCAAGGTGCAACGGAGAATGATACCAAAATGTGGTTTCATGATAATGTCGCTGTTGCTATGCAATGTTGCAGAAATCGAAAGGTGGTCGCGTATGTTCCGAGGCCAAGTCCCACGGCGCCTCATGCGAACATCAACCGCATGCATGTCTTTGATTACGAAACACACTGTCGTCTTATTATCGTGGGGCTCTCCGTATGGCCCAGTGATGCTTAGACTATCGACCGCAGTACCACCTGTGAACTCTCCTGGCTTCTTGTGCAACATCGTGGTTCGACACTCAAGCGCTCAATCACATATCAATGAAGCTGCCTTCCTAAGGAAAGCCGTTTGGGTCACGATGTTGCCCGTTATCTTATCGGAGCACTTGTATGACCTTTCAAGAACCCTGGGATGCCCATCTTTCCCTTGGTATGTACACATACGTTCTTTCTGCTAGAAATTATATTATTGTCTACGCTTGGAAGTTCGCAGGCACCAGCCTTGTGATACTTCCATGCTACTATGTGGCACCATATGACACATGCTACAACGAGCCTTGGTTTCAAGCGCTCATCTGCGACCTTGTGCATGTCCTAAGAAGCATGCGTAACTAGCTTTCTTACTGCATGGCTCACGCGAATTCCCTGATACCCCAGATCACTCTGCGCTCCACTCGTCCATTCGGAGCGAAACGTGCGACATATAAAAGTGCATTTCATTAAGGGGGAGGAACCTCTGACGTTGCTCCCGCTTCGCTTTGTTGCTCTTGGTGTACCTAGTCAAGATGGTTTGCACTCTCAAGACGCTCCTACCTTCATTGGTCAGCCTTGCCGTAGCTCTCGGCACCCATCAAGTCGCTGCATACACCAATTCTGCTGCCAATAACGTATGTTCTTCTCTCCCATCCCAGTAGAGCCAATAATAACCAGATTTATTTTCTTTTCCAAGCTTGCTGTGTATGTATTTCAAGCTTGCTCATGCTATGTTATCTTATTCTTATCGATCGGAATAGCTACTGGGGACAGAACTCTTACGGCGCTGCAAACCCTTCCGATACCGCTGGGTTCCAGAAACCAATTGGTGCTTACTGCCAGGTTCGATCGTTTCCTTTCTCGTAATTTCTTCCATCACCGCTCATATGGCTATTCAGGATAGCACCATCGATGCTATTCCTATTGCTTTCCTCGATGTGTTCTTCGGAACGGGTGGTCTCCCTTCCCTGAATTTGGCAAACGTAAGCCCATCAACATAAATCCCAAGTTATATTATCTACCAATGCTCATGGTGTACCTACGCAGAGCTGCAACCCAACGGACAATGCCACATTCGCAGGTAGCGAGCTGCCAAACTGCTCCGCTCTTGCGGCAGACATCCAGACTTGCCAGGCTGCAGGCAAGATCGTCACGCTATCGCTCGGTGGCGCAACTGGTGCCAACGGTTTCACCTCGGACGCGCAAGCCCAGACGTTTGCAGACCAAATCTGGGACTTGTTCCTTGGAGGTAACGGTACTACCAGGCCTTTCGGTGCTGCCGTCCTCGATGGGTGAGTTCTCATATGTCATAACTCCTGAAACCCCGGTAATTGAATCTGCGCCGTAGTGTCGACCTTGACATCGAAGGAGGCTCGTCTACTGGATATGCTGCATTTGTCACCCAAATCAGGTCTCACGCCACGGGCGCTAGCAAGCCGTGAGTCGAGCGCTATTGGTTCTTTATGTCGTTCGCTCAGTCAATGTCTGCAACAGATACTATGTCACCGGCGCTCCCCAGTGCCCCTTCCCGGATGCTTACCTTGGATCTGTCATCGATGCCGTCGGATTCGATGCGCTCTACGTGCAGTTCTGTGAGTGTGAACATCATCAACCTTCGAAAACCGTTATCTAAATTGATGCGGCGCTAGATAACAACTACTGCGGTGTTAACAACTATGGGACTCCTAGCGACTGGGACTTTGGCCTTTGGTAAGCTATTCTTCTAGGCGCGGCTCTTAGACAAGTGTAGCTAATGCAGGTTCTTTATAGGGACTCCTGGGCCAAGACCTCTCCTAACCCCGACATCAAGATCTACATCGGTGCACCCGCCTCCACGAGCGCAGCTACCTCAGGCTACGTTGACGCCGCTACTCTCGGTTCCATCGCCACAGCTACAGCTGCCAACTACACATCGTTCGGAGGTATAATGCTTTGGGATGCCTCGCAGGCTGCAGGTGGGTTGATCTGCAACGTATGTATTGTATACCACCACTAACTTCTCATGAACTACAGCGAACGGCAACTACGCTCAAGCTATTAAAGGCGAGATTAGCTCCTTGACCACCACTGTGGGTGGGCTTTCCAAGTCTACTCGTGAGGAACGCCCCAAGAGGTCCTCCCGCTTCTTCAAGCTGTGATCCCCTCACGTATGAATGACCCATGTCATGACAAACCCTTATTATGCCTTCTGACCACATACCCATGGGATGCATAGGCTGGTTTTTCATTCGAGGTCGAAGACTGGTGGAACCGGCCTTCGCTGACGGAGTATTTATGAAATGAAAAAAATGGGTAGACATGACACGTAGACGTTACATTCACGGCTTTAAATTATTATCTAAATCGGTATTTTTGTTATCTCCAAACATGAGCGAATGAGAGATAGTTTCAAAGTGACGATATTCGGAGCTAAATGATACGATGCTCCTGCCTATATAGATAAACGAGCATATACGACACCGTTCATCGTCAGATTTTCTGTTCACAAAGTGACGGAATACGCCAACGAGTAGCGCTGGAATGTGGCATGGGAAGGACCGTAGAAGGCGCCAAGTAGAATCAGCTAGTGAGCTCATCGTCGTGGGTATCATTCCGATGCATGACGGAGGATTACATGTCGATTTAGTCGAGAAACGGTTTACCTCAAGCTGGGTAATGACGCTGGTTACTGGGATGGGATGGATATGCCCTATTACGCCAGCTAGTTCGCCTCTGCTGTGATCCTGGATTGGCAGATTGATCTGTAGAAGGTTCATCTTCTGCCACTGCCACTGATCTTCGATTGGCTGGCGCTACATATGGACGCGGGGGATAGTTACTCCTATAGCGAACTTGGCCAACTCTCTGGCCAGCGGTTCCTCCCTGTGCGGCTACACCCCTCCAAACCGGAGGTCTAGGCTCATGTACTGGCCTATTCCTCGCTCCTTGAACATAGTTAGACGCGTAGGTAGAGGCAGAGACGGTAGGCGCGGTGACAGTCGTCGTGACATTGTTTGCCTTGGGTATTTTTGGCTTCTTGGACTCCTTTCGTTCTCTGGGGGGCGGTGGTGGTCCTGGATCATAGAAAGGGTTTTCTGCTTGCCACATTTTGAATCCGTCAAGGTCGCGTAGCGCTCCATTTATTATACTGAAAGAGTAATATCTCACACTAGGTATATTTTCCATCATGTGGGCCATGGCGCTTAGGCGGGTATAGAGCATATATCCTGCATGTGCATCATTCGCGGCATCTAATAAAAATATCTGTTAGTATATGCACTGATGGACAGGCGCAATTGTGTTTAGTTTTTGCGGCGTGTGGTAGGACTCACACTCTTGTTGAACATCCAACAGTAACAGCTCCCAGTTGCTACGCTGGACCTTTCCCTTGGGTAGAGAAAAGTTCTCGTAGATTTCCAGGAGATGAGAGAGCCCAATCGGATTAGTATATTTGCCTTTCCAATGCGCATTATCTGTGGTACGAGCAAGGAGCGAGAGATCGACACAATTTCGAGTAGAAACGGAGAAATTCCTGTATAACTTTATACAGTCATCTGTGGTAAGTCGTGGTCATGATCGGAAGAAGCATGATTATATGCGTGAACATACTCTGAATACCAACTCCAGCTTTTACCCACTCGTCACTACCCAGGATATCTTTCAGTGTAGCGGGAAATTCTAGGAACCATAAACATTGCTGTTTTCAGTAACTGCGCGAATGGCGGGGTGGATTATGATACCTATCATGGCACTAACTTGTATGAGCCAAACAGTATCTTTGTTAGCTAGTTGAACCAGCGCAACGGGATTTTCTCTTTCACCCTTCCTAAAATTGGGGCGCCATTCCAGATCAAAGCCAAGGGGTCCTTTTGGCAGGTTTGCTAGCTCGGCGTTTGCGATATGATGGTCCCTTATATACACTAATTTTCCATTAGAGCTGTGGTTTCTCCACGAATATGAAGGATATGTTGGGCGAGGCGGTGGTGGAGGTTGGGTGTTATTTTTGGGAGCCATAGGTGTTGGATCGGAAGACATCGAAACTGCAATACTCTGACCACTCTGTAAAGCTCTCTGGTAATATGAAAGCAATAATAGTGCTGGTTTGAACCACGCTTTTAGGTGGGAACGAGCTGCAACAATATGGAAGTTGGATACAAGATGCAGACGGTGGTGTGGTATACGCAAGGTGCGCGTCAAGCGGTGGGAGGTTCGATGCATGAAAGCAGTGGCACTATTATAGACCCCGACCCAATAACCAGCACAAGCGCCCTAATAAGGTAATTCAAATTAAATACATCTTCAAGTTACACCCGCTGCTAATGCACTCAAATAAGTACCAGAATCCGGGCCCTAATCATGTCTCCAATGATCTGCACAGAAACAGCAATATGCACCGCACTGTGGAGTGAGCGCTTGGAGGATAGTACTTAAGCCTTCACAAATTCTGGCCAAGATGGACCACAGTTGACAGTTAAATCTACGATGCCAATCCACACGCACTGGCCGCGGCAACCCGACTATCGCTCAGCAGATTCTGTATTGCGACCAGTAGAAACCCAACTATTGCCGCCGGTCGGCCCTCGTGAAATCACTGGGAGTGTGAAGAGGTTTGCCTTGCGGGGAGACATTCCATCAATCAACGTCCACTATCCACTATCGGTCTCACATGGCACCTTTACTCGGTACAAGAGGACAGACCGTACTTATTGCTGCAGGGTCTCGGAATTCACCTGGGAATACAAACTTCTTCCTTACAACCAATGCCGATGCCTCGATCTGCACAAATAAATTAACGCCCTAGGGAAATTCAATTGTCAAATTTTTGCTGTGGTTGGAAGTAGATATTTCTTAGTGGGGGGAGGTTCTTCGCAAGGCTCGGGAGTACTTGATGTGTGCGTAAGTATATCATTTAAATAGCGAGCGCATAGAGCTTGTTGTTGGGTGGAACTTCAGCCTTTCTTGCGCAGATAGATATTCTGCTGTGCGGCTACTTAAAATTCACTTGGGATATTATTATATATTTCATAGTACAGTGCGTCAACCTTGGGTTCGATAAGGGAATGAGCTGCAACAGTGTGGATCCAGATGTATATGTATACATGACTTGGGATTTTCAAATCAGTTTGATTCTATTAACTTAGAATAGGAGTGGTGTTTGTGTAGAACCTGGCTCAGATCACTAACTATAGTAGGAATCACACCACTAACCGCACATTCCAAATTCAGTGCTCCACCAAGATGTCTGTTATCGGTCTCATATGATAATACCGCTCCTCGGTATAAGAGGACAGACCATACTTATCGCGACAGCGGTTCGGCATTCCTACGGATTCTGGATCCCTGGAATATGGGAATATAAACTATCTCCTGACGAGGTATTCCAATGCCTTTATTTGAGAAATGAAATATACGCCCTAGGCAACTTTGATTGCCATTATTTTGCGGTCGTTGACTGTTGATATTGATATTTCTTAGTTGGGGGAGATGCTTCGAAACAGTCAGGAGTACTAGAATACCTATAACTATCAAATCCATAATAGTTACGACATTGATCAGAAGGCCCAACCTGTCAGAATCGATACACAAGCAAATGGACGAGTTATAATTTCCATACAGTCCCTCATTCGATGTTAGGTCAGCAAGGCAATCACTGGCGCTTCCCGAACCCCTTTGGGCCACCGGAGGGCGGTGAACCTGGATCATAGGTTGGGTTTTGTGGTTGTCACACTTCTCCCCCAGAAATGTCGAGTAACGTTCCGTTTATCACACTAAACGTGTAATACTTCACACTGGGTGCTTTTGGCATGACACGTGCCAGAGTGTTCAGATGAATGTAGAGCACATATCCAGCATGTGCATCGTTGGCAGCATCTGTTCAGTATAGTCATTAGTACATATATTGACGGAGCTTAGACACTAAATCTGGGCAGTAGAGTAAGGACTTACACTCCTGCTGATCGTATTGCAAAAGCTGCTCCCAATCGCTAAGCCGTACGTCTCCCTTGGATAGAGAAAAGCCCTCATACGTCTCTAAAAGATGAGAGAGCCCAATTGGAACAGTGTATTTGCCTTTCCAGTAAGCGTTATCAACGGAGCGTGCAAGGAGAGAAAGATCAACGCAATTCCGAGTAGAAACACCGAAATCGTTGTGCAGTTTTAGGCAGTCGTCTATAAGGAACTGATAGTCAGGATCAGGTAGGACGTGCTAAGATGCAGCACACACTCGTTATATTAACTCCAGCTTTGACCCACTCATTACTGCCCAGAATGTCTCTCAATCTGGAAGGAAATGCTAGTGAAGGCTGCTTCAGTGACTGAATGAACAAACGAACGAATTGGGATACCTGGCATGGCACTAATTTGTATAAGCCAGACAGTATAATGTGTAGCGAGCTGAATGACTGCAACCTCGTTATTTTCTTCCTTCCTGAAATTTGGGTGCCACTCCATGTCGAAGCCAAGGGGCCCTTTCGGCACGTCAGCTAGCACGTCATTTGCAATGCAGTAGTCTCTGACGTATATTAATGTACCACGGTAACTGCGACCTCGCCACGAGTACGGTGGACATTCTGGACGAGGGTATGTGTTCGTGGAAGACATGGCTGCAGGGCTTAAGGGCAAGGGCTGGTGACAATGATCGACACACGTTTATTTCCTATAAGGCTATCTCGAAACGAGAATAAGCTGCGTGTAGATGCTAGATACGAGGCGTTGGCCCAGCTGCAAGTATCCGCCAGCTGCGGGATGTTCTACCAGCTTTATGGTTATGGCCTGATGAAATAGTATGGGCGCTTCAGGTAATAGTAATCGCTAAGCGCAAATTCAAGTTCCACTTGGAAAGCTTGCACTCGTCCTACGACTGTCACTAGCCCATCGTAAGTAATGCCACCCAAATTGAACCAGGATATCCTTGCCTCTCGTGTCAGGACCTTCACTTTCCAAATGCAAAATCAAGAGCCCTGTTCCCATCATAAAAATCCATTACGGCCTTCTAAAGCTAATATTGCTTTTGAAGGTGGCTCGTCTTTCACGTTGAAACCGACGCATTGGTTGTTTACTGTAAAACCCTCAAGAGGTAGGATTTGTCCTTTCCTGTGGCTATTGATAGCAGCTGCCAGTATTCGCTTCTTGTCAGTAAACGCTGCAGTTCGGGAAGAATTGAGTGAGTTGAAGCTCATGATATCGAACTCCGATTCCTAACTTGTACATTGAAGGCTTTTAGTTCAAACTAGCAAGACTACAAGTAGGCATATTGACAGACATCATCGTCTACATATCACTAATTTGGTCAGACTAAGGCAAGCAGGAGTCACAGTACGAAAGTCTTTCTAATCAATTCATGGTAAGTTCACCAGTTACAGCGTAATACAAGGTGATTCATCGGTCGATATTTTCCCGCGGCACCAGTAGTGGCACTTACACATGACGATAATGCCGCCTTAAATACCAATCTGAGTCTGACAATCTAAGTCTGACAATAACCGCCCAGAACACCACCATCATGCCATCTGTGATCCTCTTACAGAGTTTGGCGCTATGCGTCATCACTTCCATTTCGTGGTATGTTTGGAGAAGGATTGGGGTCAAGCATCCATTGGACGCCCTACCTGGCCCTCCCTCGCAGAATCTATGGAGTGGTAGGTCAACACTCAGATGCAATGACTCAGTCCCACTCATCTCTCTCGCTCGCTCTGGGAATATGTCCAACCATCTAGGTAACTTGCCGCAGATCTTCAATCCCAACGGATGGGAGTTCCACAAGATGCTCGCCGAGACATATGGTCCTGTCTCGAAGTTTCATGGGATATTTGGGGTAATTCGTCCATTCTATTTACCAGCTGTTGCTGATAGTGGTTCTGTAGGACAAAATATTATATGTTTTCGATCCTAAAGCAATGTATCATATCATTGTCAAGGATCAGTACGTCTTCGAGGAGACGAGTATGTTCCTCGAGTGTGTAGCCTTTCAACTTCTCGTGTTATCAGCTAATCCACAACCCATTTTTAGGACGAATAAGCTGATATTTGGCAACGGGCTTTTGTCGACTTTAGGTGGGTACTCGCTTAACGTAAATCTAAATATCTCCTTATTTTTGTTCGAGCGCAGGTGACCACCACCGGAAGCAGCGTAAATTGCTAAATCCAGTTTTTTCCACAAATCACATGCGTGAAATGGTGCCCATATTCCACGAAATCACTCATATGGTTCGTGCAATTCATCTAGAAAAACCTTCCATATTTTTTGACTGGACATATTATTCTTCGTTTTGTTTAAGCTTCGGGACAAGATTGCTGCTAAGGTGCAAGACGGTCCCCAAGAAATTGACATGCTAGACTGGTTCTCTCGGACTGCTCTAGAACTCATCGGCCAAAGCGGCTTGGGATATTCCTTTGATGCGTTAACAGAGGGATCCAAGAATGTATACAGTCAAGCCGTGAAAAATTTGGTGTCAGCAGCTCGGTTCTCACTCTGGTTTAATATTTGTTCACTAGTCAAGACAGGGCTGGAATCTTCAGGTTGACCGTCGTAAGGCAGTTTTTGCCATGGGCAGTTAAGATCGGTCCACCAAGCTTTCGCGAATTCATCGTAAAACATCAACCCTGGAAGACTTTACGAGAATTCAAACAGAACGTGGATATCATGACGGAGACATCGTCTTCAGTCTTTGAGGCCAAAAAAATCGCCATTCAGAAGGGAGACGAAGCTGTTCTGCAACAAGTAGGTCAAGGGAAGGATATCATGAGCATCTTATGTGAACATTCAACTAAGCCCTTGTGGGAAGTGGCGTGGCTGACTAGCATCTTCTTTCAGTAAAAGCCAATATGGGAGCATCCGAAGATGATAGGCTGTCTGATTCAGAGCTGCTCGGCCAGATGTCGTGCGTACCCATTACAAAGAGGGCCGGAATTCCCTTGTATTCACTTGTTCTACAGCACATTCATTTTTGCCGCGATGGATACCACGTCTGGAGCTTTGTCGCGTACTCTGTTGACGCTTGCTGAACATCCTAAAGCTCAAGCTCGGCTGCGTGAAGAAATAATTAAAGCCAGAGCTGACAAGGGTGAACTAGGCTTTGATGATCTGATGAATCTTCCATATCTTGACGCTATTTGTCGAGAAACACTGCGATTGTCCGTTTTTCTTTATACCTCATAATTGGGACGCTTAACATCATGATGATAGATACCCGCCAGTTGGGGGTGTATCTCGAACGTTAGTGGACAGCCAGCTACTCAGTTAGACCTTCGTAGTAACTTACGCTTGGTTTTCAGGACACGAAAGGACGTGATTTTGCCATTTTCGGCTCCAGTTCGCGGCGCAGACGGTAAAGCCATACACGAAATCTTGATCCCAAACAACACAAATGTCCTTGTTTCTATACTTTCCTCCAACCGCAATCCTGAGCTTTGGGGCGAAGATGCGCTGGAATGGAAACCAGAGCGGTGGCTTTCACCTTTACCACAGAAGCTCATGGAAGCTCAAATACCTGGTGTATACTCGCATATGTAAGTGGCATTCAATGTGGTTTCTCTCTTTACTGACTAGTAGCGTCTGATAAGGATGACATTCCTCGGTGGCGGAAGATCCTGCATGTGAGTTTTACCTTCGTAATGCACATTTCCCCTTTTCCTCATGCTCGTCTTGCATCTGTCCCAGCGGCTTCAAGTTCTCACAGCTTGAAATGAGTATGTCATATATTAATATGTCCAAGGAACGGGTCTGACATATCATGGTGACACCCTTCAGAAGTCGTTCTATCTTCGATGGTCGAGACTTTCCAATTCACACCGACCAAAGAAATAGTCTGGACCATGGGTCTATCGGCACCGAGGGTCAAGGATTCAAAGGACCCGAAGTTCAAATTACCGGTCATGGTTCAACTTCACAAATCGTCCTAGGTAATGACCATGTGAGAGGTATTTTGGGGCATGGATGAAGTGTCTTCGCGAACTAATGTTGTCTTGTAACGAAATTATGTATGATTCAAATTATGATTTTGTTGATCGCTACGTAGCATGTACAAAAGCATTGAAGGATGTTATCACGGGTCAGTGCACTGCCACTCTAGTCCGGGTACCGATCTCGATAAGATACCAACGATCAATATTTTACTGCAATGTCTCCATCGTATTTGCATTCGTAAAAGCACTGGTTCAGCTTTTACCTGCCACATAAATACCCTCCTACAACGAGATAACTTTGCTCTCGTATCTAAACCACCATAACTTCACATCAAAATTTGTAATGTCAACCAGCGTCGCCCCTCCAGAAGATGAACTCAAGCCTGTTTTGTTGAGTTTGAAGGCAGACAATCCTACACTGGGCGTCGCCAAAGTGCACAATCTCCTACTTTCAACACATCCTGAGTGGACGGTTAGCGAAAAAAGAGTACGGAAGATCCTGCAGAACGAAGGTCTGATCTTGTCGACGCCTGAAGGAAAAGCGTTATCAAACAGATCGGGCATCGTCTACCCATCTTCTCGAATAATTGAGAAGCTTGACGTTAGCAAGTGGAGTAAAAAGATAGAAGTGAAGTACTTTGATCACATCAAAGGCAAAGGTCTTACAGCGAAGGAGAAAATAGCTGATGGAGAGGTTTTGTGGAAAGAGGATCACTTTGTAATTGCTCCTGAGTGGTCAGTGAGTGAAGCACACCTAGAACGTAACAGGTTCACTTATCCATTGTTTCTTTAGGGAAATATATAACCTTCAAACTTCATCTCGGGCATGTGCATTCTGTACTACCCCACTTTCCGAATCCAAGTTGATCATTGCATGCCCTGCTTCAACATCTGCTTCATTTTGTCCCGCCATGTTTTGCAACCGCCTTTGCCTTGCACGATCAGCCAAGACCCACCCTCTGTTGTGCCCATCTCGTAATCCTGCTTCTGTTCCCTTGCTGTCGTTCGTCAAGAAAGCTCAATGGATGGCTCTGCATGCCCTGGCTCAATGTACAAGTCGACTCTTGCTAGCTGCCCAACAGGATGAACAGTTATTCTCCGAGGATTGGCAGATTGTTCGTGGATTCGCCGAGCTAGGAATGGAAGAACGTTTCCAATCTATGCGGTTAGGCTTTTCTGAACATTACAGCAGTCATGGTATATGCTAATCATATTGCCAAAGTGATCAAGGACTCGAACCAGACAGGGAAAACTGGCAGAGGGCATACAAACTGTACTTACAGGCATTCAAGGAACCTATATCAGTGGTTGACCGCAAGAAATTGTCGCGAATACTTAAGAAGTCTACGACTCCGGAACTGGATAAAGAGTTATTTGAATATGATGCTTTCCTTCGGGGACTGGGGCGTATGAGTCTCAGTAGGTTGTTTGGTCGGTCCATCATGATGTCGCTCACGGTAAACTTGTGTACCACTAGATCTCGAGGCTCATGGCGGTCTATACACTCTTCATGCTCATCTCAACCATTCATGTACTCCCAGCATCTCAGTACGACACCTTGACCAGCACAACGCTCTTTCTCGAATTACCATCATTGCCAGGAAGGATATTGATGCGGGAGAAGAACTCTTCATTTCCTATGTCAATCCTGCCGCTAGACTGAAAGAGCGACGACGCAACCTTGCAGAATGGGGTTTTGGGCAGTGTCAATGCGAGCGTTGCCTAAGCGAAGAAAATATGGACAAAGAGTCAGGGACAAGCCATGATGAAACTGATGACTTGGCAAAAGAACTCAAAGCTGGGCTGGGAGTTCTATAGGGAGACCGTTAAAAATGTTTTTTTTTTGTCTCATTGGTGGCTTTAACCGTAAAATTTGATATCCGTTCGGTCTCGTCTTCGGGAGGATCTCACCACCGTCCATTGGTACAGGTTCTGCTTCCCCCCTGAAAATGACACGAGATGCTAGAGGTCCGCCGCAGCCGTTCGTCTTTTGAACTATAGTCAATATGTAAAAGATGATCGACATCTGCACGAGAAGGCGAGCACATTATTGGCCCAAGGCAAATTTGAATCATACGGTTTGCGGCACGAACAGGCATAATGTTCTAGTGCTCGACAGGGTCGGTCCAGAAAATGGTCGTAGGCTACTGTGGATATCAAATCTAAGGCTCGATCACTTCATTGAGAGCCAGCAAATTGAATATGTACTTACCCAAGGCACGAGGCAATGGGGAGTTGTGGTAAATGTGTGCTATTCAACAGTGCATGTAACGCGTTTTTGACTGCGCAATCAAACGATTATTGCCTGTAAAGATTTTTGCAGATTGATCTTTCCAGGATGGTTGTGCTCGCCCAACAAGGAGTGCCATTACTGCATTACCTGATTGAGACCCGATTGAATGTTCCCTGACAGGCTAGGGAAAAGTTATGTATCGACTGCGAGGCCTTACCCAACAGGGCATCAGCCATCTCGTCCTATAGTATGTCCCTTCCCTTACCATTGACGCACCAAAGATCACAGCAATCACCGCTCCATTGACGCCCATGATAATTGAACCCAGAATGGGCTGGAGTCGCAGTGGCACGCAGTATTTATATGAGTGTCTTCTCCACATCAATCACATCCCGAGTTCTGATTTCCTAAACACTGCACTAGTCCTTTATTGTATTCGAGCGCTTGAATACGTATTCATGACATACCGATTAAACAAACTTACTTTGACGTTTCCGTTCATTCGCCGAGCATCGTGGTTGTGTGTGGGGCGGTCAAGATGTCGTGGTGTTTGGACTCTTGCCTGTTTAGAGAAAATCTATATCTGGTACCTGAGTTGAAGGGGTATCTGCTTCCGAGTGAGTCGGACGAACACTGGGAGGAGTTCTTCAGGGACTTGCATGGATCTGTGAAGAACGTTTGAGTTGAGATGCAATAGCATCAAAATGGAATAATAACTGAAAAGGAGTGAAAAACGCCGCCGCCACTATCAAGGCTATCAGGTTTGCCCACAGATGCTCTCTGACACTCACCATTCGAGGACATGCACCCTCCTGAAGCAATACGCACAAATTTAATTTCCTCGAAATCCATAGCAGCCGTCGTGAAGAATATATATATATTCCAGGCCGGTGCACCCGATGCACTCTATCTGGAAATCTGGATAAGGATTTGATTAGTGAGTATCAGAGGAAAGAATGAAATCTTGCCCCTGGCATAAAGTTTATGAAGGTGAAGTTCCATCCGTTGGAATAAAAAAACCCGCGGTGCTTCGGGGGTGAAATGCATAAAAATAAAGAGAACATCTAGCTCAAATCGTTCTATACAAATTCCGAAACAAAGATTGAAGCATTCCAGAATACAGCGGGCCGTGCGATGTTTGACCGCAGGATCTTTCCAGAACATAATACTGGAGGCAAACGAGGGGAGACTCAAATAGGGGTGATTAGAGTTTATGACCTTCCGATAGAATGCGTTTTCATGGTGGCATATATTTGGATCATATTCTCCAATAAGCTGGTTAATGAGGCCGTAAGTCATGTTCTTGTGAGTAGAGAATGTACAAGAAGAGAATTACCCTGATACAGGATGCGAGAATCCCATCTTTCTTAAACAAGGCGAACAGCGCTGAGAACCACAACGAACCCGGTGACCGTGACTTCCGAAGCATCGACATTTACCCATCCTGTACTCTTGCGCTCTCGATCAGGGGGGTGAAGTGTAAGCATAGTAGTACATACCAACAATGTCTTTTGCTGGGCTGAACATTGAAACCAACGACGAGAAACAGAGCAGGAAAAATGGTGCGTTTGGCGGGCAAATTGACACGATGAAGTTGCTTGCAACTCACCCTGGCACACATGCCGATGGATAACCTCTGACGCTTACGAAACGTATGTGCTGTATCAAACTTGATTAAATCTAGTAGGCTAGCAAACATGAGTAGACTAGGAAAGCATCCAACTGAAGCCTGGTAGCTGATTTACTTTGAGAACCGCACAACTGAATAGAACTTGTTCGTGTTTGAGGGCCCAAAAATAGCATACTCGAAAGCCTCGTGATCCGTAGAACAAACTAGTCTGACTTTTTGTTGGACGAGGCACCAGTAGCCTCGTTGTACTTGCTTGCCAACCTGTCAAACTCGGCGGCTTGTTGGGAAGCTTGCTTCTTGAGCGTATCTTAATATTGAGACTGTTAGCCTCGTTGCGTAAGAGATGGTGCAAGTACTAATCACCAAAATCGCGTTGTTGTGCTTCGCTGGCAGCCAACTTCTTTTGGAGTTCTTCGACTTTTTTAGTTTGATCTCCTGAAGCGAGCGTTTCACGGGAGTTACTTGCGGTCTGGTCAGAGAATGCGTTGAATTTTCTAGACAAAGAGGATGTGGGAGGGATGATATACCTCTTTCTTGAGCTTGGCGTATTGCTCTTGTGTGTGGATAAGGTCCAAAAGTATGTAGAATGTGCGAGTAAGAACAAGGGACAGGAAGAGACAGAATCCAGTGAGGTAAGTATTTCTCTGGGCGCTAATACGTCCCAACGAGCACGATGTCAACGATGTTAAGGTGACAACTTGCAAATAACACGTACTAGAACTTTCGAGCAGCGAAATTTGTCTCTGTCCTGACGTCTTGCATGCCTTGGCCACCGGACTTCACCATTTCAGATTCGGCAGTGACACGGAACATGCGCTGAACGGCATCAACAAACAAGATCCCGACGAAACTAGGAGAGGATGAGGTGATGAAAGAAGACCATGCTGCACATACGTACATAAAAGATATCTTCAATGCATAAGCCACTTTGGCCACAGTGGGACTTTCAGAGAGAAAACGGAATAGCTTTCTGCGAATTGTATAAGGAATTGGCGAAACGAGCAGACAAAATGTGACCATCTAGAGTGAAATCCAAACCAAAGATCAATATACGTTAAGAGAGACCTCGAGATGGTTACTGACCTCTGCTGCAAGCAGCATGAAGGTAAGCGAGTAACTAATAGAATTAGATGACATTAGTGTCCAGCCCCTCAAGTTCGACGTTCTTACTATATCGTCATGTTGCTGGAGAATTGAGAGAAAGAAAGGGGATGTTATTGAGGGTGGCGTTGGTGTACTTTATATATGAGCTCGTATCGTGTTTTGGGTCCGCAGTGATTTGAGGATTTCCGGTGTCAACGACGTGTTCGACCAGCATTTGCACCTCAAGGTGCGTGACGTCACAGCCATGGATTATGTAACTTTTTCCCATCGGATAAGCACGACGCGTCAGAGTACGAGATCTGCTTTTGATCCAGGACAGTCAGCCAATTTACAGTACAAACACTAAGCATTGCTCTCATCCTTTAGACATCACAGCAATGGCCCCTTTTGAAGTGCACATCAAACATGCTGGAAAAGTACACGATCTCCAGCTAGACCCCGATCTACCAGCATCTATCTTCAAGGATGCGGTATATCAGGTCACTGGTGTACCTCCAGACAGAATGAAAGTTATGATTAAAGGTGGCGTCCTGAAAGTTAGTAATGACCATAATGTCTCTTCGAAGATTAATGACCGCAACTATCTCGTTAGGACGATACAGATTGGAAGAAGGTTGGCCCCAAAGCAGTTAGTGTTCACGGTTTAGCTCTTTCGAAGTCTGTAAATTTGTCATTAACTACGTTTTATCCAGGGGCAGACGTTCATGGTGATCGGTGCGGCTGGCGAACTCCCAAAACCACCGTCAAAGCCTATTGTCTTCTTGGAAGGTATGCAGACTTCTGACTTCTTCAAATACAGACAGACTTCTGATTAACAATCACTTCACTAGACATGGACGACGCAGAATTAGCTGAAGCAGTGAGTAGATTTTCATGATCGAGCAACGCACTTGTAAACCTATCTTTGTAGTTAGCCAAACCTGTTGGCCTCAGAAAGTGAGCTTTGTTTATTTGTCAACCTTGTGGCAATTTCGACTGACGAGGTATATTTCTGCTGTATAGTATGGGTAACACATGTTACATGAATGCTACTATCCAAGCCATGCGTGCTATCCCAGAGCTCCAGACTGCTCTCGGCGCGTGAGTATCTTGTGTTGAATTTCTTTGCAATCCAAGTCTTCAACGTAAAATCTAGGTCTACATTAACTTCTTTGCCAAAAGCAATGCGCAGTTTATATACCGATATGTCTAGAACGACCGAACCTTTTACCCCAATGAACTTCCTTACTATTTTGCGTCAGGTAGTACCGCAATTTGCGGAGGTAGACAGGTCCAAAGGAGGCCCTATGGCTGGCATGGCTGGGTATGCTCAACAGGGTCCGTGTTTTTTTTGTTTACCTCACTTATCAGATAACTTATTTTCATGGTAGATGCTGAGGAGTGTTGGGGTCAAATAACGAACGCTTTAAAAGTAGTGCCTGGGATATCAAGTCCATCTGGTTCATCTGCGGGCAAGAATTTTGTCGAGCAGTTCATGATGGGAGAAATGCGACGAGAGTACGATCATATCTATTTATTCAGGAGAACTCTCTTCTCATGATCCATCAGGTTGAAATGCGACGAAGCCGCCGATGAAGCACCTTCAGTTTCGACAGAGAAGGTTCTCAAGGTTGAATGCAATATCTCTATTTCAACTAACTATATGCATAGTGGTATCATGAATGTACGGGGGCTAGACTTGTTTGTATATTTTTTGTCTAACCACGCTGCTTTGTAGGCCCTCGACCAGAAGGTCGAAAAGAACTCGCCGTCCTTGGGTCGAGAAGCAGTTTATAGCCAGAAATCTCGATTGTCTCGTTTGCCCAGTTACCTAACTGTGCACATGGTAAGGTTTGCGTGGAGAAGAGACATCGGGAAGAAGGCCAAAATAATGGTGAGCACACTTTGTCAGAAGGGAGTATCATGTTAATTCTCGAACTATCTTTGTTTTTCAGCGTAAAGTCAAATTCCCCACCGAATTTGACGCGCTAGATCTTGTAACAGACGAGCTCAAGAGCAAGATTACACCAGTGAGCCGCCGTTTGAAAGAGATTGAGAAAGAGCGTGACGAGAGACGGAAAGTGCGGAAGCGCACCAAGGGCGCACAGGGAGGCAGCTCATCAGCAGGGAACGGTAAAGACGGCGATGTAGAAATGACCGATGCTGCACCTACGACAGCTCAGGAAGCGGCTGCAGATGGTGACGACAAAGGCAAGGCAGTAGAATCATCAGTAGAGCTGCTAGACGAGGCTGTCTACCGTGAGAGAGAGCTGAAAGAACTTGAAGCGCTGGTGGACACAGATTTGAAGGCTGATCACGGCTGCAGTGTGAATGCGCTGTATGATCTTGTTGGTGAGTATTATCCGGGGATGCCATTTATGATGGGTTGGTAACCTGTTTTTCTTTGTAGCCATCGTAACGCACAAAGGCGCTGCTGCAGATGCTGGGCATTACATTGGATTCGTGAAGAAGAGCGTTTTTCACGGATCTTCAGCACGGAAGCTATCTGATGGTGCATCGTCTTCAACTGCCGCTCCAGCCCTGCTTATAGACGAAGATGACGAGGATTGGTACAAGTTCGATGACGACAAGGTATCGATCTTCCCGAAGGAAAAGTTGACAACGTTGGACGGTGGAGGTATGACCATATACGCATCTGCCTTGTGAGATGCATGCTGATGCATGCTTTCCGATCACAGGAGAAGATTCTTCGGCTTATGTTCTGCTTTACAAGAGCAAATCCCTAGTTTAAATGTGTGATTTCGATCAAAAGGTTTTTGAAAGGGTTGATCCTTCATATCGAGGCCTTCATTGTATTGGAAGCCCGCAAGGATTATGTTGAGTTTGTTTGAGTTGTGTCGATAATAGACGATTGTATAAGGGTTTCATTACAAGTGTTGGTAAGAAACATGCGGACTATACTACGCATGTCACAGATTCTGTAGGAAAACAAATTGGGATGAACCTCCCCTATGTAATAGCAAGAAGGTCGAAGATAAGCAACTGATACAGACCCCAAATAGAAAGGCGGTGCAGGATAAAACGAACAGACTGATGATGATATGTACATTTTCACGATACAAATGTTCCGTTAGCTTTCACCAGAGGGCTGGTATCTTCATCCATCGTGTCCAAGTCGTTTGCTGATGGAACTGCAGCTGATGCGGAGGCACCGGCTGCTGCTGACTGGGATTGTTGGGGAGGTGAGACGTCCCTGATCAAGTCAATGAGTGAGACAAAGCAACGATGGTGAAAAAGACAAAGATACCATTTAATTTGAAATCTCGTCACTCGCGGTTTTGTGCTGATGTCTCTGACTAGGCGCTCGAAGACTATTGGTTTTGGCTGGGCTTCTTTCATCTCCTCATTATCGTACTCGGTGTTTTGGTAGTATCCCACTCGCACGAATTCTTGGTCCTTGTACGAGCCAGTGAGTATGAGAGCTGCGACTCCCAGGACGTCTTCTGTGGGTATTTTGGATGGGTCTGGTGGCGAGCCCTCGAACTCAAATGAGTTGACGCCGACGGGGACAGGTCCGACCAGACAATCATCGAGCTCCTGATCCAGTTCTTCGTTCCCGGGCGAGGAGACGTAGATGAGTTTCCACTCGAGGTCTGGTATCAAAAGATTAGACAGACATAGTCATAGAGATGAAAGATGTGTACCATCTGTGAGGGTGGCAATGCACTCGAAGGTGACTCGAAACTGATACGAGTCTGAGAAACGCGCAGGGTTGTTAAGAAACTCTACGTTCTGTGCAGATAAAGTGAACACGCGCCATGGCGACTGGGACAGGCAAGAAACATACTCTGATGGTCACGATAGACATGGTCTCGGGATGGAAACGCGTCAAGGAAATGCGAGGCAAGGGTGGGGGCACGTGACCAAGACCACGTGAGAGGGGATGTCTTTGAAACCGGACTCGATCAGGCTCTTTTGTCCCTCGCTTTGTACTCAAGAAACCAAAGCAGAAAACAGGTTTCGTTTCATTTCTGCGCTCATTATCTCTCCAGCATCTCTGCTCTCGCAAATATCATCAAAACTCACCGCAAAACGTCTCCAGCATCGCCATGTCTCTCTAATGTCAACAGCCATCTCTGCCTTTTGACCTTCAAATTCACGAATTTTATACCTCCACAATGCCTGACATGACAGCCGGAAACGAGCAAGAATCCTGCCCAACAACACCCGTAGTCACCCATCCAGTTACTTCTCTTGCCATCCCGCCCAAATTCTCGGACGACGACCAGCATACTCCAAACGCATTACCATCTTCTTCCAACTCGGTCCCTACAAACGAGCCACATCATGGCCAACTTCTAGTTCCCATACTCGCGTCTTCCACGAACAGCTCGCAGTCTTCCTTCGCGTTCTCCAGTGCTATTCCAGGCGCAGAAAATGAGTGGCACGGCCTTAACGAACTGCCCCCAGAAATTGCTACCGCAGACATATCAATAGCTCGTAAGTATATCAATCTCTTACGGTCCCGACTTTCATAAATAACCCTTTCCTCTAACCCCAAGCCGATGGGAGTTTTGTGGAGACATCTTCTGGCCTAGCCGCGAGGGAGCTGAAGAGACGCTACGATCAACACCTCGGTGTTGGACGAGACGTGCGGTCCCCATATGCAATCACGGCTTTTGTAAATCAGCATGGAAAGCAGATGTATCGTGTGGGGTGAGTGCCTAACCCCCAATTCTTGGCGTCCTAATACGCTCAATCTCGGTTTCTATCATAGTCATCGTGATCTCTCCGCTCCAGCCGCTTCTGCAGCAGAGGTATCCAATCGAGTCGCAAAAGTTGCGCCGCCGACAACACAGCAAGATCGCCCCAAACGTCGTTCACGGATGAGCGTCCATACTTTACTCTCCCAAGGCAAGTTAAAGAATGGTGGCGTCCCACAACCCGTCCGTCCACTTACAGAACTCGAACAAAACCCCGGTACTCTGAGTAACACACCTCGGAAATTGAGAAAGACACGGTCAATCCCAGATATGTTTGGGCTGGCGACGGGCTCTGCATCAACATCCAATACCATGGGAGGGAAACAGGGCCAGGCGCCCGTGACAGGTCGAACACACTCGCACAGCGTCACAGGAGCTGATATGCCGCGATTGCCGCCCACTATTGTGGATATGCCGAAACATCCCTCCGGGGACATCTTTGCGGACGTTATGAACTGGCACGGAAGTTCGGTTCCTCCGTCGCCTTACACGTCGAGTTCCGTATTAGAGTCCCCAAGCCTATCTTCGGGAGACGGGTCGTACAACCCGTACGATGAGGGATCATCTGCACCTTTCATATCGCATCCTTTTGGAACTGGCATCTCGTTCGATTCGCCCATGAGACGCCAGACGCCAGAATATTTACCGATGCCTCACGCCTTGCGGGAGATGCAGTCTTTCGAATCTGGACTGACCGCTCGTGCAGGTGACACAACACGTAGGGAAAAAAGTCCGGATTTGACCGTCGATTTTGATGGGCCCGGCCGTTCTTCATCGCCAGGCGGCCCACCGCGGTTGGCCGTGTCTCCTCTGATGAATGAAGCAGAGCATCCTGAGCCAGATTTAATACCGCTCCCAGAGACCAGCATGCACTCGCAGTATTCTACCGAAGTTTTCGATGTTCTGCAGTCGTACCGAGGATTGCCACTTCTGGACAGACTTTTTCCTGAATCAGGCGAGACTACAATTAAATTATCACTCCGCGCCGATGACAGCGCAGCACCCCGTGATGATCCCCGTTTTGTGCTGTGGGGTGAAATGCACAAGGACATAGATGGCGATGATCACTCAGTATCTCATGATAGTCGGACCGGCCTCTCTTCTCCAGTGCTATCTGCATCGCGGCGTGGTACAAGGGCAGGAAGGTCTTCCATGGCACCCGAACCACCGAGTGTGCGGATTTCATCGGGAGAAAACACCAAAAGGGCTCTTTTGGCAGCTACGATTGAGCGCTGGATTGCACAACTGACCAGTGAATTGAACTACGAGGAACTACTGAACTTTTTCTTGACCTATCGCACTTATATCAGTGCGGTTGACTTGTGTCACCTACTCATATGCCGATTTCATTGGGCACTGAGTTCTCATTCATCAAAGCAATACGAAGACGTGCGAAGGATTGTTCGCGTGCGGACGTTTGTTGCCATTCGGTATTGGCTATTAACATTCTTCGTGGTGGATTTCTTGCCAAACCGTGAGCTACGGCTGCTTCTCGCGGACTGGCTCAACGCTTTGGTCCGAGATCCCATATTGAAGAAACACCAGGGTGCTCTGGTAAGTCGCGCATCGTGAGTGACCCCGTCTTCGTAGAATCCTGACCCTCGCATTAGAGCATAGTTCGCAAACTGATCAAAGTCGCGAAAGACTGCAAAGAGGCACATACGCGCAGGCGCAGGAGTTCTGTATCCAGGAGTCTATCGATTAGCGGAAATGCCAAGCCGACTCGTACGCATGTTTTAGGGGAAAAATTTGCCCAGGCGATCTCCAAGGACGAAGACGAGGATTCCGACGTCGACCTTGATTTTGTCCCGGATGATACTTCGGCTCCTGGGCCATCATCTGTTTTCCAGGGCGACTCTGTCAATCCTTATTCTTTTGGAGGACAAATGTCGCCACCTCGTCCTTTAGCTGTTAGCTCGGCATCTGCGGCGATCTTGCACCAACCTCTTCAAGTCAATATTCTCCAGCAGAGCCGTGCGACATCATCAACTTCTGCTCCAACTCCGGATCCTCAGCTTGTGCAGAACGCACCGCCTACGCCTCTTTCCCACAATGTCCTCTCCAGGGCCTTTGTGAAGACTATAGGACGATTGGGGCGTTGGAAACGAGTGTTGAACTCACGGCCGACTGTGCAAACTGCTTTAGCCGTGCCTGCCAATGTTTCCGCATTTGACCTTGAGTTAAATGCTACCGGAGACCTTCTAACCGTGCGGGGTGGAGTAGAACAGTATCTCAGAATGATAGAACCGCCATCTCCAGCAACCCCGGTGAATGCGCCCAGCACGAATGTCTACAAAGGGGATCCACCCTCTTCCAATCCGAAGCCAGAGGAGCGATCGGTATCTACCGATTCGACGCTCGCAGAACCATATGACCCTGAGGCCGGAGATACCAAGTCAGAGCACGCTCCTTCGCAACATCTACGTTCGGTTACAGAGGTAACGGAGGAGGACAATGCTGGTACCGTCAGTACTACCGAGATCGCGTCGGTAAAGGAACTCCCTAGACCAGAGTCATCAGCATCCGCAGCACGCTCTTCTTTGTGGTCGCATTCGACCGATTCTTTCGGTTCTATCCTGTCTTCAAGGTCCAAAGTTAACCCTTTTGTCGCCCAAGTGCAAGAGCAACCGCCCTGGCAATTTGAAGTCGTTTCGATCGACGAACTAGAATTGTCAGATACATCATCTGATGTTCAAGAAGATCGGCCTCCTGCGCCTGGTCTTCGTAAGGTACTTCGAAAGCTGCCTCTACGTCGTGATTTCGAATTTGTACGGCGATCTATAAGCAGCGTATCTTCGATGGGTTTTAGGTCACACGACTCAGTCACTTCTGAAAGCTCAGCTCTGTCGTCGGTCTCTGTAGGGGCTGGGTTAGGGTCCAATATCCAGCAGTGGCAGGTGAATGCCTTGGTAGATTCGCTGAGTGATGACGAGGAAGTCGGAGATGTTGGAGATGCTTTGAAGCGACTTGAAGGTCAAATCAATCCTCAGAAGAGAAAAGAGAAAGCTATGAAAGTCGATGGCTGGGTGCGTACCATGCAGGAGCGTTTGGCTGCCGGGGACTATGGAAATGAGCGGCCACGATTTTTCGATGACGACGACGAAGATGAAGATGATGAAGATTTTGAGATTGACCAGCATGAAACAGGTTCGACAATTTGGAATGGTGATTCCGAGGGCGATGTGGCGACGACCGTGCAAAGCCCTGGTTCCCGAAATACTGAAAGTTATCTGAGTTCTGTAGCTACTCTAACCTCCTTGGCACCCATTGCTAACTCCAATGCCAATATCGCGCCTGCTGTCCCAGCGCCTACTTCTCCTCTTGGGGATCCTGAAGATACAGTACCACCCAGTCCTTCTCCGATGCGTGCAGCAGATCCTACATCCCCCCACCGTGTATCTGATGCTAAACCTGCTCCTGAAGATGCGGTGCCTCTTGAAATTTTGCAAAGCCGAGTACCTTCCAGGCCTTCGACGTCACATGGTTCTCCCTCCCACCCCATCAACTCATCTAGCGTGGCTACGATGACATCTCCATCATCCAAAATCTTGGCTTCCAGCGCACGGAGCCTTCACAAGTCGTGGATCCTGAATTTCCGTGCTGAAGTTTTGGTACAGCATTTTTCGATAATCGATCGAGAGCTTTTCCTAGGTGTCAAAGCTGAAGAGTTAATCTTGGAGGATTGGAAGTCGTGTCAAGAGGTGAACGTGTTGGACTGGGCACAATACTTAAAGGATAGAGCGAGATGGAAAGCGGAATCTCGCTGGGTCCACAAAACAAGTGCTCTTGGAGCAGTGCGCGCTCGTTTCAATCTTATTGCCAATTTCACCACCTCTGAAATTGTGCTAACTCACCCGAACGACCGAGGAGTTTTGGTCGGCAAATTTATTCGGATCGCATTTGTAAGTCCTCTTGTATCATTTCTGAATTCCTTTCTTGACATCAATACAGAAAGCGTATGTCCTGAGTAATTTCAACACCCTGGTTGCTATACTCGCTGGTCTGCGGAGTGAGTGGGCTACCAGAGCCATGCATCGTCATTGGAATCGGGTTGGAATCTGGGAGACGCAGATGTTGAACAAACTAACGCAATTTACTACTTCTGCGGATTACTTCAAGGCCATGCATGAAGCTATTTCCGCCATGATTGATGCAAAGCCAATGAATATCAGTTCACATACCTCATCTGTTGTTAGCGGGAGCGCAACTGATGGTCAGTCGTCAAAAAGCAAGGCAACATCGGACAGTAAGACGCCCACGGCTTGTATCCCGTTTATTGGTGAGTTTTGTTTCACTCTCCTCGAATCTTCTGACAATCTTGTATTAGGCGTCTATCTATCTCAATTATATCGCTACAGTAGACTACCCGATTTGATTGATCCTACGGCGCCACACGATGTCGTTGGCCTTGATCCACACACCGCCAATTTTGACTCTCCAGCTCATCCCGATGTTTTCGATTCACTGACACCTTTACCCCCCTCCATGCAGCTCGAGCCTCTTATTAACGTCCACAAACAGCGTCTTATAGCTGGTGTGATCAAGGACCTTGTGGCCGGACAGCATCTGGCAAGCCGGATTCAGCATCCGATTGATAAGAAGCTCTTCCAGAAGTGCCTCAAATTGCGTGGCTTGGAGCCCGATACCCTGCAACGTGCTTTTGGAATGTATCCAGAGCGAGATACATTCTATTAGTCCATATTTGGATTTGTCACGTTCATCAGTTTTATTTTCGTGGTTCAGATGTGCATAGATTTGTACGTATACTATTAGTTGTACGATTTGGCATGTGCATATATGCATTGTATCTTGTTGGAGAAAATGCATCGTTGACATTCTGCAGTTCAGTACAAAACCTCTTCGATCTCTAACCTAGCCACGCGCTTATGCTGGCAAACGAAACATGCGTGATATTTGGTACAAGTACATCCGTCTACTATGTCTACACATAAAATCATAAAATCATTGATATCGTCACGCTAAATTTGTAGCTTAATGATGTGGTTCCATAGTAGAGAAAATTGTCCCATTCTAGTGTACCGCGTAAGTATCCTCTACTGAGATGAGTCTACTTTGTCGCGTTGATGAAGGTAGCTCGATAAGCTATCTAAGAATCACTTCCGTCCAGATCTATCATTACGTGGCTTGAATGCGGAACGTCGTCATCTGATACATAATCCATCCCGTTTCCGGCTGGGCTGAGATTGGTCGAATTTGGTTGCGTAGTGGACGACATTCCAATGACGCAGGACCGTATCCTTTGGCCTGGACGTGGGTCGAGGCGTATATCTTTTCTGGAAGATTGAATCGCAGCAAGGGCCTGGAGCTAAATTATATGGGTAAAATTATATTGCGCTTGGCACATTGCATAAAGCGCAACATACCTTCCTCTGGGTAGCGTCGTCACCAGACGCTCGCTTTTGACCCGGTTTTGTGGAAGGATCGAAGCCAAGGTTCTTGATTATCTTGGCTGAGTAAGAGGTCTTGGGTATATCAACCGAATTTGACCCTTGCTTCTCGATGTCGTCCTTGTCCCCATTAGATTTTCCAGCTGCTTTTCCCTTTCCCTTTTTCCCTGTTCCTTGGGAATCGGGTTCCTTCTGTAAACCTACTTCTCTGGCCCTCAGAACTGCCCTGATACCTTCCCTATCTCTCTTCAAGAGTGCCTGTAGTTCACGATCTGTATCTCGCTCTAGTTGACGTTTCGCCTTTGCCTGTCCTTCGCGGCCCATATTTTCCGAGGCATACAGTGACTTCGTATCATTCCCAGAGCCATTTACGATATGTCCAGATACAATGTACGTTGCATCACCGGTCCTAGAGTCGTCGGGCTTAAGTCCCCACTGGCGCGCAGGGTCATAAGCTGGCTTTCTTTTGAAGGACGACGACGACATGCCTGAAGTCCTGTCGAACATAAGTTTAGCCTTTTGATTTAAGTGTGCGAGAAGTATTCCTGAACATACCCAATGGAAAACTCGGCCCGTCCGGCCCTCTGCCTTTCTACTGCATTCTGGACATGATAATCGCAGACTTCGCTGACACGTTTGTCGCACCAGCTGCCACAAACTTTGCCGTCCCGCTTCAGCACTTTGCACATGCCTAAATCACGCGCCCGTCCAATAGACATAATCGAATCGGCTGATTCTGGGGTAACAGCGAGGATGTTGTTTACAGGATGGGGTGTATCAGCTGCCCGCTGAAAGAGAATTTAACCAGATACAATCAGCGGAGGACTACAGATGCTCTTAGGACATACCTGAAAAGGTTTTAGGATTTTAGGATTGAGAAGCGCTATGACATCACCTTCTTTTAACTTTGACATAACTTCAAATGCGCCTCTGCTACCACCTTTATATATTTTTCTATCTTGACCATTTTCGCCAGTGACTCGGTCAAAATTATCAGATTCGAATAGCAAAAGAGACAAAAATGCGTCGCCTCGAATAACAGCCTTTCCTCCGGTCGCCGACGAAGAAGAGCGCGAGCCAAAGTCAATGAGTTTCATATTGACGTATTTCTTGCCTCCGCCTCGTGGCCCTTCATCTTTGTCTTTTCCCTTCTCGTCCTTCCGATTCTTGTTCCAATTTGGCCGACCGTTCTTCTCGCTGTTATTGAGTTGTTTGCCTTTAACAGCATCGTTCCCTTCGTGGCCGATTCCTACAGGAGCACGACTGAACCTAATTGGCCCGCGTTCTGCGACCACGGCTATAGTAATCCAGTCGCACTCGACTGGAACATCATAGCCCTGTTTATTTGGCAATAACTGAATAGAAGAATATAGACGGGACGGCGAAAGGTAGCATCGCCCTTCAAGGTATTCCTGAAGGTCTTCATGCGACAACGCCCGAGACCTGTTTTCGGCTAAATTTAACGGTGTTAGAGAGCACATTTAATCGGAAAACTCACGAAAGACGAATGCCTGAATTGGGCTCCATCTGCTCGAAGAATGGATCATCAAATGGTGCTTTATGTTCTGACGGACCAATCGATATTTCCTCCAAAAGGGCAAGGCGGTCATCTCTTTTTGGAACACTGTCTTTATGCGGCGCACACTCTGTAGCCATGTCCGAAACTACTTCAGGTTGAGGTAGGACTTTCGTTTTGGGTTTGTCAGAAAATGCAGTTGATCGTACTGCAACGTTTGGTAGGGTGTCCTTATCCTTGTCCTTACTTAAGAATGATAACTTATTGAGAACATTCGAAGGAGCAAGGGAGCGCCGGAGGTCGACTTCAGCGACTGTGGCTTGGTTTCTCTGGGGTTCCTTATTGTATGCTATATACGTGTTAGATTTCGTAGTTTGAGCCTTTGATGTCGCGCTTTCCTTTAACTTGCGCTCCACTCTCCTCTTCTCTGGGCGGAGATTATTATCAACTAACGGCCCGTGTATAATGAGTCATAAACGACTCACTTGGGGATGGCGTCGCAGGGGCTAGCAACGTTGAATCTGGAGCTTTCCTCTTTGGAGACGCAGGCGGAGGTGTCCTTTCTTTTGAGAAGTCTTTCAGCTGAGCCTTTAGATTTTGGATTTGCCTCCGGAGCTCGAGCTGTCTTTGGCGCTCCTGCTCGGTTCTAAGAGTAGACGACTCCATTCTCTAAGGTGTATATCTGCGTTCTGTATTGGTATCAAACATAATGTATTCTCATAGGCTTACCCGGTGAACACGTCCAGCGCAAGGAAACAAATGAGGGGATAAGACAAGGTGTGTATAAGATCGTCGTGTATTGACAGACGCGCGAAGCAGACGCGTTATTTGGCTGAATTTACATAATATTCTAACCTTTTCTTCACCTAATACCCAAATCAAGAAATGAAATAAACGTATTGGCCACTTCCCACGGATATATATTGGAACTCAGAGACAAAGACCCTTGGCAGATTTATCTTTTCCAGGCTGGTGGACGCTCTTCCGAGGAGTAAATAGTTTTCTGAATGGCTCAAGGTTTACGAACAAAAAAAGGCAAGAATATACAGATTCCACGGTCGTACGGTGCGGTTTGGTGGTTTGGATTGTTTGCACAGTGCCTCCAGGGATGGCCGTAGATATCTACTCAATACCCACCCCGGAATATACCGTGACGGTGATTCATGCGGCTCCCAGTGCCTGCAACAGGCTTTTAATACGGAGTGGCCTTTAAAGCTGTGCCGAAAACATAGCTCTTCTTACCATCCTTCTACCATCATCCTCGCCACAAGCTGCTCGTTCTTCCAATAAAATAAGCATCATGAGCGCAGATATTTCTCCTACAGTAGACTTACAGAAATCCTCGGTCGACATAGCTCGACGTCTCTCTTGCCTCCAGTATTTTCTATCTGCAGCAGGAGAGCTTCTCACTTGTAGTAGACTGGCTTTATCTGAATTTAAGCGACATGGCAAAAAGGTTTGAAATTTCTCTTTTTCTGACGAGATCGTTTTCGCAGTCTGATATATGTGTCACTATAGATAATTGCTTTGATGGAGGTAAATCGTTTCCCTGCTCAGGCGTCAGTACTATTGGTTCGTCACTAATAACCATTATCTATATTGTAAGATTGCACGCACAACCCTCACTCGTGCTGGCTTGAAACTTCATCTTTTTACGTCTTGTTCCGCATCTTTTCTGCCGTATAAATCAGTTTATTTCAAACTGCTCTTGTTATTACGATTCAAACGGAATAATTTTACCGCTGATCTTCAAGGTATATTCTAAGCTGGCAGCTTGGATTCGTGGGTGTTTCTGACTCATCGTTTTACATGTTCCAGGTCGACTAAAAAGATTGCTACTTCCTTTATCTACGCGACTGGTCATCCGATGCAAAATCGATCCATACTCTCAGCTAGGCTTAGACGAGTCTCTGATAAAAGCAGGAAGTTGCCCTTCGCAGAGACAATGGACACTACCTGGCTCGTCTGGCACAACTTCCACAGCAAGAAAACATGAAGTACCCGATAAAGTCATGCTCCGTAAGTACATCGTCCACAACTTCAGTGGGTATTCTAAACACCACAAATAGCACCGGATGCCTTCCCGGTCGATTCTGAGCAAGGTGATAGCAGGAATCGAACTTCTACGAAATTCTTATACGGTACATCAACAGCTCGATCTCGCCCCGTTCACCGGCAACATCCCAATCGTGAAACAAAGCTATGGGATAGCGGGACCGAAAATTCGCCACCAGCAGTGCGATCAGGTCCGTTCCCAGGTCGCCGTAATTTTGGCATATTCTGCGGGGGGAGAAAGACTGGATTCCAGTCTCGAGGGCAGATACGGTTTTCTTCAGCAAAGGTCACTGGGAGGGATTGATATTGCTATCGTTACGATATACAGGTATGTAGTTTTTCTCTATTAAAGTACGTACACTATCTCTGACACCTTCAAATTTCTTGAATTTCAGGTCTCGAATAAACCAAACCGCAGAAACGAACTTCTGAAATTCATTTTTGTTCTTAGCACTTCATATCTGCATAATCTGTTCATACTTTGCACCAATATTGTATACTTGTATTTCAGAACTGTACCGCTACAATTCAAGTGATAAAACAGTGAAACTGCTTTGATTCCTCAGTTGTGAACCGAAAACAGCGAAGAAATTGTAAGCTATCCTAATCAGTAAACATACCCCCCTCATCCGCTGGCACACCATCCATTCCAGATATTCTGGGCCCCTGGCTTTTGCTGTCACGTACATGTGTGATATCATTCCTCCAGCACTTTAACTTCGCTAAGAACGCCACTTCCTCACTGGAGCCACCCATCGTCGATTTCTCTTCTTGAATAATATTTATTACATCTGTAAGGGAATGGTAGAGCTTGTCCAATGCTCCTTGCAGTAGGTACGGATTTCCGGTAAACGATGACGTTTCATTCTGCTTTCCCGTACCGGGTATAGTATCCTTCGGTGCAGCTAATAATCTCTGATGAATATGGAAACAACTGTAGCAAGGTTTACTCTTTTATGTTACCTTTGGGATCCGACTTTGGGTAAACCTACGATAAAGATGAACAGGCGTCGTCACTAGTAGTTAAACCGTAACAGATGGTACACACCTGGCCAGGGTTCTCTCTAGAAGGGGAAGGCGGAATACCGTCTCCACCTTGTCCGGGAAATTTAGCATCCGCTGTTCAAATTAGAAGATAAGTTATCAAAACAAAGAACGAAACTGGAGCCCACCTTCTCCTAACATATTGTTGCGAGCTATGTAAATGGCACCGCTGTGGTTTGATTAATCGTGTAAGTTTGGAGACAGGGGGACTTTCGATAAAAGAGCCACTTTATAAGTCAGATCCAAGTTCTGTGACGTATGCATATGTATTTTGTGAACTCCAAGATGTCGGATGGGTGATTCCGGTGGAGTGCCTATGATCGTTTCAGAGCTGTTGCGATACTGCTACCATCCGATTGTGAATATCTATTGAACCAGAATTATCGTTGGAGACGTGGCATATGCTGCTGCATGATAAACCTGTACATGCTAGATTTCATACTGCAGGCCTGTTAAACTAGCGATTTGAGTGGCCAGTGGCAGCTTTCAAGTTCCACACCAAAAACCTGATTTGGTCATTATCCGGGGTAGCACGTGACAAATAGGCCACAAAACAATCCATTTAGGAATTTGCTTCAAACTCCGATCAAGATTTTTGGTATCTGCATAATCGAGTCACGCCGGCGAGCATAGTGTTGGAACCTGCGTACATTGACCCTGAAATCGCTGGATTATCGTTAGGAAGACTCGATTATACATTATCATACTCGATTGACAATATAGAACATGTCTGGCGACGAAACGCTGCAAAAGCACCACGAGGAGGATTCAGAATCGGAGGAGGAGGAGGACGATGTTGTCGAGGCTATCCCAAAAATCGAGATTGATCCCTCGACATTGACGCCCCTTTCACCAGAAGTAATATCAAAACAAGTGCGTATCCTATGCTTTGATTTTATCGCGATGTCTGACCGATACTCGGCTCAGGCTACGATAAACTTGGGTGCGTTTATTAAGCGGCAACGTAAAGCTATGGTTGATCATAGATGATCCATTGCAGGTACCATCGGACATGTCGCCCATGGAAAGTCAACAGTCGTAAAAGCAATTTCTGGTGTTATGACTGTCAGATTTAAGAATGAACTGGTCAGAAATATCACCATCAAGCTTGGCTACGCCAATGCAAAAGTGAGCGATGATGATAATTAATCAGTCATTCACTTATGTTCAATTCCGGACATTATAGATCTACAAGTGCGAGAATGAAGCATGTCCACGACCGGGTTGCTATCGCTCCTATAGATCGGACAAGGAAGACAATCCCCCATGCGAGCGACCAGGGTGTGGCCATCGGATGAAACTGGTTCGCCATGTATCTTTCGTTGATTGTCCCGGTCACGACATTCTCATGGCCACCATGTTGAACGGAGCTGCCGTCATGGATGCTGCATTACTGCTTATCGCAGGAAATGAAACATGTCCACAGCCGCAAACATCGGAACATCTGGCTGCAGTAGAGATCATGAAGCTAGAAAACATCATTATTTTGCAGAACAAAGTCGATTTGATCAAAGAAACTCAAGCACTTGAACATCAGAAAAGTATTGCTGCCTTCGTCAAGGGTGAGTCGAATAATAGGTATTATGATTAGATGCTCATCCGTATGCATGCATTTTCAGGTACAGTGGCCGAAGCATCCCCAATTGTACCCATATCAGCTCAGCTTAAATATAACATTGACGCCGTGAACGAATATATCGTCAAACGCATTCCCATCCCTGTTCGCGACTTCACATCCGATCCGCGATTAATCGTCATCCGATCCTTCGATGTCAATAAACCAGGAGCAGAAGTAGATGAGCTTAAAGGAGGTGTAGCAGGTGGTTCCATTCTTACCGGAGTTCTCCGTTTGGGCCAGGAAGTTGAAATCCGACCCGGAATTGTCACGAAGGATAGCGCTGGACGGAATCGGTGCAAACCCATCTTCAGCCGCATCGTTACTTTACTCGCAGAAAATAACCAGCTGCAATTTGCTGTTCCTGGAGGTCTGATCGGTGTGGGTACTAGAATAGATCCTACGTTATGCAGAGCAGATCGTCTTGTTGGTCAAGTCCTCGGTGCTGTTGGGAAGTTGCCTAAGATTTACACAGGCAAGTTCATGTGCCTCCATGAGAAGCGACGGCTGAAAAAACCGTATACGGTCTTGTTTAGAGCTTGAAATTAGCCTGTTCTTGTTACGCCGTTTACTTGGTGTAAAGACCGAAGACAAGAAACAAACAAAGGTTTCCAAGCTCGTGAAGAACGAGCTGCTACTAATCAACATCGGCTCTACCTCAACCGGAGGACGTGTTTTGAGCGTGAAAGCTGATCTGGCGAAGATTCAATTGACATCGCCGGCTTGCACTGAAGTTGGTGAGAAGGTAGCCCTTTCAAGGCGTATCGAGAAGCACTGGCGGCTTGTTGGTAAGTTTCTAGAGTATTGTATGGGTTGCGTGCATATCTCACACGATAATCCATCCAGGTTGGGGAAGTGTACAGCGTGGCACTGTACTAGAGGTAGATTAACATCGATAGCTCACTCTGTATCTCCAATTTCAACATCGCCTGTAGCATTAGAAGGCTCGCCACTCTAAGTGGGCTGTCTTATTATTTCGCGCTGATCAACAGTGGCTAGTCTTCAATGTATTGAGTCAGCTTCCCGGATCATACATGCAAATAATATGTTGTAAGCGTCCTATGCTCATGACGTTCGTGGCACAATAAGGTCTAATTCTCTGGCATCCACCCCTTCGAACGATCTACTTTTGACGCGTCTGCTCTCCAGCTCGCGCTTTGCAAGCCACAAATGGAGAAGATATAGACAGTCTTTAGCCTATGATAATTTTGGTAAACATGAGGGTTAGATTAAACCCAAAATAGAGAAGTTGGATTGCTCATACCAGAGTGAAAAGACCGAGACCTATAGAATTTCGCCACCTGCACTTCATTCATCAACTAATGATTATCGAAGACAAAAAAATGGACGGACCAGACAGGATCGCACTCGGCCCACGCATATGTACCCCTCCAGGCAACAGTCAAACCCATGACACCAGCCAGTCCCATTTGTTTCGCTAGACCCATCGTCTGCCACTTCTTCTCATTGAACATGGGTCCCAAAGGTGGTAGAACCACTCCTCTGGGGAGCGGAGGACGAACGGCTAATATCCGTCGCAGGAGCAGCGAGTGCCTAGATAAACGCAAAAGAAGTGATCCCATGAGGCTAGAAATACGCGGTATGATCAGAGCTCCACCGATGAGGCGGCCTAGTGATGTTCCAGAAACACGTATGGTGTTTTCTGCAGCTGCAGCTGCATCCTCTGGCGCTGCATCAGCGTTATCGCCTACTTCGGCATTCGGCTGGCGAGCGCCTGCCTGGGCATTTGCAGCATTTCCTTGATCGCCTTCGGGATGGTCATCGAGATTGGCGCCGATGCGAATACGGAAAGGACCTCCTTCGTTCAAAGCTAGGACAACGCGTTGGATTGGGGCGTTGGCCTGATTTGGATGCGTGTTGAGGACCCAGTGGGATACATACGTGGAAAGACGCTTGTACAGGTGACGGACGACAGGGAAAACGAAAAGTCCCAGGAGCATAGGGGGTGGTGGCCAATTGGGAAGGACGGGGTACTCTTCTCGGCGCGCAGCCATGATAGAACTCTTCCACTTTTCGAGAATTATGCGTTCGTTGGACTGAACTGGAGTAGAAGTGGTCCAAGCAAGAAGCATTGGTACAATGGGTAGGACGGTTGTCGAGAAAGGTAAGCGAGAGACAATAAGTCCTACAGGAATTAGAGGTAGATTAATGAAGCTATGCCACGGCCAGTTACTCGGATCTTCCGAGAGGAGGATATCAAACATCCTAATGCAAAGGTAGTGAGTTATAGATGACGGTTTACGACATTAGCCTTGAACTTACTCTTTACCCAAGAACTCCTGCAATGCATATGCACCATATGCAGTGCTTACGATATATATGCCTTGGTATATTTACCTTAATATTGACGCTTGTCTAGACAGAGTCGGCCTCACCTGCTCCAAAGGATACAACTATACTCGTCACGCTTGCTACTGTGACCATCCTTCCCATGAGTGACAACGCTTTGTTACCTGAATCCAAAAGTCTAAGGATCCAAGGGTTATCGCTTTCGAGCTCGTAGGCAGATCCACATTGAGGGCACTTCAGGGCATTTGGTGCACGAGATCGATTCTGCTGAGATGTTTGAATCCACTGCAGTAAACATGACTCATGTGCAACCAGAGTGCAATTGCACGGGTGTGTCCATGGTCTAGGAGGATCCTCCGGTGCTATATAAATATGTGTTTTGAGAGTTAAATGTCTGAACAAGTCAACCAAGCTCACCATCATATCGCTCTTCCTCCCGACATATGTAGCAGAGTTTCACCTGCGGATTAGGTCAGAGGATGTACCAGATATAAAAGCGCACGTATTATGTACCCTAAGGTCATTGACAGTGGGCACACTTCGTTGTGCCGTTGGCATGCTTGGTAGTTTGAAGGCAAGTTTGAACTTGAGGGGAACTTGAAGGAGGCACTTGCCGCGGTACTTCGACGACAGTCACTGCCACGTGAGATGGCCCACTGTGACGCTGTGACATTTTCCACTTATCTGCACCGTGACTGCGACAAGGTTTCATGCTAATTTAACTTGCGCGTTCTGGTATCTCTCGGTGGACTCCTTGGCTGGCGGCCGAGTCATCGTGGGATGGATATCCAAGTGTGCCTCCGCAACCCAGCCTCGAACATTCCGAATTCAATATATAGATCAGTGTCAGGATTGGAGGCTATGGCACGTCAATCATTGCAGTCGCGACGCTCAAGATACAACAACCAGTTCCTGAAGCCTCCTTACACAAAATTCCATCTCCCTATCCTTACATCCACTATCTTCCGATAATGGAGTAACATACAACCCGTGTCGCGACTGCAGCTGGGATTTATACACCGTGGCGTACCTCTAAGCAGGTATTTCATCAAGCATACTTATCCTCTAAAAATGGCCTTTAGTGATGGGTACACAGCCGCCATCAGGTTGGCCTCTAATAACCAGGAAGGAAGAGCCCATGAATGGGTTCGGAGGATAACATAATACTGCGTTCTTTCCGTCCGGAGGCAGGTTTTGATGCGTTACGCTCTATTGACATGGCAATTTACCCATACATTTGCAGCAGCTTCCTTTATAAGCTAGGCCTGGTCCATTACTCCGTCTCTTTGTACTCTCAGTTGGCAAGATGGCGTCACCAGCAGAAATATTCATGCGCGGACCTTTGTTGGGCACATTCTTTGGTATAATGTAAGTGGCAATTTGCTGACTGTGAACCTTTAGTACTAAATGGTCGATGTCTAGATTATATGGTATAGTATCCATGCAGGTAATTTATTATGTCCAGAATTATTCCAACGATCGGTCGAGTCTTAAATTTATGGTTAGTAATATAACGAACTTACTTTGTTCACTGCTCATGGGGAATAATAGGTAGCCGTGATATGGTCGGTAACGTGCGTCATATGACCGCTTGATGCTGATTCAAACACTATGCATATGCAGGATATTGGAAACTACTCAAGCAGCATTTTCAATGTATGCTATGGATTATTATCTCATAGTAAATTTCTCCAATCCAAATGCACTGTCCAATGTGAACTGGTGAGTAAGCACGGTCATTCCTCTGGCATTCTACTCACTTGTTCTACTGCAAAGGGAATTAACGGTAAGTCGGATCAATGTCCCCGTTACCGTGAGCTGATGCGAATTTCAAAGATGACATGTGCTATTGGTGTGAGTCCAGTAGTTTTGGTGGGTGGTAAAGACTAATCTATGGGATTACTTACAGTCGCTCGTTGATTATGTTAGCAATATGTGAGGACATATTTTGGATACAGTAACTCGGAAGGAAAATATATGAATTTCCAACAGGTACTTCGCTTGGCGAATATGGAAACGTATGCATATCATAAAGGATCATTGTCCTGAGAGCATCTAATCATGTTCATGCAATATAGTCAGTGAAAAACTATACATTCCCATTATAATCGTGAGTGCCAATCTATTCTCTTACTCTCATAGTTAACACGTAATTCCAGGCCTTCGTTTCAACTGGCCGTTGTGGTATGTGAAGAAATTAGTCCAAATGCACATTATAGCTTATGCATGCATTGTCCTAGGCGTTGCCATCGCCACTTGTGTATATAGGTGAATCACCTTAGCACTGCTTCATGCATGAGTTAGGCTCATTTTGTTCGAGCCTCCTTTACCGGACTTCAGTCACTCTTTTCCGTCACCATACTGTTGTAAGTGTCAGAATCACCACATTGTCGTGTCTAATACTGCTAATTGAAGGCAATAGGCAACTCTTTCTGTGTGCAACGTCACTATTGTTGTAAGTGATGTTCTGATAGCGTGTGCTTTCATGTACTATTTGCACCGTGGCCGTTCGGGCCTTGATCGGTGAGTAGCAATTCTATACTCTGTGGAGTTTGTGTTCCATGTAATCGATTCTTTTCAAGAATGGATCGTCTTGTCAACCGCTTACTGGCTTATATCTTAGGCACCAACTTATTGACCTCGTGAGTTTGAATAACTAGTGCAAAAAGTATGCTATTTCTCACTCTTATTATACCCTGAACATAGATTTGTAGGACTAGCTACAATGCTTCTGGTTCGCACAAGGCAACATAATGTTTGGGCAGTCAGTGCTGACATGAAATTGAAATTAGTTTTTTTTAATACCGGATGACTCTGTCTTCCTGGGCGTGATGCTGGTGCAAGTCCAACGTACGCTGCGGGTCTATTTGATTGTATCTGGGGAATTAACAAGTCTTGAACAGTTACCGCAATTTCGATCTTGGCATCGTACGTATAAAATTTATATCAGCTCATCGTCAGCATGACTCATGTGGAAATTGATGTTAAGACTCAATATCAGACACCATAATGCAAATCTATTGGATACACCATCGAGCGATGGTACCAAGGTCAGCAAGTTGATCTTTGGGACATCGTACGTTGTGTCGCCAAATGACAAGTGAATCGTAGTCATAGGTAAATCATGTCATACTATTCGACATCACTCACTAATGGAAGGTGCAAGAGTAGGTGGAGACTCTTCTACTCACAAGTGGTGCTGAACCCTCCGCTCCACTTCTGTAGATGTATTATAATATTTTTAGGGCTCAGCAAAATCTTTACATATTATTGAATAATAACACTCCTCAGCCATACATGCCCGTTCAGTTGCGTTGCCAGGAAATTGCCGACGTTTAGTCGGAGCTCAAGTCGCGGACATTGATTGGACTCAGGAGATTATCGATGTCAAGACCTCCTGAGGTATAGCTGAGATATCAATGGACCCTAGTAATACACGTGACCTGTTATGCCTCTCTTATTCCACCAACAGGAAGCCGGAATCGCACACTCGTTGTTCCTACAATTCCTTCCTATGTGTCCTTTCTCGTTGCATATGAAGCACCTTCCCTCTTTCCTCCTTGATTCCTCTTCATCTTTAGTCAATCTTCTACCTCTGGTGGTTGGTCCACCTTTGTGGTTTCTGTCGTTCTGTCTTTTTTTGTTTGTGGCTCCCCACACTCCTTCCGAGATAGCGTTGGCACTGATTCAGTTGGCGTCTAGGTTCGCCGCTGTGCTCATCCAGTCTTTGATAGTGAGTAGTTCCTTTCTGGTGAGTGCCCCGCGAAGAAGGGGTGGTCGGATAGCCTTTTGATAAACCATGATCATGACTTCATTGTTGATGCCGCTCTTCCCAGCATCTAGCATGAATTTTGAGTTAAATGCTACTGCATTTTCTCCTTGTTCCATCTTCATTTTCATCAAGACGGCCAAGGCCGTTCCTTTGACATTCGCCATTCTGAAACTGGCTGTAAAGGTTTTCATGAAGTCTGCCCACGTGGGGTAGGTGTTCTTCTCTTTGTATTCGGTCATCTTGGCTTCGCTCCATGAGGCGGCGTTGCTATCCTTCATGTAGCTGAGGGCTACATATACCTTTTTTTTGTCGGAGTTGTAGATGGTGTCATTGATATCAAAGTGTAGATTGGCGGACAATATCCACCTTTGGGCTTTATCTGGGGTTCCATTGAAGTCATCAATTTTCCCAATCATCGTGGGTTTGGAAGCTGTAGCATTATACATGGTGCATGGTGGTGGGATAGGGGATGGAGCAGGTGCGACGGGGAGTATCTGTGGTGTGGGAGGTGGTATTGGGTCACCATTTGCCGCGTATTCTTCAAAGTCGTTCTCGTTGTAGATGTTTTCTACAACTACTGGGGGGTCGTGTTGTGTTGTGGGTATTAGCTGGGGGTGGCTTTCTGCATAATACTGTAACCAACGTGTTCTGGCTTCGTAGAGAGCGTCTGCTTGTTCTCTGATGTGGAGTCGGGATACGTCTGGTTGGGGGAAGGGGGGTGGTGCTTCTATCCTTCCTTGTCGGGATGATGTTGGTGGTGTTGCTGTTTGTGGGTTGTCTGAGCTTCCTCTTGCTCTCTGGGATCTGGTTGTTGGTTGTTGCGACGTCTTGTCAACTTTTCTTCCCAAACCTAAATAGGTGGGACTTCTGGTTAGAATACAATTATTTTGTTACGCACAAAGTGCTTAACAAAGTCTGAGGGTTTGTCAAGGTTTCTAGGAGACTTATCCGAAGACAAGTTTTGAGAATGTAGTTCTGAGTAGAGTTCTTCCAACAAGAGTTGGTCTTCTTCTGAGTAGAAGTCTGATCTTAGGAGTCTAGCTTTGTAAGCGTAAACTGCGTAGAATTGTATTGAAGAAATACTACTACTGTTACAAAGGTATTTATAGGAAATAAGATTGGTGATAGGAGTTAGGTCCTATCTAGGGGAGGCTTGCCTGTTGAGGGCTAAATACTATACTAGGTAATGTAGTTTGCAAAGAAAACGTAAATGTATGTGAAGGAAATGAGTCATTGGTCCGATGGTATAACCAATGAGTAAAGAGAAATGAGTAGTCCATAAAAGGAGTAGAAATTGTAACAGTTCAAGCGGCTCTGTTTTGCATTATTTCAATTCCTAGGAGCCAGTTAATCTTGCCAAGGTCAGTGATCTCATATTCTTGCTTTATGCCTGTTTTAAAATCTTCAATTACAACTATGCTGCTACCACTGATTAGCATATCATTGACAGATACAGAGATAACCATTCCATCAGTTTCTCAGTGCCTTATGAAAAGGGCATGATTGTGCTGGGATTTTTGAAAGCCTAGTCTTTTGAATGTCTTAGACAGCTGTTTGTACCATTGCTTTCCAGCCTGTTTGAGTCCATACAGGCCCTTGTTTAATTTGCATACCAGGCCTTTCTGGTCTTTGCTGAGATAATGTGGTGGAGGATACATGAAGATGTCTTTGTCAATGTTAGTATTGAGATAAGCACTCTTAATGTCTATTTGATGTATTTCCCAGTCCTTTTCAGCTGCATGAGCAAGAACCAGCCGGTTTGTTGTCATGCAAGAAACGGCCGAGTATGTTTCAGAGTAGTCAACACCGTATATTTGGGTGTTACCATTAGCCACCAGCTGCACTTTGAATCTAGTGATTCCGCAGTTGGGACCTCTTTTGATCCTTGGTACATAGTGACACTTGACGATATTTGCATGCAGCGGAGGTTTGACAAGTTCCCAGGTCTTCAGCCCTTCTATTTGCTGTAGTTCTTGTTCTATGGCCTTAAGCCACTCTTGTCGGTAAGGTCCTTTCAGTGCTTTGAACATGGTAGGAGTATTGTTGTCGTGCTGAATGACTGAGGTTGCAACTTGTGGATGGTTGAAAGCACTGAGGTAAGTGGCTATTCTGTTTTTGTTGTCTGACTCATCCGTGTCATTCGTGGCTGCAACATTTGCGATTTGGCCTTCGTGCAGGGCTCTGTAGAAGCCTGCAGGCTTCATTTTGACTTGTTGCAGGTGTTCTCATTGAAGAGGAGGGTCTTCAAGGATTTGAGGACCTTCATTGACTGGCTGGAGTGGTGGTTGGTTGGGTTGGGCAGCTAGAATGGGGTGGATGGCTGGCTGCCCGTTTGGATGTAGTTGGATGCGAGGGTGAAGCGGCTGCAAGAAAACTGGTGAGTCATCAAAAAAGACCAAATCGGCGCTGATCACATGGTCATTCAAATTAGGAGGGAGTTTATTCGGATCCAAGAAGATGTGGTATTCTTAGTCATCTGCTTGTCTCTATTGAAGATGATGTCCCGTTCTACACTAATAGTGCGTTTTCCTGGCCAGTAAATCCTATAGCCTTTTGACTCATCATCATGACCCAGCCATTTCTGTAAGGACCATTTTATTATTTTCTTATCTTCTCTATGTCTTGGTTCTCGAATGCCTTTCCCATTACACCTCTGGCTCTAGGGCCAGAGGTATCATTTGCCATATTACTTCTCATAGCCCTCACAGGCTTTCTTAACCACCGTTACCACTTTATATCACAGATCAGAGACTGGGTATCACTCCCAGTCAGCCAGCACAATGGTTAGGGACTGGTAGTAGGCATCTCGCCAACCAGCTCCAAGCCCCATTAAGGCCTGGATATACTAATAAACACTTTGATCAGGATTGTACCTCATCATGAGGATACGGTTCCTGAACACGCGTAACAAACATCTATTATTAGTACAAATCTCTCACCCGCTGTCATGCACCAAAGTTGATTGGTAGCATGGACAGGTGTCAATAACAAAGTGAATATTCAAAAAGACTCGCCTTTGCGCCACACAGGCACAGTGCCACGTGGAATAGTAATTAACATTGCCTTTTTTGAACTTGTGGCTGATCAGCACCACCTCTATTAGGCAATCCAGTCACGCTCACCTTTGCTTTTCCATTCGGTACTTTCCGCATTTCGGCATTTCGGCAAATTTTTGCGTCGCCACTGGCTACACATTGCATTGCGCCCTCACTTTTGTCGTTTCCCTTACTCCCCTTCCTTTGCCTAGCCCCACCATGGGCCCCTTCCTCTCCTTTTTATTCTCACCTGACAGTCATTTCTGGATCCCCATTCTAATCCACTTTTTTGTCACCTCCACCCTCCTCCTCCTCATCTTATTTGCACCCCCACCATTTCTGATGTCACCACTTCCTATCCGCTTCCGTCGCCAATCCGTTGACTACCACGTGCCACTGCTGATATCAGCAAAGCCCCGGCGGCCGGTCCAAATAGGGCAACAGGTCTATCTTCATGACGTCGATCTGCCATCATATACTATCAAAACATCGGTCGCTCGTCTTGCCTAGTTGGAGTGTGGGTGGGTAGTTTTTGAGCTGGAGAAGGTTCATCCCCTTGTGTCGCCCATGTTTATCGCTGTCCCATTCACTTGGGTACACTTATCTTTTGTCCATTGTCTTCGCTACAGCTACACCTACCACACGCTGCCTGGGACTCACTTGTTCCAAATTGGAACTACTCCTCTCCCTCCCTCGTTTGATCAGGTGGTCCAACACAACCAGTCCATTGGTAAGGCCATGGAACTGTCGGATTTGGACTAGGTGGTGGACCGGTGGCTCTAGTTTCTTTTTTTTCAGCAGAACATTCATTTACAGTGCGATTATTTTTGATTTTTGAATCATTTTTATGGACACATATTTTTTTAGAATGCCTGACTGGCAATAAAGGAACTGTGTTGATACTGATAGTGTTTTGCCTTGCCCTTTTTTCAGTGCATCTTCCCATGACATCATGATTTTCCTGCTCTCTTTTTGCTATTGGACTTTACTTTATGGCTGTACAAACCTGTGACATTACTCACAGCATTCATTGTTCTATCCCTTTCTTTTCCTTTTTTGACAATCTTATCCTGTACTACCTATGCAGGATTCATCAGCATACATTCCTTCCTTCATGTTCTTTCTCATTCTTTTTGCACAGCTATACTGTGCATAGCCTACTTTTCTTTTACTATATAAACCCCTGTATTTTACCTTGCAAAAAAAAAAAAAACAAGTACTCGATTCCAGACTTCTTCTCTAATCTTAAGTCCACTTCTTACTGCTACTTGTGTCATTGTTATCCCTTTCGATTAGAGTCCTTCTGAGCACTACAGTTTGTGCGTCAGGAGCCTGCTATCACTGGGAACCTCGTCACCTCGTCATCCTCAATGTTCTCAAACCTACCTTGTGCTACAATTAGCAAGGTAGTGCTCATCTATACCCGTCACTAAGCCCCTATCATCTATAAATTCAACTATCCCTCCTCCTCAAAACCCACACTCATACACCT